CCCCCCCATTCCTTGCTCGCCGGCGGCGGCTGTCAATCCATTGATTGATCCGCACGGCCACCGGCACCGGCCCCAGCAGCCGCACCAGGCGCCTCAGCTCGCGGGCCCAAAGCAGCAATGACAGGCACGGCGCGCCAGGGGTAACAAACGTCTTTGAAACGGCCGCTCCCGAGCACAGCCACAGCCGCCCGTCGGAGGCTTTTTTGTCTTCTTGTCTCTCTCTTTTTTTGTCCGTTCCTTTCTCTTTTTTTTTGGTTCCTGGGTGTGCCCTCCTCTTCGTGCATTTCCCTTTCCAGCCTCACCCAACTTTTTCGTGGCCCCCAATCCCCGCCCTCGTCTCTTCCCGAAACCTAAACAAACGGGACATTCTTCCCCCCAACCTGTCCGGATCACCAGATTATCTCGCGAAAGGGGGGCCCCAAACCCAGCCGTTGGGGATATCGCGGGCGGGCGCCGACGGCTTGTCCTGTCCTGTTGGGCCAGTAGAAAAATGCGAAGCGGCTCGCGATGGGGTAAATGCCCCCGTCTGTACCAACCTGCCGCGTCGGGGGCGTCGTCGTCCCAGGTTTGTTCACAATTCGCGGGCCAGCCCTAGGTAGGGAGGTGATGCGCCGGGGCGGTTGTTAGTGCAACGCGCTACGGGGATGGCGCCTTGCAGGGCGCGCGACAGCGGCGGCCGGGCCTAGTAGGTCTGCCGACAGCCAACTGCCAACTGCCGTGCGCCCTGCTTCATGGAGCTGGAGGCACTGTCTCACTCTATGGTGCGGTGCTGAACACCAGGGCTGGCCCCGTTCCCGGCCCAGCCCTATCGCCCATCACATCGCCGCCGACAGACGCGAGAACCGGGCCAATCTCCAGCAAGCGCATAAACACGAACCGTCCACTCCCATGTCTCATGCCCCAACACGTAGAGCGCCAGCCCCAGAGAGAGCGTGAGCGTGCCGGGTTTGCGACGTGGTCCCCCTCAGCCCCCCTCCAAGCCAAGCTGACTCGAGGAACCGGGGTCCTGCCCGCCGCATTCGTACCTTAGGGCTATACCACGCCGCCTAAGCGTTGGGAATCTTTTTCCCAGGGTCCCCGACTGCTCAGTCGAGGCCAGTACCGGTCGGCGGTAATACTACTTGTAAGCCACCTCGGCCGCCAGGCGCGAGTCGTCGTCCCTTAACCTTTTACGAATCCGCGTCTCGATCGTGCGCCCCTCGCCCCTCGCCCTCATGGCGCGCGTCCGCGGCGTCTTCTCCTTTGGCTCCGGCCCGTGGGATCCCTCGCACCGGTTTGAGACGTCATGGCTGCTTTCCCCGTGGCCGCTGTTCGCCGTCCGCGCCCTGTTTGTGAGTCTCCGTTCCGTCCCATCTCCGTCTCGTCTGGTCAATGGCTGATGATGGACGCACACCCACCTCGTGCAGAGCGTCTATGCCTTTGTGACCCTCTTCTTCATCATCGGCTGGGAATGCACCCATGACGCCGCCGGCGGCTGTCGCGTCGCGCGCCAGTCGTTTTCCTACTTCACCGTCCTCACCTACTGGGGCCTCGCCTTCTACCTCCTCGCCGCTGCGGTCCACACCGGCACCTACGCCCTGACCGGCCGGCCGCTGCTCGACCGCCTGCCGCAGCCGCTGCGGGCCCTCCACTCCCTCTTCTACACCACCGTCGTCACGCTGCCGTTCCTCGTCACCATCGTCTTCTGGGCCGTCATCTACAAGGGCGCCTGGTTCCCCACCGTCTTCGAGGGCTGGCACAATGTCAGCCAGCATGCCATGAATTCGCTCTTCGCCCTATTCGAGCTGGTCGTCCCGCGCACCGCGCCTCCGAATCCCGTCCATCTGCTCTGGCTGATCCTCATCCTGCTGGGGTATCTCGCCGTCGCGTACGTGACCCTCGCGGACCAGGGCTTCTACACGTACAGCTTCCTCGACCACGACGCCGTCGGCGGGAGGGGCTACGTCGCCGCATACGCCTTCGGCATCGCCGTCGCCATCGTCATCATTTTTGGAGTCGCCTACGGCCTCATCTGGCTGCGGAGGTGGGTTACGGAAACGAAGCTCGGCATGGAGGGCAAGCTCGCGGAGCAGGAGGTCTGCGACGGAACTGAGATGAGCACCATCCAGCCCAAGGATCGTGAGGCGTCGGTAGTATAGGTTCGTCAGATATTGCTACATCGTCTAATAGCTCTAATTCCTCGCATGACGGGCTCTGTCCCGATTAATGCAATGCTGTGGCTCCTCAATTACACGAACCCATCGTTCAGCATTTCAGCGTCGCTCCCTTGCGCTTTTCCTCTTCTCGTATCTCAAACATGACCTGGATGCCGACAAACAGACATGAGCATGCCACCACCAAAAACATGACACCTGCGACGTTAGCACGGCTCCATATGTCGAACGGCGGTGTACTTACCGGACCAGTCATGTAGGATTCCCTTGATGATGCTCTCCAGGCCGTCCAGCCCGACCGCAAAGCCGACCAGGTTCGCCGCCATCATCATCAGCACATTGGCCACGGCGCCCACACAGCACAGCATCCTGTACTCGGTCGGCCGGCTCTCCCACTTGCGTTTAGGGAAAATCGCCGCCGCCGCCCACTCTGGGACCATGAAGAGAACAATCAGCCATCCCCAGATGAGCAGCCGCATCTGAATGTCGTGCCATAGCGCGACAAACGTAAACACCAGCAGATACGTGATGATGGACCGCGCAATGGCTCGCCAGTTGCGAAACGACGCGCCCCCGAGCGGCACGTAAATGTAGCGAATCAGCCATCGGTTGTAGGAGCGGTGCCACGCGCGCCAGAACAGCTGCGTGCTGTAGTTGTTGCTCACGCAGCGCACCATGTTCTCGGGCGGGTCGATGCCGTCGATGAGCGACCACAGGCGGAAGAGCCGCCACGGCAGGAGCAGCTTGAGCCAAATGATGTGCAGGTTGAAAAAGGACAGCATGCTCAGCTGCGCCGCCGTGTACTCGCCCCACACGGGGTTCGCCTTGCTGATAGCGCCCACGTAGTCAAAATGCAGCACCAGCTCCATGGCGAGAAACACAAGCACGAAGCGCACGCCGTAGCGGATCGTCCGCGCCGCCTCGATGCTGGTCGCGCGATGCTTGAGCTGCGAGATGTAGTCGTTGAAGGTCAGGATCGGCCCCACCAGGTACAACGGGGCGTACACGGCATAGGCGACGTAGTTGCGAAACGTAAAGTCCCGGACGTCGGCGGGGATGGTGATGCGATCTCGCTCCGACAGGTTGGCCGGGTCTAGCTGCTTCTTCTTGGGTGTATTAGATAACGTCAACCAGCGCCGGGTCTGGATCCCTTACCTCGAGCCCGTTGGCCGTGCGCTTGTCAATGCTCCAGTAGTAGTCCATGTTGAAGCTGATGAGCCGCAGGATGGTGATGTTGAACAGCACCTCCCACCGCGCCATGATGCCGCCGAAGCCATCCAGCCACGCACCCCACTGCACCAGCGTAGAGTCGGCCGACGCGATGTGGGCAGCCAGCCACTGCAGGTGGTATCCCTCGCACAGCTCGTTGGCGAACAGCGTGGAGATGTTGAACACCCACGTCACCGCGGGGATGTAGTTCCGCGGCAGCTTCATCGCGATCTGGTAGTTGACATACAGGATGGCGAGCACCTTGAATGCCGACACGCCGTGCAGCGCGAGGAGGAAGATGATTGCAAACGCAAAGTCGAATGACGCCCGCAGCTCCAGCCGCCCAGCTCCGCTCGAGGTCCGCGCAGGCTGCTGGTAGACGGCGTTCCACACCCTCCGTAGCAGCGGATGGAAGAGCAGCAGCGCCCCCATGTACGGCAGGTTGCCTCGAAACGTGTGGTACTGCGCGTCCGAGAGGTCGACTTTGCGGCCGGGTATCCAGCCGTCGGACAAGAAGCGCTCATACTTGTGGTATCTCGGATCCGATGCTAGGTCCGGTCAGCACATGACACTCCAATTTCGACTGGGCCAAGGGGCACCCACGCCGGGAGACGGTATACGGGATCCAGAACATGGTCGGCACCGCCAGCAGAAAGACCACATAGTAGAGGTAAAACTCGGGAGTGTGCCATTTCGGCGGCTGCGCACGCGCCTGCGCCTTGGCTGCCGCCTCTCTGCTGGCTGCGGGATCGCTACGCGCGTCAATGACGCTCTGGTAGGGAACGGACGAGGACGAGGTGAAGCGAGTGTCGAGGGTGTCGAGGTCGTAGACCTTGCCGAGGAGCGACAGCGCGCCCATGGCTGGTGATTGAAGCGAGCGGAATCCCGAGGTCGGGCTCAGGGCATCGTGGTACGCGCTCGGGGCAACGACGCGGTGGACAGGGTCGGTCGCGATTGGTAATGGACGAGATGTCGTTGCTGGAACGTGTCTTGTGAGGTCCGTCCTGCTGGTGGGGCCTCGGCGAATTGGACCCCTGAGCCGGGGAGGCGTCACATGGAGCCGCCAAATTCAGGTACCTGAGACCTACAGGGTAGGCCGGAGCAACGCGGTCGTTGCACCGGACATCCACGTACGAAGTATATGAGATGCTACAGTCGTACTTGATGCAAGTTCAAATGAAGACACGACGGTAGGAATGATCTCTTTCAGAGGCATGGTCAACCCTGTATAGTAACGAGGCCACGTTTAACGTCCCCAGCTTTGCTCCGTCCTCACTTCGCTTTGGAGAACCGGGGATCCTCGTCCACCTCGGACTGCAGAGCAGACTGGACCAATGTCCTCTTCGGGCAAAGGGAAAGCTGAAAATCTAGGGAAGCTCCTGGTAAATTGATATTAATCATCATGTGTCGGACATGCCGCACTTCAATGGTCGCTCGACCCCTCATGCCGCCTCAGTTGCAGTCCGAGGCCGGAGCGCTTCACAAATCATCCTCCGAGTACATTTACTTTGCAAGGTCTCGGAAGACCATCTTACGGTTGCCGAAGCAGCCCACACACTCTTGTTCGGTTCATTGACGTGACGTTGGGCGTCGTCGTCGCGGACCCAACAGCCCGTTCCAGCGGTCTCATGATTTCGCCAACATCGAGACTACAGCAATGGTAAGGTTACAGCACATACCTGCGTATAACACCGACGCACGGCATCCGAAGGGCTCTTGGAGGAAATGGCCGACTCCTAAAGCCGACCCGGGCGGCAAGCCTCGCACTCGCAACCGGCTGCGTCCTGCCAGGCAGACAGGGTGTGTCCCCAGCTGCCATCTTTCCAAGACGAACGCAGGGATAGACGGGCGTGACCAACAGGCGTCTCGCGTGCCAGGGTGTGTTTGGCCACAAAATCGGATTACGGGATCCAGGCGATGAACTTGTGACCTTGGCCGGGCACCGTGCTGACGTGGACATCCAGACAGGACGTGATCGAGCGCCCGGCATCCTGCGCCGTCGTACTATACTACGAATACCGTCGATTCAAGCCAGGGCACCTCACATTCGTTGAGCATTTGTCAAGTTGCGACAGTGCGCCATTGTTTGACGGTAATTGTGTCGGGTTGTTGTCGAGAACAAGTCTCAGACATCGGCATCAACCGAGCGCCCCAGCCGGTACGGGCGGGCTGCAACGGGGCATTGTGAACTCGCCCAGGTTCACGGACGTGCGGGCGAACTGCTCGACGGTGGAGCGCATGCAAGGCTAGCCGGCGATAGGCCTTTGAAGCATCGTGCGGCGGCAGCGCAGCCGAAAAGTCCCCAGGAGACTTTGTTAGGGCCGATGCCAGACACACACAATGTCATGGCCATCTCGGCGATTCGCGTTCTCAAACACATCAAAGCGCGCCATCGCACGTAGCATGTGCAACTCATGCGGTGAGCGTCCAGTCGTTGGTCGTCCACCTGTCCGTGATTCGCGAGCGGCCTGACGGCCGACGAGACAAGATGAGGGAGTGTGATCGGGAGATGCGGTCGTTGGCGGCGCTGTCTCCGGTCGAAAACCGGCAGGCAAGGTCGCCCGGAGCACCAGGCAGACGGCCGGAGACAGCTCTACGCGCCTTGAAGGTACCGCCACCTCACTCTCCTGCGCGGCAACGGCAGGTGGTACCTGTACTTGGTGCAAACGTAACAGTCGCGTAACATGGGCGCTCCCGTGGCGCGGGTGACTTGGCTCACGAGTGGTGCCACCGCAGCCCGAAGCGGCTTCCACGGCCTTGGCTTGACATTGCTTTAGCCTCGGGCCTGGGTGGTACGGAGACGACGGGTATGCGCCCGTGAGAGCAGAGCCGCCTCCTGCGGCCGGCGAAGGGTGATGGAGATGGCCAACGTGCAGCTCACGGGGCACGGCCAAAGCAGGTGGAGGCTCGCATCGCTGGTCGGCGGTGCTAGTCTCCGCTGCGGCCATGTTTGCGCAATGGCGAGCGACGACGAGCGTCCAATGGGCCGCCGGCCGCAGCGATATCACCGGTCGACCGGCAGCGGCCGGGCAGAAGTACCCAGACGCCGGGGAGCGGGTCGTGGCGTAGTAGGCGAGGCAGTGTCTGAGGTGAGTCGTTGGGGATGCCACTTTCGAGGGCAGCATGTAATGGCAGAGGCGCGGCGGCGTCTGCGGGCCATCATCACGACGCAAGACGGGTGCATCTCGAGACGGTGCTGTTGCTGGATTCGGAGACGAGTAGTGGCCCTTGTCCGGCGATCAGCAACGTCGCACAACGGCGGGAGAAAATGGCAGGCGGTGGTTCGCCGGGCGGTGGTTTGTCGCGGCACGTGCAACGCCTGGCCCTTTGGTCACGCTTCATGCGGTGCATTTTATGGTGGGAAAGTGCGATGGCGGTCCTGCCTTGCTTGCGTGTGGTCGGGGGACTCGGGACTCAGAAGTCAGGACTCGGCACTCAGGAGTCAGCAGCACGCGCGAGCCCCAAACCCTCACCTCGACACAAACACGCCGGCGTCGCACTTTGACCAGCTCTGCTCGGCCGACAAGGCTCAACAATGCAAGTCACGATCTGCCTTCCCCAGGGCGACGAAACCGGCAGTGTCAGTCCGAGTTCGTACGACAGATACCCACCAAGGTCCGAGCGAGGGTTGCACTGCGGTGGCACCCAGGCCCTGCGTAAACGGGCCACTGACGATGGAACGGGCAGGCAACTTTTCCCGAGAATGCTTCCTAGGGGTTCGATCGCCCGTCACCAACCCAATGCCAGTGTGCAAGACGCAGGCAAGGATGGCTGGCATGGCAGATCTGCCGCAATCTGATCGCGCCGCGGTGGGGAGATGCAGCTCGTCGGCCTCGCACACCAGGGGCCAGCGGAGGTGCTCGTTGGTCGGCGGCCAGGCCGTCCGCAAACACCACCAGCGTCCGCCGTTGGACAAGGGGACCCCTTCCCGATGCCAATTCGACTTGTCTTGAACCGGCTCTTGGACTCGACCGGCTCTTGGGGCGTGGCGGCCCAGGACACGGGCAGGACTCAGGAGTTAGGAGTCGATCGCCGCACACACAAGTCGTCGAAAAGCGGGGGATTGGTGCGCGGGACTGGCGAGGCACGCATCGGCGGACGAGCTTGGGGGCCGTGGTCCCCATGGTCCCCTTGCAATCCAATCCACCTTGGCCCTGGACGGACGGAGGTGGCGCTTGGCCGGCGGATGGATCTGATGGCGGCGTCGCTGCTCCCGCCCGTCCCCATCCGCCATCGTCATGCCGCCCAGGCCAGCCCTTCCCCCAGGCCGGACGTAGCCCAGTCAGCCCACCCGCCCAGAGACCCCCATCACGATGGCATTCTTCGCCAACTATCGACGAGCCACACAGCCAACATGCAGACGAGCAATCCGCGCCCAGCCAACACGTTTGCTTCTCGGCTTGCCTCACCTATGGGCGAACCGGCGTCCCGGTAGCCGCAATGGCACGCCGGCGACCAACGCAACCGGACAGAGCCTTTTGCCTATGGCCGATCCGCAGATTATCACCGACACGGCGCTGGGCCCAATCACGGGGCAGCGGCCGACGGCGATAATGCCCGCCCGCCGCCCGCCTGGCTGGCCTCCGCGCCGATGCCCTTCCCCAACGGCGTTTTGTCCAGCCCGCACCGATAGACCGACCCGGGCGCCGCGCAGCGCAGCCCAGCGACGCAAACGAACGAACGCCTGCCCACCCCCGGTGCCTCTCCTGTTTCGCGACCGGCCCCTCGATTCGCCAGGGCTCTGTGCTGGTGCTGCTTTGCCTGTCTGGACGCCTGTGTGCCTATTTGCCTGCCTGCCTGTCTGCCGTCGGCTACCCGCCCACGATTCATCTCCCCTCTCCTGCTGCCACAAAGCCTTCGTCCCCGGCAGCGAACCAGGCCAGGCCAACGTTTCTACCCGGAGCCCATCATCAGCCATCAGGGGATGAGCGCCCCGCCGGCCCAGAGAGCCGCGCGAGCCCCAACGCGACGTGCCACACAGCGCTCGAGGCCGTCGATTCGGCCGCACTTCCGTCTCTGCAGGCGTGCGCTCCCGACCTTGACGCTACCTTGCCCGCCCGGTCTGCCCATGGCTCTGGGCTAGACACATCCAGGAGGTCGGTCGGCCCCCTCTGCCGGGGCGATCTTGTCATTCCCTACACCTCTCCACCGGGGCTCCGCAATGGCCTGGCGGCTTTGATGTGCCGCGTGCGAGACGAGGGCGTCGCACCCGATACATATACACGGCTCGGCCGCTCTGTGACAATCTCGCTGTTTCTCTCACACTCCCCCGTGTCTCCCGCCCTGCATGCTTCCGTGTCCGCTCCGGAGCCGTGCTCTGCGCCTGGACGCTTTATAAAATCATCGTCCTGCTCCTCACCTGCGCGCTCCGGGCTTTGCCTTTTTTTGCATGTGCTGCTGATCCCAAGCACACTCGAAGTCTGCCATTCCTCCTGTCGACCGGGCGCGCCCAGCTTCCTCGGCACCCCTTGGCAGCCCAACGCGACCGGTTAACCGCGAAACAACCCCCCTCGGGCCCCTGGTGTGGCCAGCACCCTCACTCTCTCCTCAGTGAACCATCGCCGGACATTGTTGCTGCTGTAAGTCACTCTGCCGTTCTTACTAGTCCCGTCTGCCTGCACACACGACCGCCTCTCGTGTCGACGCGCCCGAGGCATGTCATGCGCACGTCCTCCCCACACGGCACCCAATGTCTCTCCTCGACCACCCTCTTGACGCCGAGGCATGAGTGGCTGGAGGCCCGGAGCGGTGTCGTGACCGGCATGCCAGATGCCTGTACACGTCCGTCTCTTGCCTCTGCCTCTTTGCGTGCGACATCAGCACCATCGCGTCCCCCTTTCCGTCCTTTGTGCCCTTCTGTTTGTAATCCTGTTTGCACATCTCTGACACTGTTTAGATGGGTATGAGACTCGCCAACAGCCAGCGCCGTTGAATCTAACCACTCCACAGCCAGCAGACAGGAGCCGAGCTACGACGGCATGGACGCCAGCAACGATCCTCGCGCCGCTGACAGGGTGCCCGTGAGCATGGAGGCTGGTCCCTCCCGATGCCACATGGAATCCTCTTTCCTCAACATACTTCACTCTACTGGTTTCGCCGAGTGGGCAGCGCGTGCCGAAGCCCAGAATCAGCAACTAGGCGTGACCACGCCCGCATGGCCGGCCGACCGCGAGACGGGCACCTCATCGTCATCCGACGGCAAAAGCCGCAAGTCGTCGGCATCATCTCGGTCGAGCAACAAGTCGTCCTCCGCAAAGAAGGGACCCCGGTCGCGAAAGCCCAAGGACGGAGAGGGCAAGGGCAAGTCGCGGGCCAGCCGAAGCAAGAGGACAGAGGAGAGCGTCGAGGAAGACGAAGAGATGGACGCCGAGGCCTACGAACGGGAGAATTTTGTGCCTCACTACTCCAACTACAACACCATGGATGCGGAGCTCAACATCCTCAAGCGGCACCTCATGCAGCGGGGAGGATTCTCATGATATACCCGAGCACGCGACAGCACGGCCTCACCACTCGGCACGGCGCCTCAAGACAGGACCCTCCCCATTCATGTCTTTAAGGGAGGACAGAGCACACCGGCGTTTGGCGCCGCCCACCTGGACCAGCGAATCTTTCTGGAAGGGACTCATTGGCATCAGATCCAGTAGCATGAGGATATCCCGGACGGGTGACCATGTTATGACTAATGAACACAATAATCACACCAAGTTGAATACACAGCGGCAGCGGGACGTCTGCCGTATACAATAATCTGAGTCGTCGGCCGACACCTGATGTAGTCGCGAATCTGTGTGAACCAGTGCAGGTCATTGTGACGTGCCCATGACAACGAAAGTGATGGTCCGTCGACGAAGCCTGCGTGTGAAGAAGGGTGTGTAGACTTCAACTACTCGCCAATCCACCACCACCATCACTCACCGCCAACAACATCAATGGCCCGCATCCCGGTCGGCAAGTTGCCCGACGGACACCCACATCGGCCGCACATCGGCATACCTTCGCGGCCGCAACGACGGGCGATCGCCTGCCGGCCGGCACGGGGAACCCAAGGGGTGGGCGGGCAGTCGCCACAAGCGGGCTCTCCGTTTTGTGGGCGCGGGCGGGTGCCGCTGGAGTCGTGATCGACGGCGAGCCGGCCGGCGCGCGGCGGGCAAGCAGCCCAGCCATGCGGTGCGAAAAAAAAGCGCCGCCTTGAGAGCGCATCTAAGCACGCCTTCACCGCAATGCACAAGCTTCATACGTCCGATTTTCTATCATAAAAAGAGACGATTTTGAAGATTGAGAATTGGGCTATCGTCTGCTATCAATTTTTCTCGACTCAAATAGGTGCTAGGCCCATGTTTTGACGGTCTCGCAGAGGAGCCTTACCTTGCGTTCTGGTGTAAAGGCGGCGATTATTTTTCGCCCCGCATGCCAGCTAAGTAGGTGGACAGCCCACACAGCTCAAAGGGACAAACAAGGGCAGGAGTTTGCCGGTGTGCGTTTGGGAGGAGAGAGCAGCACGCAGGGCGGACGAATGAGGGGCTGTGCTGTGCAGGCGATGGCAGGCTGTAAGTAAGTCCCAATGACTTGCATAAGCGGCCCGGCCAGAGAGGCAAATCGCCACAACCGCACTTGGTTGCGGCAGCAGATCTGTCACCCGGGTGCGCCTCCGACGTCGATGATTACACACAGAGGCGCACACAAACAAGCCATCGAACCGGCGCAGGAATCAACGAACTTCCAAAAAAAAAAGGCAGCGTTGAGAAATTGCAAAAATTCTACTTCATACTAAGTGGGTGTTGCACCGAGCAGCAGCTCTAGGGACGGAGATACCAAAAGCAGAGATGCAGGGCGAGCGACGACGGTTAACACGAACCAACCCAGTAAGTACTAGGTAGGCTGACAGTTGGTTGTACGTAGTACAAGTACCCAGGAAAAAGGCAAAAAAAGGCAAAAAGAAAATCTCCAGGGCGTGAATCGAACACGCGACATTCCGGTTAAACTGAGGCAAATTACAGCCGGACGCCATGAACCAACTAGACCACCCGGAGATTGGGCGGTTGGTGGGACTGAATCCCTGCCAACTGTTGGCAACGGGCTCGTTAATTACTGCTATACGGGGCTAGCATTTTGTGAACCCAAACTTCAACGTTTCGCTGTGCCGACGACACACCCTATAGAGCTGACTGCATCTGCCTTGAAGGTCTCAGCTCAGGCACTGAACATCGCTCAAATTCGTATTCATGTACGTGGCAGTAGTCATGCTATTCCTGGCGATCGAAGGCAGGACTAATTTCATGTCATGGGAGTTGGTTAATCTAGTAGTCCGTCGACCCGTCCTTGCCAGCTTCAGTTCCACAACTTCGTAATGCTCGTCAAACCGTCGTCACGCCCTCGGCGCAGCCTAATAACGCTCCAACTCTCAGACCGCCAACGACGTATACAAAGTCACAGCGGGGGACGATAATCGACTTCACGACGTCAAGTGCACGGCACTGTCTCTGCTCATCTGTAAGTCAGACACATCTTATGTATAGTACCCAAGATGCTACAGGCCTCGTGGCACGACCCTGACATTCGTGGGCGGCTCATCCGGCGTCATCCAACGCCGCTTCAAGCAAGAAAAGATGAGCTCCAGGCGTGCGCCGGCCCAGGTATCGCGTATCATGCCCAATCGCCGGCATACTAGAATGTCCCGCACAAAGCAACGCTAAAACGCCAGACACCACCCAAATCATTTCCCGCGCCCGCAACTCCGTCGCTGGTAGTCCATATGTCACATAATCCCCATCCGCTGGCCAACCGGCGACATTTATACATGCTATGCTCTTTAGGGGTATATCGGCTTGCCTCGCCTAGTAGCTGAAATCAACATTCGCCATGGTCGGTGTCGACTTGTTCTGGTTGGTCTGGGGCGTCACGTTCTCGTTGTCGTGGTGTATGGTGATGGTCGACGAGTTGGAGTCGCCGAGCGTGGTCTCGGCCGTCGAGTGCGACGACGTGGCCTGGAGCTCGTGCTCGGGCGGCGGCACCGCACTCGGCGACCACCCATCGTGGAGCATCTGCTGGAAGCTCCAGCTCGGCTCAAAGGCTTTGCTGTTCCAGGCGTGGTTCACCCGCTCGTACATCTCGTCGATTTGCTCCAGGCTGATCTTGCTCGTCTCGTACACCATGCACCAGACGAAGAAGACGGCAATGATGCAGAACGCGCCCCAGATGAAGAACACCTTGGGCCCGAAGCTGGCGCTGCCGTCCCCCTTGCCGACCATGAACGGCGTGCTGTAGGCGATTCCAAAGTTGAGGACCCAGTTGGAGGCGGTCGAAAGAGACATGGCCTTGGCTCGGACCTTTAGGGGGTAGATTTCGGACGTGACGACCCACGCGACGGGGCCCCAGGATGCGGCGAAGAAGAAAATGTTGAGAGAGCAGAACACGACCAGGATCGTCTGCGACACGTACCGCAGGTCCTGGCCGGCTGCGGTCGTGAAGCTCGCCATGAGCAGCTGGCATGTCGCCATGCCCACGGCCCCGATCATGAGCAGGCGTCGCCGGCCCCAGGATTCGATGATCAAAAGGCCCGGGAACGTGGACACGACGTTGATAACGTTGATAATGAGCGACTTCGTATACGGACTCGACACACCGACGCCGCCAAAGAAGGTGGTGCTGTAGTACATGATGAAGTTGATGCCCGTAAGCTGCTGCAGCATCTGCAGGCCGCAGCCGGTAAAGGTGCGCCGGCCAAGGTGTGGCGTGCCGACAAACACGTCCTTGTACGTGTCGGGACCGAGGGTGAGCTCGTACTGGTGGTTGGCGATGATTTCCTGCAGCTCCTCTATGAGGGCAGGGTGGGTGATATCGAGGCGCCGCAGGCGGCTGAGTGACAGTCCTGCGGCCTCCTTACGGCCCTTTTTGACCAGAAAGCGAGGCGTCTCGGGAAGGACAAGGAGACCCGCAGTCAGGATGAGCGCCGGCACCAGCTGGAGGCCTAGGGGGATGCGGTACGCGGACGAGTTGGTGAGGTTGGACGTGATGATGTTGATGACTGATGCGGCGAGGAGGCCTATCGTTATGGACAGCTGGTACGCGCAAACGAGGGTACCACGTATCCATTTGGGGGCCATTTCGGATTGATAGAGAGGGACCAGGACGGAGATGGCGCCAACACCAACGCCAGCGAGTGCCCTGTTGGACGTTAGCAAGGGGATTCATCAAGGAGAGCGGCCAGGAACAGAGGGAGCGTACCTCCCAACGAGGAGTAGCGGCACGGCATCGGCGCAGACCTGGCAGATGGCCCCGATGCAAAAGACGCCGACGGACAGGAGGAGGGTTATGCGTCGTCCGAGAGAGTCGCCAGCCGGGGCCGCGAGAAGGGCGCCGACAACGGTGCCGGCGCTTAGAATGGCGACGATGATGGACAGATCCTTGGGACAGATTTCCGGTTCCGCTGGCGAACCGCAGTTGGTCGCGAACTGCTTCTTGAATGCCATCATGGCGAGGATCCCGTTGATGGCGCTGGTCCGCGTTAGCGTGTGTCTCGTGATGCTGGTGAGGCAGCATGCAGTCCCGACATGCCCATCCCGCACCGTGAGCCCCTCTTCGCGCAGCAATTCCCAAACACGCCCAGACCATATCCCGCCGTCCACGTTGCAAAAGGGGACAAGAGCCAACTTACCCAGTGTCGTATCCGAAGAGCAAACCACCGGATGCCACAAAGAGACCGACCATGATGGCCGGCGCCGACGAGCCTGCGACATTGTCGGGCTTATGCCAGCCCATGGCAATCGCCATGGTGCGCGGTGGGACGTCAGTCCACGGTAACGGATGGTGGCAACGTTCGCTCGACTCGTCGCTCGCGGTGCGTCGATGTGCGTGGGAGACTCTGGTCTTGGTCTCCTCTCAATCGTAGCGGCTTCGGGATCGAATGCCCCCTCGAGGGCGTCGGCGAGGACCTCACTCTGGGCGGACCATGCGCGGTATCGCAGTGGGCGGACGGCGCATGTGGCAGTTCGGGTTTTCGGCTGAAGGGTCCCTCGACGGCGAGGAGGAGGAGGAGAGGGAGGAAGGACAGAGGAGACGGGCGGAAACAGGCGTGGTGGTGTTGTCGAGGATTGGTGGACGAGGGACGAACCGGTCCCGTGCAGGTTGAGGACGAGGGTGAGCGAGGGTCGAGGCGGGAGGGCGAAGAGGGAAGGGAAAAACTGGGGAGGAGGCCCGCCGCTGTCCGTCAGGGAGGATGGCATGGCTGAGGCCAGCAGGATCCAGGCCACAGACGAGCCGAGGGGTGCGCTGATTGGGCGGGTGCCGACGCCAGCAGCGCCGCGGCGGGCTGGGCTGCCTGGGGGCCTGCTGGGCGGGCTTCCACGTTAGGTGCTGGGCTGGCCGGGCTTGCAGTGGGCGGCGGGCGCATGGGCGCTGTGGTGGCTGCTGAGGGCGCTGGAAGTCGCACACACTGCGCACACTGTAGCGGCCATTGGGCGCTGGCCTGGCCCGTGGGCTGCAGTGCGGGCGGCGGGCTCCACCACCCTTTGTCCCGCGCCATGCCGCCTTGGGCGTAGGCGCCTCGCCGCTCAGGAATGGCATTCTCTCGCTCTGTCATTCTCCCCCATCTTTTCCGCGCTCTCACACTCCACTCCGCCCGCGTCCTTGGCCCTCGACACCCGCACCCGCACCCTCCACCGTCGCTCACCCTGACCTGACGCTGCAGGCCCCCGGCCTGGGTCACACACACTCGCGCTGTGGCTGGCCGGCCCTCCGCCTCCGCGCTCGCTCCCCCGGGCCATCGCCCGCCTCTGACAGGGCCGCATGAGGGATCCTGTGCTGTTGGGACCACGGTGCGAGCGCCGTCTTGCTCTCGTCAGTCACCACCAACACACGCACGGCGGTGGCGGCGACCGACCACGACGACGACGGGGCCCCTGGACGCTTGGCCAGGTTTTTCTGCAGCACGCTGGCCCGGCATCGCTGCGAGCATGTTGCTATTTGAACATCCTCGCTGCCGCAGGCTCTGCCTCCCTGTTCCGCGCAGGTGAGCGACAAGGGAGCGGCCCGCTGGACCAACTGCACTGCGGCGTGGAAGCCGGAGTCTCGCCTTTGGGGCCCCCCTTCGACGGCTGTCTCTGATCTGTCTCACGTATGAATTCAAACGACTCGAGGGACCCTTGGAAAACCGCAACCTCAACCTCATGGCGGTCGCCGGCCCGCTCGGGCACCCCCCCATGGAGCTTCCCCAGATTTGGAACGCCCTCCCAAGATTCCATGCTTCAGTTGGCCACGACGCCGACGCCGGCTTTGGGCCCAGCAGCGAGCACTACCGCGCCACGACCGACCAACAACGGGCAGCGTAGCCCTCAATGTCATGCACCACCGCGGGTCAAGGTGACGGCCAGATCGGGCTGCTCATGCACGTCGCCGCGCCCAGAAGACGCTTGTGATGAACGACCGAGCAATAAGTCACCGTGTCGGGCGCACCGTGCTCAGCTTTGGCCGCCGCCACCGCCCCTTGCACGGCAAACACCACACCGTGTGCCTGTCGAGGCCCGCATCCGACTTCTGACAAGTTACAGACTGGCGAAGCGTCGTGCAGCGGCACGCCCGAGTGGTGCTTGGTACCTAGCCGTGCCGTCGTGGCCGTGCCATCCATTGCCGACAGATGACTGCCACGGCTCGAGACTCCCTCTTGCTGACTGAGCCAGGTCGCAACCAACAGCGTCGGGCTCGTCAGCGGCCACGGGGCAGGCAGGGCTCGGGCCCGAAGACTCATCGCCAGCGGCGAGGCGAGCTGCACTGACGTGTCGTGTCGAGCTGTGGGGGATTTCACTGCCCGCGATCGCTTGGCTCGCACATCACGCGTACGTGGTACAGGCCCGGGCAGGCCGACGGACGGCGCAAATGCAGTGCCACCGCAAGCCAGCGACAGCGCCGCTGCTGTCGTCTCTCGCCGTCATCCCTCACCGCAAGTATGGAGCACGAAGCGTCGGGCTGTGCGTGTGCAGGCGTACGAATGCCCATCGATCGCGAGGCTTCATGGACCCTGATCGCCATCCGCACTCTGGCACCACCACAGGGGACAAAGCTTGACAACCAACCTGGAACGTACCTAAATCTGCCACCAGGCAGACGGGCACTGTGCTGGTAACCGGCTCTCAGCAACGGCCCCTGTTGGCACGCACACAGTCCCCGTTGACACCAATCCGCGCTGTGTGTCTCGTAGGGGGCAGCAACAGCGCCGCGGACGTGGTTCGACAGCCGGTGGCTTTAGGGCCATTCTTAGCCTGGCCGGCTCGCGATGCGATGCGGGGAGCGAGACAACGGGGCGGTACGTACCGGAGCGTGCGCGCCAGACCCAATGGCCTCAGCAGCTCACACCACCCACTCGCTGCAGTCGACCTGCCTCGACGGAGGAGGCTGCTGCAGTCCCTTGGATGCTGGCCAGTCCGGGCGCGGCGGGCTGACAGACTGTTCGGCGTCACTCGGCTTCTCATCAGACCACCCCCGGATTCGTGGCCGGGGTTCACGCACGCCGATTTGGATTACTCCACGGGCTCACGTAACGTGCGACGTTTGCCGGGACACTATCGATGAGCCACGCCGCCCCTAATCTCTGCCACTCAAATGAGAGCCCCAGTCCGGCTCCTTCTGGGGGAGTCGACGGTAATTGATCCTCGTGCGAGTCACTCTGGGATCTGGCCGCTCTCGTGGCTACTCGACTGCCACAAAGCATCACCAACCAATGTGTGCCTTGCTCGAAGCCAGCGTTTCGGGCCCGGCACCCTTCCATGCGTTCTCCCTGGCCCGTGGAGCCTACCATGTGTCGACTACTACCGGATGCTATGCAGCTCGCATGAGCAGGAGCGGACGCAATGCGGCGCCTGTGGCACGGGCAGGCTGGCACATTCTACGGCATTGAAAACGCCACCAACCTCGCGCACGTCGATATTGAAGTGCGACAACGGAGCAGACCGCCTTCCAGGCCGTTCTGGTCAATGGTCGTCGAGATCCGCCAGGCGCGTGCGTCGACCACGATGGCCGACGTCGACACCAACGTCAAGCCTGCCCAGCCGTGGCACTCGGCACCCCAAGCCCAGGGAGGGCAAGTCAACCTTTCTTTCAGAAGCCATGCTGCGTCTCGACCTGCGCGCGGCGTGATGCCACTCGTAATGCCAAGCTCACCACGTTCGAGCCAATCGCGTGGTCGGCCGGCCTTGGCTGCTCAGCATCGTGTCACCCCAAAGGCCGCCGTGCAACCGCCTCCGCAAAGCCAAGGAAGGCGATACGACGCGCGCAGCCATGCGACGACGTCACCGACGACCTGCGTGTGCGGTTGGTCGGTGTCCGGTATTGGGAGTACGTAGTACGGAGAGTACGGGAACGAGGTCTAAAGGGTCTCTCTCTCGTATCGTGAGCATGCAGCCGGGCGGCTCTTCCTCAAAGGGGCCATATCTTCCACGCCGTGATCGTCGCCGCATCACCACGTGCGAAGCACTGATGCATGCAGTCTCGCCGCCTGTCCGTCCGAAGCATATGTGCAGTGATGCCCCTGCCGTCAGTTCGTCGCGCGCATTGACCCAAGCCAAGACCAGCCGACGGTCCAGCCGTAGAATTCCTTTTGCCTTCGTTTGCCTGCCGAAGGGCTGAACCTTTTCCGGCACGTGCTTGGATATCTACGCGCCTCGATGCCTACAGAGTACACGTCTGATTTTCTCTCGCTCATCGTCTCTCGCTCGGGCCCGTCCCCATGCATGTCACACGGATAGTCTGCAGGCCACGACGCACCGCCCATCATGCCGCCCTGGCCGTGTCGTGCCTGCGTACGTACTCGTACTGCCTACGAAGCAGGTCTTTCTGCTTTGCCCTTGCCCTTGCCTTGAGCCCTCGCCTTGGCGGCGCCTTGGCCCTCCAGCCCTCCGCCACGCTCGCACGCCCATGCACCGCCATGGATGACTGTCCTGTGACTCCTGTCCCTGCTGCGGTCCATTCCCGTTCCCCCCTTTTCTACTACTAGCTACGCAGCTGCCCTCCTGCCTTGGGGAGCACCGCATGCGCGATTCCTGTCGGAGGATATGCACATACTACGTGCTCCGTGCCTGTGTACATACGAAGTGCAGTAGATAGGTTGGGGAACATGCGCATTGGCGACACGTGGGCGGTGAAACCGGACAGGGGGGCGGGCGGTCGGGACCTGATCGACCGTCCGTCACATCACATCACATCACCATGGACGACGAGATTCGGCGCACGGTGACGCTGCGTTCTTTTTCTCCCTTCTTGGTGGATGGACAGCCTGTAGACGAATGCATCGTAGGGGACACGCCCGTGCTCGCGGGCGGTCAACCACGCTGCACCGTGTACGGAGTATTGGTAGCAACGACTTGAGGTACCGTGGGTTCCGGCCGGCCGTGGCAGTGACAGTCAGACGGGCGACACGGAAGCAGCAGCAGCAGCGGTTCACTCGGTCGAGAGGGCGCATTGGTGGTCGTCGATACACGTTTCTCCGCATAACAGCTATCGATACATACATACAGATTGAAACAAGGCGAACAATAAAATGTCCACACAAATGGAATCAGCAAAATAGGAACCCTTCCAAATACGCCAGTGTGCTAGCCCAATGAGCCCTCGCAGGGTGTCTGTATCCAGCGCTAGCTAAGCGGTGGGGGTTGACCACGCGGCTGCCGTCGTCGCGGCGGAGGGGCATGTGCTGCCGTTCTTTTGTGTATATGCCATGACTGCGGATCCCGTCACTCGTCAAGTGTCCGCCCCCTTTTGCTTCTCGCGCAAGGGGGGGAGCGCGGGGGGGATGAGAGAGGTGGTGGTGGTAGGGAGGTGAGGTGAGGTAGCGTCAGACTGTAGAGACGTCCCTTACAGCTCGAGCGTCACCTCCTGGCCCTTGACGCGGCCAATGACCTGCTCGGGGGCGTACTTGGGGATGACCTCGTCGTCGTGCAGCATCTCAAACTCCTCGGTGGCGTCGCGGCCCATGAAGTTCATGATGGCGTTGGGGCCGCCGGGGTGCTCGTCGAGCCAGTTGCTGAGGTCCATGACGACGCCCTTGACCACGACCCACAGGTCGCCCTTCTTGTTGTGCTTGGCAACCTCCTCCATGGTGTACTCCTTGGCGGGCACCTCGAAGGCCTTGGGGCCGGCAGCCTTGGCGCCACCCTCGGCGGGGGCGGCGGCCGACGCGGGCTGCTGCTGGAGCAGCTGGCCGCCGTTGCCGGAGCCGGACGCGCTGGGGCCGGCGGCGCCGTTCCACTCGACGGTGACGCGGTTGGGGGCGGCGGGGTCCAGGTGCAGGGAGATCTGGCCGAGACGAGCGGCGGCAGCGGAGCCGGAGCCGGCGCCGGCGAGGGCCTTCTGGAAGAGGTAGTTGCTGGCGGTGTCACCGGCGACGCGGCCGTAGACGACGCAGCCCAGCAGGGAGGAGCCGCCGAGACGGTTGGCGCCGTGGACGCCACCGGCCAGCTCACCGCAGGCGAAGAGACCCTCGAAGGGCTTCTTGTCCTGGTTGAGGACCTGGGCCTGGTCGTTGATCTCGATGCCGCCCATGGTGAAGTGCAGGACGGGCTCCATGAGGGCGACGTGGAAGTCGTCGTTGATGTCGAGGGGCAGGTTGTGGAAGAAGCGCTTGCCCCAGGGGTCCTTCTGCTTGCCGTCGGCAATGGCGTTGTACGTCTTGAAGGTGCTCTGGAGGTGGTCGGGCGAGCAGCCAATCTCCTTGGCCAGCTCCTTGCCCGTCATCTTCTTCATCAGGCCGCGGCCAGAGTAGTGGCGGGTGTGGAAGTCGAGGACCTTGGAGGCCTTGGAGTTGAGGACGAGGCGGATGGGGAACTTGTTCTTGTCCTTCTCCTTCCACATCATGCCCGAGACGTAGTCGCGGTGGCCGAGCTCGTCGCAGAAGCGGTCGCCGTCGGCGTTGAGCAGGATGCCGCCCTCACCACGGAGGGCCTCGGCGGCGAGGAACTTCCACTTGTTGCCGGGGTCCTTGGGGTCGACGAGACCAGTGGGGTGGACCTGGACCTTGTCCATGTCGATGCCGTTGCCGCCGATGGCCATGACCATCTTCTGGCCGTCACCGGTGGCGTGGACGCCGTTGGTGGTGGCGAGGCCGAAGGTGTCGGGGCGGTGCTTCTTGAGCAGCGACGTCTCGCCAAAGTCGGCGGCGTAGCCACCGGTGGCGAGGATGACGGGGCCGTCGAGCTTGGCCTCCTGGCCGTTGTGCTCGTAGGTGACGCCGGTGACCAGGTTGCCCTCCTTGTTGAGGCTGGTGACGCGGGCCTTCTTGATGATCTCGACGCGGTGGGGCTCGGCCTCGGCCAGCTCCTCGAGGCGCTGCATCAGGGCGTAGGTGATGGCCATGCCGGGGAACTTGGCGTCGTGGCCACGGTGGGTTCGGGGCTGCGAGTGGCCGCCCAGGCGGGAGACGAGGGTGAGGTCGAGGTTGAAGACGTCCTGCAGCCACTCGACGGCGGCGGCCGACTTGTAGGTGAGCACCTTGATGAGGTCGGGGCGGGCCTTGTCGCGGGCCGACTTGAGCGTGTCATCGTAGAACTGCTTGACGCTGTCCTGGATGCCGTGCTCGACCTGCGTCCGCGTCAGGGCGCCGTTGATGCCGGACGTGGCCTTGGTCGAGTTGCCGCCGAAGAAGCCTGCCGAGCCGTCAGCTGCTAGTTTATTTCATGTGATTGCATCACTGCGAGTGCACTCACCCTGCTTGTCGAGGACGACGACGTTGCCGCCGGCCAGGTAGATGGTGTGAGCGGCGCTCAGGCCAGACACTGTTTCGGCTCAAATTAGCTTGTGATCCTTCCCCGCGAAGGGTACCCCCCTCGCCACCACGCCGCAAGCGTCGCCGGCCACCTCACCACCGACGTCGTCGCCGCCGCAGGGCATGCGACAGACGGGCGGGTGAGGTGGCGCGCCGCGCTCGCGGGATCGGGCCCAGGCAAGGCATAGATGGGCAGGGAGAGCAAACTTACGGCCGCCGCCGACAACAATCACTCTGGGAGCCATTGCGATGACGCTGTGTGAAGAGGATGAAGAGGAGGGCTGAGACGGTGAGGCTCGAGATGCGACTGCGTGCTCTATGGTATCGCTCACGCCGGACGACGATGCACAGAGAGGCAAAAGGCGAGAAAGACGGCGCGGGGGTATATTATAGGGGAGGAAGGGGAAAGATGACGAGAGGGAAGAGGAGGAGTGAGGAGCCGAGAAGTGAGAAGCCGGAGTTTTAAGAATAGGCTGGAGGAATGCTCGCGCCGAGGACGGGGAGCAGCCATGGAGCCCACCGAGGGCCAGACAGCCGAGGTCAAATGCATTGGCGGCCCCTCTGAAGGTTCGACTCGCTGAGCGCAGGGTGGACTGGCTGGTGGAGGGAGCACCGGCTTTGGGGCGCCCGCCATAGGCTGGGGCGACCCGGGCTGGGGCCCTGCGCGGCGACACTTGCCATGCCATCCATCCATCCCCTGGGGAGGGGCCCACCTGCCCGCTACGGAGCACGGAGAACAGGCCTGACCGGGGGGGCGGGCGCCTGCTGCTGAAGGTGCCCAGGCGCAACCTACGGGCACAGTTGCCACCAGTGGTGATGTCAGCCGCTCCACGCTGGAACCGATTGCCGACGCTGGCGGCGCTGCGTGGTCAGAAGGGTGTTGAGAAACGACACAATGCTCGGCCCGGAAATGCGCAAAATCGGGCAGCGCAATCGCAACAACGGTCTACTGTGCGGTCAATCCAATCAGTCATGGCAGCGTCATGGACGACCAGCAGGCCCGGCAGCGTGTCCGATCTGCTGCCTCCGCCGACAGACCGTCCTGTCGGCAATTCCGCGCCTCGCGCTGGCTATTGAGCGGCGCCGCCCCAGCACGAGGACGCTGTGGGGTCCCCCCCATCCACGCCGCACGGCGCTGCATCGCTGCTGGAGTAGCCGGGCGGCCACGGGCACCCCAGTTTGGCCGGCCGTCCTGCGCCGGACGACGACGAAGCGAGGAAGCAGCAGATTTAAAAGAGCGCGTTCGCGGGCTCGTGAATTTTCGAGCCGACTGCTGGCCAGCTACCCCTGTGCACCCTCTCCCCTACTGTCGCAATGCCCTTGTGGTAGACCCCACGGGGGCCACGGCACGCCCGCGACAATGCGCTCCAGCGGAGGCTGCTCGCCAGGACATGTACCGAGGCTGCGATGGAGTGCATCAACGTCTTGTCTGTCGTGTGCCCGAAAGTGCCGTCATTGTCCCCTGGGGGCCCTGGCCGATGTCGAACGGGCATATAACCGCACCGCATGACGGCTTCTTTTGCTGCCGACACACGGTGCAGGTGCAGTCGTTCCCTCCCTGTCGCCTCCCGCTTTCCCACATGCTTGAGGTTGGGGGCGCGCGTGCATGCGTGTGCGCCAGTGTCCCTGGGCCAACAGACGGAGGGTTCGGGCGCGACGCCTTGACATGTGAATGGATCCAACTGGCGGCGGCGTCCCCCAGCCCAGCCCAGCCCGGCGCTGCCCCAGGGCAGCAGCGCCTTGGGACACCCACGGGCGGGCAGGTACCCCAAATTCCGTACCCCACAGTCATCATCTGACCCCAAACGCCCGCGCCGGGCTCCCCAATCGCCGCCCGTTTTTGTGAGCGTCTTTGGCCCCGCGCCCATTGGCTGCGCCCTTTCGCCCCAGGTACCCTCGTGCGCTGCACTGCGCTGCGCTGCGAGTGTGCGCTTTCACATGTGACGCCCACGGCAGGGCCCGCGTGACGGGCTCCCGCAGACGGCGGCGGAGGTCTCGACGCATTGATGAGCACACATTAAAAAGGCTAGCCACTGCTAGTCATACGGAGCACTGTTACGGAGATGACTCGGTCGGTAGTAGCATCAAAACTTGGGGTCGTAATCCGGGGGCGATCCCGCACCTCCTCGGACCTTGGAGCATGTGTATGAGTAGTAGCCTCTGCCCTCGACTCCCCTCCCTGTCGCTGCAGAATCGCACGCCCTGCCTGAGAATCGTCTCGCGCGCCGACCTTCGGCCCCAACGTGCATGACCGTTTGTTGCGTTGGGCGCTTCAATAACCGACAGGCATCACAGCAACGCCTCTTGCCGCTGAACGGCTTCTGCGAGAACTCGGCGTTTGACCCGACGGTTGATTCCGGATTCCACCAACCACCGGCGTCGGCGGCGGCTTCTTTCGTTCCCAGAAAACGTGCGCCATTTCGGGCACTTGGCGATTCCTTGACTCAGCCAGGTCCCGTGACCAGTCACGTTACTGGCCCCATCGAGGCAGCTCCCGGCGGGACCTGCCCAACGCGGTATCCACCCGCATTGCTCGTCACCATCCCTGGTCGAGACCTCGAGACCTCGTGAGACACCCTGGCTCTTGGTGACGTCGGCTTGTCTCGAAACACCGTCTTGCATCAACGACTCGCAGGGCCACCCACCGCTCGAGGCTGCAGAACCTGCATCCGCATCGCGCCCCTCGTTCCACCACCGCTTGACGTCCATCGCCGTGCATTTTGTTTTCCCAACGCCCGGGGCCATGAGATTCCCGCGCTTCCTCCCCGTGCTCCTCGCCGCCGCCCTCCCCACCGCCTCCGCGCTGGCCAACCCCGCCGACCGGGCTCAGATTCCCATGATGCCGCCGCCGCCGCCGCAGTCGCCACCAACCGCCGACGACAAGGGCTCCTCCTCCGGCTCCGGCTCCGGAGGAGGCAGCGCGTCCTCGTCCGCCGTGCCCCTCGCCGACATCCTCGGCACCAACCGCGCCCTCACCTCCTTCTCGTCCTTTGCCCGCATGCACGCCTCCACGTCGTCCCTCCTCGCCGACCACTCCGCCAAAACCACGGTCCTCGCGCCCCTCAACTCTGCCATCGAGGCCCTCCCCCGGAAGCCCTGGGAGGATCCCCGCGACTACGATGCCCTGGGCGAGCAAGCCTACGACGGCTCCGGTGGCGAGTCCCGCGCCGACGCCAACCTTCGCCGCTTCGTCGAGGCGCATCTCGTCCGCGTGAGTCCCTGGCGCGAGGGCGAAAAGGCCCCGACCGTTGGCGGCCGCCTGATCTGGTGGGCCGACCAGAAGAGCGGCAAGAGGGTCATCCTGCCGGACGGCATCGAGGTGGAAAAGGTGGCGAGCACCGTCGCCAACGGCGAGGTGGTGAGTATTCGACTTGCCGCGCACGAGCACAGTGACTGACGTCCTCTCAGTGGACTCTCAAGGGCGTCCTGAACTACACCTGATTAACCGTGCGGGGGCGCATGTGGACGCCTCACAACCGGCGCTTGGACAAGTGTGTCTATTTTAGCTGGGCAAGTTGAACTTGCCAGCACGGACGTTTCGCAATATAGGCTGCGTACCAGAATAAATAGCGCGTTTCTCATCCTCGCCCGAGCAAAGACGCACTCCGTGTTGCCAACGAGACGTTGCACAGACTGCCCCTTAGCGCTATCCGCAGACTCTACGCGGGCGAACATTATAAAAGCCCAAGAGATGCCGTGTCTAAGCACACAGGGGCACTCCCTTTGTCTATAAACAAACGCATCGAGCTATTGTTACTATTCTTTATGCTAGAACCGCAAAGGTATAGCACTCGATCCCGCTCTTCATATAGAGTCGCTAACATATCTTAGATGCGCCCTCAACTTGCTCTAGCCGCTCTTCTCATCCCTACAGCCTCATGCGCGCGAGAAGTTGCTCGTGAAAACGAAAAGAGGGCACAAGACGGTGTGAAAAAAATTGACTGTCGACAGCATGAAGGAGGGTACTGTGGTTGGAAGTGGGCAAGTCCATATAGGGAGTCACTACTCACCGACATCATCAAGGATCTAAATGTCAACGCGACCTTTAAGGACGGACAAATTCTCGGCTGCAAGATGATGTCAGGTATGCAGCGTACCGGGTATTGTGCGAGGCTAGAAAAGTACAAGAAGAAGGAGATACCTGGCACGGAGGTTTTCAAGCTCGCAAAGGCTCTCAAAAAGCACTGTGGCGGGTGTGGAACTGCATGGTCAAATGACGATGGGCCGACTGGGGGAGGCGTCTGCCTCAACTTTTACGAAGGCAGCATCAAGCCATGCAAGGGGGGTCCGGGGATAAAAGGGTGCTATTGATGAAGCTGGGCTGGAGAGAGGGGGCAAGCTGCTGAGAACCGACGACGACTGGAATGTACCTAAATAGAGACGTAGCTATATACGCTGGCGCTCTAGTTCTGCCCTTGTTCTCCCGAAGGATCGCAAGCATGAAGAGGAGGGCCTATTACTCTACACGAATAGCATGTGTGATTCATGCCTTGATTTCCAGTGCAACATGCGAGGCGACTTTGCTTTCGTGTAAACATCTATTAGCTATCGTTTTCGTGGGTTTCTGTCACGCGTCACAATGCAGTTCGCAGCCTCGAGCACACGGCATGTCCTTGGAGCATTGCCGCTTCGCAGGCTCAGTACGTGTCACCTTAGCATACGGCAAATCTGCCTATGAGAGCGCAAATATCGTTCAAGCTTTTCCCTTCCGCGATTACATGTGAACATCTAGCCCGCCAAAATGACACCCAACGCCTCATTGTGCAACCTCATCAGCCCAGCCCCGATCCACTCGTCCGTCACACATGCAGCCCAGATGCGAACCAAAACAGACCCCGTACCATTTGCGTGCAACCAGGACAAAAACCATACCAGTCCGCCGTGAGAGTTGATGAAAACGGTGCGGATACGTCAGGCTTTTGCCCAGACGCCGCCCGCTACAGAGGACAACAGAATTGCGAGCCGGGTATATGACAACCGCCGCTTGTAAAAAAAGTGGCAAGGCGTGGGCCCGCCAAACAATGAAATGAAGCCGTCAACGAGACCATCGCCAGGATTAAAAGGGTATCGGCGCGATGGATCAGACTCATATCAAAACATGAACAAGTGCATGTGAGGTCAGTATTCGACCTTGACCCTCTTGGGTTCGTTCGGCACGCCGTGGCTCTCGCCGTGGGCACCGGCCCCGTAGTCGGGTGACTTGCGCTTCCCTGGACCGGGGGGCCCGCTGGTCGCCGTGGTGCTCGTCGCCGCCGCCGAGGTTGACGCTGCGTGGCCATTGCTGGAGGCTCCGTGGTCGTCCCTCAGGAAGCTCGGGCCCGAGCCCACCACTGGCGTCGCAAAGTTCAACGGGCTCGGCAAGGTGTTGCTGTCGCTGCCGCGAAAGTTCCAGTCCGGATAGAAGCTGCTAGGGCTTGGGAGAAGTTCGTTGTTGAGGAAACGCGACGGCAGTGCCGAGACGGGCGTTTCGCCGTTAACGCTCTGCTGCGGCGGCGGGCGAGCAAACGGATTTGGCGGTCCGGTAGCGCCCGCTGATAGTAGAGCTGAAGCCGACGGCGAAGGCGGAGGCAAGACGACTGAAGAGTGCGAGTTCTGACGCTGCGGCGCCTGCGTCGGTGTAATGGCCGGGTTGTGCGGCGAGTTGGACTCTGCCGTGGCGCTGCCGGGGTCGGACGCGCCATCCGGAATCTGCACGGTGAGTCGTGGGCCTCTAGGTCTCGTGCCGCCGACCGCACCGCTGACTTTGAGGCTGTTCGCCCTGGAAGGAGGCGTGAAGGCGTCCTCTGCGCTCGACGACACCGACGCATTCCGTGTCCTGTCCAGGCTGCTTTGCGTGCCCTCCCGCTTCGGAGGCGGCGACGACGTCAGCCCACTTCGCAGTCCAGAGGCCTCCACCGACTGTGATCTGTTTGTCGACAGCCCAGACCCGGCCTCCGACTTGATGGAATGCTCCATCTTGATGGCCTGTGGCTCGGAGGCAAAGGAGGCCAGGTGCTGAGACAGGATCGAGCGGTTCTCCTCGATGGGCGTGAAGATGCTGTGGGACTTGCGCTGGGGCAGCTTCTTGATAGCCGTGTCCACGGTCGTCCGCACCTGTAGCCGGTCAGAACGCTCCGTGTTGGGTTCGACGGGCGGCGGCGGCTGAGGCTCCTGGGGTCGGCGCTCCTGGGTAGGCTGCGGCGGCGGCGAGATGTGAGGCATCGGCGGATGGGGCACGTGTTGTGAGTGCTGTGGCTGCGGCGGCTCCGAGCGGGCGACGGGCACCGGCTGAGGGGGCTGCGCCGCGTAACCGGGGGGCATCGATCGCCGGTCGTCCACGTAGGCTTGCTGCTGGTGCTGATGCTGCTGCTGCTGAGGCGGATAGGGATACTGGTTGCCAGGCTGCGGCATCATGCCCTGCTGGTTCCCTCCCGCGTAGATGGGAGGAGCAGGCATGTAGGTGATGCCGGGATGCGGCCCATGCGGCTGCGGGCCGACGTGCGGAGGTTGAGGAACCATGCTGGGGGCCATCCGCCGTCCGTCGTTTCGCGAGTTGGGACGAGAACCCATCTGCGGCTGCGGCGTCGGGCCACGAGGATGGTGCGGGTGCGGGTGGTGGCCCTGGAACGGAACGCCGTTGGGGATGGGCGGAGACGCCGACGGCGTGTGGTGACGGAGGATCTGGGAGAACGGAGGCTGCTGGCCGTGGAACTGGGGAGGCATCATCTGAGGGTCGACCGCTTCAGGGCCGCGCGGGGGCGTGACATCACCCTCCTCGTCCTCTTCCTCGTCGTTGCCACCGTTAAAGTCAGACGGCCCCTTGTGCTCGTTGACGCCACCGTGCTGTGTCTATTAGCCTTGGTCAAGACGCAGTGACGCGGGGGGACACAAACCACTGTATATCTCCGGATGAGCTCGTTCATGTCTGTGGAGGAGTATTCGTAGAGCTTCTTGTTGTTCCCGAAAATGAAGACGGCGACGTCGACCGAACACAGAACGGAGAGCTCGTGTGCCTTTTTGAACAAGCCGCCCTTGCGCTTGAGGAAGGTCCTGCTCGATGTCAGCGGGGTTCGCAGTACGGTCTGAAGGGCGGGCAGCGGTCCTTACACTGAGCGGTTCCGGTCATCCTTGATGGCCTTGATCTCAATCTTTCTGCGCCCCATGGTTGCGGTTGCGCGACGAGGGTCGGGATGAGAGATGTAAGCAGGCGCGGCACGACGGCTACTCGACACCGGAGATCGAGGCGGGCGATCGGCGACGCTCAGCCGCAAGACCAAGTGCGTGACGACACTGGCGGCAGAGGGTCGGCGCCGTGGGCGTGGCTGGGGCGGCGTGGAAGCCGGCGTTGGCGAGATTCCTCAACTGCAGCGACGGCGGCCCTCGGGGTCGGCGCAGAGGGCACAAGCAACGGTCGGGAAGGCTGCGAATGGTGATCGACGAGTAGCAGCTGGGGATAATGCGCAGGCGTCGGTATAAGAATCGGGGTGGTGCAGTCGAATGGGTCGCGATTCCGACACACCAACGAGGCTCGCGGGCGTCGTGCTGTGCATGCGGCGACAAGGACGGGCCAGTAGACGGCCGCTCGGTTCCTGGCGCGCCGGAGCAGACGCAAGCTGGCAAGGGACGAGGAAACTGTGCGACGCCTGTGCCGGCGCAGATGTTTCGTGCAGATGGGGCGGGATCTGGCGTGGGAAGCTTCTAATAATAGGACCAGAGATCGTGTTCAGTCGGGACGGATGGGGATGCGATGGGATGGGATGGGATGGGGGATGGGGAGGGGAAAAAAGTATGGGAGAGGGCAGCGGCAGGAAGAAGGGCCAACTAACGGCGAGTGAGGTAAGGCAAGGCAAGGCAAGGCAGACGACGCGAGCGAGGTGGAGGATGGAACGCAGGCGAGGGGTGGGCTGGGCTGGGCGGGCAGCGCAAGATCTGTCTCTTATACACATCTAGATGTGTATAAGAGACAGGGGCAGGGCAGACGACGCGAGCGAGGTGGAGGATGGAACGCAGGCGAGGGGTGGGCTGGGCTGGGCTCTTATACACATCTAGATGTGTATAAGAGACAGGGGCAGCAACAACCACAGGCAGACGGGGCAGACAGAGCAGGGACGGGGAACGGCAGCAGCAGCACCACCACCACCACAGGGCAGACGGGGGGGCAGGCTGCAAAGTACCCGCTCGTAGCTCGTGGATGGGCGACAGGGACCCCTGCGCCCTTGGTAGGGTTTTCGAGGCGAGCCTTGGCCCGTCTCCGTCGCGGTGCTGCGGTCCGTGTGCCAGCGAGGAGGGTTCAAGGTTGCGTGGAGCTGACGGGAGGCGCTGCAGCAGAAACGGGCAGGGAGGGTTGGCGGCACCTCCAGGCCCACCTGTCGTCCGGCGGCGCACCGTCCGGGGCCCTTGAGTTGAGTCCCGACAGGTTCACCTCACCTCCCGTCAGGCTGGGCAACGCCCCCGGGCCCCCAGGTGGCCCCGCCAGAGGTGGCCTAACGGGGGCTACAGCTGCCCAAGGGTGGCCCAGGGAGGCGGTGCGAGTAGCCTCCGCTAGACGAGGTGCCCGGTAGCTGGCGCATTGCCCACCCACCACGGCCCGGGCACCACACCCCAGACCTCGCCTGGCCTCGGGCCCAGGTGCACCGTCTTCACCACACGCGACGCACCTGAGAAGCGGCACCAGACAGCACAGATGCCGCCGGTACTTGACCACCTCATGGAACATTCGGCCGCGAGCGCCAGGACTGAGGGCGTAGCGGAGCAGAAGCCATGCCGCCGGCCTGGGGCACGCGGTGGCTTGCGCCTGGCCCGAGTGCCCAACGTCCCCCATCCCTCGCCGGCTGTCTCGGTGGCGTCCCTGATGATACGCCGCGGGCGCTGACAATGCCAATTGTCAAGTCAAGTCCGCCCTCGCTCTGTCTCGCCCGGACAATTGCTGTTTCTCGCGCCCTGGGCACTAGACTCGGACGCCCTGCTCGCGGCGTCGCCGTCCGCGGCCAACTGCCATGCCATGCCATGGCAGCGCAGAGTTTTCTGTCCTTCATTCCATGCTTCCTTTCCGCGGCGTGGCTTGTCGAGGGCCGCCCGCGAGATTTGGTCAATGCAACAACACCAGCCTGCCGTCCATGCCACCTTCCGCGCGGACGCTCAAGCGTTGAGCACCAAGGGCATTAGAGCATCGTCTTAGATGAACTGCAGCCGCCGTACCTACCCAAACGGTACAAGCGGAAGGCTCGACTGGGCCTCGCTGCCCACATGCCAGCCAAGCCACCGCATCTCCGCAGGGCATTGAGCCACCGACAGCCCACGTCCCCATTCACACGCTGCGAAACGTGACGGGACCCATGGGAAACCATCCGGCCCCATTCATCGTTGTTCGTTGTCATTCCACTGCCCACCGCTGGTTTTCCGTGATTCATCACTCCATCGCTCCAGTCTTGTCTCTGTCGGAGTCGCCACCTGTTCGTCGCGTATGCACCGTGCAGTCGGTACCTGCCCGCACGTCGAACCCCTCCCACCGTCGTCTGTTCGTCTGCCGCCCCATCGGGCGGGTGCGTGGCCGCAGCACGCGAGAGCGTGCACGTCCTAGCTCCGGGTGAGGCTGTGTCGACACCGCCGACCGACCGGCGTGGTCGCCTGCGGCTGACTGATGCGAACTAGCATCGTGTTTGCCAGGGTTCCACGCGCGAGGGTGTGAATGCGACGTCGCGGCATTGGCTCTCCGACTCCCGCTTGGGGCTTGTTTGCCTCGCGCAGTCGCGCTCAGAGACATCACCGCAAGGTATGATGCACATTTCTCGCGGCCCTGGGGCTCGAGGGCTTCCGCGCTGTTTTGCTCAGCCCTACAGGAACGGACAATCAAACGCGAGCAAAAGCGTCGCCGGTGACAGCTCCGACCGGACTGGCGGACCGAACCCGAACGTCCAACAAGATTCTTTGTTCCGTGGCCCCGTGCAGTCAGGTCACCGCGCCCCTTGTTGGCGGGAACTGTCACGCTGAGCCATTCCCACACGCTTTGTTGACCAGACGGCCCGCGCCGCCGACTGCCCTCCGTGCCTGGCGTGGCCGCTCGACGCTCGACTCGACATTCGTCACGGCACGCCCACGGATGGCGGCGCCAGCCCGCCGAGACGCTCGTCGTCGAAGCCTATTTATTCCTGTTGCGTTGCGCATCGCATGTTTTCAAACCCTAGTCCACGTGGGATCTATTTCCAGCCACGGTGACAGCCAATCTGAGATCCACCGCAGCCCTGGCGCGATTCGCGCGTGGTGGCCGCAGAACAAGCGCCCGATGCTTGTGACCGACTGACGGCGGCGCGTTTAGGCTCTGCCCAGGGACATCATCAGTGGCTGAGCGGGGCAAGTTGGCCCTCGGCTCATCGCAGAATCGCCGCCTGGTCACTCGCATGTGCAGCATCTCTTTCGCCTCGAGAGCAGGGCGCGGCGGTCTGTCTTGTCCGCGCCGTGGGGCTGGCGATGGCGTCGCGAGCCTCGAGGCATGCTGGTCCCTGACGGCGCACCACAGCGCAGCCAAGAGCGAGGCTTGCCTGCCATGCCTGCCTCGAAACCGCAAACACCAAACGGCCCAAACAAAACCATGCTGCACAACGACAAGCTTCCATCTCACAGCTCGCGGACCCTTGCCCCCTTGCGCTGCCCCGAGTGGCTCCCGTCCGCCCCTCCCACTTCTAAAAATACCTCGTCCCACGTCATCCAGGGTCGGCCCTCCCCACCCGCCGCCTCTTCCTTGCATGGCGGCGTCTCAGCGGCACCGGCAGCTGGCGAATGGCCGACGTCAACGCATCGAACGGTTGCGTGGACCACGGACGCGTGCTTTCGCGGGCCCGCGAACCCGCGTGCTCACGGGGCCTCGGCCGGTTGCCGTTGCTCACCTCCGCCCTCCCGTTTGGGATAGAGAGACTTGACCTGACCAATGAGCTTGGACTGAGGCCGGTCTGGTGTTGGATGCTCTCCTCTGCACACGTTCTGGGGCGCCTGTGGCTGTGCACGCGTCGTCTGCGATGCCGATGGAGATGTGACGGCGACTGTTTTCAACCGTTTCGCCAAGGCCTTGCCAGAAGACCGGGCGGCAGCTTGGCGCGACAAGCCGCGAGTCGTCACGATCAACGGCTCGCGTGAGACGTCTTCTACTGCCAAACTTGACCATGTGCCAGAAGGTTTGAGAGCAGGAAACTAGGGCCGACTAGACCGTGCTGTGCGTGCTTTCCGCTGTTTGATGTGTGTACCCTCTCCGTGGCGGCGGGCCGGCCCTTGGACGTGCGTCACCTTCTGCCGCTGTCCCGCTGGCATCTTGGAATTCTCGAACCCAGGCAGAAGGACGTTTCGCTTATCTCGGCACCTACACAGACCCTTCCGTCTATCAAAGAGGATTCGATAAATCATCAGCGGGACGCCCCCCTGCTGGGCGGCTTCCGCAAATAAATCGTGTTCGAGTCGGGCCCTTCGGTTGCAAAACGAACGCTGGCGTTCGGACCACCGACCCAGCAACCTGGTTCTGTGTGATACGTTGATCGAGTCGGTCCCGGGTTACGCGGTCTGCATGTCATGCCTGCGTCGTGGTCAGTGCAAAGGTTGACGCTGCGATCCTATTACGAGATGCGAGGAGAGGGAACGCCGGCTCAGACACCCGGTCAACGTCGAGGCCGCGTGGCGCCAATTGTGCCGAGCCGAGACCGAAGGCAGCTCATGACTGCCATGCGCATGCAGGGTGACTCGAGGGACGGGAGTTTCCGCATGCCAAGCGAGGCTTCATTGAAGAGGTGCGCACGCTGGACCATGCGTGTCTTGACGCGGCCACTCTTACATAACTGCACGTAGGAGCGCATCCCAGTCCCTGAACGCGCAAGAGACTTGTCTGATATGCCCAGTCACAGCTATGAGAGTGAGGCGTGATAGGACTTGAGCCTGCCCCCTTTGTTATGAATCGTGCCTTATCTGTGTCTATATAGGGAAGCGCTAATTCTCAAGCACGCCCAGAGAAGGGCAATGATGCGTCCCGTGGAAACTGTGCTTCCAATACGCCAAGAATTGATACCAGACTAGGCTGGGCCTAGACAACAGCCCCTATCTGCAGGAGGGATCGTTTGACGTTGCCCGCGGGCTTGGCCATGTCGCCTCTCCCGCGGGACATTGGTGTCGGGCGTTGCTGAATACGATGTGAGAGAAATCTAGTCATTTCGGGCCAGGGAAATCAAGTAATTGAATGTCTCAACAACTTCCTGAACGGAGTGATTACCGCAGATGGAACTGTCTAGCATGCCGACTAGTTGGCGTACCGGCTCCAAGAACGCAGCCTCTTGCCATACTACAGCCGTTAGATCAGAATTACATCACGGACAGCGTCACTTACACGTTCCAGAACAAACGGCAGAGGGACAAGCACGAGGGAAATGAACCCGAGCGTAGTCGACGCCCAGCCGATGCCCAGGCTCTGCAGCATGCGTGGCGCAGCGAGCGGGAGTGCACCCCCAAACGAGCTGCGGAAGAAGGTGTTGCCCGCAAAGACACTCGCGACATGCCGTGGGTACGACTCGCCGAGGTAGTTGAGGATGGACTGAAACGTCAGATAGAAGCCTGGCGCGAAGAAGCCGGTGCCGATGATGGGCACGATCCAGTGGATGCTGGCCACGCACGGTTAGCCAAGTCTGTGGTGGCTGTGGGATAGGCGTGTTACCTTTCGCGCGAGGTCCACGCAAAGATGAACAGACAGATTGGTATGCAGACCGCGCCGACTTGCCCGGGGCGGAGGCGGTCCTCGGGTTGTACGTCCACGTCGGGGTCTGCTAGCCGGGGCTGGTAGATGAAGTAGAGCCACGCGAGGTACATTGCCACCGAAAGAATGGCTCCAACGAGGATACCGAAAAAGGCCACTGAATGGTCAGAGATGTAACAGAATCAAGAGACATGGTAACTCACGTGCTTGTTGAGTGGCGTCAAACCCGTAGATGCCTCCGAACACTGCATCATGTCAGGAGTGTACTTGCTCACGGCGAATGACAATGGGCGTACCGAATGGGAAAAACTCGAACCACAGGTACAGCACGCCATAGATGAGCATGGTGTGTATGTTGACGAAGAGTATGACGGGATCCATGCACGACAGCTTAAAGTCCTCGACAGTCTGACGAGCGACCTCGGCGAGGAAGTTTGAACCAGCATGCTCCGCCTCGTGTTCCCCGTCACGGCGCAACCGGCGCCGTACTATGTTGGACATGAGCGTCTCGGGAAGGAACAGAAACACAAAAAGCGTCGTAAAGGCGGTGATGCCCGCGAGGACCCAAAGCGTCGCTGTCCACGTCTGCCAGCGGTTTCTAATCTCGTCAGCTCAGCACATCCGAGGTTGGAGGGTCACATACACGACCAGAGTACCGATAATCTGGAGAGGTTAGCCGCGACGCATTGGAAATGGCCTGGGTACTCACCGGTCCCAGTATCGGACCGCACACGCCGCTGACGGCGTAGAATGCTATAGCATAAGGGACTTGGCTTGGGCCGTAGATCTCCATAAGAGTTGCGCCGCCCACGCTGATGGGAGCGCTCCCGACAAGACCGCCCAGGAATCGGAGCCCCAGGATTGTTGGCACGTTGCGAGACAGTGCTGTGCCGATGTTGACGAGGCAAAAGGCCAACGACCCGAGCACGTACACGGGCGAGCGCCCAATCGACGGGAGGTTGGACAACGGAGACAGCTGAAATGAAATATGAGTTGTTGGTTCCATCGACAGGCTGCATTGACTTACAACCAATGGGCCGATTCCGTAGGCAATCACGAACAGCGACAACCCGAGGGTGCCCTGGCTCGTTGTTGCCCCGAACTTGTCCTCTATCAAGGGGATGCTCGGGGTGAAGATGGCAGACGCGGCGTAGAAGCTAAAGTTGAGGAGCATCACGCTGACAGTAGCGAAGGACTTGGTGATCTTTGGCCAGTTTCTGGGGCACAAGTCTCCTTCAACCCCAGCCTCTGTCGTGCCCTGCCCTCCACGTTGGTCTTCCTTATCCGGGGCATGTTCCGGGTAGGGCAGGGCCTTGTCGTTGGCGACGTGGTTGATGAGACGGCCAAAGAGGCTTTCACGCAAAAGAATGTCCATCTTGATTGAATCTATGAGCCATATTGATTATCATTTCATTCATAGACGCGTCCTTATATATGGTAATTCATGAATTTCCTGCGCGGAGTTCCGAATGGGTCGACGATGCTGGGGGAGGTCGGAATCCCGTGACCTGTGGGTCAGGTGAAACTCTGCCCTCGGACTTCCGCAACCTCAATTTGCCTCCTACATCGGAACTCCAGCACGATGCCGACGACACGGACTCAGCGATCAACGCCATCGCGCAAAAAGTCATGCCTGCAGTGCGCCAAGTCCAAGGTCCGGTGCGGCCTGGAGCGCCCGTCCTGCCAGCGCTGCGTCGCCTCGAGCCGCCGGTGTACCTACGCCACGGAGGCGCCGCCATCGCCCACGATCCGAGCGGCGGCGCCGGCGAGCATCGCAACGCCCGCGTCGCTGTCTACGGCGTTTACGGAGCCGTCTGATGTGACGGTGGTTTCTGAAAGAGAACCTCTGCCGACACTGCCGCCTCTGACTCAGGCCCAGGTGCCGGTTCAGGCGCGCGACGAGACTCTGAACTTTGCCAGTGTCGACCTTGTCCCTCTAGCAGGGGCGGACCAGATCCGCGACCGCTGGCTACGGCCGTTTCTGGCTGTCACCGGCCAGCAGGAGCTACCGAAGGCGTTTCATCCGTACACACTGCAGTACATGAGCTGCGTGCTACGTACATATCCGAAGCAGATGGCCAACGACAGCGTACCTCCCTTCATCCATCCCACACAAATGACGACTGGGCACGTTGCGTTGGCCAATTGCTACAGCCTGGTGCGGCTGTGGCATCACCGCGCCGCTGGCAGCGAGGCGATTGTCGCGGACACGGTGCAGCGGGAGATGGATCGGCTGGCACATGTAAGTGCATCCCGCCTCTGTAGAAACGCAGCTGACATGCTAGGGCCAAACCTCTGGCGACACTGAGCAACTGGCTGCGTTTCAAGCCTATCTCACCTACTGCATCATGGCCTACTTTTTCCCCATCTCGGGGATCCCGCTCGTCAACGACGCGACCATGGTTACTCTCCAAGAAATGGCGTTTTGCGCCGCACAGGGCGGCCTCGTCACAACGGCGGAGCTGGCAGGGTCGCGCCCGGCCTGGGAGTCTTGGATCGTCGCCTCGGCCAAGCGCAGGGCCATGTTTGCGTTTTACCTCCTCAGCAGCGTCTACAACGCGGACAACAACGTTCCCAACTTTCTCGCAGAGGAGCTGCGCGGTGTCTTCGCGCCGGATGCGAAGCGTGTCTGGGAGGCGCGGACCCGCGAGGAGTGGGAGCGCGAGTATGCCCGGCACCTGGCACTGTGGCCGGACGGGCCGCTCAAGATTTCGGAGCTGTGGCGGTCGCCGGAGACGGGGTCGGAGCGGCGGAGGGAGAGGATCGATCGGTGGGTGCAGATGACAGACGAGTTTGGGATGATGCTCTTTGCCGTCTGCGTTCACTTGCACGGGTACTAGAGTGTAAGTTGGGGACGGGAGTTAGGGACTGCAAGTGAACATGCAAGTGAGCCCCGTGGCGGGTTCGCGACTCCGAGTCGGTGGGTCGATGGCGCCCGGAGCTCCGAGCGGAGTCGTGAAGCTCGCGAGTCGTGACGTCTACTTAAACCGGACGCAGCTCAGGCTCGCCTCGATTCGCAGCATAATATGGCTTGCACCAAAACAAACAACATGTCTTCGAAATCAACAGTCTACACGACCGACCACTCTTCGTCGGTGCTACGCACACATGGCTGGCGCACGGCGGCCAATTCGGCAGGTTACCTGATCCCGCACTTGCGCCCCGAAACGACGATTCTGGACGTCGGATGCGGCCCGGGCTCCATCACAGTCGACCTTGCGCGCCTCGTTCCTCAGGGTCATGTCACTGGCATCGAGTACGTGCCTGACCCGCTTGACGGCGCCCGCGCCCTTGCCGTCTCACGCGGCGTCACCAACGTGACCTTTGCCGTCGCCGACGTCCACTCGCTCCCGTTCGACGACGACTCATTCGACGTGGTCCACGCACACCAAGTGCTGCAGCACATTGCCGACCCTGTCAAGGCGCTGCGCGAGATGCGCCGCGTGGCCAAGCCCGGCGGTCTCGTCGCCTGCCGGGAATCCGCATCCATGACATGGCACCCGCCGTCGCGCAAGCTCGACGCCTGGTACAGGGTGACGACGGAGATGGCGGCGGCCAAGGGCGGCAACCCGCACCCGGGCAGCCGCATCCACGTGTGGGCGGAGCAGGCCGGGTTCCCGCGCGACCGCGTCACCAGGGGCGCCGGGTCGTGGTGCTTCAGCAGCGACGAGCAGCGCGAGTACTGGGGGGGCTCGATGGGGGAGCGGGCGCGGTCCTCTGGCTTTGCGACGATGGCGCTGGAGGAGGGCTTCTCGACGAAGGAGGAGCTGGAGGAGGTGAGGCAGGGCTGGGACGAGTTTAGAGAGAATGGCGATGCGTGGTTTGGGCTGCTGCACGGCGAGATTCTGTGTCGCAAGTAGGCGGCGTTGGAGAAGGTCTTAACTCTGGGATGCGACACCAAGGTCATGCATGATACCTAGAATAGCGCGAATAGAAGTCCAACTAATCGACGTGTCTATAGTAACAGTGTTCTTGATATTGGCCAGGCAAGCGTGTGTCGTCTACGTTTCTTGGTAACTTGGGCTCAACCCAAGGAAAGTCAATGGCACGGGGGCGAATGACGGTGTTGACTTGATGTACTGACGATAGCGGCTATTGGGTGCATCAGTTGACGGCACAGGCGCGAGAATGGTTCCTCTTCGATGCACCAGTCTTGACTTAACTTGACGCGCGGGCACCCGGAGCCGACAGTGCCACCCGTCGGCGTTATGATAGGATCGACTGGCTGGTAGACCAGTGAAGTGTACACTACGCGAGCTAGCGATGGCCCAGTGGCAGGAGCATCGATCTATGATGATCGCTGATGAGCTCACGTTCCGCCCCAAGGCAAGCTACAGAAGCTCGAGGTAACTTTCACGCGGACAGCTGCTGCACAACCACCTCGACTCGAGACGAAAACCCCCTGCGGCAGTCGACGGCGGGTGCCGCTGACAGTGTCCTGTGAGAGCCGACTGCCGCCCAAAAAACACTGCCAGCGGCACTCACCGGCGTGGCAAACAGCTTCAACGGATCTACGAAAGCTACGACGGCGCACCGCCGGGACGGTGCCACCCCAAGTGTAGTTTAGCAGGCGACGAGCCGGGTGCTTTGCTCCATGCAATCAACAAGGTCTCCATAGCATCAGGATGCGATATTGCCAGAATCCGATCATTCCCACCCCGTCGGACTCTTCTTTGAGTGGTGAATCCAAAGAAGGACCACGACGTGAGTGACAGGCCAAACTCTATTTGCGTCCCAATGGGAGCAGCCGATCATGCTCGGATCGGGCATGGGCAGCGTGGCAATGTCGAGCTTATACCTGTAAGTATAGCGTACAGAACTGCGGAGGGGCGCAGTGGCTTGTCCTCGATGGGCGGGGGGTGACATCAATTGTATTCATGCACTTTGTGTGCGCGGACAAGCCTCCCGCGGTGCTTGGCGCAGTCGACAGCAAGTGCCGGTTTGTTAGCCCCGGCACATGCGCGGCCCCGGCCAGATCGGGATCGGGAGTCGGCGCCCCACCCGGGCTTCCGGGGGCCGTGGTCGGCGCAGGGGGGGCCCATGCGTGTTCGCAACGACTTCTAAGAAAGCCATCGCGTCAACAGAACCGTCCCTTCAGCAAAGCTGCTTTTTCGTTCATTCAATCCGTTACATTGCCATCTCACGGCTAGAACAATCTCCAAAAAGCCTTGCCACAGCAGTCGTCAAACCCCCAAATCCACCACGTCACATGAGATGGTGGGCCGCGGGCTGGAATGTGGAAAAGAGGGCGATGGCCCGCTGTCCGAGAAACCTTGTCCGGCTCCTCGGAGCTCCTGGCGGCTGGCGATTGACACGAAGCACAGACGCCACCAGACTTGTTCCGCCATTGACAGCAGCATCGCCTCAACATTTGATCCATTGGGCTGCTGTCCAATCATGCTGCCTGCTGGGGAAACGCGGGCAGAGAGGCATCCGACTGCGCGAAGGTGGCCGTCATCCTAAAGCACAGCAGTCGCGCAAGTAGCAATGGCGATGACAAGACGCGGCCGTCACTTTTCGGTAGCATTGCCACTCCCGCGGGTCGACGCGGCCGGCAGCCTAGCTCGTGTCCATTCGTGTCCTTGACGCCGTCAATGGGTGGCCAAACGCAATGCGCTTCATGATTGCTCACCTTGACTTGAGGAAATGATGTGAAGGAGGCACGTAACATTGCACCATGGCCAAATGGGCATGGTTCAGGATAGCTCCGCGATTTACCATCCCCTCAGTCGTTATGCTGTGCGTATTCGAAGAACCCAAAGGCTCCTGCAGGATATAAAGGGCTACGAACATCCCATCCACAGTGACTTTCCAAATTCAACTTTCTGCAGCTGTCGATTTCCAAGTCAAAACCACCATCATCTCCACCATGAAGTACACTGCTGCCCTCCTCGCCCTGGTTGCCACCGTCGCGGCGGCACCAGCGGAAGTCGAGTCTCGCAACGGCGGCGGCGGCGGCGACTGCAACAACAACGGAGGCACCCAGGTATGCTGCAACGGCGTGCTCGACTGCCTTGTGCAGGTGGTTGGGGACTCGTGCTCGAACCAGGCCTACTGTTGCCAGACGGACGCTCCTGCGGTAAGTTTGCATGTAGCCATGCCGTGAAGCCAGCACGATGCTAATGGTGCGCAGGGAACGCTTCTCAACGTTGCTCTTCTCAACTGCGTCCAGCTTTGATGGAACGATTCGTACCTTGGGCGGTTCGCAAATGGTATGGAGTAATGGTGGAGGACGGAAGTGTATTGTACAAGTAATGGTGGTGGCAATTTGCAATAATAAAATCAAACTGTTGAAAAAATACCTGACAAGACATGCTCATAGTCCTGCCGTCTTGGAAAGCAGGAACCCATCATTCTGCAACTCCTGAAACACACCCTTCCAATCATACTTGCGGCTCACAGCCCAAAGCCTGTCGACCGTTTCTGCGCCGTATGAGCCGAGGGGGTCTTGGTACGCGCAAGCGTCGTTCATGTATAAAAGGTCCAGATCTCGTCCGCGACTCTTGGCAGCAAGCTCAAACTGACTCCTGAGTTTGTCCACCGCGGACTGCGCCGCCTCGTCGTGGCGTTGCTCCGTCCACTCGCCCATGACGACGGCCCCTGCATATCTCATTAGTTTCGTTGCGGTTGCGTAGGGGTCTTGTCTTACATGTCTGTTCGGTCTCGCTTATGTTCATGCAGTTGCCGCCGCGGCGTCGCCCCTGATGGACTGCCGCCTTGCCCAGAGGCTGGAGCACAAACTGCAGATGAAATTCCTCCTTGGCGTGGGCTTCACACAGCAGGTTGAAAAAGTCAATGTAGGCGTCCGCGTCTGGCTTTAAGGAGAGCGTGCCGACTCGCCGCCTTGGAAGCTGTCGTTAGCTGATGGCACAACTATGTGGTCGGTCCACTCACTTGGCCTTTCCATCCAATTTGAAGTCTTCGCACAGCTTCGCGCAAAGAGCGGCCTGCGTAGTGTTTACCGGTGGAGGAGCCGCCACGGCCTCGATGTCGTCGAATACCTTGCACGCTGGGTGTGCCTCGTCCAAGTGGCCGCGGTATATCACCGCCGTCGAGACGAAGCCAGAGACCCCGACGGCGTTGAAGCCCAAGTTTTCGTCATTCTCCATGGCTTTCTGGTACGTCGTCACCGCCTCCATAACCTTTGGAACCTCTTGAGCCGCAAAGGTCCGCACGGAAACCCATATCTTGTAGTCTGGGTAGGTGTCCAGATCGAACCGGGTAACGATGCCAAAGTTGGCGCCGCCGCCCTTGAGGGCCCAGAACAGATCTGCGTTTTCGGTCGCGTTTGCCTGACTAGTTAGATCCTGGACAAAGCCGCGAGAGGAACGCATCATACCTGGACGACGCTGCTGTCTGCGGGCAGGACCTCAAAGTTGCGCACAGAGTCGCAGGCCATGCCCCAGGCGTTGGAGAAATGCGACATGCCCCCGCCGAGGATCAGGCCCGCGACGCCCACGCCCTTGATGCGTCCGCCGACGGCCGTGAGCTCGTGCTTCTCGAGCGCCTCATATACCCCGTCCCAGGTCGCCCCGGGACCAACGTGCACGACGCTCTTGTCGTCGGACAACACGATCTGGTTGAGACGCCCCAAGTCAAGCAGCACGCCCGACTCGCCGACGCTGCTGAAGCCTGGCTCGGCAATATGGCCATTGCTACGGACCGAAAAGGTGGTCCGAAAATGCGTGACGAGGCGCAAAGCGAGCGCCACCTCGGGGACGGTGCGAGGTCTGATGATGCATCCAGCAGGGAGCCAGCATAGCGTCGACCAGTTCTTTTTCATCAGAGATTGGTGCTCTGCTGGGTTCTGAGAGGGACGGGACACGCCGTCGAATAGGGCTCCTGCTGCGTCCGCCACGGCTGCGACTCGATCCTGCGGACTGACATGGCCCCTGGCTCCGATTGCATCGAGGGTTTCTGTATTCTCGACAATCTTTGGACGAAGTGTCCCGACGATTTTCGCGTAGTCTGGTCCAGAGAGCCCGTCTAGAACCGCGATCAATTCATGCGACAGGGGCGCCATGGTGACGATAGCTGACAATTGACGACTCGGACCGTAAAATGGCACAGTTGGGCAAGACGAGTATTTAACGTCACCGGTCGTCAGCCGCACGCGAATCTAGGTTGTATCGCGGCGTGGCGGCGGCTCACATACGATCAGCACTACTCGCGACGCGGGCTTACACCCTCAACGCCGACGGCGCGTGCACATCAATCTCACGCTTCCCATTGAACTCGCCTACGCTACGGCTTATGCACGCTACTCTGCCGCGGCCACCATCTTGGCCGTCAGCTCGTCGCACAAGTGCGCCGTCACGGAGCGCCACTTGGGCGTGTCGACAAACGTCGAGTTGACGAGCAGCTCCGTCACCGTGACTGGCTTGTCAAAGATGTCAATCTTCTTGTGGCCGACGCTGGTGCCGTTGGACACCAACGTCCAGGGCACATTATCGTCGTCGCCGCCCTCGCCGTCGGCGTCCACGATGCGCGCGTGCACCTGGTACGACCGGATGACCTGGCCGTTGGTCTGGTCCTCCATGAGCGACACCCGGTCGATGGCCGTCGGGCGCGCAAACTTGATCGAGTAGGCGCCCTTGCCGGCGGGCTTGGAGCGCTTCGCGGCGATGGGCTTGCCGTAACACGACTTGATGAAGTCGCCGAGCTGCTTGTACCGCGCGGCCTGGTTGGCGGGGATGAGGCCGCTGCGGTCCGGCGCGAGGTCCAGCTCGAGCACGCAGTTGCGCCCGACCGTCTTGTGGTAGACGTCAATCATCTCCTGGATGGATCGCAGCGGCTGGTCGACGCCCCAGAACCAGCGGTCCTGCGTCTGCAGCGTGGTATCGCACTCGGCGGGACAGAAGAAGGGGCTCTTGGAGTCGCCGCCGTCGTTGGTCAAGCCGCTGTGCGCTGGTCAGCCATTGCTGTCTGAAGCAGTGCATATCGGCGTAGCGATCAAGTCATGGACTTAGGGGAACGTACGTGGACCAGTTCTCCTCGGGCGCCTCACCCATCTCTGTGCCAATCCATCGAACTGTGTCTTGTTAGCATGCAATTGGCGGGCAACGAAACACACGCTCGCATACCCGAGTTGGCCGACACGCATGTGCCGTTCTCCTGGCAGCCGTTAAAGATGACGGCCTGCGACTGGTGCTCCTGGAGCAGGTCCTCGATCTTGCCCATCTGCGCGGAGCTGTACCCGCCATCGAACCAAATCTAGCAGCGTCAGCACGATGACCCAAGGCATCGATCCTACAGTCAGTATGCATACCTCGGTCAGCGTGCCGTACTTGGTCCAGAGCTCCGTCAGCTGGTCAAAGACGACCTGGTTGTACGTCTCGTTGGTGATGCCGACCTGGCCCGGCGCCAGCTTCGTGTCGCGGACGGCCGAGTTTTGCACGTTGAGAAAGTTGTTGACCACGACGCTGTAGTAGAAGCCGTGCCCGACGTCGTAGCGCTTCGCCGACTTGACAAACTTGCCGACCAGGTCCGTGCCGTGCACCGGCGTGTCCGCGATGGTGTAGTTGTACCCGGCCTTGCGGTGGTCACCGTCCCGCGTCGGGAAGCGCACCTTGCTGGGCCACGTCGCGAAGCCGCAGTTGTGCTTGGCCACGAGCGTCGCGTACTTGGCGCCCAGCGCGACGATCGAGTCCATCCACTGGTCCGTGTTGAGCAGCGTCGGGTCGAACAGGGACACGGCCGGCACCAGGTCCGGCACGTTGTTGCACCCGTCGATGTCGAGGTAGGTCGCGATCTCGTAGTGGATCAGCACGCCAATCTCCTTGTCCTGCCAGGTGAGCTGCTCGCGCGTGGGCAGCGCAATCTTGGACCCGTCGATGGGCGAGATGCGGAACTTGGGCTTGTACGCCGCCGCGTCTCGCACGGAGACGGCGGCCGCGAGGGCGGCGAGGCTGAGCAGGAGAAGCATCTTGTCTGTATGGCGAGGACCCTGCCTTGGAGTTCTTGCGTTTCAACGGACGTCCGGTCACCTTTTATAATGCAGTCATGGCGACATGAGCGGGGTGGACGCTGGGCCTCTCCGCTTCGCGATGTTACATTGCAAAGTCATATCTGATCCGCCCACGTGTATATCGCGGAGTCGGATCGTCGAAGCAACATTGAAGCCGGCATATCGCCAGAGGGCTCCCGACGGGTCTTGTCGGATATTTGACGCCAGGTGCTGCGAGCGAGGTGCTGCGCCTTAGGCTGGTGTAACGTCACTAACGGATGGCGATCGACGGCAGGGTGCGATGCGGGGTGCTGGGAGTTGGAAGCCGGCTTATATGCTCGCTTTGTCTCTTTGAGGGGAATTGGCCAAATTAGCCATCGGAACGAGGCCGGCATCCGTGATCCGAAGGTTGAGGATCAAGGAAAGCCATTCCCGTGAATTCCCGCAGTGGCCAGAGCGTCGCAGGCAACGGAGTAGCAGGGCCCCAGCCAGCTCGATCTGGATTGGGGCACATTGATGTAAGCACATCGACCTTCTACTGTATATGCGGGGTGATTGGACGATTCAATCTAGAGACTGCTTGAGAAGCTAAAGACATTATAATCTCGAGACGTGTTTCGCGTACATGTAGTGCAACGGATTTGACTGATACGGAATCGAAGCAAAGCCAATTGGAACTGCTAGTCCTCGCTGCACTACTTTATAACACTTCTCAAGCAAGCAGTACTGACTTGTATTCCGGAGCAACTTTGAACAGCGTCGCACAAGAATCTGGCGCACGAGCGTTGTGCGACGAGAGCCGGCGAAGCGACTCTGTAAGACGTCGACGCCTGACAACATTGACCCTAGCAACGTACCTCATTGAAACGACCAAGGATACATGTGCACACCGTGTTTCCAAACCCGACAACAAAATGACGTATCTACACAACGATCGAGCGGCGTTGAGTTGTCGGTAGTTGTCTCTGCGCCTCGCCCGCGGGAACCACCCCCGACTGCATGTGTGAGACAGTGTTGATCTGGCCGGCACATCTGCATCTGCGGCTGCAGCCATCCTGTTTCGGCCGCGCTCCGAGACACGGCTGCCTCAGCCAGCCATGGGGTATTGCATCGGCATTGGGGAGCTCAGTCTCGCACGGTCACTGATGTGGAATCAGGAACCGTGGTGCTCTGCATGTGTATATGTGACGACGGCGGCCGGCTCGCCATGTAGACAGGTCAGAATCCATCACCCGCAAACGGTCAAACCACTGGACCCTAAGCTCTCATCATGCTCCACTGCTCACTCCTTTCTCTTCTAGCGCTATCAGCCCACTGGAGCGTCCCGGTCGCGGCCAAGGCAAAGGACGGCAACGATGAAGGCCAGCATCGTCTAAAGCACCCTCTGGCGTCAATGGCCAGCCCAGAGGCGGCATCCATGGAGCACATCGACGACGACATGCTGGCGCGCCGGGTCCAGAGATTCACGACCTTTGGCCATGTCCCGTACGTCAACTGCTTCGCGAAAGAAGAAAAGGGGGACAATAGCAGTAGATATGACATTGCCATCCTCGGCGCTCCTTCTGACATAGTGAGTACCACTTACATGGCTGCCACTCTCAGCAACTCTAGAGCACAGCCGCCACTTCATATGTTTCACGACGTACTTATAACGTGCAGGCCGTCACCGGTCGACCAGGCGCGCGGTTCGGCCCCTCGAGCATCCGCTCCGCCAGCGAGAGCAAGTCCTACGGCTACAGCGTCTTCACCGGTGCGTCAACCTGTCCCCCTCCCCGCTCCTCTCTGGCCCCTCAACTACTCACCAAGCCGTGGCGAGTGTAGGACGCGACCCGTTGCGCGACTGGGCCCGCGTCGTCGACTGCGGCGACCCGCGCCTCTCGCCCCTCGACAAGGTCGTCGCCTTCCGGACGCTCGACCGCGCGCACGAGCTCGTCTCCCTGCGGCCCGCGGCGAACCCCAACCGCACCGCCGCGCCGCGCGTGCTCATGCTGGGGGGCGACCACAGCACGACGCTGTCTGCGCTGAGGGCTGTGCACAAGAGATGGGGCAAGGTGTCGGTCGTGCACTTTGACAGCCACATTGGTGAGCGCCTGAGTGAGCCTGTCTTTGCACGCGACTACTGTGAGCTGACCACGCATCAGATACCTGGGATACCGAAGGCGCAGTCTCGGAATACGCGTAAGGACATGCCCGAGACCTGAAAGCATTGACTGACGAAACGCAGAAAGCTGGACCACGGCACGTTTCTGTACTTTGCCCACGAAGAGGTACCTCATCCGCCCAGCCCCTGACGCATGAAGCTGAACCGACAACAGGGTCTCATCCTCGACACCTCCATCCACGCTGGCATCCGCGCACCGCACTACTTCCACAGAGACATCACAAACGACCGCCGCGTCGGCTTCGCCACCGTCAACGCCCGCGAGGTCGACACCATCGGGATCCGCGGCGTGGTCGACAAGATCCGCCAGCGCGTCGGCGACAGCCGCGTCTACGTGACGGTGGACATTGACGTCTTGGACCCCGCCTTTGCTCCGGGTAAGCTCTTCGCCTTGAGCCGTGCTTGACGTGGCTGACTGTTTAGCAACCGGCACCCCCGAACCGGGTGGTTGGTCGACGAGGGAGCTGCTCACCATCCTGCAGGGGCTCGAGGGCCTCAACGTTGTCGGCGCCGACGTCGTCGAAGTCGCGCCCGTCTACGACACGGCGAGCCAGACCACCGCATTAGCTGCTGCCGAGGTTGTCATTTCTTTGCTAGACCTCATGGTCGGGTCTCCGGTAAAGGGTAATGCTTCGCAAACCCCATGAACTGTGTACGTAAATGTGCTGCAGAGCCCAAGCGCTCCACGTACACCCCGTTACTACGTTAGAGGCCTGCTTCATAGACAAAACAAAACAGTTCACAGTGTAATGTAAATTCAGAACGTGTCTTGACTAAATCGTACAACACTCTACTACTCCTTGGATTTGGCCAACTGGGAGAACCACCCCTCCTCATTGCGCAGCAGGTCTGCAGGCGCACCAACCTCCACGATGCGCCCCGAGTCCATGACCACAACTACGTCTGAATCCATGATCGTGTCGATGCGGTGCGCCACGGCCACCCTAGTGCACCCGGAAAAGTCCTCACGCAGAACGCGCTGCAGCACTGCGTCCGTCTCGGCGTCGACGTTGCTTGTCGCCTCGTCGAGCAACAGGATGGTGCTGCCGCAGGCTTGCTTCTTGACGACTGCCCGTGCTAGTGCGAGCAGCTGCTGTTGGCCCCGCGACAGCGATGTCGCCGTGATGTCGGCCATGATGCCTCGCGACTGTGCCAGGTCCCCGAGCCCCACGCGGTCCAGTGCCGTCGCCACCGCCTCCTCGGTGCTTCGCTCTTCCGGGTCCACGTTGAGGCGCACGCTGCCGTTGAGGACCAAGGGGTCCTGCGGGAGACTGACGAGTCGCTCGCGAATCGTCTCCCGCGGCACAGTGGCAATGTCGACGCCGTCGATGAATATCGAACCAGAGTCCATCTCCAGAAGTCTCACAAGAGTAGCCACGAGTGAACTCTTGCCGCTGTACCCTTGTCAGCTACTATGGCCAGGTCGTTGGTTGCCTCGACTAACCTTCCTGTGCGCCCGCAAATGCCGACCTTCTGGCCCGGCTTGATCTGCAGGCTAATCTCGCGGATGCCCACGGCCCCGGGACTGAGGATCGTTAGCACAGCTCTATTCCCTCGACCATTACACCTACCTATGGGTAGCCGTGACTTGGCGAAACTCAATGGCGCCGCGCTCCGGCCAGCTAGGCGGCGGCTGGTACGTCTCGCCGCTCTGGTCCTCTGGCTTGACCGTGGCCTCGAAGCTCATCAACCTCGCAATCGAGCCGAGCGAGGTTTCAAGCATCGTCCAGCCCGACACGAGGGACGAAAGAGCGCCGCTAAAGGCTGCCAACTTGTGAGCCGCGGTGTAGAAATCAGGCGCATTGGATGTACTTACACAATATGCTGTTCAGGGAGACACCGAGGAGGCCCGGGCTGGTGGAGCGTCGAAGCCCAACAGCGAGGCCTATGACGAGGACAGCCTGCGCGCCAACGATGAGATCCAACACAAGGTTGAGCCACCGCTGGCTGCAGTACAGCAGGTAGTGCGGCCGCTGAGAGTCGTCCAGCAGCCTCTCGTTCTTGGCCTTGAACCGCGATTGCCATCCAAACGCGCGAATGGTGGAAAGACCACCGACGGTTTCCAAAAAGTGGGAATACAGCGGACTCTTGCTTTCGAGGTCCAGCAGACGCAGCTGTCGCGAGGTCCGAAGGTATACGTGCTGGAGCGCCCAGATGGTGAAGACGAGGAACGGGACGCTTACAACCATGTAGACGGAACCGGTCGTGACCAGAGCCGCCGCCGCAAGTGACGAGAACAGATCTGCCTGCGTTAGCTGTGTACATGGCTCGCTGGGGGCTACATACTGGAGACGGCGACGAGTATGCCAATCGGCAGCTGTCCCTCGATGATGGTCATGTCTTGGCTGAATCGGTTCAGAATCGACCCGCTGTCCGTGGCCGAGAAGAACGATTGAGGCGCCCTGGGCGTGTCAGAGAAGCACCGGCGCAGACGGACCTATACGTACCTCATGACGACTCGGAGCAGGACTGCGTGCAGCTTCCGTGCAGTGTACGGAGAGATGAGAATGAGGATGGACCTGCTTGAGTGAGCTTTTGTCCTTCACACATGCCAGGGACACCCACCAGACGTATCCGCCGGTTCCCACGGACGTCAGGAACGCCAGGGCGACATAGACGCTCATATATAGCGCGATTTGGCCACCGTCGACCTCGGCCCACCACTTCAACCAGATGGCTGCTGCTGTCAGCCACACAATCGGTCAGTCACAGCGGGCACACTCACTGCTAAAGCTGCTGCAAAACACGTCAACAATGACAAACCCGACAAAGAGGGCCGTCTTGGGCCAGCCGACAGACTTGAAGTAGTAGCGGTACACGTCCAGGTCGCCGGCCGATCTGCTCATATCACTCAGTCGATTGGCTTTCGAGATTTCATCCGCCTTGTCTTTGGCATCGGGCTCTTTGTGCTCGACCTCCTCGGACACCGACGGGCTGGAAGTTGCCTTGAGAGCATCAACCAGCTCCTTGGGGATTGCGTTCTCGCCCTTGCCGCCGTCCCTGACCTTTCCATCGGAAACAATCAAGACCTTGTCGGCATACTTGAGGAATTCGGCTGCTACGAGTTAGCACGGCAGGCGATAGAGACGGGGCCACTCACTGGCGTGCGTCGCGAGCACCACAGTCACGTTGCGCTTCTTCAGCAAGCCCTCGTCGCCAAACAGGCGAGACATGATGGTGGCCTGCGTGTTGGTGTCCAGGGCGCCCAGCACGTCGTCGAGCAGCATAATGTCGGTCCGGGCATAGACGGCGCGAGCCAGAGCGATTCGCGCCCTCTGGCCGCCGCTCAGGACCGTGCTCGCACTGCCGACACGGGTTTCTTCGCCATCTGCAAGGCGATCAAGATCGTAGTCAAGCGCGCAAGCGTGCAAGCATCTCCGATACCACGCCTGGTCGACATTTTGCCCCTCCTCCACATAGCCGGAGATGGCCTCTCGAATTGTCGTGTTGGGCAGCCAGGGTACTTGAACGCACAGCGCAATCTGCTTGCTCGCGACCGTGACGGAGCCGCCGTTCTGGTCCTTGACCTCCCCGAGCAGCCCTTTGAGCAGAGTTGTCTTGCCAGACCCGACGGGGCCGATGACCATGGCCAGGGATCCGCGTGGGATGGCGAAGCTGACGTCCGACAAGATCGGCTCGGCAGTCGCAACGGGGCGGAGTGACATGTTTTGCATCGAAATCGCCGCGGCATCTTGGCCCTGTGCCGTTCTCGACGGCGATGCAGCGAAGCGGGGATCGGTTCTCGGACGGGCCACGAGGAACTCCTGGATCCGGTCAAAGCACCCCAGGCTGGCAGCGGTAGAGGGTATGGCGCTCAGGAGCTTGGAGGCAGGGTCCGTGAGCAAGGTGATGATGGACAAGGCGGTAAAGGCCTGGGTGACGTCGATGGAGGACTTGCCCCGTGCCGTGGCTTGCGCGACGTAGATGATGAATGTGAGCGACGGGGCCACCGCCCAGGGCAGGTTCTGTACGACGTTTTGCCAGACGATGCTCCATCTGGCCGCCGCCATGCGCCGCGTCTCCTGGACTCGCTGATCCTGGACGATGGCAGACAACACAGGGCTCAGACCCATCATCTTGACGCTCCTCATCTCGGCCAGCATCGAGGCGGTGATGGTGATGCGTTGCTGCACAGCGTCTATCCAAACCCTTTGGCGCGCGCCAATTGTCCTCGAGATTTCCGCGCTTCCGAAAAAGGACACTACATGGTCAGCTTGGGCTACGACAAACGTCCAAGGGCGAGGCACTTACCGACGACGACAAAGAGCGGCACGAGGCATACCCAGCCAAGCTGCCGGGCCAGCAACACAATTCCCACAGCGACCTCGATGACGCGCGCCCAAATTTCATTTAGACTAATAAGACAGAGGACAATACGGTCCACGTCTGTGCTCATCAGGGTCACGACGGCCGAGTCGTCGTACTCGCCAAGTGGAAGCGTGAGCATGTGATTGAAAATCAGCGACACGCTGGCGCCACGGAACATGGTCATGAACCGGTAGACGCTGTGGTTATAGTAGAGAGTAGACAGCGTCAATCCCATGTAGATGAAGGCCGCCGCCAGGATCAGTGAGTAGCCTACGTTGCGGGCAGGCTGGCTGTCGGGCTCGGACAGGAGGTTGAGGACACGAGAAATCAAAAAGGGCTGTGCAAATGTAAACGCAATCAGGAAGAGACGAGGGATTATGGCAGACAAGATGTGCCAGCGCATGGCCCTCCAGGCCGCCAGGGGAAACTCGAAGCGGCGCTCGGGCTTGCGACGCTGCGACCAGGCCTGTTGAATTTTGGTGCTCAGCGGACCGGAAGCAAGCTCGTCGTCCAGGGGGTACAGATCGTCGAGGGTAAGGTCGGTATGGAGGCCGCGGCGAAACAGGTCGTTGAGCCACCAGAGGAAGCTGCGGTTGATGATGCCGCTGGTCGCCTCGGGGGGCAGGTCGGCATGGGCTTGCTTGAGGTATCTCGTCTTTTTGCGGCTCTCGAGGAGCAGCATGACGGCCTTGACAGCAACTGTGGCGGTAAAGACGGCGGCAATGGGCGTGTTCAGGCGTCGGAGCCATAGTGTCCTGGCCTGAGCAATGTCGAGGACGACGGTGATGGCGAGGTAGCTGCTCAGCATGGACGAGGGTCGGATCGACCGGCCGTCCTCCATCCACGACAGTACCACCAGCTGAATGGCCACAATGACATTGAGCACGGCCAGGGGCAGCGACGCCCTCGTGCGGTTGGCCTCATCGTGGGACCAGAGGACAAGGAGAGCGAGCTGGAGGAGGAGGAAGACGCACGCGGCGAGCTGCAGGCCAATCAGCATCCCATTACTTTGTACTTAGTCTGCAGGCAGCATCATCAGAAGCCGCCAATGGACTCGTACCAGCTTCCAGAACCGGGCCGGACGAAGCAGCGTTTTCGGGCGAGCCGTGGCGAGGTAGGCGAAGCGCAGGGGGAAGGCAACGATGATGATTGCGGCCGGGATTATCGACAGCACGGCCTGCTCGAACAACAGGGTCAAGTCGAACCCTCCGCGGCATTGACGGCCGACGACGGGCCCAAAGAGGTCGTCGGCGCGCGGAGAGCAGCCATGGGTCGCGGTGGTCACCGCTGCTCGCCACGACATGGCCGTCGACTTACAAGAATTTGGCGTTGCTTGGCTCTTCAGGTGGTGGAGCGGCGAGTTTAGCCTGGCTGGATGGGCGGGCGGCGCCGTCGACGCCTCTGCGGCGCGCAGTCATGTTATGTAAGCCCTGTGCTGAGCCAAACGCAGGCAGGGTGGCTGTCTCCACGTTTGGCAGGCGACAAGACAGTGGGACACGCTCATTTCCACATCCCGTCCCTGCGAATGGTGCCGATCAAAACATTCACCCAACCGCTCGCCGAATGCGTCAGACGCCGCTCCGTAGTGGCCAGTGCGCCTCGGTCGTCCTCCGCCAGGGCTGCCGTGCGCCTGCTCCGCGTTCGAGCACCAGCGGCGGATGGAGACGGGTGATGGTGAGCGGCGAGCCCTGACCCCGGAGCTCGATGATCAGCCTGACCGTTGACCTGACCGTGAACAGGCATGGCTGCTGCCCGAGCTGTGTCTCACTCGGCCGGCCTGATCCGCTCCGCCTAACTCCCTCTGGGAGCCCTGGCTAGAACTGAATAGGGCGCCCTGTCCTTCAGCCAGCATTGTGCTTTCGCCCTGTTGACAGCTTTGATTCCACGACCACGACTGTGTGGACTGGACATGCAACTGGGCCATGGCTGCGCCGTCTGCAAAGACGGAACGGCCGCAGATGGCACCCTACGAGGCTACCCTGCCGCACGTGCCTCGCATCCGTGAACCTGCATGGCCGCATTGTCCAACGCTTGGAAGTCTTCTACGCCTTCGACAGCAGCCGGCTCCGTGAGTCGGGCCTTTTGCCGTGTTGGTTCTGCGTCAAAAAGTCGTTGATGGCTGCGCCGGGACACGCTAGCTACTGACGGGCATCCCGAGGGCCTGCCCAGTGCAAGTCTGTGGATAAAAAGATTGTTGGACTCAGCTCGCAAGCGACTCACGCAATTGTACAGACCTGTTGGCACGACATGGCAAATTCACACCGGGCATCGTCGACGAGCGAGCGGTCCTCCCGAACGCATTGTTGAACGAAACTACTGGAACGCGTGCCTCAATCTGACAAACCTCCGCCTCACTCAAGCCCACCACCTCTGCCTCCCGCGCTGCCTCCGACGACATCCTAGCCAACATCTGTCCAGAGCGTCTATCCGTGCCCGACTATGGATCTTCAGTACCAGCCGCAAGAGTTGAAGCCGGCATTGACCTCGGTCGTGTTGCAGCCTCCAGGTGCCGTGTCGCACGCCGCAGTCAGGTTCGGATCCAGGTCGTGCAGGAAGATGGTGTCGCAATGCAATGTATGCTGGAGCTGAAGGATGTCATTGTCCATGGGCCTCTTGTCTCTGAAGGCTTCGTGGAACTTGCGCCACGAATAGGTGCAGTGAAAGGTATGCCACGAGCCCGGCCCGTAAAGCGACAGATAGTCGCCCCGGACCCATGCCTCGCGTGGCACCTCCTCGGACGGCAACGCCTGCTTGGTCAGATAGAAGCGCCAGTCCATGCGCGCGAGGAAGTCGGCGACGAGCTCCGGATGGTAACACTCGGGCCGCTGCCACGCCCACGACATGGGATCAAAGATGCAGCCGAGCGACCGCGCCTCGGCGATGGATGAGCCGCAGTGGCCCAGCTCGTCGCCCGTCGGCACGGCTGCCGTCTTGGGCGCGGCCGGCACCGACACTGGCACCGGTGCCTGCACGTGCTTGTCGAGGGCGTCGAGCTTGTGGTGCAGCTGCGAGAAGAGAGCGTGCATCCTCGACACATTGGACGACTCAATGGCAACGAGCGTCACCCCAGCGAAGAAGAGGAGGACGGCAGGAATGATCAAGAGAGGGGCGCGGCCCCAACGACGCCGCCGCGACCAGCCGCCGATGGCGTCCATGTCGACCGAGTCCGAGTCCGTTCCAGACAAGAGGCTGTCGTACTGCTCCTTGTCCGGCAGACGTGGCTGGTCCTTGTTGACTTTGTCCATGTCGATATGTCTAGGCGGGTCAGTTTCCGTCGAGGAGAGTGAACGCGCACACCTACCAAGGTTTGAGTGTTGAAGAGTAGCGCCTACACAGCACAATGCCTCCTTTAACTAAGTTTGGCATAGAGAAGACGGACGAGTCGTTCATCCGGCAAACGGCCAGAACGAAGTCGGGGGCCAGTCGGTCGACCCTTCTGACTCGTTCTGCCAAAGTCGTCACCCGTCGGCGATTGCGCGATACAGCCCGTTGATCGACCGTCGTGCTTGCGCTGTTTTCTCGCGACATGTCGCCATTTCCATCGCCCTGCGGCCTGCGTTAGTCTAGGCTCGGACAGGCACATTGTCGTGACGCCGCCGGGGTTGTCTCGTGTGTTGTCGTCCCTCCGCGTTGTCCGCGACAGGGTATCTCGGCGCGGCCACCAAGACGATCGAGCGGCGTATAGACGTTTAGCTCCGAGAGCCGGCAGCCGAAACGGCATGTTTCCAAAGCGTTGCCTGTCGGCAGTGGCACACCTGTGTGTTGCCTCGTCGCCACGACTAGTCTCGCGGCTGCGTCAGTCACGGCGGCACCTAAACGGGACGATCCGCCGCCGGTGCGGGGTGGCACAGATCGCGCCCATACCGAACTCGTTCCTCGGCAGAGACGCACCATGGCAGCGCCGACGTTGCACTCTCCCCAGCCACCAAGCAGGGAGCTGATTGCTCGATGTTCTGAGACACGCGCTGGAAACACCCCGTCCGAGACACGTCCCGTGTCGCAACTAAGGCATGCTACGAAGCCCTTTGAGGATCTTATCAGTCTTTGCCACTGTCGGATGTGAGCGTTCGCCGGCATGCCGGCAACGAGTTGGCAGGTCGCATGCCTGTCTCTGTCGTACAACATTGCCGAATCATGTTCAGCCCCCAATCGAGGATCACTGAAGGCCGCAGCAATGACCGTTGGGGCCGGATTTGGACTGCTGAGACATGAAAAAAAAGCGTGGCGATGCTAACAGTATGATTCCAAAGCAGACTTCGGATTGAAGCATAATGTCTATCATCTGTCGTCCGTCACGTCCAACGTCCAAGCCGCAGTTTGTGTCCAAGGTGCTACGCAAAGGCACCAGCATCTCGACTTCTCCCCCTCAGCTCTTCCAGTCCTGCAGCGGCTTACACACCGGGTAGATCACCGGGGCCCGCGTGTGCCTGTCGTTGCCCCTCCCCGCCTTGTTGAGCATCGTCTTGCCGCAATGGACGGTGTGCCGGTACGCCCCCAAGTGGGTGTCCATGGCCGCCCCGCGCAGGAGCAGTCGGACCATCTGCCGCCGCAGAAACAAGCAATCCGCGATGTGGAATCGGAAAGTGACGTGCACCGGCTCCTCTGTCAAAGCCAGCTGGTCATGCGGGACGGCCTCTGCGCTGTACTCGTCGGCGAAGAATTCCCAGCTGCCCGCCGCCTGGAACTCGTCGATGGTCTCTTTGTCGTAGCACGCCGGCGCCTGCCACGCAAAGCTGAGCTCGTCAAACAGACAGCCCAGGCGGCGTGCCTCTTCAGCAGAGGAGCCACAATGGCTAGGCGTCAGTGCCTGGGAGACCACCGCTTGCTGGCTTGGTCGTGCTCCAGAGTCCTCGTTGCGCCAAGCAGAGTGAAGGAAGCCCGCGTGCGCAACGATCTCGAGGCCCAGGATGAGAATAGATAGAACCACGATTGCGGCACTCATGCCAGCGTTGCGGTGGAGCTCCTTGGTGAGGCTGAACGTGCCCGTCTCCCTAGCTGGGGCCGATGTTGGGGCCCGTCTAAACAGCTTTGGCCGTGATGCCAGGCCTCTGCTCATCCGCCGCCAGGAGCGGCGCAACGAAGCTGCTGGGTGGTCAGCAGAAATCTGTTTGGCGGGTCGCGATCATACCAATACTGCTCTCCATTTGATCAACGAGCGTGGTTTCGTTTTCGTGCTGATTGAAATGCAAACGACTGAGTGACCGCAACTTGCAACGTGAAGCCTGAGATGTTTGATACCTATAGTCGGCCCGTGGTTCGTATGAGTGGTGCGTCCAAGACAAGATGCATAGCACCCCGCTTACTGCATCTAAGAGGCTTTGGCTGGCCTAATATGGCGAACACACGTCCCAAGTACACCCACACCGCATGACTTGCTCGCCATCACCAAAGGGGGCCCTGAAGCTGTTGGCCTTGATACTCAATTACCCGTTGCAATGGATCCCAAGCTCATGTCTTTTCGTTATGGCAAGTATCCTGAATTGCAGGGGAGTTCTCTGCTCAGTCTGCTGACCTCCTGTGTTGTAGCAAACCACAAGGCTCCAATTGAGCCTTCAAGCCCAAGGTCTAGCCTAGATGTTGGCGATGCCACTGTAGAGGAGGCCATGGAAGAGACGAAGGCCTTCCTGGCCACTGCTGGTGACAACGAAGAAGATGGCGACTCTGAGCATGACCAGGGGTCAAAGCTGTTTCGGTGCCTGCTTCAGGTAGTCGCCTCGCTTCTATGTCTGGGCGTCTTGTTTGCGGGCTACGACCTGTATCGCGCCTCTACCGCTCCTTCGATCCCATCGCCCGAGCAGACGCCCCAGCTTCGACCCTGCGGGAATGATGCCATCACTGCCCGCAACCGCGGGTGCATGTTCGACCCCATCTCCATCGCCTGGCTGCCCGAATCCTGCCACGACTTTGAGCTGACCAAGGAGTTCCTTGCCGTGGAGCGCTGGCACTTCTGGACGCGTCCAGACACAAGCGATGCCATGTCCCTAGCAAACGTCATGCAGGGACAGCACTCGACTCTGTTTGTCAGCGAGACCTATCTGCGTCACCGCTGTGTGTTTGCGTGGAGGAAGCTTCATCGCGCGGTGCTCAACTCGACGGCGGTGGACGCCTACACGACGGGCTGGGATGGCATGATGGAGTGTGAGGAGCTGTTCAAGGATGGGAGGAGTGATGGCGGTGCACGATACGAGGTCACGGTTGGCTACCCGGCATGTATGGCAGAACTGTGAGTACCGGGCGTCGCTGGGGAGAGTCTCGTGTGACCTACTCTGCAGCTTAGATGGGCCGCGAAACACAACACATTTGGCCCAAAATTCGTTTGGCTTGATGCCTCCAGTGACCTGGATTGGAGTTTCGTCACACGCTGATACAATCTTGTGCATTCAATGAACCATGTGCAGTTTGAATTTCACTGTACGACTGTGTCTGTCTATCCCTTGCTCTGCACCTCGTCCTCATCCTCCGCCCCCGCCACTGTCACTTCCTGAAGACCCTCACAGCACGCACCTACGCTGCAATGTCGTTGTTGTGAGAGTTGTTAAAGTGCGCAAAGTCCATGTAATCCTTCAGCGCTTTCTGCTGGCTGTTAGCGCAACACAGTTCACTGGTCGATACGACTGGACTCACCTTGCTGGCACAGACATGAGGAATGTTGCCGCCGTCGACCTGGTACCTCCGGCCGTCCTTTTCAGTCCTGGGCCACTCGAGCGTCATGTCGGCCGAGCACTCGAAGCTCTGCCGGAAGTAGTCGAAGCAGTGCCCCGTGTGCGAGTCCTGCACCTCCGCACGCGCCTCGTCGGCAACCCCGGGCCTGTTGTTGAGGATGCCGTCGACCAGCCGCCAGAAGTTGCGGCGGACCAGGCCCAGGCAGTGCATCTGGTGGTACAGCGCTACGGAGTAGATTTCGCCGTACTCGGTCTCGATGCCGGGCTCGAGGCCGTACTCGGCGGCGTTTTCCACAAACACGTAGCCGCGGCCAAACTAGGCGACTCAGTCTTGGCGGTGCAGTAGGCCAGGAGTGCAGTTTGACTTACAGGCAAGAGGTCGTTCCACGCCTGGTTGTTTTCTGGCGTCGGCGGGTCCGCATACATCGTGTTAAGCTCAAACATGCGAATCTCCTTGGGAACTGTACTTATTAGCCCCGTCTCTTTGCAGAGTCTTGTTTCGCTTACATTCGGGCACCGGCGTCTTCAAGAGAGGCCCCTCGCCGCCCGCGCCGCGCCGGCAGTTGGGCGGGAAGGTCCACATCACGAGGCAGGTGATGGTGGATGTGAGCACCGCGTACGCCAGCACAAGCAACGGAGACTTCCAAGCCTCTCGGCTGCGACGGACGGAGCCGCGGCGAAGAGTGTCTGGCATCTCGGGGTCGAGAGGGTCTTCGGACTTGACCCTCGAATACCTCGTCGGCGACTGGCCAAACTTGACGCTGTTGGCAAAGATGTTCCTCATGTTCGAGTAGCCCATGACGGATAATTTTGGTGGTCGTTACAACAGGATATGGTGGCTGAAGTTACAGACAGACTTCACTCCTCGAGGACATCAAGACTATTTCCTATACGCAGAGCCAGGCATCACTGCTGCGCCGCTCGCGGCATCATCGTCACACGTGCAACTCCTCTCTAATCGCATGACTGAAGTTGCTCAATCAGGACGCAAACGATCTCGCCATCGGCTCAGCTACGCCACCGGCACTGTTGTGTCCAAAACGGCATCCTGGTCGAGACCTGCGTATGAGGGCTCACTTGGTGCGGCGGGGAAGTCGAGGCGAGACCTGCATGTGCTGCGGGACGCCACATGATGGAATCAATGCAACGCCGGGACTTGACCTCCGTGATATGGAACCGCCTTGACGATCGCACCGGTGGGCATCGTCGTCTGAGTTGAGTACGGACGGCGAGATGTTGGCTTTGATGGGTATCTGGCGGTCCCCGGGCCATCCTCAGGATTTCATCGAAACCCCAAGCTTCAAACAACTCCTTTCCGCACTCTATCACGATGCCTCGGTCAATTGACTCCTCGTCCGACTCTGACACGCTTCTCGGCCATGGCAGCTCGCCAGACAGGCTGTCTGTCGAAAAGTCGTCCCTTACCAAGTTTCCGCTCAAGAGACGATGGCGCAGCGCATCCGTCACAACTCCACTGATCCTGCACCTGTGCCTTGCCGCCTTTTACACCACGCTGTTCTTTGCCTTTTGGGACTACCAAGGCTGGAAACCCTCAGGCAGACACAAGAGCGGCTTGCTCGCTTACAGTATGTGAACGGCTCTGAGAGACGTGACCGTGCTAATGAGCGTAGGCCCGGCGTGGGAGGCCATCAAGTGGGAGCCACGGCTGTTTGAAAGCCAGATTGAGGCATCCAACTCATTCAAAGGACCCCCGAGGCCCGAGCTCGACGAGGCGTGGAACAAGCTCCTCGGGCCCACGTCGATTAGGGTGAGCAAGGAGACCTTGGACAGGATCAACCGCACCTCGGTGCCGTTGCTGGACGGATCCGGCTACATGGCCGGCCTGGACGTGTATCACCAGCTGCATTGCCTTGTGAGTTTGCTGGCCCCCTCGCGCTTACACTCGGTGACTCCTTTCCAGAGATACGTCCGGCGCTATCTCCACAAAGACTATTACAACATGACCGAGGAAAAGAATCTCGGCCAGCATATTGGTGAGCATGACACGCCGAGCCGCCTCACATCTGCTGACCGCTATAGACCACTGCCTGGACAATCTGCGCCAGTACATCATGTGCAACGCAGACGTCGTCATCCAGACCTTTGACTGGATCCCCAACTTTCATCGCCCCTGGCCCAATTTCCGCATCGTTCACGAATGCGCAAACTGGGACGCCATCGAGGAGTGGGCGTGGGCGCACCACTTTGACGGGTTTGACGAAAGCCTCCTCAAGCACCCCAACTTTCACCCGGAGCTGCGTAAGTGACCTCCAACTCTTGACTTCGGAGCTAATAGGTACAGCCGACCCGTTTGACTACTCTGTGAGCGGCAACGACGTCTAAGGGGTGGAAAGTGGCGTTATTCTGGGGGTCTAGGCTAGCATACGGTACTCAAATTGCTGCATGTTTCCTGTTCCAATGCTTGGCCAATTCAACACCTTGACTACAAGGCATAAGATGTAGTTTATCCAAAGTGCATAGGGGTTGATACACAGAGCGCCCTACTAGATTGTTCTGGAGCTTCCGTACATCCGAGCTACTCTCTCATCCCTTCCAGTCTCGAATCTCTGCGTTGACGTCCAAAGCACAGCCCCATCACATGCCGTTCCAGTCTGTTTCGCGGCAGCACAAACTCACCGCTCTCTGGCGTTCAACATACTATTGAAACACTAGACACACATGTTCTGCAGCTTCGCAGGAGTCATTTGTGACCGATGTCAGAGTTCACAGCCGCCGGTCACGCCAGACCAGCTGTCTCGGACATAGGCCCGGCTCGCATCTCGTCACAGTCACAGCTGCAAGCCGCATTCCAGCTCATGTCTCGAGGAAGATCATGGCTGAAAGCAAAAGGTTGCTGCGCATAGTCGTAGCGTTTGGTAGACTGCTTGACGGACCGCTGCATGTCTTGTTCGTGCAAGGGTGCGATGACAGATCAGTCGCCACGGCATGACACGTAGGAGGGGAGCACTTCGCCCGCGAATCCTTTCTAGTTGCGGCAAGGAAATGTCACTAAGTGAGATCGACGCAACGAGCGTTGACGCGTAACGGTCAAGCATCCGCAACTTGCCGTCCAAGCATCCGTCTGGAGCCATGGGCATCGGGGCTAGCCACGATCGAAACTCCCCTCTAGTCTGTCTATAAAATACTGCTTTCCTGGATACACAGGATCCTCACCAGGCAAAGGCATCAGTTCCTACCGTCACGTAATTCAACGACCTATCCTCAGTACAGTCCCTAGACTCAAAATGCGCGCTTCCGTCTTGATTGCTCTCCTCCCGGCGCTGGCTCTTGCCGCCCCTGCCGAGCGTAAGCCTCAGCGTTTGTGCCAGTTAATGAACATGACTGACGAGTGTAGCCCGCTCTGCTGGAAAGGCAGAGCCCGACCGCCACCAGGCGTACATCAAGCGCTCTGGTGCTGAGCCGGATCGCCACCAGGCCTACATCAAGGGACGCTCCGAGGCGGAACCTGATCGCCATCAGGCGTATATCAAGAGGTCTGAGGCTGAGCCGGATCGCCACCAGGCGTATATCAAGCGCTCAGGAGCCGAGCCAGACCGCCACCAAGCCTACATCAAGCGCAGTGAAGCGGAGCCGGACCGCCACCAGGCCTACATCAAGCGTGGTGACGCTGAACCTGATCGCCATCAGGCGTACATCAAGCGCTCCGAGGCCGAACCGGACCGTCACCAAGCTTACATCAAGAGGTCCGAGTCCGAGCCAGACCGCCATCAGGCTTACATCAAGCGCGGTGACGCTGAGCCGGACCGCCACCAAGCCTACATTAAGCGTGGTGACGCGGAGCCCGATCGCCACCAGGCGTACATCAAGCGCGGCGATGCTGAGCCTGACCGCCACCAGGCGTACATCAAGCGGTCCGGCGCCGAGCCCGACCGTCACCAGGCTTACATTTGAGGGCCGCTTTGACGGAAACTAGGCCTGCTTTGACCGGTGATCCTTGGTGGGAAGGATTCGCCGATTGGTTTGGTTGGACTGCAGGACGTAAACGCTCGATGGTTCCTGAGCGATAAGCTAGGACAGAACACTCCTTGACGTAGCTGAGATGATGGCCTATGGGTTTGAATGAAATGGGAGAGATAGTAATTACATTCGTTAAGTTGCTTACGGGACCTGCGAAGCAGAGTCACCCAGCCGTCATCGCAAACGCCGTCTCTGCCGTCCGGTGTAGGGTGAACGACAGACATGGGCCGGCCCGGTCCTCACACTCCCGAAACACTCAACTCCAACGCAGCTCTAGTGTCATGAACCAGCGCATCCCGTCGCGCATGTTTGAGGAACTGCAATGCCGGTCTCGCCTCGTGTCTCTGCGGCCTGGGCGGGGTGACATGGCGTGCCGCCCTGCTGCCGTGCGCGCCGAACGGGTCAGACATCTCAACTGCTGGAGCGCAACGGCTGTCACACGCATGTGTCTCCGCGCGGGACACTGAGACATGCATCCAAGCCTCTGGCACAGTCACAGCTTCTATCTGAGCGAACATGAGGGGAACGGACTCAAGGTCGGGAAGCTGGAGCGACCAGGATATAAATCGACCCTCTTGCGGCCGTGTAAGTCGCATCAGACACCACTCACTCACTCCCACCCACCACCACTCCCATCTCACGCACTCCCACTCCCCCAAACCCCCCCTAAAATGCCCCTCCAAATGTCCCCCGCCACCGTCGACGACGCCCCCGCCCTCGCCGCCATCCTCATCGCCGACTTCCTCGACCCGGACCCCTGGACGCGCCTCTGCTACGGCGGCATCGACCCGGCCGCCCGCCTCGCGCACCTCACCGCCGGCCTGCGCGAGGACCTCGCCAGCCCCGAGTTCCCGCTCGCCGTGCAGACGATGCGCGACGCCGACACGGGCGAGATCGTCGCCTTTGCGCAGCTCAACGATGAAAACGTCCCGCCCATCGAGAACCGCGCCCCCGTCGAGCCCATCACCAAGCCGTCGGGGTACAACGTGCCGCCTATTCGTGACTACTTTGCCAAGATGTCGGCGGCCAAGAAGCGCGCCATGGGCGATGCGCCGTATCTGCGTGAGTGCATGCCTCGGTTTGGGAGGGGGACAAGACGTGAAGGCCCGCTGACGTGCGCAGACCTCGTCGACGTGGCTACCAAAAAGGCGTACCGGCGCCGGGGTATAGGCTCGGCGCTGATGCAATGGGCCATGGCGGAGGCGTCCCGACGGCAGCTGCCCATCTACGCCGAGGCGTCGCCCGACGGACAGGCGTTTTACAAGCACCTCGGCTGGGGTGTCCTCGAGACGTGGTCCGTGGACATGGGGCAGTACGGCGGAAAGGGCATTTACACGGAAGAGGGCATGACCTGGCCGCCCAAGTCGCGAACTTGAAGTCTTGTGCTGTTGAATCACCCAAGGACACAAACGGTCGACACAAGGGCGGGCAGCGCTCATGTCAGCTTAGAATCCGATGGGTATACTTGCAAGTCTGTCTGGTGTCCCTTTTGCCTGGTCCCAACCCAACGCCGCGCATTGAAGCAACGAAGTCAATACTTCCCCCCTCAAATCGGCGACCCTGCAGAGCCCGTCGGCGCGTTGTAGTTACCAAAGCCACCGTGCTCCGCCGCCCCGTTGTCCGCCTTCATCGTGCCGTTAAGCAGAGGACATAACCTAGACGCGGTTAGCAGATGTCTCGCTGACGCCATGTCCCTGTCCGCGTGCACTAGAGCCGGAGCCGTCCGTAGCTGTACTTGGGCCTGGCGGCCTCCTTTTCGGCGCGCTTGCGCTGCTTCTCCTCTTCCTCCTGCTGGCGCTTGCGAGCTCGCTCTGCCCTGTCGCGCAGCGCTTGCTGCCGCTTGCGCTCCTGTTCTTCCTGCGCCTTGCGCCTCTGCTCCACGCGCTCCCGCTCCTTCGCCTCGCGCTGCTCCTGGAGCTGGCGGTCTCGCTCGAGACGCTCGCGCTCGGCCTGCGCCTTGGCGGCCGCCTTTGCAGCCCTCTCCGCCTCCAGGGCCACCTGCTTTGCGTGAGCGAGCCTGGCCTTTTCATCGGCAGCGCGTTGCTCGTCGGCACGACGGAGCATTTGCCGAAACGCATTCTCCTTCTTGCGTCGGCCCGTCTTGCCCTTTCCTTTTCCCTTTTCCTTTTCGTCCGGCTCAAGTGCACGCCACCAATCGAAAGGCAGAGGGGGTTCTGGGACTATACTTTTTGTTGGTCTTGATATGCCCAACCTGTCCGCAATTGGCACACTTTCGAGTAGTCCCTGTAGGAATCTTCTCGGCTCCGGGCCCAGGAGACCCAGCGTCCCCGGCGCTTGCTTTCTGGTGCAGTTCCTTTTGTTGCTCTCGGGCCTGTCGTCTGGCCTTGTTCTTTTCGAGCCGCTCGAGTTCCTTTTTGATTCTGCGACGGGTCAGCGGCCGCAATGGCCCGCAACGGGGCCGGCGTAACATACCTAAGGTTTGCAAGGCGGTCATGGTCGGCATTGCCCGTAGGCCGTGCGCTGTAGATGCTGCAAGATAGACATAAGCAGGTGCCCTCAACTCGATGCCAACAAAATCAACGACCGAGCCCGGGCCACGCCAAACTTTTGGCGTCGTGTACAGCCTCACTAGACACTGCACCCTGTGCAACGCTCGGACCGCGGGCGGCAGTCGGTTCCAGACCCGAGGCACAGGCCGGGATCGGTGCGGGGAGCGGGTGGTTTTGTAGACGTACTCGCGCAGTTCCAGGTCGGCCTCTGTGCGCCGCTTCATGTACTGCGAAATCACGACAGGGTCGTGGACGACTTCGATGCGCGTCTGCGTCGTGCCGTCGGCCATCCGAACCTCTCGCGATATGCGGATCGCGCGCTTGCCGTGGCGGTTGGTCGACGTCGTCAGTCCGCTAATCTGGCTCACGCCCTCGTCAAAGTGTGCTGGCGTGGCTGCGGCGTTGACGTTGAACCGGTCGTCCTCGTCCTCGTTGACCTGCACGTCGCCGTCGTCGTGCTGCTGGGTGTCGGAGAGCGTCGACTTCTGCTTCTGCCAAATGTCCCGGATCCCCCCTTCGTACATGGCCTGCTGCTTCTTGACGTTGTAAGCGTGCCCGCCATTAGCGCGCTTCTCACGCTCCATGGCGTCAGCCGAAGTGGCCAGCGGGCCCTGGACAGCCTCAATGTATCCGCCCTTCATGGACGTCCGGATGAAACTGAACCCCAGTCCGTGACCCGTCGGGTCGCCTTCTCCGTGCAGCTGCAGCATGGCCTTGCCCTGGCAGGCGTCGATAAAGGCCTTGGTCGTCTTCCACGGTGCCATCTTGTCGGCGAGCGTCTCTTCCTGCTTCTCCTGCGGCTTCTTGGTCGCCGTCGTCTTGGTGATTTTGCTGGCTTCGTCGTCGACGCCATCCGCCGCCTCGCCGTCCTCGCCTTCCGCGTCAGCCTGCCCGTCTTCGTCAATCTGTGCGTTTCGGGGGTCGTAGCCGGCGTCCTCGAGCTCCTTGATGCCGAGCTGCATCGAGTCGAGCAGGCTGACCTCTTCAGGCTTGATCATGGCACGTGTCCCCGCCTCGTCGGGCACCACTTCGCCAGGCCGCAGCCGCCACATGCCCTTTTCGCCGCTCTCCCTGTCGTACTGGAGGAATTCTTTGAGCTTCTGCCGGTTCTGCGTGTCGGTCGAGTCGGCAATGTGCTTGGTGATGTCGGAGAGCTGGCAGTTGTCCGTCTTACTATGGCGAATCATGCGGAACGCCAACATCTTCATTCTGTTCTTGGACGCCGTCGTCACCTTGCGGCTGTGCGGGCCGGGGACCTCGACCGAGGGGAACTGCTGGCCGACGACGTGCAGGTGATCGACCCGGCGCAGGTACCACCTCGAGCCCTCGACGCCCGTCGTGCTGCGGACCACGAGGAAGTCCGAGTTCCGCGGCGTGTGCCTAAAGACTGGCGCCCGGTACATTTCGTTGTGCAGCGTCGGGACCGTCTCGCCCGCGTCGACGGTGCCGAACAGCGCAAACGGCGAGCGGTCCTCGGGCAGAAGCATGCGGTACTCGCCCAGCTCGCGCTTAGGGAGCTGGTCTTCCTCGTTGGCGCTGTCCTTGCGGCGGTAGTAGTTGATGAGCTTGCTGCCCATGCCAAAGTTGTTGAGCACGCGCGGCCGCGGCTCGCAGTACTCGAACAGCACGGCCGTCGAGTTGTCGCCCATGCTGAGGTCCTTGGACTGCACAAACACCTCGTGCGCCTTGCCCTTCATCTGCTTGCGCTTGAAATGCTGCGGCTTGTCGAACTTGATGGCGTGGCCCGCAAACTTCTTGTAGCGGAAGCGCGGGCGGTGGTACTCGTCGGTCGTGCCGGCCAGCTTGACCTTGTAGTAGGGCCAGGTGAGCTTGATGGCGGGCATGCTGTGGTCGACCGAGATGTTGCCCAGCGTCGCGCGCACCTTGCTCTGGTGGTTCTCCTTGAGCAGCTCGTACGCGTCGTCGTTGGACAGGTTGAAGCGTGAAGACAGGTCCCTGCGCCCCTTTGCGCGCATCTTGGACGCGTCGAGGCGCGCGCGCTTGGACGGGTGCTGTAGGTCCGTCTCGAGGAGGAGGTATGGATCCGACATATCGAGGTACACGCGCTTCGACCCGCGCTGGGTAGCGTCCTCGAAGTCGTCAAACGACGGTGCCGTGTAGCGGGGAATGTCCGGCAGCCCCGGCTCAACACTGCGCCGCCTCTTCGGCCGCGGCTCGTCCGCATCCATGAGAAACTCGGCGTCCCACTCGTCGTCCTGCTCTGCCTGCCTCTTGCGCGATTGAAGCTCCTTCTCGGCGGCCTGCCGCGACCGGAAATCGGCCTCGATGTCGACGATGCGGGCGTTCCAGTCCTCGCAGGCCATTTCAATGTCTCGCAGCGTGAACCCGTGGATCGGCTCGGCGTCCGAGTCCTGGTCGATGTCGAACTGCGCCACCGTCTCGCTGGTGGCGTTTTCTTTGTCGCAGAGCACGACGCCGGCGACCTGGGCGTCGTGCGGACGCGGCTTGCCGGACGCGGCGCCCGGGATGCGAAACTGCTTCTCTTGGTCGCCGAACATTTCGAGCGACTGCTTGCTGGTCACCAGGTGCTTGGGCTTCTTGGCCGGCTTCTTTTCCTTCCACACGGCGCGCTTGGGCGGCAGCAGATCGCTCCAGACCAAAATGTGTCCCTTTTTGTACGCCGGCCATGCCGCCTTGAGGATGTCCTGCGCAGACTCGGCTGCCGCGGGGATATCCGGATCTTGGTTCGCGGACCCGTTCAGGTGCGGGTCGGGGTCAAAGTTGATGAACCCATCGTCGGTCGGGTGAGCCTCGTCAGTGTCGTCTCGAACCTGCGGCGCGGGCGACGACGGACCGAGCACCGGATCAGGGGAGGATGGCCCTTCACCGAACAGGTCGTCGGCATCGTTGCTAGTGCCGCCGTCGTCCGTCAGGCCTGGCAACTCAAAGGACGTGCCCCCGCTGGGCTCTTCGTCGGGCAGGTCGTCGTCGCTGATGTCCTCAAAGTCTTGCGCATCGTCCGCCTTGCCCGACTGGTCAAAGGGCGTGTCGTCGAGGGCGAGTCCGTCGGCGCCGCCCTCCTGGCTCTGTCCCAGCAGCTTCGCGATCTCGCGCTCGTCGGCTGCATCCTGCGCCTTCCAGTCCTCGGCACGAGGCGAGGCGCCGTTCGCTTCCGCCATGGTGTGTCGCTGGCGTCGGCCTCCGCTGCAGCGCGTTCCAAGCTGCGCCGTCACATGTGTCGACCCGCGCGCGATGTACTGTGTCGATATGCCGCGCCGGATAAGAGTTGGCGGCGGGCTCGAGGCGGCTTGATGCGAGGCCGAAGTCGTGAAGGTGCGTGAACGAAGTGAGGAGGGAGGCTCCGCTGAGTCATCCAAGTGGGTCCGCGCGCTGGCCACTCGGGTGGTCCCAAACGCTTGGTGTCAGTTATTTGGGAGGCGCCCAACCCGGTAGCTGTAAGCTCCACAACGTATGATGCCTGCGGCGCGGTGACGATGCCGACTTTGGGGAGCGTCAAGACAGATCCGAGCCGTCTTTGGATGCGGCGCAGGTTGTGAAGCGCTTGATGAGAGCTGAGTCAGGTGCAGTGCGGCAGGAGTGCAGGAGGAGTGCAGGTGCGTTTTGTGAAGTGGTGAGTTGAAAAGGGAGCAGAGAGGGCCGAAGCCATGGAAAGCGTTTCGCAGTGAGTGACTCTTCGCAGCGCGCAACAATAGCAAGCTCGTGATCAGTGCCAGGCACACAATGCGAGTCACAACAATAGGGCACCCGAGGCTCATATGACTTTGGTCTATTCAGGCATGTTCGTCATTATCTAAGCATATAGCTGGTCTAAAAGCACAAAGCAGCGCTGACGGCCGCGCCTGGGTATCTATGCCTCGCGGCCACATCACTCGTACAGCCCCAAAGTATCAGTAAATCCACCTCTTATGCCAGGTAGACGGCGGCCACGACGGCAGCCACCGCCGGCCAGAAGCCCGCCGCCTCGGCGAGGCTGCGCATGCCCGTGCCGGCCGACGACTCGGAGCTCTCGTCGGGCCCGTCGGCCGTCGTGCCGTTGGGCAGCGTGCCGTTGATGAGGATGGTCTTGTCGCCCTTGTAGTCGCCGATGTTGACGACGCTCTTGTTGAGCGCGCCGTAGGACCCGTTGCCCAGCAGCTCGTCGTAGTAGGCGGTGCTGTTGTTCTCGTCGCACCCGCACTCGGCGTACTTGGCGCATCCGCACATGACCTTGGCCGTCTCGTTCTTGTCGGACGTCGAGTTGTGGTAGTGGTGGACGTAGTGGTACGGGTACATGTAGGCGCCGTACAGCCAGACGCCGGGCCAAAAGGCCAGGGCCGCGCCGCCGACGAGGGCGAAGGGGAGGATGCCCGCTCCGGGGCTTCGGCCGCCCGACTGGTACGGCCGCGAGCCGCCTCCGCTGTAGAAGCGGCCGCCGCCAAACCGAGGCGTGGGCCCGCTGCCGCCGCGCGACGTGCCTCCCGAGTTGGAGCCTGAGCCTGTGTTGCCGGTGCTGTCGGTCTGTCAGTACGGTCATCATGTCTCTGCAACGAGGGAAGACACTTACGATCCGGAACCGCCGCGGGATCCTGAGCCGCCGCCGCTGCCAGACCCTCCGCTGCCGCCGCTGCCGCCTCGTCCACCACTGCTGCCGCCTCCGCCGCTGCTCCCGCCTCCGCCTCCGCCTCCTCGCCCGCCGCCTCCGCCGCCTCCTCGCCGCTTGTAGAGTTCCTGCTCGTCCTGTGCGCCCATGTCCATCCTGACGATGTTCCGGGGCCCGTCAATCGCGACGGCCGCCCCCGTGCTGAGCAGCGAGGCTGCGATGAGCGCGAGGTCGAAGCGCATGATGTCGGTTGTGAGCTGTGGACCGACGCAGTTGGTGTATGAGAGACAAAGGACCCGCTCGGGAGGTGAAACTGGTGATGGATGTTGGTCTGCTGGCGGAACAAAGCCAAGCCGAGGGGCGTCGCCTTTTATCAAGCCCGAGGCCGCTAAATAACGGATGGCCCCAGGCGTTTTACAACAGTGGCTGTAAGGCCTAGCGTCGCCAATCTCCACGCCGGGCGGATGGCGTGGGCGCCGGAGAAGCACAGCGCGGAGCTAGCGGATGATTTCACCCAGTGGGGGTGGTGGGTGACGATGGGAAGGCAAGGAAGGGTCGACGGAGCCTCGCCACCCCTGGCCGTCGCCAGCGAGGTGATGAGGTCACCACATTTCACTGGTCTTTCTTGGTGGCGACGGCGCGTTTGGAGGTCCTCGCAAGTCAGCCGGCAATTTCAAATCTCCAAGCATCCAAGCCCAAGGTGCCTGCAACTCAGCCGTGCAAACGCCATGTTGCTGTTGGTGGACGTCGACCAACGCCCAGGCGCTGTTATCCGAGCAGACCGCCGCAGTCGTCGTCGCGTGGCTGGCATGTTGGGCGACACCGGAACCCATGCTGACAGTGTTTAGCGCATCTGATGGCAGCGCCGGATACACCCTGTAATTGTCTGCGGCGCCGATTCGGCGATGGCCTCGTTTGGTGAGCGACCCTGCATCTCGTCGTCAGCGGCGGCTGTCGCCAACGTGCTGACCAGGCTTTGGGAGGACGCCGACGCCTGCGCCAGGCGGATCTGCGCATCCGCATCGCCATCGCATCTCTGATTGAAAATGGTCCGTGATCTGCTCCGTCCATGCCTGCCTTGCCGCCGTGACGCGGTGCGATGCGATGGCCCGAGCTGCACAGCGATCGCGTCGCAGAGCTACCCAAGTTGCTGCTCACCTCGCTGCAGGGCCCCCATGCCCCCCAAAGTAAGCTTAAGCGGACCCACTGCGCAGCCACCGCCCTGGACCCTTGGAGGCGCCCAAACGTGCTGTCCCAGTGGCTGCCTTCCAGAAGGGTGCCCGTCTCAGCGAGGCTGTGCTGGAGTTGTGTTGCACAAAGCCTCGATTGGCGCGCACCCCAGGTTTGCCTCGCGCACAGCCTGGCTGCGGGGGGCGAGCTTCGTCCGCGCTTGTCCGTTGCGCATCAAATGGGCGAGCCCGTGATCGCGCGCGTATGCGTGTTGGCGAGCTGTGGCGCCTCCTGACTCTTGAGGCATGCCCGGTCGCAGGCAAACCTGCACTTTGGTCCCGACGAGGCGGAACGAGAGAGCACAAACTCCACAACAAACATTCTTGGTGTTTCAGAGAAGCAGGCACACACAGAGCCTCACGAGCCACATCACTGACAGCAGTGTGTCGGTCTCCCCTGTCATCTGTGCAGGGCACGGCAGAGGCGGCATCAAGCGTTTCCGGCCACGCAGTAGCCGGCTTGGCACGGGGCAACTTTTTCCACTTTGCCAGCTCCCCGCCTCTAGCAAAGTCGGCGACGGCCCAACTCCTACCTGCCCAACATCTGCCATGTGGGCCACTGAGCCTGTCGTGTCGCTGTGCGGCCAGGGCGTAAGACGGGACGCCCCGTGTTCCTGAGCGCCCAGCCGCCAGACATCCCCAGCAGTTGATCGCCAACGCCAACTAAGCCTCCCGCGAGGCTTGGGCACTCACCTGGGCTGCTAGCATCGCTGCGGGATGCAAAATCCGCGTGACAGCGCCTGAGCTGAACCCACAAAGATGATGATCCGCTCTCCCAGCCCCGCGGAGACTGAGCAAGCGTCCTCGCTCGCAGCAGATCATGCTGTGTTGGCTGTGTCGATCTTGCAGAAAGCATATTGCAGCCTAGCACTGAGCCTTCTTTGGGTTGAAACTCACAGAAACCAGTCACGAGAGTAAATTTGCAACCTGTGGCGAAGCAGAGTATGATGTAAGTGAGTGCCTGTGGGCATACCCAGCTACATGTATCGCTCCTCATAGCCACCAACGCGATCTGGGGCTGTCATGTTGGCATGGTGACCATTCGAGTCATCCAAACCTTCGAGTATGCCCCGCGCCATGCTCTCTCCTTGATTTTAGGAGCACCGCGTCAGTCTGCAGTCTCAAGCAAGAAAGGGTCCTCATCTGTCCCCCCGGCTGACTCGGATTGCGCCTGCAGGGGAACACTCATGATTGCCTGAATCATAAGCAATGGCCGCGCAACAAAAGCGCATCTGATCCTTGTGCGCTTTCTGACAGACACTCAACACAGGTCGATACGGTATCGTGAGGCACTGATGAGCTTGAACCAGGCTGAGCGCTGTCGCCCCTGAGCGCCACGACTCCTGAGTGAGCAGTTCGTCCCGGAGTACAGCTACTGATAAGGTTTGTCGCAGAGAGGCCTTCGTCAAGCGTCGTAGTATGGGCATCTGAAGAGATGGTCGAATGGATTTGCTTTCGTAGCATTTCAGGGTAACAGACGCTTGCCAGAATTCTGAGCGGCGTATGTGTGAACAGTGTGGCTAACAATCAATCGAGTTCAATTTCGACCATCAAACTCGATTGATTGAAGGTATGTCCAACTCGATTGAAGCTTGACTTGACCTGTCAATGAGCTTGATTGACAACTTGTCAAGTACTTGATGTACTATACCTAATCCGGTAATTTGTATAGACCTCGAGGTGTCACAATCCCATGCAAAATCTTGGAAGTAATCCAATTCTTCTGTATCATCTCAGCTTCAACTGTGTCATCGCCGAGGCCGTTGCGCTTATCGGTGATAAGCTCGCCGCCGTCGGAGAATACGCGCTCTGGCTCTGCGCTCATCGCCGGCGTACTGAAGATGTTAAGGGCAAGTTTGCTGAGAATGGGCCAAACGTGGCGTCGGTCCACCCACCACGCCAGAGGATTCTTAACGTTCATGTCGTCCTTCGACGGCACCTGCTTTATCCAGACCTCCCACTCAGTCTCCACCTTCCTCCTCTTGCCACGGTGTGGTCGATCTGTTGTATGGCCCCAAGCATCGAATTCGTCGTCGATCGTCGGCGAGGAACAAGGAGAAGTCTCGGCCTGGTCGACGTGGTCAGTGGCCACCGTGACTGCGGCGAAGCGATCGTAATATGCAGTTAGCTCCTTCTGTGCTGTCCTTATCCAATCCTCTCGCTTCCACCACTTCGCCCTGAAGTATTCGAATTGGTAGGCTGGGTGGAGAGCGATGGCCATACGGTAGATCGGTGATCGGTCGGTGAGCTCGTAGTACGTGTTGATCTTCGACCATGCAGCGAGCACGCCTGCGGAGTAATAGGGCGAAAGTTCGTCCTTGTTATCAGCATCCATTGCGTGTATCTCTTCTTTGACGCTCTCAAGCTTCGTGAGCAAGAAGTCCATGGCGTAAAGTACCTGCCACACCGAGCCTTGGCCGCCTTCGTTGCCCTCGCCATCTGCACGGCATTGTAGTCGCTTCGTGAGTCGCTCGAAGGGCTGCAGGAGCCTATAGAAGAGCTCAAGCTCGTGCCAATCAGCCTCGGTGAGGAAGTCATTCTTGTGCTTGTCGTTTTTATCCGGAGGCTTCCACTGCGCCTGGTAAAGATCGATGGCAGGCCGACACTTAAGAGCACGCTCGATCATGTAGAACGTCGCGTTCCATCGAATGCCACCGTCACTGAGGAGCACGCCGACAAACAGCATGCCGTCGCTTGTCTTCGTGACGCGCATGCGAGCTCTCAACTGCTCACGGCGTGCGTCGTTTCGATTAATGTAGACAACGAGGTTGTGCAGCTTGCCAATGACGCCTTTGAGGGTCCAGAGAGCTACACGCTGCTCCTCCGAAGCCTCAATAAGATTCTTCTCCCACGCGCTGACGCCTTCGCCAAATAAGAGAGCCTTAACGACGAGATTAATAATATGGCCGATACAGCGAATACGGTCTGCTTCTGGATCGATCGAGGAAAAGGAACGCTGTAACACCTCGAGGCATTTGTCGTTGTCATCAGCGTTATCCATAACGAAGGAGCCGAGCTTCTCGCCGATGCCGTATTGTAGAATTACTGGCTTTACCAGTGCTGCGAGGTCGTCGCCAGTGTGACCGCCATAACGTCGTGGGAAGCCGAGGAGGAGTGTTCGAGGATGGCCTTGGCCATCGACGAAGTGTCCGCAAACAGCGACGTACTCTCTGCGATTGTGAGCTCGCCATCCGTCGATCGAGAGGTTGATGGTGCTGAGTGCAGACTGCACCAATTCGATGATGAATGGTAAGCGTGCTGCCATCGAATCCTTAATCCACCGCGAGAGCGTTGAGTGATGCGTTGGTAACAGGCGCGCGAGCGGAGGCTTGCCGTATGTGAGTAAATCAGTGGTCGACTCGTCCGTGACTTCTCGGTAGCTAAGGCGTAGCTTGATGGCCCAGTCAATGAGCTTTTGCTTGTACTCATCCTCATTAAATGGCATGATGAGCTGGAAAACTTCTGCGGCGTTGGTGGTGTCGATATCATCGTCATCGGTGGTCGAATTCGAAGGCCGTTTGATCTTGTGGAACTCTAAAAGATGCTGGATTGCGGCCGTCGTCGATTCTGCTGCGAATAACTGGCTGGTATACCGCTTCTTGGTATGGCAATCGGCGCATAGGAAGTACTTGTCATTACTATGCTCCAACTCTGCTCCATATGAATAGATCCACGAGACCTTCACTCGTCTGCCCACGTTCCTCTTGTCCCGTATGCGATACTGTATACCCTTGAGAATCGTGCCATCGTGTCGCCGAAGCACGCCCCAGTCAATGGGGAACGACAGAGAATGTGGAGGGCAGGTAGACCGATGGAGAGGTTGCTCCACGCCTGACGTTCGCTCGGTCGACGGTATCGGCTCGTTTAGATCGGTAGATTGCCTCGAGGAAGACGTCACAGATAAGTTTCGCGGGCTTGACGACCGGCTTGGGCCCCAAAACGCGTGTAGCGACATCATAACGCGTCGATTCGACGCGTTGTGGATAGCGGCTTGGTGGAGCAGGAGTAGGGTTCCACTTCGCCTGGGTGAAGATCCCAGTGTGGGCAATGCGCTAAGCTATTCTACGTGCCATAACCGCACAACGGCCCCCCCGATTCTAAGCAATGTAATTGGCCAATTTCGCACCGGTCCAGGGTAGTGATCTCCTCTTGATTATTGACATCAAGTACTTGACAACTTGACACTCTTGCAACTTGATTGATTGAGTACAGCTATTAAACTTGACTTGAGAACTTGACTTGACGGGAAGTCAAACTTGATTGAGACTTGTCAAGTTCGAGCTTGATTGTTAGCCACACTGTGTGTGAAAGTAAATCAAATGCAGTTCATCTTTCTTATCGCTCAAGTGCTACGAGTGCCCGTAGCATGATAACAGACTGTCGCAAAACAGTCGAACCCGCTCTGCCACCCTCGGCCGTCGCATGATCTGGTGTTCAATGTCAATTTGAGCAAGGCACTGTTTGCACAGCAGCATGGACATCATCGGCTCACTCGCCCAGTTCTCCATCGCCGCCCTTCCTGTCCTCGGTGGTTCCACTCACTTACACACGCAGACCGAGCGCCGAGAGCCGAGAGCCGAAGCCGAGACCCGCTCGTATGTCGATTCTCGACCCCTCCGTGACTCGACTGACTCTCCGGAAGCAACAATTGAAGTTCATCCAAGTACATCCTGTGCCGTCTTTTAGCATGCCAACCTCAGGATCTCCCTTTGGCGCCAGCGTGCCTCGACGCCGCAATGGGCGGCCGCAGGCGTGTGAGCCATGCCACAAGCGCAAGGTGGCCTGCGACCATGCCTTCCCCGTCTGCTCACGGTGCAAGCGCGGCAGAATCTCAAATCGCTGCGTCTATGTCGTCCAAAACGACACTCCCGCCCGGTCACCACCTCGAACCCGTCAAGCCAACCGGCAGCGCGTCTCGCGGTCCCCTACCCCCTTCACGCCGCAATCGGACGGCACCCAGGGCTTCCTCGGCGCGACGAGCTACACTGCTGTCCTGCAGGAGGCCCAGAGCAGCTTGACACCGACGCCCGGCGAGCCTTCAGGCTCCATCGACGGGCATGACGGAGCCGTCTCGCGGTTCTCGCTAGACGATAGGTCCTATGACACTGCCATGAGGGTTCTGCGCAACGTCCCTTGCGAAGAAGACTGCCGCTTCCTGCTCAAGTGGAACGTCAACCCCAACGAAGGCTGGTGCCGCACTGCAACCGAATGGCTCATAGACACCCTCTGGACGACTTTTGGGCCGCTGCTCCGCGACGGGACGCCGAAAGCGCTCACGCAGATGGCCTTGACGCTCTCCCGCAATAGCTCCCGGGTGCTCAGAGAAGATTACACCGAGCCGCGCGAGTGGTTCACGAGCTTCTCTGGTCCAAACATGCGTTGGGAGTCCCTCGGCATACTCTTTTCCTCGTGGGCGTTGGGCGCAAAGGCCGCGCCTCACTCGTACGCGGGCGAGCAAGTCACCAGCGAAGAGGCTCAAAAGAGTCTTTGCAAGTACAAGGAGTGCTCGTGGGGCTGCATCGAGATTACGCGAAACATGGCCAGCGCAAACACGCTGCTGCAACACCTCGTCTGCAGGCAGAGCATCGTCGAGTCCATCGTCACCGGCGACAGCAGTGAGTCGCCCTGCCGCGCCACTACGCGGGATTTCGCTGACACGAGCAGGCCCGCAGCATTGGCGACTCCATGGGGAGTCACTGAGCTTGGCCACGTTCCTCGGTCTACACGCGTCTCCGGGGGACCTCCGGGATCGCTCCATTTGTACGCAGATCAAGAGGCGTCTGTTTGCCAAGGTCATCATCTCAGACAAGCTCATGTCGACCTTTACGGGTCGACCGCCCCACGTCGCTCGCCGATTCGTTTCCACGCCGCTGCCGCTCGACATCCCAGACGACGTCCTCCTCGGGCTGACGCCATGGAGCGACGACCTGGTCGACGAGAACGGATGGAACACGCGGGGGAAAATGTACGCCACCACGTTGCAACGCGCTCGAGCAATGATTGCTTTCGTGCGAGACTCTATCCTGGACATTGCATTGCAGCCCATCGAGCACGGAAGTGCAGAGCCGCTTATGTGAGTGTCTTTAGAATCCACCAAGGCCAAAGCTAACTGTTCCAGCGGTCTGAAACAGCAGCAACTGCAACTGCTATCACAGCTTCCTGCGAGCATCATGTTTCGACAGGAGGACGTTTCGAGCCCAACAGTCGACGGCCCGACGCTCTGTGGCAAGCTGCTGGTGCAGCTGGAACACCTGCAGAACCTCTTCTTTATCGAGCGCCTTCTCGACCGACCAAGCACGCGGCCAAGCCTGCCGCTCCTGGACGTCAGCTTGGAGCTCGTCTCGCTGACGCTCGTGTTCTGGACGCACAAGGACCGAATGAGCGGACTGCACGGCGATTTCGAGTGGCTCGTCATGGGGTACGCGGCGCCGGCGGGTGGTGTTTTGTGCCTCGAGCTGCTTCGCGGCTCAGGTCCGTCCATGTCGCGGCGCTCCAGCGTGATTCAGCAGCTGAGTCTGCTGGTCGGGTTCCTTGACTGGGTCGGCCCCGCGGCCCCGAACGGCGATCTGTGCAGCGACGTCAAGAAGGTGGTGCGACACGTCCTTGACCAGACACTAAACTCCCCTGGCCTGGACAAGGCGGACGGCGTGGACTCGATGGGGTCCCTGGCGGACATGAATGACTTTTTCAACTTTGAGCTGTTGGACACATTTGACTGGCTGAGGCCTGAGGCTGGGGAGCGAGTGCCTTGACAGGACTCCCTGGTGCGTTGCCGGGGACAGCCTCGCCCGCACAACGGACGCACGTCTTGTTCACATTCAAGGTCTGGCAATGCGGTGGCCGGTCACATGACTACAAAGGCATGGCCAGCTGTCACGCGTTCTGCGCACGTTCCGGCGGTGTGAACCTGGGCCGTGATTCACCGCCTGAGGCAGACCGGCAGCTGCCTACAGCTGCCACACAGTCGCGTCCGTATGCCGTTCGTTTGCCCTCCTCCCTCCACAGCACCAAGGATTCTGTCTTTTGTTGCACAGCCATTCCCAGCTCTACGCGACTCTATCTTCCCACAACAACACTCGTCGTCTCGTTGATGCGCAACAATCATTCGAGCCGACATCAGACTTCTTTCCCAACTACTCCGCCTTTGCATTCATGAAGCAAAACAATGGCGCGACTACTGGAGAACTGGGGGAGCATTCACTGGAGGGATAGCCGTCCCATCCATGCAGCGGACTCACACCCATTCATGACCCTGGACTGGGGCAATCCTGCAGACACAGCAAACCGCCGCCTTCATCTCCGAGATTTCTACCAATATCACGGGGTAGAGCATGGCTATGAACAGCTTTTCGACGCTTGCGAGCGCGACGTTTGCAAGATGCTACGGTCATTTGGCGAATCTACGTTGTCCGAGCTGAAATTCAACTACTATGTCGACTTGGTGGTTTGGAGGCGCACTTGTAAGCTCATACTAAACTTGAGCCATGAGATCCCGTTAGTGCTAACTTGCCAGTCAATACTTTTGAGCCCTCTCAACAGCCCCAGTGGCCCTTCCGTGGAGTCCGCGACCGCTTTGATGAATGCGGCCCGCCCTCTCAGGTCTACAGCGACTTTCTGGCGAAAGAACGCGAAACAGCGTCCCCCACCCGCACCACGACTCTCTCCGCCACTTCTGCGGAAGCTGAAGCTACGCCTGAGGTCGATGAGCACACAGAAGAGGGCAATGCTGTCTTGGAGGAGACCCAGGGCCCCACGTCGATGGACTTGAACACGGCAGCCAATCCTCAGGCTCAGCAGCCTGCAAAGGCAAGTCGAAGATTGGACACGACGGACCACGCAGCCGATTCCACCGCTGAGCGACCCGCAAAGCGGCTCTGTGGGAATGAAGCACCCATCCAGAGCCCGGTTCCAGACCAGGCTGAACCCGAAAACTGCGCGAATTGTGGCGATGTTTCACACATGCTCGGCACGTGTCCCATACCCAGCGACAGGGGTCTTCTTTACGGCTGCCCAATGTGCAACTCAATTGAGCACAACATCAATGAGTGTGCCGAGTGGCCAAGTCTTCCAATCGGGGACAAATATCAGTTCCTCGTACTCGACCGTGGTAATATGCCTCCTTTGGCTACGCGCGACAGCCGTCTTTGGTACAACGTTCTCGTCGCCCACCTCCAGGTCTCTCCCGAAAATTGGCCGCCAACTATTTTCCCGTGGACTCCGGCATTTGGTCGCCAGATTGCGCAAGAGCTGGCTTCTCAGAACGGCAGAGGCCACCCAGTCAGTCGGTATCGTAATCGTTGGTTGCTGCCAAGCGACCCTCAGACCAGGGATTGGCCAAGTGTCCAGCGGCACTTTGGGAACGTGCAGCGAGTCTGGTTGTTTTAGGTTTTGAAAAGTTGGGCATTGTACGTGGGCTTCTGGCTGTAAAAGGACCAAATTGATGGCTTTCTGCTTTACAGTAGCTTCTATACTGCGTGTGTTTGTTCGTGAAGTACCCGCCTCGACGAGAGTGGGCGTGGCCTGGGCCAACGCACCTTCCCCAGTCTCCCCAGTCCCCACGAACTTGGGCAGGCTAAAGGGATCTGACAGCTCCACACCCCGCGTTTTCATTCCACGACAGTCATTGAACCATCGTCAACTAACGCCGACGTCGGACGCGTCCGTCCAGCACCGCGATGACGCTGGATGCCCAGGCTCAGGCGTGTGAGCGCTGTCATCGCCGCAAGACGAGATGCGACAAGGGGCGGCCGGAATGCGGGCCCTGCAAGAAGTCCCGCTCATCCTGCGTCTACACAGACCGAGCTCGGGAGCCAGTCTACAGCCGCGGCTTCGTCCAGCGCCTGGAGCGTCGAATTCACCAGCTCGAGACCACGAACCGTGCTTTGAAAGCTGCTAGCCCGACTCGCGTCCCCGCGTCTGGGGTGGAGGTGGTTCAGGAACCGCCCGGCAGCGACGCACTGGCCAAAGAGGTCAGCTTCCTTTCGACCAGCGCAGGCGGCGATCGCTTCTTCCTGGGCCCCACGAGCGGCATCCTCTTTGCCAGCCTCGTCAAGGCTGGATTCCTCGAGGATGACTCCAGGTTGGCGGCAACCCCGTCAGGCCTCGACGCATTCGGGAGCCCCGGCGCAGAAGAGCGTGCCGACGACAGCCTACCGCCGGAACAGCTCGCCCGAGGCCTCGTCGACGCATACTTGGCTCATGATCATCTGGCATATCCCTTTCTGCACCCGGGAGCGATTCGCTCGGCGGTTGACTGCATGTACACTGACGGTCCGGGACGCTCGCACGCCTTTGAGGCCTTCATGTTCAACATGATTCTCGCCATCGCGTCGTCTCAAGCCTCGAAGATGAATTGGCAGGCGTTTCCAGATGCAAATACCCATCATCAACGGGCAGCCAAGTATCTCAACGCGGTGCTATGCAATGGCGGGCTCAAGGCCCTACAAGCCATGCTGCTGCTGTGCCAGTTCCAACTCACGAGCTCGACTCGAGATGCTTCAGCTAGTAAGTACGCACACGGAGTGGCATGTACATGAGCTCACTCTTTCAAGGTCTGTGGCACGTGGTCGGCATTTCGGCTCGCATGTGCTTTGAGCTTGGGCTACACCGGGAGGCTGTCTACCAGGTCGCGCGGTCTGCAACGTCGCCTAACGACTTTGAGGATAACAACGTTCGGCGAACCTGCTTCTGGTGTGTGTTTGCGCTCGATCGGTAAGCACAATGGTTCCTTGAAGCGAGCGTAGCTGACTCTGTCAGTGTTGTATCCATCACTCTTGGTCGGCCCCTAGCAATATGCAGAGAAGACGTCGACGTTGACATGCCCAGCCTCGGCTTTGGTGACGCCAGCCCGCCTGCGCGGGACATTGGGGCCCAAGACGCAAATGTACCGAGTTCGCGTCTCGCGCTCTTCAAACACATCATCCGGTACCGCGACATCTGCGGCCGATGTCTGGCAACACTTCATCGAAGCGGCAGAAATTCTACACTACCTGAATCGGAGAAGGCGCGGATACGACAAGACCTCGCCGACGAGCTGCAGCTCTGGCGGGCAGACACCGACAGCCTGAACCTCATTGAGATGGATCTCTCGACGCCCCTGGCCGAGGCGCGCTCCAGCTTTCGATGCAAGGCGTGGTACGAGTTGCTGTACCACAACGGCGTCCTCCTGCTTTACCGGCCGTCCTATGCGACCATGGCCGACAATGACGACACCAACAGCAACGTCTTTTCGGCCGCCAAGGAGTCCATCAAGCTGTATTCGTATCTCTTTCGCTCCCGTAAGATCAACTTTTCGTGGATGGTGTTGCATGCCGTCTTCCTTGCCGGGCTGTCCTACATTTACGCCCTAAGCCGACATTTCAGGGAGATGCGGCACTCAGGACAGCACCATCAGCTCACACCCGAGCCAATCCTGGTGGAGATTGTCAACGACTGTCGCGCATGCTCCAACGTCTTGGTGGCCGTTTCGGAGCGCTGCAACTCTCAAAAGAACTGCCACGAGGTGTTTGACCGCCTGAGCGACGCCGTGGTCAAGGATGCCGTGGACGCCCTGTCGGGCGCTCGCCGGCCGCCGACGGCCAGAGTCGCGGGACCCGCCACGTCACCGCCATCACAGCCTACAGCACACCATCAGGCGACTGCCACTGAACTGCCACTGGTAGCAGGCTCTGCTGACAGCGTTCTCAGGGACTGCTTCCCTGAGTTGCAGAGCATGTACGACGCGCAATGGGGCGACGATGCCATAGTCCAGCTCAGCACCGACTGGTTCAACCAGACATTTCCCGAGGACAACACGGCGTACGGATGGAACATGCAGAGCTAGACACAACATAGGATCTACTTGTCTGTTGGCCGTTGCGAACCTCGCTACTTGTATATCTACATGTTGCATCAAATGCGCCCACGTTCCAGGAACCGCCTCGGAACGTCGACATGTCGACTGCGGAGATACTCGGCAATTCCCTTACCGAGACCGTCTATTCTGTCGGATGAGGCTATGCCTCCGTTCAGGTTGTCGAGGATGCGGCTGACCAGTTAGCGCGATTCCGCTAGAGCGAGAGTCACTTACAAATGGACCGCACGAATGTTGGGGAACTCGACTCGCTCGACTCTGCGGGATGTGTCCCCTTTGTGCCAATCGTCGCCAAGAAGCTGCTTGAGCTTCGCTACAGTCAATACGGTCCGAAGCCATGGGTATTCGTCGTCGTGCCGCACGAAGAATCCAACGTTGGTGTTGTCGGCTTTGTCTCCCGACCTCGCGTGGACGATGGATCCGAGAGGCGCAAAGTCCGTCGGCCCCAGGCTCAGCACGTCGATCGGATGGTCCGTGTCGGCAGACGGCCGGAGAATCGGGTACGTGGCTGTCGCCTTTGGCGGTTCGATGGCGATGGACCCTCCACTGCTCAGCTGCACGCGGTGGTCGACGGCAGACAGGGGCATCAGTGCTGGGAACATTTCCATAAACGGCCGCGGCTCCATGGTCCGAAAGTCGAGGTTCATGTGGTATCCCGGGTAGCTCTGCATGCGCAGTGCGTAAATGGGGACCAGGAACTTGAGCCGGTCAATGTCTTCCCTCCTCCTGGCCTGTGCGAAGACGCGCAGTGACGCGGTGCCGGCTTGCTGCGACTGCGGGTTCGCGACCTGCCCACCATACAGCTCAATGCTGAGCTTGCTGAAACGGTTGTCGGCAAGGATGTGCTCGAGCTGGTTCTTCATCATCTGGGCCTTTTCCGCGACGTCGAGGCCATTGATGAAGAATGTCGCCTCTGCCTGGTATCCTCCTTTGGCAACGACCATGGCCTTGGTCGTGGGCGGGGGCGGCAGGCCAGTGACACCGGACACCCTCACCCGATCGGGGTCCATCTCCTCGACGGCCACCCCGGACAGGTCTGCAACGACGTCTGGGTTCAGGTACAGATGGCCTTGCAGCTCGTACAGCAGCTGCGCCGTCACCGTCTCGCTAGTCACACGGCCACCTCCCTCCTTCGTCTTTGTTATCACGCAGCCACCGCGAGCATCGATCTCGGCAATCGGAAAGGCAAGGTCCACCAGCTCTGGGAGAAACTGCTTGAACCCCGAAAAGTTGGCGCCGACGATGTATGGACCGCATTCGATCAGGTGTGCTGCGAGCAAAGAGCCGGCGAGCTCGTCATGCTGATCCTCGTCCCAGCCGTGGTACCACGCCGCGGCACCCATGACGGGCGAGGCATCCGTGCAGCGCCCACAGATGACGATGCTGGCGCCAGCGCGAAGCGCACTTGTGATGCCTCCACAGCCAATGTACGCGTTTCCAGCGCATGGAATGAAATCCCAATCGTCCAGCTTCCACTCGGGATGGTCGAGGTGATGGAAGCCTGTTTTCTTGCGCTCCTCTCCCTCCAGCAGGAGGTCTGAGATGTCGTCGCCGAGCACCACCGCTACCACAACTCCTGGATATCCGCGCTGCACACACAGGTCCTTTACTTTGGCGTACAGACTGGTGACGTTGAGCGCGCCGGCGTTGGTGACGACACGGATGTCTCGCGCGACAATGTCGTCGATGCACTCTTCGAGTTGGTCGAAGAAGCCGTTCTCGTAGCCCAGGCTCGGGTCGACTTCCTGCTTCTTGATGGCGTTCCAGGCAATGTTCATCTCGGACAGCCAGTCGCCCGTGATGACGTGCACGTCGCCGGAGCGCACCATGCGCGCCATGGCGTGCGGGTGGTCACCCGTTGCACCGGAGACATTGCCGATGCGGACAGGAGGTTTGAAATGCATCATGAAGCCAGCCGAGGCGAACGAAATAGATGACGACTATTCAGTCCGTGGTTTTGCACCTGTCATTGCACACGCTCAAACTGACGAGGTCATTCTCGCATCCAAAAGAGGTGCGACATCGGCAGAGCCGGCATTATCCGCAGTCACGCCTGCCATGCCATTCCGACCATGATGATCTGCCGCTGCCGGGGTGAGGTCGTGAGGTCGGCGTGGGGCCCGATGGTGTAAGTCGCCCCTCGGCATCGGCCGCCGACGCCGACAGCGCCGTGCCCATGGTGTCGGGATGCCCACGCCGATGGCTCAACCATTTGTGGGTTGTGTTCAAGCTGAGTCGGTTGGTAACACGCAGGTCACATCTGGGGTCCGGGGTAGCGATTCATTGTGCCTGAATTGCGGGCGTGGTTGGTCGAGTGGATGCTATCCTGAATGCCCAGCTCAGGATGGCCAAGGTGCTTCGGAGACTAGACGGAGGGATTGGTCTGTGAAGTTGCATCTCGAACTACCAACTCTTTATTTTGGAGGCAGCCATACAGATGCGACAATCCACCCACGTTCCAGACGTTTTGGTGGTGCCGGTCAGACGAGAGCCACGAGAGCCACGAGACCAACGAGATCGAGGCCAACGAGACCGAGACCAACGGGGGCAACGACAGACACGACAGTTACGAGAGAAGGGCTGCCGTGTGCTCTCTACAAGAGCGAAAACTACTTGATTGCAACTCGAATCGGCACACGCTCGAACCATTAGTGGCAAGTCTACTTGGTATGGCCCAGTATGTACGATGCACATCTAGTACTTGAACGGCACCCCGTCCTTGCCCCCGCCGCGCCGGTTCCTCCACACGTAGTAGCAGTGCATCGCGACGCAGTTGACCGCCACGAAGAGCAGCAGCGCCGCGTTGGTCCAGTGGCCCGTTGGGTATCCTATGGCGGCCTCGTTGGCCTTGTAAATCCACACGCCGACAATCTGGCCCGGCGCGCCCATGGAGACGTTGAGCGCAATGGCAAGGCCAATGGCGGCGGTCGAGTGCAGGTTCGACGACAGCCAGCCGAGAAGCGGCGGAATGCACGAAAAGGCGCCCGACGCGGCGACGATGAGGCAGCCGTACCGTTGCTGCTCCTGTCAGTGGACGGGCAAGGGGCGAGATCGTGAACACGTACCGTGTAGCTGTGGGCGGGGAGCAGCGCCGAGCCGATGAAGCCGGCGGCGCCGATTGTAGAAAATACGGCAGAGTGTAGGGCGCGACTGCTGCTGTTAGCCAGGATCGGGTCTGATGGGGCATGGTAAACGCACGCGTTGTGGCGGTCGCCAGACCACGAGACGAGCAGCGTCACGACGTAGGCGGCCGCGTAGGGGGGCACAGTCATGAGCTGCGCTTTGAGATCGGCAAACTGCACTCGTCAGAATTGTCATTGAAGAACCAAGGGCGTGGTACGAACCCCTAAGCCGGCCACAATGGACGGCGTAAAGAGCGACAGGCTTGAAAATGGCGTCGAGATGCCAAAGTAAATCTGCCCAGTCAGCGCTATCGCCCTCACGAAAGTCGGAGGAACTCTCACAATGTAGTGCACCCAAAGCCGCCACTCCAAGAGCGTCTCCTTGGCCTCCTTCCACGTCAGCGACTTGCCGGAGCCGTGCGAGCCCTGGTCCACGAGGCGGCGGCGCGCCATCTCCTTTTCGTCCGATGTCAGCCAGCTCGCCGTCTCGGGGTAGTCGGGCAGCAGGAACCAGACGAAGACGGAGGAGATGACGGAGGGGATGCCCTCGAGGATGAAGAGCCACCGCCAGCCCGACATGCCGCCAACCTGGTTCATGTGGCCGACGCCGTACGCGATGGCGCCGCCAAAGGCACCAGCGAGGGTCGCCGACGCGAGGATGGCGGCGACGCGGACGGAGCGCTCCTCGGTGCGGTACCAAAAGGTCAGGTAATAGACGAGGCCGGGGAAGAGACCTTCGCGAGTGAGCATTAGACGAGACGGGTCAGCAAGGAGGCGACGCACCGGCTTCGAAGACGCCAAGCAGGAAGCGAACGACGGTGACGGACGCGTAGTTGTGCGTGCCGCCCAAACCCATCGTAATGGCCCCCCACGACAGCATAAGGAACGCGATCCAGCGGCTGGGGCGGAGGCGCTTGAGAAAGTAGTTGGAGGGCACCTCAAAGAGCGCGTAGGCGACGAGGAACACCATGAGGGCAATGGTGTACTGGAAGGCGGTCATGCGGGTCTCGTGGAGGAGGTCATTGTTGGTGGACGAGTTGAGGACCTTGGCGTTGCCAATGTTGGAGCGGTCGAGGTAGCACAGCAGGTAGATGGCGGCCGTGAGCGGGATGATGCGGAGGTCCTGCTTGCGGAGGAGGGCCTTTTGGCGGAGAGGGTCGACGTCGCAGGGCGTGTCGGTGCCGCTGGGGGCGTACTGCCGTCGTGTCAATGTCAATGTCCACCCTGTGCTGCGCGGCGGCGACGCGACGGATTGCTCACCTCCTTGCTGGCCTCGACGTCGTCCTCAACCTGCGTCGTGAACCCGAGGGCATCGTCGCCGGGCTTGGTCGCAGCCATGGTTTGGTGGAGATTCACTCAGTCCGGGGAATGTGGAGCGAGCGGTCGTTGGACGATGACGACGATGCTGCCTCGCCTGCTGTTTTAAACAGGACCCCGGCCTTATTTGTATCACGGCCGGCACGTGGCTACGTAGCTGCGCAGCGCGGGGTGCATGGATGTGGTATGAGTGATTGCAAGGCAGGGTTGAGGCAGCTCCATCCTCACGCTGGGTTGAACTGGGGATGTGGAATCGGCCTCGACGCCGACGTCGGCCTCGGACACCGACGCGGGCCGCGGCGAATCCATTGGCGGCATCTTGCGGGCGGCCAAACAAGATCCACGGATGGCTTGCAGGGCTTCGGCCCAGCGGGCTGCAGTCCGTTGAAAACTTCCTGACCCCTGCAAGACGCGCTGGACAGGGCCCAATTGAACCTCCACGGCTGCATTCCCGCGGCGGGTGCCTGCCAATTCTCCCGCCGTTGGACCCCTGGCGGCTGGCGGCTGGCTTGTGGCGTGCGGGGAATCTGCGGGGGCGTCGTGCCTGCCGTGGGGGTGGCTGCCCCGCTAGCCGCAACGCCGTTAGACGCTCTCCTGGGCGGTCGACGACCGGCACTTCTCTTTAGCCTTTCATCCAACCCTCGGCGCCTTTGTCCGACGCTGCAACATCGCGTCTGTACGGCAACGGCAGCGATGCGCTCCTATGCCGGCAGGACGCTTGCTCGCTGGCATGGTCGATGGCCGTGGCTGTACTTATCAGCGCGTGGTTCTCCGGCGGCTGGTCAGCATGGAGTCCACTCGCCTCGTCTCACCAGCTGCTCGAGGCTTGGCTCCACGCAGACGCCAAGACGATTGCCGATAGCATAATCAACATGTTCCAAATTCTTCTCTCACTTGCCTGGGCCGGGGCCGCCTATGGGCTCGCTCGGCCCACCGTTCAAGAGCAGTGTCACGCTTTGCGCGATCTGGGCGCCAAGTCCGGGGCCATCATCACCAACACGACGTATGTGCCTGCAGCCTCTCTGGCCGTCCCGGGATCGAGTGCGACAAACTCTGTGCCATTCTGTCGCGTCTACGGCACCAAGCCGTATGCAGGCCACAACGCTGTACAATTTGAGGTGTGGCTGCCAGACCGGAGCCAGTACAATGACCGGCTGCTGGTCGTGGGTAAGTGCAGTACCCAATGCCCTCTTCTGGGCAGACACTCACAAACTTCCAGGCAACGGGGGCATGGCCGGCACCATCGACCAGCCGTCCCTCTTGTCGTGCGTCAACCGCGGCTTCGCCTGCGCCGGGGGCGACTCTGGCCATCGCGCCAGCGAAAACAACAACGGCTCAGGGGCTCCCGGCGTGTTCCTCCCGTACCTCCACGACCGTGAGCAGACGCTGGCCTGGATCCACAACTCCATCGCGTACATTACGCCGCCAGCGCGCTCCATCGTGGAGTCGGCGTATGCAAAGAAGCCCAAGTACGCGTACTACCAGGGCTGCTCCACGGGCGGGGCGCAGGGCTTTGCGCTCGCGCAGTACCATCCGCATCTCTTTGACGGCATCGTGGCGGGCAGTCCCGGGAACTGGTACTCTCACCTCGCGCTGTCGTTTCTCTGGAACTACGTTGACGAAAAGGTGCGGCTTCCCTTGCTTGACAGAATTGCGCTCACACGCTGTAGAGTCCTCCCTACCTTCCTCAAACCGCCCTTGACCTGATCACAAAGGCCGCAATCGAGCAGTGCGATGGCCGCGACGGGGTCGAAGACGGAGTCATTGAGAACCCACTGACGTGCGATTTTGACGTCGACGCTCTCCGCTGCACAGGAGATGCCCCACAGTGCCTCACCGCCGAACAGGTCAGCCAGGCCAAGAAAATCTACGCCGGCCCAGGCAGCAGCATCTACCCAGGCTTCTCCATCGGCAGCGAGTCGAGCTGGGCGGTGCAGGAGAGCAGCCTCGCCAACGCGTTCACCATTCCCATCCTGCAGAACCTCGTCTTTGACAATCTCGAATACAACGCCTCGTCATTCAACTGGGCTGCCGATGTCGCCTTGGTAGACAGACGAGCCGGTTCGCTCATTGACGAAATCAGCCCTGACCTGTCGAGGTTCAAGGCCCGCGGCGGCAAACTGGTGGTGACGCAGGCATGGGCCGACCCGTACAACGCTGCGCTGTGGCCCATCCAGCACCGCGAGCAGCTGCAGCGACGCATGGGCAACGTGGACGACTGGTTCGCGCTGTTCATGGTCCCAGGTGAGTCGCCCCCGTCAGCACCGACGAATCGTTCTGACAGCGTACAGGAGGCGGCCACTGCGGCGGAGCTCCTGGCTATCCGCACGTCCCGGTATGTCGTCGTCTTCTACCCATGAGACTCGCTAACAACAAGCACAGGCGCAATGGCACTCGCTCGACACCTTGATGGACTGGGTCGAAGGCGGGCGCCGTCCCGCGCAGATGCTGAGCTCCAACCCGGCGGACGGCAGCAACACGACCAGGAAGCTCTGTCCATGGCCTGCGACGGCAAAGTACATTGGGGGCGATGCCGGCCAGTGGACGTCGTACAAGTGTCAGAGCTCGTAGGATGCAGTTCGCCAATCGTCCCTGTTCCTACTCGTACGGGTTGCGGCGTAGCCTCAGTCCTTGGCTACGTCTGTGGCTCGAAGGGGCCAGTGGTTGTGACTGTACAAGCGTGGCACTCAGCAAATCGCCGCACATCGCTCATTGACAGGTTCGGCAAACCAACACCATCTTCTCACGGTGCCTTAGTTATCAATTCGCACGGCTACCATCTAGATCCAAGGCAGCCCAACACTTATTCCAAGCAAACGTAGATTGTCCACAGTGCGCAGGGCAGTGGCATCACTCATGCTCCTCCGCCTCCGCCACAATCTTCTCGTCCGGCACTGGCGCCGTGAGGCCCAGCGTCGCCGCAATGTTAAACAGCCGCGCCTTCTCCTCGTGCGCCGCCGTGTCGCCAAACGCCACGTCCATGTCCTCGAGGCTCTTGCCCTTGGTCTCGGGCACCATAAAGTAGACAAACACGAGCGCAATCAGGGCAAACGCCGCGAAGAAGATGTACGTGCCCCACTTGATCGTCTCCAGCATGTCGGGCGTGACGAGCCCGATGATGAAGTTGCACATCCACGTGCAGCTCGTCGTGATGGCCATGGCCTTGGACCGGTTGCCGAGGTTGAAGATCTCGGACGGAAGCACCCAGCCAATGGGCGCAAACGAGTAGGAAAAGTTGATGTCGTAGATGTAGATGAAGGCGATGCCCGTCCACGCAGCCGTCTTGTGCGACTGCAGGTCCCCGTACGCCCCAATGATGGCCCCCACAATCACCAGCGAGATGAACGTCCCCACCGCTCCGCACATGAGCAGGGGCCGCCGCCCAACCTTGTCGATGAGGAACAGCGCGGGGAGCGTCGAGAGTGTGTTGACGATGCCATACACGCCCGTCGCCAGCAACGACGTGGCATTCCCGGAGAGGCCAAGCTGTCCGAAAATCGTCGGCGCGTAGTATATCATAGCGTTGCAGCCAATGAATTGTTGCAGAAACATCGTGCCCGAACCCACAAAGAGGCGACGAAACGCAGGCCAGGTCGACACCAAAGACGAGTATTGGGCGAGATACAAGGCGGCGCCAGTCTTGCCAGGAAACTTGTCGCGGGCCATGGACTCGTCAAAGAGGACCTCGGCCTTGATGGAGAGATACTCCTCGCGGAGCACGTCAGAGTCCGGATGCACCCCGCGCAATCTGGCCAGGGACTTGAGCGCCTTATCCTCGTCCTTGCGCATGAGATAGAAGCGCGGCGACTCGGGGTAAAAGATCATGCCGACGCCGAGGACGATGGCGGGAGCGATCTGGAGCGCAAACGGCACACGCCAGGAAGCGTGGCTCTGTCCCGTGCAGCCATTGGGGCCGACGTCGTTGTACGGATCGAACTGAGAGTCCGCGCCGGTGTAGGGGATATCCGGTGCGCAGCGGGTGCCACCAATGTATTGCGTCCCATACTCGAGCCAGTAGCTGACGAGGATGCCGAGGGTGATGCTCACTAACACGGTCAGCCCAGCACTGACTGGAAGCACGAGAACCACACTTACACTGCTGCAGCACGACGAGGGTGCCTCGGATGCCCGCCGTCGACACCTCCGACATGTACATGGGCACAATCATGGTGAGCATCCCCACCGCGAGGCCGGCAACGGCCCGGCCACCAAAGAGGACGCCCGTGGTGCTGGCGGCAGCCTGGAGGGCGGAACCAAGGACGAAGACCACCACGGCTGCCAACATCGACCCCTTTCGACCGAATCGGTCGGCGATGGGCCCGTTGATGAGTGATCCGAACCACGCCGCCAACAGCAGCGTCGATACGAACCAGCCCTTGAAGCTGCTGTCCGTGTAGATGCGCGGGAAGAGGGCGCCAAAAGACTCCATCTTGAGGACGCCCGACACGACGCCCTGGTCATAGCCAAAGAGGAAGCCGCCCAGGGAAGCAAACTGAACGGTCAGCGAGGAGTTGTAGCGAGGGCGCGCGAGGGCATCTTACTGCGGAGAGACCAAAGATGTAGGGGTTCTCCCGCACTTGGCGGAAGACGCTCTTGGAGGCGTGACTCTCGACGAGTGCCATGGTCATTGATGCCGATGATTGTCTGAATTGCCTGGTGCTGGACCTGACCGCGCCGTTGAAGATTTATACGTTTCCCGAGTCAGGTACCCCGCGTTCCCCAGATGTTGGGGTGCCGCGAGCAAAACTATTGTGGGTCGGAGATGTGTCGTCCGGCCCAATGCGAACATGCTGATCGTCACCCCCACGACCAATGCCGGACGACAGAGGTCCGCCCGGCATCGCGATGAGGACGTCACACCTGTCCGAAATCAGTCCAGCAGAGCGAGTTGAAGACGTCCGGGTCCATCCAGGACATGTCGAGCTCTTCTGGGAACACGGCGCTCACGTCGTCCTGCGGCAGCACGTGGCTGAGGATGTCGGCGCACCGCGCCGCGAGCGGGTTGTCTGACAGCAGGTTGCGGAAGGTGAAGCTCGCCTTTTCCACGTCGGCCTGCCACGACGCCAGCCCGGGCGCCTGCGGGTCGCCAAGGATCGCGAGCGCGCTGATGAGGGCGGCGTGGAACAAAAAGTTTGTCGCGTACCAGTTGATGAGCCTCGTCATCTGCACCTGACCGAGAAACTCATGGATCGACACAATGGTCGCGCTGGCCGCATGCACGGCAACGTCCCTGCAGCGATTGTCGACGTCCGTCGCGGCCAGGGTCGAGTCCTGCGTGCGCTTCATGGCCCGGCGCAGCACCAGCTGGCGGAAGAGGATGATCTGCAGGTTCCAGAAGCGCCACCACAGCCGCGCCCGGGTGAACAGGTACCAGTCGTCCGCGGCCGCCGGCTCGCCGCTAAAGGCAAAGTAGCCGGGGAGCGTCTGCGCCCACGACTCGAGCGACTGGTTCAGGCGCATGGCCTCCTCCGGCGACACGCCGCACGGAGACAGCAGGCGGTTGGAGATGTGGTTCGAGTGGACGTGAAAGTCGCACTGCGCCTTGATGCCCGAGTAGCGCGTGGGCAGGGCCGACTCGTCGGGCATCTCGACGGTCCGCGGCGTGAGCTGCTCGTCGTTGACGTTGAGCACGCTCTTGACGTCCATGGCGTCGCCCGCGGGCAGCAGGATCGGCCGGCCAAACGTCGTCGAGGCGCCGCTGTCAAACATGTACAGGCCCCACCACACGCGCCGGCGCATCTCCCGCTGCAGGTGGCTGATGTTCCAGGCCGGCAGCTCCCTGTGCAGGCCGAGGCTGAGAGCCATGCGCACGGCCAGCCCGAGCAGGTTGCCGCCCGTGTTGGGCTTGTTGCGCTTCTGGCTCAGGTTGCTCAGCAGCACCAGCGCCTGCACGAGCGTCATGTTGGCGCTCTCAAACAGCGACTCGTCCTCGCGGAACGAGATGGCGCGATGGTACAGGGCGTCCTCGAGCTCGCAGTCCTCGCTGTTCATGCACCACGCTCCCAGGGCCAGGATCGTGTGGAGCAGCGCCTGCCAGGATGCGGTGCTGGGGCGCGGGATCAGCTGGTGGTACTGCGCCATAAAGGTCGCCTCGTGCACAAAGGGGTACGACGAGTGGTACACGGAGAAGTACGAGTCCAGCAGCTGGTTCAGCACCTGGCCCGAGTCGAGGGACCGCTGGATGTGCGACGGCGTCGGCGTGGGGCGGCTGGGCGGAGACGCGCCGGGCCGGGGCTCGAGATGAGACCTCTGGCCATCCACCCAGGCGAGGAGGGCACGGAGGAAGAAGACGCCGGCGGTGGACCCTGACAAGTCAGCGCGAGTCGCACACGATGCTCCATGAGTTGCCTACCGAGATAGCCCGCTCCGGTCGGTTCGACGGACAGCGCGGCCATGCCGTCGACGAGCTCGTTGGCGTCCTCCTGCCAGTCGTAGCCGTCCGCGGCATCGGGGACGGCTTCGGCAAAGGACTCCCTGGGCTCATTTGGCGATGCGCTCGCCTGCGCCTCTATGCGCGGGCTGCCGACAGTCGTCAACGCTTCGTCGACATTAAGGTCAGGCAACTTCTCAGCAACTAGCTTCTCCAGACTTTGCAGACGGCGCTCCACCGAGGTGAGGTATCTGTCGGAACGATCAGCTCACATCTACAAAGTACAGCACAGCTGGAAGACCTACGCTCGAGTGAGGGGCGACCGTACGACCCTGCCGCTGTAATGGCAGGGCCGGCGGTTCTGTATGCATGCCGTGCAGCTAGGGCGGTCTTTGGAGCACTGTCGCTGTGAGCGGAGCACGACATGGCGGGGTTGAGAGCTTTACCTTGAGCTTCTTGATGCGGCATGCATCGCACTGGCCGGTCGGGGCTGTTAGCAGGCTGCGTGGCAAACGGGTCAGGGGACGGGGTCGTACCGAGAGGTTCGCATCACGGCCTAGCAGCTCCATTGTGATGGTTCATGTCGCTCGGGCCAGTGGTCGGACGTGTCGAACGATGCGCGCAACTTCGCCACAGCGCGTGCGGCGAGCGGACTCGCGGCCCTGTGAAGCGGCTCAGGCTGCGACCAAGCAAGGCGCGACGCAAGATGCTATCAGTGTCTGGTGCAGGCAATTGGCGTGGACACGGCCCTTATAGGCTCGTCTGCGTCGTCTGCGATGTCGTGTCGGCGTGGCGTGTTGAGATGAGGCTGAGGTTGGGATGCCATGGCTGGCATGAGCAAGGTTCCCCACTTGCCTCGCGTGGGCACTCCTTCCGCGACAACCTCACGCCGCCACGTGAGGCCACATGCAGTCTCACTCATACAGCGTTTGCCAACGTGCATTAATGTCAAATCTTGAGTGCAGAAAGCGCATCTCGTTGAGCGCAGCACAGAGTATTGAGCTGCACCGAGTGACTATTCACACCATTGAACATTTGGGCTCCTTGCGCCCATTCACCCCGCCGATCCATGTCTTACCGTGCGCCCCAGCTGTCGACTCCAAATCTGGACCGCGACAAATTTTCACACAAACACCAAACCACGCAACCAGGACGTCGACTGATGCGCGATCCATCACGCACGCAAAAAAGACGGCGCACAGCCGCGCCGCACAAGGCCGGCGACGGCAAAAAGAATGACACCTGAGGGATTCGAACCCTCGCCTATTACTAGACCGCGAATAGGGAGCTCGGAGAACCGAAGCGAGAACCTGAACACGGCGCCTTAGACCACTCGGCCAAAGTGCCTTTGAGTTGCAACTTGTGTTGCTTGTGGGTCAAGATGCTGCCTAAACCTACCCAAGAACCTGGCCCTACCGTTGGCCCACGATGCGCCGCCAGCCCACCCGCTCCAACGCCCACATCAAACTGACATTGCAGCCACGCCAGCGACAGCTCTGGTCCACATGGACGGCGTTGCTAGTCCCCAACGGGTCACTGTGGCGAGAAGCCTCTGCGAGTGTGGACGATGCCCACTTCAGGCCTTGCGGCGAGACCTACCGACCATGGCAAAAACACCACGCCGCTGCCAATAACCATTCTGCCGGTGCCGGTCCCATCGGCTCCGGGTCCGTCCATGATGGGTCGTTTGCGCGAAGCGGTGTTGCGGGCGGTCCGCGGAGCGAACCGTGGCCGATGCACGGAGGGCGCCCTCCACCTGTCATTCTCACGATTGTTCCCTTACGAGGCAAACCAGGTGCAACACGTACAGGTGCGGCAGCAGCAAGGAGGCGGGGAGACCGACGGGACGGGGCCGAGGAGGGAGCGTTCGCGAGACAAGTATATAAATCGCCGGCTCTCTGCCACAATCGTGGCGCTCAATAGACAGACATGTTCGCATCGCAGACGTAGCTTCGTATCATGGACTTTCCCACCGAGGCCGGCACTTCACTCACCCGCGTCGACGCCAACGACGCCTCCACGACGCCGGAGCTGCTTCTCTCCATCCTCGAGCGCGACGGCGCCGTCATCGTGCGTAACCTGGCATCCCAGGACCTCTGCCAGCGCATGCGGGCGGACCTCAAGCCCAGCTTCGACAGCGACAGGGTCGACGACTCAGGCTTCTTCCCCACGACGACGAAGCGTGCCCACGGCGTGCTCCGCTACTCGGACGCGACCGCCGAGCACGTCGTCAACCCCCTCTTCATCGACACGGCCAACGCGCTGCTCAGCTCGCACTACACGTACTGGGAGGGCCAGAAGCAGCTCTCGGTAGTGGGCAAGCCGCAGATCGCAAGCATCGTGGGCTTCCGCGTCGAGCCCGGCGGCAAGCAGCAGGCGCTGCACCGCGACGACGCCGACTACCACACGCGCAACTGCGACTTTCCCGTCATGCTGGGCTGCGTCACGGCCCTGACCAAGACGACCAAGGAGAACGGCGCGACCATTGTCATCCCCAAGAGCCACAAGTGGGGTCCGGACCGGTGCCCCTACGACCACGAGGCGATCCCGGCGGAGCTCGACGTCGGCGACGCCGCCATTTTCGTGGGCAACGTCTACCACGCAGGGGGCGCCAACGTCACCAAGTGAGCAGGACCCTCTGACTTTTCCCGCCTGTCAGCGCTGACCAGAGCAGAGACGAGGCGCGCGAGACGGTGGGCGTGTTCCTGTGCAAGGGCACGCTCCGCCAAGAGGAGAACTCGTACCTCGAGATACCGCCCGAGGTGGCCAAGCAGCGCGGCTTCTCGCCCCAGCTGCTGCGGCTGCTGGGCTACGGCATCTGCCCGCCTGCGCTGGGGTTGTACAAGTACCAGGACCCGATGAAGGTCATCTTTGGGGTCAACGACAGCGAGACGGTGCAGAAATAGGTTGGAGGGCAATGTGCCCGCTCACAGCGGAAGGATGCGGAACCCGTTTTGCTGCAGGTCGCGGCCGAGAGGCTGCCAGTCGGTGTGCTCGCTCGCCCAAAAGATGCGCAGAAACTTGAGCACGTCGCGGAAGTGGGTGAAGCCGGTGGCATCGGTGATGGTCTCGAATAGCGTAGCGATAGTCTCCTGCCGCCGCGGGTCGCCGTGGCACTCGGTGCCGGCGACAAAGGCCGGCCAGGGCAGGTTTTGCGCGCACAGCGTCGCGTCCTCCAACGCAGCGAATTGTTCAAACAGCTTGACCATGGACGCCTCGCGGTCAATGTGCTCCATGGCGACGAGCCCGAGGCAGCGATAGGCGTAGATGACGCCCGCGTGGTGGTAAATGTCGACCAGGCGGATAAAGTCGCGGCCGACAGCCGACGGCTGCATCTGCAGACGGCCGGCAGCCAGCAGCGTCGCGCCGCGGGCCTGCTCAAACTGCGAGCGGATGGCCGAGGGCGTCAAGTCGGCGGCGGCGGCCATGAAGTCGCCGACGGCGTACATGCGCCGACGCGAAACGAGCGTCACCTGGTGGACCAGGGTCAGGTAGCGCACAAACAGGCCGTCGGCCATGCTCGGCGGCGGGAGCACCGTGTTCTCGACGTCGGCCAGGTCAAACGACGTCGACGTGGACATGACGTCGAGGACGGCCAGCTGGTTGCGCAAAAAATCAAACACGCGGGTGCAGCACTGGGCGTTGTGGCCAAAGACGTTTGCGATGGTGCGGGCGGCCATGCGGTGGCTCTCGGCGGCGCCCGTCTGCGCATTCGCCATTTCGTACGTCGAAATCATGAGGATCGCGGCCAGCATCCACTCGGCGTCGGCAATGTCAGACTGCGAGGTGAGCTCGGAGCCGCCCGTCAGGCGGCCCGTCATGTCCTTGACGTGCTCCTGGATGAGGTTGAGACAGGCGTCTCGGGCGGCCTCGGAGAAGCGGGGCGTCTCGTGGTCAAAGGTGAGACCGCCGTGGTGGGCCGAGATGGCGGCGACGGCGAGGCGCAGGCCGGGGGTGTTGGCGGCGCGGGGCAGGACGCGGCTGCGGTAGTCGTTGTTCTCCGAGTCGAACCAGACCATGAGCCCGGCAATGTTCTTGTCGTAGTACTCGATGAACTCGCGGGCCGACTTGCGCAGCGTGTTGTCGAGGCTGGCGGGGCTCACAATGACGGTCTCGCTGCTGGGGCCCGCCGTCGTGGTGGGCGCGGCGGCGGGCGTCGCTGCGGCCGACGACGCTGCTGCTGGTGCTGCTGCCGCCGATGTCGCCGAGGCCGGGGCTGAGCCTCGCCTGGCCGAGCTGCCCTCTGTCTCGTCAGAGTCTGGCTCCGGCGAGCGGCCGGCGAGGCCCGGCAGCGGCACGTTCTGGCCCTTGAGCTTGCCGCGGACGGCGACGCCGCCGGCCCAGCGCAGCCGGGGCCCGTAGCCGGGGCACGTCAGGCCCTTTTTCTCGCATTTCTTGCACGTCGGCTGGCCCAGGTCGCAGCGGATGCGACGCTTGGTGCAGGTGCTGCAGCCTGGCGTTGGGGGGAAGCGTCAGCGTGCCACTCTCAAAGTCTCAACAGCGTCTCTCTCAATGGACTCGGGACGGACCCTTGGAGCCGTGGCGGCGGGCGGCCGCCGCTTTCAGGGCATTGTCGGTCTGGCGCCGCGTCTCGGGCATAAGGGGGGAGTGGCCGCCGGACGCAGCAGCAGCGGCATTCGTGTCGTGTCGGCTCGGCTCGACTCGCGATGCGGCGGCGAGGCGGTGGGCAAAAGTTGGGGTGATTAAAGGTCTAAGTTGATTCGCCGCTAGGCACAGGCCACAGCGTGGGGAAGACGTTCAGCGCCCGCCCACCCCAAAAGGCGGGCTTTGCTCCTCTCGGAGTAGCTGCTCCTAGCGCGCGCATCGACTGATCGTCACCTGGTCTGCCACGAAATGGATCGATCAATCAATCGCTGTGCCGCAGACGCGTGCGGCGTCTTGGTCGTCGTGTCCTGGCCGGGCCCTCAGCCATGTCCCACCAGAGGGGGGGGCTGTTGATCACGTACAGTTTGTGCGAGCCGAGCGTAGGCACGAAGTTGGGCTCGAATCACGTCCTTGCCGTGCCACCGTCGCGACGACAGGTTTGCACGCCAGCTCAACATCACGAACCTCGGCGTCCATGAATCACAGTGAGATGATGGGGGAGTATAAAAGCGCCCGTCGGGCTCGAGGATGCTTTTCTTTCTCTGCAGATCTTCCTCTACAACATTGCCTATCAACGTCTTCTCATAGCATCATCTTTGACGCCTCACTTTCGCATCACGCTTCTACAACATCGCCCACATCACCACGCAAGTTCTCAACCATCGCAAGGTAAGGCATCGTGACCTTTGCCAAACATATCCTACACTCGAGCGAACCTGCCCACGAATCTGCCCTCTTGCCTTCCCAAGAACCAACCCCAAGCCCCATGCCCTCCTCCAATATCAGAGCTCAAGTCGAGCACCTGCGGAGGCAAATACAGCGCCTGCAAGGAGAAACGGCCGACTGGGACAGGCGCGCCAACGACTACGAAAGACGCAGCGAGCGTCTTTTTACCCAGAACCAGCGTCTCCACGTGAGGGTCCGCACCCTACAGGCCCTCGCAGCCCGGTCCCAGAGCTAAATCCACGCACACGAGTTGTTCATCTGCCAACGTCAACCCATCCTCCGCAGCCATGCCTCGCTCTGGCCACGACAACGCGCTGCTCGAGCAGGTGCTCGACCTTCAGCTCCAGCTTCCTGAGGTCCAGGCGGCCCTCGAGGAAGCCAAGAGACGCTATAATGCGGCCAAGGCAGAGTTCAACCAGCTCCGCGCCGCCAACGAGCATCTTACACGACAAGTCGCCCAGCTGCAGCAGCAGTCTGACGACCGGCGACCACGGCGGTTCTACTAAGCCCATGATCCTCTGCCTCCTCATGCTGTAGCTGAGCAGCTCAGTTCGTAGACTCCTGTACAACCAGTAGTTCGATCATCACCGGGCCAGCATTAACCAGCAGAGGTGCAGCCGTCCCCAGAAACCGACCGGCTCGACCCCGTCAACATCACATCCCCATCTCGATTTTGCCCCCATTCCCCGCGCACAGATGAGCAACCCCGAGCTTCTCGCCTCCATCAAAGAAGCAGAGGCACAACTAGTACCCCTCATTCGGAGGAGAACCGAGCTCGACCAGCGCATGCTTCGACTCGCCGTCCGCTATTCCAACCTTCTCCAGCAGAACCGCGACTTGCAGGCGCAGATTGAGGAAACCCGGCGCCGCCTCAGTCGCTCGTAGCGTAGTCGACCTCATTGCTGCTGTGAGCATTAAACGGCATCCCCTTGGCTCCGCTCATGTCCCAATCCACCCGCTTGAGCGACCAGCAGCTTCTCGCTGCCATCGATGAGGCAGAGGAGAAGTGTTATACCCTGCGATGCACCTTTCATGATCTGAACGAAGACTTGAACCGAGCACTCGACCGCCTTTCCAGACTTCGAGAGCAGAACAACCAATTGCGCTCGCAGATCTGGGACGTCAAGCGCCGTTGCGTCGAGCAGGGCTTCCCCCCGTATCCAGAACCCTAATCATCCCCGTACCGCACTCACAGCCCCCAATCGCTCATTACCTGTTTTCACACGCGCCTGACTGTTTCCGTGCCCACAGCCATGTCGTCGACCGCTGAGCTGAGCCAGAAGCTGGCGGACCTTCGGGAGCAGACGAGAATCGTGCGCAGACAGTGCGACGACGTGACCCGAGAGATTGCTGAAACGGAAAGGAAAATCCAGGCCACGCTTAGAGAGAACGAGCGCCTGGCTCAGCAGCTCAGCGGCCTGCAGGAGCGGTTCCAAGGCCGCCAGGATCGGCGATTCTGGCCCATGTAGCAAAGCGTCAGGTGCAAGGGAAACTTTTTCTTGGTTAGCTATGACACATAATACACTGATATCCTGACTCCTGCTTGAGCGAAACCGTCATACGTCGTGACATGTACCTCCTCCATTATCTAGCGTAAATCGTCCCGCCGTCTTACAACACACAGTGGCTGACCACCTCGTCTAGTGCAGCCGCTCCGTCACGTACACCATGGCCGCCAGCCCCGCGCAGCACTTGGTGCTCATCTCGTGCCGGCACCACGGGCACTTGACCTGCACGGAGATGGAACCCGCGTACCCCATCGTGTCGCGCTGCGCCAGCATCGCCCCGGGGTCCGCCATGGCCTCATAGAGGTTGCTCGGCATGTCGTGGTAGTACTTGCAGCCGCAGCACTCGACAAAGAACTTGGCCACCGGCTCCCGGTCCAGGCCGGGGAGCAGGCTCGCTGTCGAGTGCCGCGCCAGAGACCGCGTCGTCGTCGTCAGCACCGTCTCGCACGATCGCGACGCCTCGGAGCGTACCGACGGCGTCGGCAGGTCTCCGGGGAGGATAAAGGATGCGGGCGGTCCGAGGCGCTGCTTCCCCGGCCGCGTCGGCGGGGCGATGGGTGCGAGCTTGCGCGCCTCCTGAAGGTAGGACGCCGCAGCGGGTCGGGGAGACTGCGAGTGCTCTCGGGCCGCGATGGCTTTCCGTGCGGGGACCGACAACCGGTTGGACGGGGGGACTGAGCTTCTCTCCCTGGATCGCGCGGCCTGCGGCTTCGGTCCAGCCATCGTCTCCGAGCTGCTGCGCTGCTTCTCAAACGAGGGGCGATCGGGCGACGCCTTGTTGAAGTCGGCTAGCACCCTATCCGCGGCGGCCTGGATCTCGTAAATGTCCTCATCGGTAGCGGTGTTTGATCCTTGTGCAGGTGCCTTGCTCCTGTCGGCCGACAACCCCCTTTCTGACTGCGGCCGCGAGGTAGCCGGCGTGCTAGGCGGCGACGGCGAGTGGTACTCCTCTGAGCACGAGTCCTCCGACGAGCTTGGCCTCTTCGCCGTCTGATTGTCGAGGGCCGGTTCTGATGACGGCTCCGCGGCCTGCAACAAGTCCGGTGCCGGCCGCGACAGCTCGCTGGCTTTGGGTGTCACGGACAGCGTCGAGAGAGTCTCGGCCTTGACCTCTGCGACTGGCGTCTTGGGCGGCTTCCCCTCGCCGTCAGACGAGAAGCTCTGCTGCGACCGCCTCGGGCTGCGTTGAGGAGGCGCGGGGGACGACGGTGCCGTCCGGTACCCATGCGACTCGACGCTGGGGACGGAATCAGTGTTACTGAAGTCTTGTTCCTCCAGTCGGCGAACGGCGGGTATCGACACCACGACTGGCTTGGCGGCGGTTTGCGACGCCGGGGTAATGGGTCTTGCGTCTTTGCTCTCCTGCACCGCGGTCGAGGCTTGGTCGGACTTGGACCTGAGTCCCATGCGGAACCTCCACTTGTCGGCCTTTGGCACGTCGGGCACGGCCGGGGCGGTGGGCGAGACGAGGGCTCGGGCATTTTGCGCCTTGCCGTGGCGCGTGATGGGCGGGTAGTGTCGTCGGCTCGGGTCCTTGCCCTCGGGCGGCGGCGACTTGAGGGCGGGCTTCTCGCGCAGGGCCGGGTGGATGTCACCCTCCTCGGCCCCTGCCTGCACCATGGCCGCCCGCTCGCCGTCCAGGTGGCGTTCCAGCTCGAGCTTGATGCCGCCGATGAACTCGGGCTCTGACGTGTGGTCGACTGAGGAGCGGCGCCGCTCAAACGGAGCACGGAAGAGGGAGGCGAACGAACTGGAGCGGCTGCGCGTCTTCTTGGGCTGCTCGTCCTTGCCGATAAACGAGTTGCGGTGCTCCTTACGTCCGCGGTCCGGCTCCTGGGGTCTCGACACGGGGATCAACGAGGGGATCGGCGAGGTCAGCGACGGTAGTGTCGACGCGCTCTTGGACGAGGGTAGCGACAGGGGCTCCTTGGTCGCGACCAGGTTCGGGGGCGGCAGCTTGGACTCGCGATGGCCCAGCGGCGGCAGCTTGCTAAGCCGGCTCCTCCGGGCGCGGGCCGTCTTGGCCTCCTCCTTTTCGCGGTCCTTTTCCTCGCGCTTCTTCTTCTCCATCATCTTCTTTTCCTCACGGCGGCGGCTCTGCGACTCCCAGCTGGGAGAGACGCAGATGGACTGGCGGTCCGTATCCTTGGGCGCGTCCTTGGCCATCTCCTTGGGGGGGAACGCAAAGGCGACGACCTTGGGGCTGGGCTTGTCGACGGGAGAGACGACGGGAGGGGCGACAGCTGCAGGGACGACGTCGACGACGGGCTCGCGGGGCGTGGGCACGGTTTTCTTGGGGGCAGCCGTGTTGATAACCAAGGGGCGAGGTCCCCGTCGAGTCTCAGACGTCGGCGGCGGGCGCACCTCGGCGCGGCGAGCTTGGATGCTGGAGCGGGCCGGGGAGACATGGCTGGCCGGGGGCTGCGGGTCGAGCGGTGGCTTGCTCGTCTGAAGTCGCTCAAGCTGGGCACGATCATCTGTCAATACGAGGGGCCCGGCCGGGGACAGACGCGACTCACTCACCATGTACTGCTTCTCGAGCTCCAGCATGCGGTGGAAGCTGTTGGCACGGGCCGGACGTGCCTTGGTCTCGGGCATGACGATCGTCTGGGAGCAGGATGGCACCTGCGCTGTGGAGCGAGCGTATTGGTGCAACGACGTCGCAACGGTTGGATCTCACGAGGACCCCCTCGTTGGAAGACGCCGCGCCGCGGATACGTGGATGGCTTCGGCAGTGAAGCAGTTGCACCGAGCGCCCTGCGCCGGAATTAAGAGTGCGACGTGGCTTGGCGATGCAGATAGCCGTCGGTTCAGTGTCGGCGGGCGGCTGTGCCGGATCCTTTGACGGCCATGAAGCAGGTTTGACAGAGCGTGAAGCCGCAGCACAGGCTGTGAGAGGTCGTGCAGGGATGGATGAGCGAGGGCGAGCGGATCGAGAGTACACGAGAGTGGGACGCTGAACGAAATGCCGCAGAGCTGGGAAACGGAGGCCGAAATGAGAAGGGAAAAGAGAGGTACGGAGTACAGTCGAGTGCCGGTAACGAGCGGTTGGGGGGTGGGAAGTTGGGACGGAGGAAGGGAGCGATGGCGGCCCGTGATGATTTGAATGGATTCGACGTTTGTCTCACCTTTCCGCTCGCTCCATCTCAGACCGGCCGATGGGCTGCTACTGGCGGGGGCGGCGGATGGGCGGCCCCAGGCTCAATGGAGGCTCGCGGGGCCAGTCGCAGGTGACGGCGGGTGGGCTGTTTTAGCGGATCGGCGGCTGGGCTTGGGGGGCCGGCTCGGGGAGAACTGCACACAATGGAGGGCCACAGGCGCTGCAAGGTTGTGGCGCTCGGAACGACCCAGCGCTAGCGGCGGTGGTTCAGAGGTGTGGGGTGCCCGCCAGGCGGAAGGAGACGGGCCACCTGCCACCTCATGGAGGCCCAGCTGCAACCTCGATGGAACCCAGAACCCTGAAACTTCCAGCGAGGTTCCTGGGCGCTGATCCAGGCGGTGCTGTGCGGCGGAGTGGCCGGGACCCGGCCACGGCATCCAGTGATCGTCAACTGCAAGGTATTTATTTTGTACGCTGGCCGTGCGACTGCGTCGATGGAGGCTCGGGCACATCGCGGGCGGCCAATACGACGGGAGCGTTGGTCGGGCCGCCCGCGACGAATCGAATCGAACGGGGTGAGGTCATGCCGCGGTGCTTGCGGTGCCTGCGGTGCCAGCGAGGCCGGCGAGGCCAGGGCGGCCAGCTGTTGGGTAGGTTCGCTACGCGACGTGCCGTCGTCACCTCTCCGGTCGCCCGTCCTCGATCAATCAGAGCCCCCTGCGCCTGTCGGTCTCAAGCGAGCCCCGCATTGCCGCCTCCTGTCACTTGTTGACGTCCATGACAGCCCGTCCGTCCGTCCATCCTCCATCCTCCCGCGGGATCAGCCGTTGAGGAGTCGAGGACCGTCCGGAGGCCGACCTGACACATCGACCCGACCTGACGCCGTCCGTCACGGCCGTCATGCTGTCTCGTTTCATCCAGGGCAAGGCAGGCCCCCGTCCGCCACAAATTTTTTTCCTCTGGCGGGGAGGGACCCCAGCATCCGGATCAGCTGGAATCGGGACGCCAAGCATGCAGGTCTCACGTTGGCACCATGGAATACGAAGTGTGGCTGCATGTGCCGGCACACAGGCCAGCGTCCTGCGTGGTCCGTGATGGATGCACGCATGCACGCACTCTGGCACTGGACGGATGGCAACGGGCGGCGTCGCCCACTCGCTCAGTCAGTCAACCCGCGGCGCCGGGACTGGGCCGGATCGGTGCGTGCGGTCAGGCAATCAGGCAATCGCCATCCCTCCATCGCCATGCACCATCGCATAAGCATCTCCATGCCCACCGCCCGCCGAGCCAAACGGCCGTAGCCAAGGCGGCGGTGGGCGTGGATGCGGGCTGCTGAAAATAGCAACCCCAAAGCGGGCATTGGCTCGGTACGATTCCCGGCTTCGTGGCTTCAGCTGCTACCCTGCAGTGCCTGCACTTGCACGTCGTCTCGGCCGGCGCACCGCCTGCGGCGCGATGCACATGAAGCAAGAATGCGCAGGGCATTTGCATCATGCACGGATGGCTCGCCTTGACCGCTGACTCCAGCTGCGTACGAGCACGGTCGACCAAGAGGGCGACATGGATGGCATGCAGGGCCCGTGTGCAGGTCTCTCGATGGGCGTGATTCTTGTGGACCGTCGTTCTTGGTCGGCTTGCCTAGCACACAGTTCGGGAGGACCCGTGCTTGGGATCCGCTTGATCAACCTGATGGACCGGACGCCCGTGGGCACTTTGTACGCTGTGGCTGCGGGCACTGGGAAAGGGGCCAGTGAAAGGATACATCACTTTGACCGACTACCCCAACAGCATCTTTACAGCAACGACCTGCACAAGGCTACCATGAATTTCACCTCTGCAGTCATTGAAGCTTCAAAGGAATCATGTCAGGCCCATGGCAGGCTCCACAGAGTCCACAGGCTGGAGAGGCGGAGATGCTTTGGACTGCCCCATCGTCGTAATCATTAAACGTCTAATCTATACAAGCCTTGGCCCGCGGCTCATCTGCCGGCCACCGACGCCTGTCTGGTGCATCGCGCAACCTCCTCCGCCGTCGGGCTCATGTGCGTCCACATCTCCTCGGCGTTCTGGCCCAGCAGTCCGCTGTGCTCGCGCCGTCCGCGGATCCGTCGCCAGGACCGCTTCGCCCACGCGCGCAGTCGCGTCCACAGCTCGTTGCGGATCTTGAGCTTCACGGCAACCCACTTGTGATCCGGCGCGTGGTCCGATCGCATCGCCTCGCCCGGCTCTACCGGGGCCTTGGCCGACAGGAGCAGGCCCTCGTCTATCCACACGTTGTACTTTGTCTGCTCCGCCGGCAGCGTGAGGCTGAGGAACTCGAGGGACGCCGCCACGGTCAGGTAGAAGGCACGCAGGGGGTGCACCATGGACTTTGTCAGAATCGTCATCCACCGTCTGTACAGCACGGCAAAGTCGGTCATGACGAGGTGCGTGGACCCGGCAATGGTCATCATCCAACACAGCGCCCCCGAGTCCCGCGCCTCCTCGCATATGCCCACGATGCTCTCAAAGTTCTCCTTCCAATGCATAAACGCCTCGGACGAGATGGATATCAGGGGCTTCTTGACGGTCTCGCCGCTCGCATCCGGTGGCGGAGTGCCCTGGCCCCAGCCGTCCAGGACGACGCCTTGGCCGAGCCACGTCAGGGAGCTGTTTCGGCAGAGCTGCACTGTCGTCGCGCCGCCAAAGGAGTGGCCCATGGCCGTGACGTGGTCCAGGAACATGCGATCCTCCCAGTCTTCCCATCGAACGCCGCTCAGCCCCTGCGAGCTTGACCCAATGTTTCCTTTGCGTCTCAGGTTCATGCGCGCAATGTCGTCGCCGTACCCGCTGTTGATGAGGCCCAGCACGTAGAACGCCTCCTTGATCTCTTCGAGGCGCAACTCAATCTGCGCCGACCGCAGCGTATGGTCCACGCCGCGGGGATTGTGCGGCGACGTGTCCTGCGCGTTGTCCTTGGGGAGGATGTAGTCCATTACGTAGTACGGGTTGAAGCCGGCCCTGCGTCGCGACACCCGCTTGTTCTTGCCGTCGTCGTTCTCCTCGTTGCCCGTGTGAATCTCAGCAGTCGAGGACTCTATCTCGGCGGCCTCGACGTTGCCGGGCAGGCTTACATAGGTCCTCGCCCCGGACCCGTCTCGATGCTCCATGGCGACGACCACAAAGCCGAAGCTGGCAAGCTCGCCGCAGATGGAGCTGTAGCACAGCCGCGACCCGCCCAGGCCGTGGCTGAATATGATGACGGGGAACTTGGGGCGACTGCTCGGCTCGCCAGTTTGCTGTGGGTGTTGACCTCTGTCCTTGAGCGTTTCCTCTGGCCAGTAGTCGGCGATTTTCGCATTCCGGAAGGCCGGCAGCTTCGTGAAGAGCGACGTGCAGGCCAAGTAGGCTGTGACGGGAGCCGCCGGGATGTTCAGAAATTTGGCGTAGCCCTTGGCTGTCGCGATGCGCGGCCGCGGCATCCAGTCGACCCTGTGCGGCTTGTCGCCGCCGGCCTGGAGGTGCTCATGCAGGTCGCACGGGTAGTAGATGCCCATGAGCACAGTGTCGAGGCGAAGCACAGGCTTGCCATTGCGCTTCAAATTTGACACTGGGCGCGGATCCCGTGCCGGGACTTCAATGTCCATGTAGCCGACATTGTATGGCCCCGTGTAGTGAGGCAGCTTGTGAAGAAACCGTTCCCGGAGCGTCGTGTGCGGCTTCACGGCGGACCGCCGCGGCGCCTGTGTGTCCGCCTTTGGAGCCATGGCGCCTTGCAGCAGGCCCTCACGCTCCTTGCATCACGGGTGCTGCGCATTCATATGTGCGGTCGGGTTGTCCGGCCATCTTGAGTCGTGAAGCGCGTGCCTGTGACGTCAGTCGTCACTCGGCCCCTGCCGGCGCCGTTAGTGCGAGGATTTGGCGCGATGTCTGAGTGAGGGCGCCGGCCGCAGGTGCCGTCGCAAGATCACAAAATGCCTTCTGGCGAATGGCTGCCGCCGCCAGTCGAGACCTTGCGCCTCCCGGCGACGTCTTCACGTTGCATCGATGATCGCTGGACTGGTGCGCGCGATCTGACGTCGCGGCCCCATCCCGTCGACTGCCTTTTCATGCCCTCCGAGGCTCCGACACACGAGACCTTTGTTGCTGCCGACGCGGTTGCAATCAATTGGACGACAATACATAGTGGCGGCACTGTCAGTCGCTGTCAGTGCCGTCGGTAATGACCGACTTGGTAGCCTGCCCATCAGTGTTTCCTCGTACCTTGCTGCATGGCGTCCCTTCAGAGTTGGAGGGGCATGAAAGCTTCCAGGGGACCCACTAGACATTTGATTATATAATGACCTGACCACCCAGGTGACTCAGCGCGGCGGCACCGTTTATCCGCAGCCCCCTCACGTGAGTCGCCGCCCACACAATACCATTTCCACGAAAAACTCTAGCCGCGCACCCGCCCCCGTCTCAGTTCGTCATCCACAGCAACACCAGTCAAATCCATCAAAATGGGAAAGGTTCACGGATCTCTTGCCCGTGCCGGTACGCTCTCACTGTTTCTCGACGCTCGTTGAACGCGCTCGCTGACTCTCGCAGGCAAGGTCAAGTCTCAGACCCCCAAGGTTCGCCTCCCGACGACGCCCGCCGACCGACCGAACGATGACTGACCCCCCGCAGGTTGAGCCCCAGGAGAAGGCCAAGGTCCCCAAGGGCCGCGCCCTCAAGCGCCTCAAGTACACCCGACGATTCGTCAACGTCACCCTGACCGGTGGCGGCAAGCGAAAGGTGAGCGAGGACGACGGATGCGCAGACGCGAACGGGGTGCTGACAGCGGTGACAGATGAACCCCAACCCCGGCTCGTAAACGGATGGGGGGATGAGGACGATGGCTACATGATGTTTGGGCGGATTGGCAGTCGCAGCTAGCACAGAGCAGCACGACACGGCGTCCGGTTCTTTCGTAATACAGAAAGTTCTCGCAACAACCCCGATGACTGTGACGATGAGACCAGTGACGCGGATCGATGGGAGGCACGCTCGCAACGAGGAGGGAATCGGTGAACATGCGACGAAGCCACGGCGACTGCAACGGGAATGAGGACGATTCAAGGACCCCTACGATGTGCCCGACCAGGTGACAGGACGCCTCGAGCGACTTGGAAGACTCGATTCCACCGCGGCGGCGACGACGGCGAAGACGTGTCCTCATCTCCATGGCCATCTCGACTGTTTTCGTGATTATGCATCGCGCACCTCCCGTAGAGCTTGTTCCATCAAACACTACACGTACAGGCGTAATTGTCCCATCTGCCTGTCTCGCTTGCTCACTCCCCACTCCAATCACGTGACCCGCTCTCACACCCCGGTGACCCCACGTAAAGCTTCATTCAGTGCAACAGCCCTTTGCTTGCATACCACGCCCAACAACACAACATGGCGGACGTCGACATGGACATCGACCCGGCCGGGTCGCCCCCGCGCAACGAGTCGGAGATGCAGACGCATGCCAAAGCCACGGCCGTGCGGTCCATTGAGGGCTGGATCATCGTCGTCACCAACGTGCACGAAGAGGCCGACGAGGAGGCCATCCAGGACAAATTTGGCGACTACGGCGAGATCAAGAACCTCCACCTCAATCTCGACCGCCGAAGCGGCTACGTCAAGGTACTTCGTCCCACTACACTTCTCCGAGGCGGGCCCAGCTAACTCTCCAGGGCTACGCTCTCATCGAGTACTCGACCCTCGAAGAGGCCCGGGCCGCCATCGATGGCGCGCACGACACGAAGCTGCTCGACCAGACCGTGCAGGTCGACTTTGCATTTGTGAGGCCGCCACCGGGCAAGGGACGTGCAGGCAGGAATCGCCGGGGACGGAGCCGGAGTCGCAGCCCCGACGCAAAGGACGCGGAATAAGCCGGTGCATACGTCTGTTGACGGCATCGGCGTGTAACGATAGCTTCACGAGGTGTGTCGAGCAGGGCCCGCAACAGCGTGCGCGAGCTGACGTGTGCACAGAATGACTACGGCATGGACGCATTGGCGTGTACAAGAGCGCGGCGTTTTCAACGGTGACGTGCTAACACAGGGCAATGTCGATCGACTCGCTCGCCGCCAGCTCGCCGTTCATGACCCCGTGCACGTAGCACTCGCCCACGAGCTTAAAGTATCCCTGGCGCCGCGTCGGCCGCATCACAAACGGCGCGTGGCACCCGTGCACAATGGCCACAATGTCGCCCTCCTTGGTCAGCAGCGGCAGCAGCCCCATGAGTCGGCTCTCGGTGAAGGCCAGGTTGTGTCGGTTGCCCATCACCATGAAGCTCGACAGGTACTCGGTGCAGTCCTGGGGCACCGATCCGATGCTGGCGGCCGTGGTGACGCCCAAGTACTTGAGCGCGTCGAGGAACAGGAGCGGGTATACCTTGACCATCAGGTACCAGGCGATCACGACCAGCAAGGGCACCAGCGCAGTGACCCAGAGCCAACGAAACAGGGGCAGGAGGATGAGATACACGATGCCGGGCAGGACGACGCCGGAGACCGTGGACACCTTCCAGGCCACGGCGGCCGTTACGAGGCCGACGTGGCCGGCGAATGGTATGCAGCGGATAGCGATAGTCACAAACGGCAGCGCAATCAAAGCCGCGATTGCGAGAAGCAGCATCGCCCGCGTGAGGAGGTTCGTCTCGTGCCGCTTGAGGTTCTCGTACTGCACGGCATATCGGTCCGGCACCGGCAAGCCGTTCCAGGTACGGTTGCCGATTAGCGTCCGCCAGAAGGCCTCCTCGATGGGCTGGCCGTTGGGATACACCGGGCCGAGCTTCTGTGTCATTCCCAGGTACATCGGTATGCCGAGGCACAGCTTGCCCGGCAGGACGAGGACGACGCGATCAATGGGGGTGACCTTGACGGTGAGCGATGCCTCGATTTCGTTGATGTGGAAGGACTGCGGCAGGTCGCCCGACGCCGAGTATAGCCGGTCGATGTCCTTGGTCCGTGCTTCGTCGCTCGTCGTCTCGCCCCCCTCGGCCGGCTTCTCCTCGCCCTTGTCCCTATCTGCGTTCTTCTCGTCCTGGATGTCCGCCAGCCGGTTGAAGCCGATCTGCATGTCCTGCGAGTACGTCATCTTGGTCCAGTTGGGCACCCAAGACGGCGGGTCGTTGGGGGATGGCGTGGCGGACCTGATGCCCGCCGTAGACAGCACCTCGGACATGGACCCCTTCGTTATGAAGTGGGCGGCAAACTTGGTGGCGACGACGTTGAGCGTCTGCTGCTCCGAGTACACGGGCTTGATGTGGTCGGTGCCTGTGAGGCCGAGCAGGGCGTACAGCCTGTCGACGGGCTGCGTGGCGAGAAAGTTGCTGGTGCGGCGCAGCAGCTGCAGCATGTCGGGCCGGCCAAAGGGAAACGTCTCGCCCTCGGCGCGGTCGTGGAGCAGCTTCGCCCTGGCGAACCGCTCGTAGTCCTTGATGGTGTTGAGGTCCTTGCGGATGGACAAGCCGGAAAAGTTTTCCTTGTCGCGCTTCTCGTTGAGGCTGAGGATCATGTAGGCGGGTGTCATGTAGCCCCAGGCGCGCATGCGCAGGTCGGTGACGACGAGCATGCCGCGAGCGCCTTCATGGGCCTCTCGGAAGAGGTCGAGGCGGCGGGTGCCGAAGAGGTCCGGGGAGTATCCGGTGTAGATGAGCTGTCGGTTGTCGGCATATGCCTTGGCACAGAGCCACAGGAGATGCCAGTCGACGTCGTGGTCGCCACAGGTGACGGCGACGTCGGTCGCGTAGACAAACTCCTGGATGATCCAAACGCGGCGAAACCAGGGGCGACGCAGAAAGGCGCGGAGGGCCGTCCACCGCGGGTCGCCGACGGGGGGCAGGACGAAGCCGCGCTGCTGGGCGAGGGCGGTGGCGGTCTCGCCGTCGTCGTGCTGCGAGGCGTCGAGGTACTCGGAGTAGTCGGCGATGGAGCGGATGAAGTCGAGGGCGAGGGCGAGGTCGTCGGCCTCGGGGCCGAGGTAGACCTGGACGCGCGAGGCGATGCGGTAGATGTCGGGCATCAGCTGGATCTGCTCGCCCTTTTCGCGGTTGTCGGCCGAGGTGACCTGGTTGATGCAGATGGCGTCGGCCCAGAGCACGCGCGGGCCGTCGGGCAGGGCGAGGCGGCGCAGGACCGTGTGCAGCGAGGCCGTGATGCGGATGACGGAGCCATTGTCGATGACGACGTGGAAGGGCGTCCGTTGGTCGGAGCCCCAGTGGTACGAGATGGCCTCGTAGGCGAGCGCGTGCTCGAGATAGCCGCCGCCGTCGTCCTCAGCCCGGGGGTGGTAGACGGGGTTGCGCAGCCGGTGGTGGAGGATGCTGCCCGACAGGGGCTGGTCCGGGCGGGCGGCCTCGAGGCGGAGGAGGCGGATCTCGCCAGGGCCGAGGGGCTGATACTCGTAGTCCTTCATGTCTTTGGTGCAGATGCACCGCAGCGCAGCAGGCACGGCATCAACTCTTTATACAATGGCTCGAAAAGCAGCTGTCGGTTCGCGCGCCGGACCAGGCGCTTACACGGGTCTAGGGCCGCATGGGCCGTCCCGCTGAGGCTGACTTGTGCAGCACAGCCCCCGACCGAAGCCCTGGCAGGCCGGGGATCGGTGCAGGTGGTTTGGGCGGCTGTCCAGGCTGCCCAGGCCTGAGGCAGGTACTGCGCATCGGACTGCGTCATGATGGGCGTTGAACCAAAGGGTGGCCGCATTGAGCACTGCTGTACATTAATGTACTTCCACTTGTACATAATAGACGGCATGTGTCTTCCAGGTTGTCCACTGGATGGATCAGTGGCACTGGGCGTTGGCGGTTCGGGCACTGCGACGAACCTCCAGGGCTCCGGGCCAGGCAACCGCTAGAGTACCTAAACTGGCACCACGGACGTCCCGCGGCAGGCAGCGTCCCTGATAGCCTGCGCTGGCTCTGATGGACTGCGCCAGAGCGAATGGACCCCCACATGCACCGTCGCCCTCCTCCTCCACCTCCCGCCTGAGCTCCCCACATTCGTGCGTCTCCAACTGCCTCCCTCACCCTTGCACTCACCACTCCCATCGTCCCCATCGACCACATCGACCGCGACGCACGCGACATCGCCACCGTCGCATCGCCCGCACACACGCCGCAGCTTCACGTCTCGCTGCGCACGCCCGATGCTCCATTGACCGGACAATGGCGCCCTCCTCGCGTCACGGCCGCCATGTATAACCGCGACTCCAAGCTCATGCGCAAGCTGCTCGGCAAGGGCGCCGCCGACCCGGACCCCGTCCCGCCGCCGACCTACCGGCCCCCCAAGTCGCAGAACGCCGTCTATCCCGCCGGCGTGCCCGTCGCCTGCTTTGATGTCGCGCCCGACCGCCGCGCCGCCGTCCTCGCTGGCCCCCACGTCCTCAAGACGGTCGTTCTCGAGCCCAGCTTCTCCGTCTCCCAGGGCGTCGACGTCCGCGCCGCCATCACCACCCGCCAGCCCGCCGGCGGTGTCGCGGCGGACCAGCTCAACATCCGCGACGCCAAGTGGCACGGCAACTCGTCGACCATCTTCACCGCCTGCGCCGGTGGCAAGATCTTTGCCTACGATGTCGCCCGCCTCGGCGCTGGCTCTGCGTCGGAGCCCATCGAATACATCCAGATGCAGGAAGACTCGCGCCAGGTCAACACGCTCGACGTAAACCCTCACCTCAAGAGCTGGGTCCTGTCGGGCAGCCAGGACGGCGCCGCCCGCGTCTTCGACGCTTCGACGCCCATCCAGAACCGCTCCGGCGTCCTCACCTTTCGCCAGCGCTTCGCCCCGCTGCGCTGCATCGAGTCCGTCCGTCAGGTCAAGTGGTCGCCACGCGTCGGCCACGAGATGGCCTGCTGCACCGACGGCGGCATCGTCCTCAAGTGGGACGTCCGCCAGCCCTCGCGGCCCTTGCTGCGCATCAACGCCCACGAAAAGGGCTGCTCCGCCATCGCCTGGCACCCGGACGGCATCCACCTCATGAGCGCCGGCGCCGACACCAAGATGCACGTCTGGGACCTCGGGCCCTCGGCCGACAAGCGCCAGAAACCAAAGTTCACCATCTCCACCCCGGCCCCCGTCGTCGCCGTCGCCTGGCGGCCCGGCCTCTGGTCCACCACTGCCCAGACGCGCCGCCTGGCCCAGGTCGCCGTGAGCTACGACGAGACTAGCAATCGTCGCTACGGCACCTCGGCCGTGCACATCTGGGACCTCGCCCGCCCGACCATGCCCTACAAGGAGATTGAGCGCTTCGAGAGCTCGCCCTCGGCGCTCGCCTGGCAGGACCGCGATATGCTCTGGACCGTGGGGCCTGACGGCATGTTCAACCAGTGCGATGTGGCGTTTGCGCCGCGCGTGCTGGATCGCCAGTCGACGTCGGCCATGGCCTTTTCCTCACGCGGCGACGTCGTCATGTTCCTCGACGAGCGGCCTCAGTCGCAGCGCCCGCGTCCCTCAGTCGTCCACGAGCCCGAGATTCACCGTCAGACGTACAGCTCGAGCCCCAACGCCCCGGTGCTTAGCGTCAGCCGCAGTGACTCTGAGGACGAGGTCATGGGCACGTTCCTCGGGCCGCGTCGCAGGCACAGGCGCCGCCTGAGCGGCAGGCAGCTCAGTACGACCCCGCCGGGCGCCGAGGACAAGCTACTCAACCTCGAGCAGTCTGTCAGCGTGACGGGCGTGTTTAAGACGCAGCAGGCTATGGCGTCTGGCCGCATTCCGGCAGCGAAGCCGGTGCATCTATATCAGTACCTGTCGGGAGCGTACCTGGAGACGCTCCATAAAGAGCTGCCGCACGTCGAGGGCAAGCCACTGGTCGAGAGGGTCGGTAAGATCATGGAGCAATTTGCGCGAGCCGCGGAGACCGCGACCATGTACCGCCTGGCGCAGACGTGGAGGATCCTCGCGTACGCCATGACCCTGTTGCTGAACAGACGGGCGCAGTACCATCTCGAGTGCCGCGTGGGACAGTTTCAGAAGCTGCCGAGCGAAGACCGGGTTCGGCTGAGGCTGCCCGACGCCCACGGTGGCGAAGAGACCCCACGAAGGCCGTCGACGCAGCGGGGAAGCATCGACGGCCGATTCCTCTCGCGATCGCTGCTGGCCGAGGAAATCGAGAGCACGTCCAACGTGCCGACGCCCGTGGCGCGGCCCGCCGACGACATCGCCACGGGTCACCACGAGGCATACGAGTACGGCCGCAAGCTGACGCCCATTGTCGAGCCGGAGAGCCTCAACCTCGGGCCGGCCGCCCATGGCTCGTTCAGGGAGAGCCCCCGCCGGCGCCTCGACTCGGGGCCAATCTCCGAGACGAGCCACGACAGCGAGCACTCGCAGACGTCGTACACCGAGGGCTACGACTTTTACGACGCAGAGGTGCTCGCCAAGGCCATCGACGTGCCGATGCCGCGGTACAGGGGCCGCACGGTGCGGCACGACTCGGACGAGAGCTTTGGGCAGATGTTTTCCATCTCGGAAGGGAAGCGGTCTGCAAGGAGCGGCTCGAGCGGCGACGTCTTTGCCAAGCCGATTGCGAGGCAGGAGTCGGCGTTGGAGCGGTCGAGCGCGTCGAGCGTCGACAACGACAGCCGGCGCCAGTCGCCGACAAAGTACAGAAAGGACTCGTCCGACGAGATGTTTATGATTTCGCAGACGACCAAGTCAGACGAGTACCCGTCGCAGTCGTTCACCGACTCGGACCGCAAGCCGTCGGACGCGCCCGAGGTGGAGACGAACCGGTCGCACAGCCCGTCCAAGCCGGCCGTGTCGCCCAAGCACTACCCCCGCAAGCACGTTATCGAGACGGACTACCTCCCGTGGGACGACGACCCCCTGTACCCGTTCCCGTTGACGGACAAGGACGCCCTCTCGTCGCCGCTGGATCCCTACGCGCTCCTCACGCGGGCGCTCGAGTTCGAAACGCGCACGTCGGCACTCAATGCATCGGCCATGGTGCTGCTGCTCAAGCCGCTCGTCCCCGAGTCCGTCATCGACGGTCACCGCGCCAGCGCCATCCTGCGGCAGCACCACTCCCGCCTCGCGCGCATGAGCCTCTTCGTCGAGGCGGCCCTGCTGCGCAACCTCTGCGTCAAGGGCTGGCCGGCTGGGCTGCCCGACTGGGGCGACAACTACACGGCCATCTTCGGTCCCGCCCAGCAGGGGGTCAAGGTCGGGTTGTTTTGCCCGTCCTGTCGCAAGCCGCACGAGGTGGACCCGGCACGGGGCAGCGAGGCCGTGTGGACATGCGAGCGGTGCCGCGCCGCCATGGGCCCGTGTGCGGTTTGCGGCCATCGCGAGCCGGAGCGACCGGCGGACATACCGGACGAGATTGCCGACGCGCCTGGGCCGAAAGACACCTGGCTCGAGGGCTGGTGGTTCTGCCCCGGGTGCGCGCATGGCGGTCACGCCTCCTGTCTCCAGACGTGGCACGCAGCGCTGGACCCGGCCCCGTCGAGCGACCCGTCGGGCAAGTACAGCGACGGATGCTGTCCCTCGGACGGCTGCGGGCACGCCTGCCTCCCGGGCCGGTATCGCGGCGAGACGACGACGCAGCGCGCCGAGGACGTCAGCCGGGCGGCCGTCGACGCGGCGCGCACCCCGGAGTCGGCGCACCACGAGCGCCGTGCCAGCGGTGCCTTCTACAACCGGTCCAACAACAACAGCCGCAGCAACAGCCGTCGCACGAGCCCCGCGCGGAGCAGCAACAATCCCCCTGGCCTCGACCGCGCCGGCGGCGGGCCTGCCGCCAACGTCAAGAGCGACGGAAACGACGTCCCGCAAAGCAAGGCTGTTGGCATGGCCCGCGAGGCCCTTATGGGTGGCGGCAAGGGCGCGTCGGCGTCGCCCGCGGGCGGGATCCTCAGCTCAAGCCCTGGAAGCGCACGACAGATCGGCACGCCTGGGTCGGAGCGGGAGCGCAGGAAGAGCGTCAAGTTTGCACGCACGGACAGAACGTAGCGTGGCTGTTGATGGTTCACAATGGACCGCTTGAGGAGCTTGAGGGCGGCAGAGGCTGGAGAGGCGTTACGAGGGGGGCTACATCACGTCACCACGAGTGGCTTCTTGCATGGCGTTGGAATGGTTGTACAGTAATAGATGCGCTACGGTACCGCCGGGACGGCGAATCAACTATGCTTACAGTGCCTGCCATGCTGCTGGGTATCATGTACATTGACGACGTTGCAACCCCTGCCCGTCGTCATCCCTCAGGCGACGTTCTCTCGCAGCCCCTTGGTCCGCAGGGTGAAGCGCTCGCCCAGCGGCCCCGCGTCCAGCACGCCGTTGCCGTTACCGTTGCCGTTGCCGTTGCCGCGGTCACCGCGCCCGTCTTGGTCCTCGCTGAGGCGTCGTCTCTGATCCACGTGCGTTTGGGTCCCGGATGCGCTCAGGGGTCGGTCCGCCGCCGCAGGCATGCCTCCCGCCAGACGCCTCCCCGCCCAGAGGCCGCGCACGCCGCCCCTCTTGCGCTGGGGCACGTCGTCGGAGCCGGCGCTGCAGACGTAGAGCAGGTACTTGAGGTTGGGGAGGGAGTGGCGGATGTCGACGACGCGCAGGCCCTGTGAGGCGCACAGGGCCTCGACGTCCTTGTTGAGGAGGAACCAGGCGTACTCGAAGCGCCAGTGGCCGAGGGTCGAGCCGCCGCGCGGCAGGTGCAGCGGGAACTCGCGGCGCGACGAGGGCGGCGGCGCGGGCTGGTCGGGCAGCAGGGAGATTTCGTCGCGGGCGACGGAGCGCGAGCCGTAAGGGTAGAGCGGGTAAGGGAGCGGCAGGGAGAGGTAGAACTGCAGGTTGCGCACGACGAGGGCGACGAGCCCCAGGGCGGCGGACACGACGTCCTCGTTGACGGCGCGCGCCGTCGCCGCGTCGTACGTCGAGTTGGGCAGCGGCAGCCCGCAGATCTGGAACGACAGCGGCGGCGCGTCGGGCACGGGCGTGATGGGCAGCATGTCGGATAGCTCCGAGCAGATGCGGCGACGCTGGCCGCGGATCTGCAGCTCCGTCGTCGCCGCAAGCGAGCGCGATGCGTCGAGCTGCTCGCGGTTGTGCGCGACGTCCTGCTCGGCGCGGGCCTGGGCCTCGCGACCCTGCGCTATGGCCGCACGACGGCTGGCCAGCGACTCACGCAGCTCGTCGCGCCGCTTCTGGGCCTGGCGGTTGGCGCGCCGCTGCGCCGCCACGTACCGCGCCGCCAGGGCGGCTTCCTCCTCCTCCTCGGCGGCGTCCCGCGCGTCGGGCGGGTTGCTCTCGAGGATGCCGTTGATCTGGTCCATGATGCGGCGCTGCGTGTCCATGGCGTCCTGGATGGAGCTCTCGAGGTTGGCCAGCTTCATGAGCGCGTTGTACGACGACGTGGCCACGGGCGGGGCCTGGCGGGGCTCGGCCGCGCGGGTGGGAAAGTCGAGCGAGTAGACGCCGTCCTCGAGGTGGAAGATGAGCGCATTGGGGGGGAACCGCCGGTCCATCAGCGCGCCAATGAAGTTGAGCCCGCGCAGGTCGACAATCTCCTCGAGGAGCAGCGTCCACGGCTGGCCGGGGCGCCGCGACCAGACGCGAATCGTCAGGATGCAATCTCTCGAGAATGCATCGTCGGCGAGGTTAAAGAAGCGAAAGTTGAAGTTCTGTTTCCATGTCAGCAACCTGTGACCTGTCTCTGAAGGGCACAGGGGAGCTCACCGCAGACCGCTCGCGCACCTCGCTCACGTACACGGGCTCGTCCGACCCGGCCACGTGCAGGGAGAAGAACGCATCGCCAACGGAGCTCTCGACCAGCTCCTCGAGCTTCCGCTGGCGCGACGCCGGGTTCGCGTGGGCGAGGCTCAGGCTGGTCCGGCGCGGGCGTGCCTTGGGGCGGCGCTTGTCGGCCCGGGGCGCGCCGGAGATGGCGTCGTCTCGCAGGCTCTCCGAGGAGCGCGAGGGGTGCAGCTGGCCGGCCTCGCGCAGGACCTCGAGGCGGCGGGACTGGTCGACGGCGGCATCGTCGGCGGCGCGGTGGGCGGGGGGCGCGAAGGACAGGTTGCGCAGCGACAGGCCGTTTAGGTGGCGCAGCTTGCGGTTCTGCGGGAGGAGGCGCGGGCGGCGAGGCTCCGAGAGGGACATGGCGACATGCTGGGCGAGCAATTGGTACGCGATGCTTGTGGGGATGGAGCTTGGTGTTGCGTCGTCATTGTCGTGGAGCTTGGGTTGGGGAGAGCAGTGCGGGTGGGGCGCTGGGCCCGGTTCGCCTAGAGTAATATTTGCTACGTGCATAGGGGCGTTTGCTGTTAACGTTACTTGTTACTCGTTGCCCATCTAGACTCTACGCGACACCTTGGTCCTCCTAAAACACAAACACAGTCCACTACACCTTGGCCTTGAGAAACCCGTCCACGACCGACTCCGTCTTGCACGTTGCGTCCGCGCCCAGCGCCACGACGTCGTTGCCGAGCGGAAAGACGTGCTCGCAGTCCGGTCCATCTATCACAATCTCGAGCTTGCAGGCGGTGTTGCCCGGGCTGGGGTCCACGACGGCCAGGTCGCGCCCGCAGCCGATGGTGACGGTCTCGCCCGCGGTGTCAGCACGCAAAGAGGGCCCCGGCTGCGCGTCCCAGCGGACCAGCAGGTTGCGCGCGGTGGCGCGGTCGGCGGGGGCGGGCAGGCGGATGAGGGGCGCGGAGCTGGCCAGGACGGCGTCCCACGTCTTCTTGACCTCGAAGAGGTTGGCGAGGGGCAGGAACATGTTCTTGCCGCGCAGGTCGGCGACGGACATCCAGTGCCACGAGGCGCACTTTTCGGGCTCCATGACCCTGGGGACGGCGTGCTGGTCGCGCAGCTCGACGAGGACGAACCAGGTGACGTAGTGCTTGTCGTCTGCCGGGAAGCGGTCGTAGGTGTTGGCGAGGATGCGGACGCCGTCGACATCAAGGTCCGTCTCCTCCTTGACCTCGCGCACGGCGCACTCGAAGAAACCCTCGCCGGGCTCGCAGTGGCCGCCGGGGAGCTGCCAGGAGCCTGTCGCATGTCAGTCGTGCAGCCGTGAGCGGTGTCGCGGAAACGTATAACGTACCGGCGCCGTGGCTGCTGATGCGCTCCCCGACGAGAATCTTGTCGCCCTTGACGACAAAGGCGGACGAGCCCTGCTTTGGTGCTGCGGCGAGGCCCGACATTGTGTGAGTGTTTGCTGGTTTGTGCTGCTTGCAAAGACGCTCGCCGGGGTGGGCTCGTCTTTTTATGCTCATGGCGAGTGTGTCAGGCTTGCGCACTGGTCATGGCAGGATGCTGTGACAAAGGGCTCACCTGAGAGACTTGTTGTTCCGCTTGCTGCCAACGAGTTACCGGGCGGATCACAAGGCCGCAGGGCGGATTGAGCGTGTCGTGAGGTGGCAGGCAGCTTTGAGCAGCAACGTCAATGGCCGGTGTATGACTCTGCCCAGCTCTGTGCTGTGTTGCTGTGGATGGTGTGTGGTGGGAGAGTCCCATCGCCCACAAGACGGGTAGCGGGGCCCTAGGGACGACCTGCAGCACCACAGTCGGCGCAGTGGCGGCGCAGAAGCTCAGAGGATCACCAGGCACCTAGCTGATGCCAACACCAACAAAATCTCTGCGTTTGGAACTGATGACTATGTGACGAGAGGCGGACGAAATCTGCTCATCCAGCGCATCCATGGGCACGACGGACGAACAGGCCGCATTGTCTGGCCGTCACGGGATCGACCATGGCTGGCCAGGCCGCCGGCTGCCCGAGCAAGTCTGCCTGCGAGACGTCCCTGTGCAAAGTGTAACCAACTTAGGTTGCCTTCTGCAAGCCCTGGCGTGATGCCACCATCGCCGCTGGGCACAGCCCCAGGCTCACTCACTCCCTCCCCGTCCTCCTCTCGCCCTCAACACACAACAGCCCCTTCAGTCCATGACATGACAGTGGCCCTCAGTCCATGGCAATGGCCGTCGAGCACGTCGCGCCCGCATCCACCGTCAGCACCGTGCCCGTGATCCAGCGCGCCTCCCCGCCGGCCAGGAAGCGCACCGCGGCCGCGGCGTCCCACGCGCTGCCCTCGGTGCCCAGCAGGCTGCGGCGGCGCCTCGCCTCGCGCGTCTCGGCCGACATGGGCGCGGCGCCCTCGCCCGGACTGTGCATCATGGGCGTGTACAGCATGCCCGGGCACACGCAGTTGACGCGCACGCCCTGCGCGCCGTGGTGCGCCGCCATGGCCCGCGTCATGTTGACGACGGCGCCCTTGCTCGTCGGGTACAGCAGGCTGGGCGTCCCGCCGCGCAGCCCGGCCACGGACCCGACGTTGACGATGCTGCCCCGGATCCCCCCGCCCGCGCCATCGTCGCCGCCGCCCGGGTCGTTGCGCAGCATCGCCGGGATCGCGTGCTTGGCCATGAGCGCCATGCTCGTCACGTTGACCTCGAGCCCGCGCGCCCACGCCCCCGCGTCCGTCTCCGTCGCCGTGCCCCGCGCGCCCAGCACGCCCACGTTGTTGACGAGGATGTCGACGCGCCCAAACGTCCGCACCGCCGCCTCCACCGCCGCCTGGCACTCCGCGTCGCGCGTCACGTCCGCCGCGAAGGCGAGCGCCCGCCCGTGGCCCCCCTCGGAGCGTATCATCTCCGCCGTGCGCTCCGCCAGCGCCCCGTCGCGGTCCACGCACACCACCGCCGCGCCGTCCTCGGCCAGCAGGATCGCGATGGCCCGCCCGTTGCCGATGCCCTCGCCCTGCGTGCCCGTGCCCGCGCCCGTCACGATGGCTACCTTGCCGACGAGGCTGCGCGAGGGGCGTGTCTGTGACATGATTTGCCGTGAATGTATTTTGTAAAGTCGTCTGTGTCTGGTTGATGCTGCTTGCCGTGTTGGTAGTAGACGTGCGTCCTCGTAGCGGGTATAAGTGCGAGCTACAGGCGTTGCAGGTGTGCCGAACCTCGGCTTGATGGCGGGGAAACCACAGCCTCTCAACCTCCTCACTGCGACACCATCGCAGCCCAATGCGACAAGCCATATGACAAGTACACCGGCTTACACATTCGTCACACCTCACGCCCATTGAACCGCCTCCACGAGCCCACGACGTCGTGTTCAAAGCCATGGCCTCGTCCAGGGTAGCCCTCGCCTTCGGCTGCCTCCCGCCCCCACGGCTCCGCAGCCCGCCGTCTGCCAATCATCTCACAGTCTCCACGCCATCGTCTCGAGCCCCCTTGCAAACCCTACTCAGTCCACAATAAGCCACCCTCCTTCAACAATCAGTCAATAGGCACTTTGGCCGAGTGGTCTAAGGCGCCGTGTTCAGGTTCTCGCTTCGGTTCTCCGAGCTCCCTATTCGCGGTCTAGTAATAGGCGAGGGTTCGAATCCCTCAGGTGTCATTCTTTTTGACCTCACGATGGACAGTCAGTCATGACCCCGTCGTGTATTGTATTTTTTTGGCCGATTTTTTTCACTCGGATGTGCCGGAGCAGAATCATGCGGAGTTTGAACCTGGATTGTGCCCTCCCTTGGCTGAGAGGGCAGTCTGGCCCATCGAGTACGGATCGCCCTCCATCTCATTCCGACACAGCTATACGTGCTGAGATGCTCGACATGTGCCACCCCCGACCAGCCTCCTCTTGAATGCACCATCTAATGTACATGAACCAATTACAACGAATACGCCAACGCCCGAGTGATCATGCAAGTGCTACAGTTCGTTCCGGTTGATGTCTGGAAGCGTCACCTTCCATTGCCGCGGGTTCACCGGCAGGCCCACCCAGAATTGGTACAGGCGCACCGTCTCTGATGTGATGATGTTCCAGCTGCGGTCGTTAGCCATGGCGCGAGGTTGGGCGGCAGTGCGGAGACTTACAATGTCCTGGGCGCCCGAAGCCACCCGCTGATGACAATCTTGACGGCCGCCCTGAACCGCTCCACCTCAAAGGTGAAGTGGTGGTACAGGGAGTCGCTCTTGGGCCCCCGCAACCGAAGCGCGACAAACTCGCGCACCGCCTCGTCCTCCTCATACTCGTCTGCCCTCCCCCTAGGCTCCGTCTTGGTGTCGGTCTTGGTCTTTGCCTTGGCCTGCTCTACAGCGTCTGGGTTCGGCGACGCGACGTCGCTCTTCTGCTTCTTGGCCATCTCCCTAAACTCGCCAATGACCCGCAGCGCCTCGCTCAGCCGCGCGTACGTGTTGAACAGGGCGACCAGCTCCGTGCGCTTCAGCACCGGCAGCTCCCTCTCGTTGTCAAACTCGAAGAGCACCTTGAGCGCCGTGCCGTAGCCGTTGGTCTGGATCTTGCCCCAGAGGCGGCACTTGTCGCACCCGACGCAGTCCATGAGCCGGCTGATGTTGCGGAAGCGGTTGCGGAAGTCCTCCTTAAGGGACGGGCCCTCGCCGTTGACAAACATGAGGCTCTCGTCAAAGATTTGCGGCACGCTGGCCGCCCGCTGCGCCACCTCGAGCACCTTGGCCCGCGTCGCCTGGTCCTCGGCCGGGTCGCCGGTGCAGAACGTGTACTTTGAGTCCCGCAAATACGGTCCCAGCTTCGCCACGGCCCGCGTCACGAGCGCGTAGTTGAAGTACAGGTTGCTGACGCGGTCGGCGTGGCCCTCGAAGCGGTTCACGTAGCATGCCACGTTGGGCTGCCATTGGCCCGTCGTCTTGTTGAGAAAGTCCCAGCACAGGTGGGCGCTGATGCTCGCGTGCATGCCCGACACCACGCGGTAGAAGACGCGCTTCTCGAGGCACTCGTCGTCGACCTCGAAGCCCGTGTTGGCCACAAACGGCACCTCGGGATGCTGAAGGCGCTGCGCCTGGAGCTGCGCGTGCCGGCCGGCGGCGTCCATGACGTGCTTGAAGTCGAGCGCGGCCGGGCCCGCGGGCCACACGGAGACGCCGAGGTCGGCCGAGTGCGGGAAGGAGCTCTTCTGGAAGCAATTCTCGCGGTAGATGGCGTCCCAGACCTGCTTGGCGCCCTCGCCGCTGTAGCCCGTGAAGCGCTCCGGGTTGCGGAGAAGGCTCACGTAGTCGCCCTTGGAGCTGGCGCTCTCGTCCTCGGGAACGCAGTAGTCGCGCTCGTCGCACTCGTCGTCGTACTCGACCACGCAGCTCTCGCCGACCTCCTCGCCGAGCTCGCCTTGCAGCGGTCGGTCCGGGTGCTGGCGCTGGGCCGTCCGGCCGGGGTGCTTGGCGTGGGGACCCTCGAGCTTGCTCAGCTCGCTGGTGCGCCACACCTCGGGGATGTCCTCCTCGTTATCCAGCGTCTCGACCGCGCATCCCACGTTGCCGCAGATGCCGTTCTCGTCGTCCCAAAAGGGGCATCGCTTGTTGAAGAGATTGAGGCGGTAGTACGAGAAGAAGTCGGTCGACCGGACCAGGGTATCGAGCGAGGGCTTGACGTTGCCGTTGAGCTTCTCGAGCGTCGCGAACGAGGCGCAGGCATCGTCGACAATAGACTTGGGGGAGATCTGGGCGCTGGTCAGCCAAGTGTGCGCCGTGTTGCGCCGTGTTGCGCTGTGCTCGCGGGCAATCTCACCACGCATTCCTGGGACGAGCAGGAAGAAGGGGCCGCCCAGAGGGCGAAGAGCGAGAGGTAGAAGAGCCTGCCTGCAGACTTCATGGTGGTGTCGGCTCCCGCTGCGGCGTGCCGAGCTCGAGGACCGCGAACAACGAAGATGCAAGGTACTAACGGCAGGTACGAGCCGCAGGCAATCGAATGTCACGATTCGTCAGTCAAGAGATTCCGCGATGACCAGTCACGGCAAAAGGTCTGTTGGTGGGAAAGGACGCTGAGAAGAGGCCACCTGTCGCGGGATGGAAGAAGCAAGTCAGTCAACTGCCGCTTATGTGATGTAACATGACGGCAGTGGACGCTAGAGACAGCGGAGCGGACGGGACTGATGGCTTTGAAATGGAAGGTCACCCAGGCAGGCGGAGCGGGAAGAGCGGGGCCGCGGCGCTGGAAAGGTAACGGTGGCCACAGGCCACGGGGCGCTGCCAGCGCTCCGCCGCCAGCGCTCAAGAGAACTTCTAGGTCGTGTTGATTACAGCGCAGCCGTTCCCGAGCTGTGTAGGTACGGTCGTGCCGAAACATCAGCCCATCTCGATCCTCTTTCCACGCAGGCGCCGACGCACCAATCGGTGCGGGCAGACACCCTGGGCCATCGTGTGCAGTGCCCTCGACTCATGCGTCGTTTAGAGGGCCGTTCAAGCAAGGTGGCACCATGGTAATGTAAGCTCGACGCCACACGCTGCGACCGTTGTGCCACCAGTGGCCATGCCGAAAGGGCCAGTCTCCGCGCCGAGACCCTGCACCAGACAATGCCGCGCCTCACGTGAGGCACCGAGGCAGGGAGGGACCGCCATCCGCAGACTCTAAATTCCTCAATTCCAATTCCACTACCTAGACTGCTACCCGTCTCCAATGCCGGTGTGTGCCAACGTGCCCCCGCCCGTGCGCCGTGTCGGTGCCAGACGCTCGCGCGTCCAACTCGACGACTCCGAGCACGGTGTCGACCGCTGCGAGGCGGCAGTGCCGACGAGCAAGGCCGAACAAGTCCCGCCCCAGCATCGGCCCGTCTGCGGCAGACAGAGAGCCACCAGGCACGCAAAAGCCCCCCGAGGCCAGGACCAAGGAACCGGACACACAGGCCAGAGATTCGCAGGTTGGTTGGTACACACAGGCCTCGTTTGCGTCTGACGGCCGGCGCGAGGCGTTGATATTCTATCGAACTGACCCAGATATCGTATGCGAAGACCGTGATATTCGTAAGAGCGTTAACAGGACCGTACATGAGCTGTCGGTGCGACTGCGGCTATCGTACAGAGCTCACTGCGGCGGCTGGTAGTTGAGCGGGCGCCTGGCAGGGTCAGCGGTGGTGTTTCTCTGCCGCGTGCGGGCCATCGGGAGTCACCTACTTGAAGAGCAGAATGTGCGGCTCGGGCTCGTGGACCTCGTAATGCTCCCAGCCGAGACTCTGCGCGCGTCAGCGTGGTCCGTGTCCGTCGGGACGCCATCGCGGCGGCGGCGGCCATGACACGTACCTGGGTGATGCCGATTGCCCGCCACTCGTCCTCCCACAGCAGCTTCAACGTGCCCTTGGACGTGTCGTGGTAGTCCTTGGGGATCGCCTTGAGCATCGCCTTGGGCAGCTGCACGTGCCGATACTCATACTCGCTGTCCGAATACCTGCCAGGGCGTCAGCGGTCCGCTGCCTCGTCCACGTCCTCGTCGGGCACCACCCACCTGGCCGAGTAGTGGATCGAGTCGATAAACTCCTCCAGACGCGCGCGCTCCGAGTCGGACAGCGGCCGGGGCGACTTGTTTCGGCGGCTGGTGTCAATATCCATGGCCGTCGTGCTTGCGGGAGGCTCGGGGCGGTTTCAATCTCGGGTCTCTCGACGGGCGTCGCCTGCTCTCCACGACGCGACCTGAGCGCGCGATGCGGTGCGGGGAAGGGCGGTCTGCGGCAGGCCGTCACGCTCCTGCTGTCTCAGCGAGGTCTCCAATCGGTGGCACGGTCAAGGGCGGCCTGCGGCAACGAGCGACGGCGCAGGGTGAGAAGCGAACACGAGGCGCGGCAGCAAAGTCAACGCGACGGATGGAGCGCAACGAGGCGGGGAGAAGGGCAGGGCGGGGATGGAATGGCGGGCGGCGAGAAAGTTGTAGGTAAACAAATGGAAGTGCGTGCGCCAGCGCCAGCACCCCGCCAAACACCCACTTTGGCACCCCTGGCGGCCCCACCGGGCGTGGTTCGGCCGTTGCCAGCAGTTGAGCCTTTTGTCCTCGACTTTGTTGGCCGCCGAGGGATGTCTGTGTCCTGGCACGGACGGAGCACTAACGTGTGATGGCGGGTGTGAAATGCTTGCACCAACGTGTGCACCACGAGACCATGTCGTGTCGATTCCGTTTGTGCAGACGGCCTGGCATTCTCTGCGAAGCGCTGGAAGACCGCGATACGGCCAACAGCGACGACGCCCCGCCCGCCGTCTCGTCCAGGCTGTCGACTGCCGCCGGCGCACGTGGCGGTCTTGCAGATCCGGATGCAACGCGTGCATGAATTGGCCAAGCACCCGGACGGGCCCTCGCGGCGACGCTGCCCAGACCGGCGAGGCGGCAGCCGGGTAGATGTCCACGAGGCTCCAATCTGGTTTTGTTTGTCTGCGGGATGCCTCGCACCTTCCCTCGGGCATGTTAGGGCTTGACCTGGCACTTTTCCTGGATCACGGGACACGGTTCGCTTGACATCGACGTCGCATCACGGTTTTGGGCTCTCCGCCGCTCCTCTGCCTATCTTGCTATGACTGCCCGCCCTGGGCTTCCCGTCTGCCCGCTGCTGCCCGCCCAGCGGAATGTGCGTCACGACGTTGCCAATCTTGGCCTTGACGCCCGGCACCGCAATCTCCCACGCGTGCATCGCCCGGAACCGCTTCTCCTTGAACAGCTTGAGCACCTTGAGCGACGTCTCCTCGTCCGGCAATCCAAACGTCCATCCGATGGAGACGTGAAACGCCGAGTCCGCCGCCTCGCTGTGGTGCATCTGGTACAGCGCGGGCTGCTTGAACAGCGCCGAGACGGTGTTGCACCGCGTCAACAGGGTCATAAGCTCCGGGTTTGCCCCGTGTTTGCGCGTCTCGACCCGGAGGATGAGAAACGTCCTCTCCGAATCGGGCGACTTGTACCAGGCCAAGCTGTTGGGGCGCACGGCAAACGGCTCCGTGGCGCTGGTCCGGATGGACTGGGTGAGCCGCTCGAGAAACGCGTCCTTGTCTGCTGTGGGGAGGCTGAGCGGACGCGAGAGGCTAATGTGCAGCGGCAGCGGCGCGCCCAAATCGCTGGTCAAGAAGTTGTGCAGCACAATATCTTTGTCGAGCACCTCTTCAACCCTAGCGACAAGCTCCTCCAGCAGGTCGTGCTGCTCCGGACTGGGGTGCCCTGTGCTGTCAGCAAAGTAGGTGGGAGACGGGGGGCCATTTACTCACATTCGACGTATAGGTGGGTGGGCCAGTTGCCGGGTATGTGAGGGTTCTGCCTCTTGCGGCCCTGATGCAGGCTCGGGTCGTCTACGACGCTCTGCCGGACTGTCGACGCGTACAGGTCGTGGAAGGCTGCCGGCAGTGGCGGCATCGCGGCGGCGGCATCGGCCGCGGCGCCGGACGCCTTGGAGCCATCCTTGCGCCGCTTGGCCGGGGGCTCCTGTTCCGTGTCGGACGCTGACGTCGACGACGAGTAGTCGACCAGCGCCATGGCAATGATGTCACGGCGCCTCAAGGAGCTTTCGCTCCGCGGGATCGACGACCACGGCGACCACGGCTCACAAAGCCGGCCGAGAAATCATCGCGAGCGCTCCGGGCCGGTGCGGTGCGTGACGGACAGATGAATGTGAGTCGTGAAGATTGAGTTGTGCACGCGGCTGGTCCCGCAGTGGACGCGCGCACCGCGCAGCAATCGGATCAGTCAGCGCCGATCGCAGGTGTCACTGAGCCCCTGGATTTTGGCAGATCTGCTGGTCCACCACCACACACGCGCGGCAAGCACCAGCATGCTGAACAAGACGTGCCAGACGTGCTTTCGGGCCAAGATCCGATGCGTCAAGTCGCAGGACTCCGGCTTGTGCGACCGCTGCTTGCGCCTCGACAAGCCGTGTCGGTTTGCCGCATCCCGTCGCCCCGCCAAGAAGTGAGGAGGATGCCCGCGACCCTAGGCCCTGCTGACGTTGACTAGACATGATGCTGGGGGTGATGCTGTGCGACCTGTTGCGGCGCCTTCCACAGGTTCTCTGCACAGTGCATGCCCGTTTGGAAGGGGGCTACTCTCTCGGAGCCATGGCTCCAAGTTGGTCGACATTTTCCGGACGAAATTGGTGCCACACTTTCCGTTCGTCGTCGTACCTACAGACGTAACTGAAGAGCGGCCACTGCTCCATCTTGCCGTCTTGTCTGCGGCGTCCTTTGACGACGTCAGCCTCCAGCGGCGGCTCGGGACCCTGTTCAGTGACGTGGTTGCAAAGAGGCTGGCCAGCGGTCCGTTTGCGACATTGGACATGCTTGAGGCCCTGCTCGTGCACTGCGCGTGGTGCGTCTCTCGAGCCCTTGAAAGGGATACCCGCCTAACTCTTCAGGACGCATTACCAACCCAAACCGAGAAATTATTCCCAGTACCTTTCCCTTGCCGTGAGCATCGTCACAGATTTGCGCATGGACCGCCCGAGGAACCCGCTGCTCTGGAGCGTGGAGACGGACGCCCGGCACGACAATGACTGGGGACCTGAGGAGGTACGGGCAGTCGCGGGAGCATACTACTTGGCCTCCAGGTGAGCCCATACAAAGCCTTGAAGCTGTCGGCTCGTCAATATCTCACCGTTGGCTTGTCAGCTCGTCCATGCTGCTGCAAAAAGCTCGCTCCTTTGCCTATACGGCCTACCTCGGAACGTCGTGTCGGAACCTAGCCTTGCAGAGCGCGGCGGATGGCGACAAGTACCTGCCCTACATCGTAGAAGCACAGCGAATCGCCGAAAGCATAGATGCCCTCACTGGCGAACCCGCTTCGGCTGGTGCGGCTAGGCTCCGAACGCTCAACGAAGAGTACGCGGCGCTCAAGTCGTCGGTGACCTTTCCCCTCAGTAACAGCCGTAAGCGCATCGACCCTTTCAGTGGTCCTGGCTAACTGTGCAGCGCCGTTGATTGTTCTCATGAACATGCTTGAGCTTCTGATGCATTCGGCGCCAGGCACCGCCTCGTTCAACCTCGCCGAGATTCGCGACTCTAGTCTCTGCCCCCCATGGCTCCTTGAGCGAATCCACGCGGTCAGGTTGATGATCAATACCCTCGTCACCATGGCGCCAGGTGACGAGTATGGCCTCTCCAACATTGAATGGATCACAATGCATTGTGCACTGTCTCTGGCGGCCCGCATGGACATTGTTGCGGCCAGTTCTGGGATTGGCGCAACGCAGGCTAGGAGGGCGCTGGACATGCCGCACAGCCTGAAGCAGGTGCTTTTGCGCCTAGAGAGCGCTTCGGACGGCACACTTGACCAGGGCGGTGACCACGACCCGTTCCATCAACTGGCACGGCGAGTGAGGCGTTTGGAAGAATGGCATCTGGCGCGCCTTGAGCGGATAGAAGTGCCTGTGGCGTCACCGTCTGCCGACCGTCTCGACAGTCTCGACACCAACGCGGCGCATCCACTCGAGTGGACCGACCCATTTCCTGGTCAGCCAGAGGCTCAGCCTGCGGACTGGCTCGAGGACTACATTGGCGCAGGGTTTGGGGCATTTGGCATGCCCGGATTCGCGTTGGAGGATCGGACCCGCTGACCGGCACGGAGGCCGAAGCGGATACGGACACGGACACGGACACGGACACCGGACTCACCAACGGCACGGACACGGAGACTGACGACACGGACACGGACATTGGCATGGCGACTGCCACTGCTGCTTCAACTTTATAAATATGGCTTCGGCTGCTCATGTTGACGGCTACAGTCAATCGAAACACCCAAATCGTCCACCATGCCATCATTCACTCGCTTGCTGCTGCTCTCGGCTGTGACCTGGTGTGCGGCCACGGCATTCTCGCCTTGTCCTCTGATCGGACAGTATCTACCCCCTCCGACAATCACTCAAGACGATGCAACAAGCCTATCTCAAGGGTACCGTGCCAGCTTTGACAGCCTGGTTCAACACGGGGGCAGCGACAAATATGGTGAAATCTCTGCGAACACGACATCCTTTGCCGTCGTCTTCTTCGCAGGCGCGACGGGCAAGACCATCTTTGAATACTACCACACGGCAGACAACACGTCCAGCAGCGTCGATTCAAACACGAGGTTCCCTGTCGGAGACGTCACCATGGTGTTTACCGTGTACTCGTGGCTGGCGATGATGGGCGAGCATTGGGACGCCCCCATCACCAAATTCCTGCCAGAGCTGGCGGACGCGGGGCCTGTGCCGTGGGAGGACGTTACGATTGGGTCTCTCGCAGGCCACATGTCTGGTCTCCCGCGGCATGTCTGCACAGCGCCGCATGGTTGTTCCGATGGTCGCCTGCGAGGCATCGCCGACCAGCAGCCCGTGTTTCTGCCCGACACCACGCCGATGGTCTCGTATGCCGCCTTTGAGGTGCTTGCTGCGGCGATGGAGCGCAGCAAGTCGAGGGACTTTGCCAGCCTACTGCAGTCGTCGATACTTGGCCCGCTCAACATGAGCCGGAGCGGCCTGCGACTAGCAGACGTCTTTGCCGCGCGAAACAACGACCTGCCGGCGGTCAAGGAGCCAGCGTAAGTCAATCCCAAAGACGTGAGACTTATGCTAAGCAATCTTCAGTGCCCTGTCAATGGTGTCGACGGTGGGCGACCTGGCGCGCGCGGGCAAGGCGATCCTGTCGTCCAAGCTCATCCCCGCGGCGGTGACCAGACGGTGGCTGCACTCCAACGCGGACACGTCGAACCTGCGAAACGGAGTCGGCCGCCCCTGGGAGGTGTACCGCGCCGGGTCGAACGCGACGTCGCCGATCCTCGACGTCTTTACAAAGAGCGGCGCGGTCGGGCCCTATGCGAGCTACTTTGGCCTGGCCCCTGACTTCGACGCTGGGTTTGCCATTCTCGCACACGACGCGACCGTCAAGGATGGCGGGCTCGACCTCAATGTGTACGCCGACGTCGCGAGCGAGGCGCTTGAGTCTCTCCTGGGGCTGGCCGCCCGGCAGAGTGCCATGCGCTTCGGCGGCACGTACGGCGGAGACAAGGATAGGCTTGTGCTGAGCCAGGGCAGCCCCGGTCTCGAGGTCAAGGATTTCAAGCTCGACGGCGTCGACATGATGGCCGTGGCAGCGCGGCAGCTTGGCATCATGCCCAAGGACCTAGACTACCGGCTGTATCCCACAAACGTCAAGGACGCGCGCCATCACCAGTTTGTTGCCGTCTTCCAGGACAGGGCAGCCCCAGTGGACATGGGGACGCCGACCTGCATTACATGGCAGAGCGTCGACGCGCAGGCCCAAGCCCGGACGCGCTTTGTTTTCGAGCTGAACGACCAGAGGGCGACTGGAGTTGTGCTGGGTCGGACGCGGTTGGCGAGGAGGCAGTAGCGGACGCAAGGTACGAAGTAGAGTAAGGTAGCAACGAAGCCACACCACCACCACGCGCGTTGCTCACACACACGCGCGCATGCGTGCCCCGCCGTGCACCTGCAGGCTCGACGCTAGGCCTGTCTCTTATACACATCTAGATGTGTATAAGAGACAGGAGTAAGGTAGCAACGAAGCCACACCACCACCACGCGCGTTGCTCACACACACGCGCGCATGCGTGCCCCGCCGTGCACCTGCAGGCTCGACGCTAGGCCGCGAGGCGTCTGCCTCCACCTCACCTGACCCGAGTGCCCCGCGCAGTGCCAGAGCTGCCACCCTTTGCGCAATTGACATCCAACTAACTAATTGGGTTGTGCCACCTACCTCTGGCGGACAGACTGCATATGCAAGATGGGGTAAGCTAAGGAGGTCTAGATCAGCGGGCAGCGAGGAGGACCACACGGGCGAGGGGGATGGAGGGGTCTTGGGCGACTGCGCGTCTGGCAGTCTGGGGCGGATGGGCCGAGAGGAGTGAGTGATGTGTGATGGATTCTTCCGTGGCGCGAGGCGAGGCGAGGCGATAAAAGAGCGGCATCCCCAGTGCTCAGGCCCTGGCGGGCGTCGGCATCTGCATCATCGCCCTCCCCGCCGCGACTGACTGACTGACCGTCTGTCTGGGTCGCGCGCTCACCCTCACGTCGTTCGCCCGCACAGCCCGCGCGCACACGCAAGCCGCCAAGAGCCCACACTACGCCGGCCCCCCGGGGCATCGCCTCTCTGACGAGCCCGACCGCTAGGATGAGAATAAAGACGGAGATTGATGGCGAGGGCCTGGACAAGCAGTGGGTGAGTGCCGGGTCCCCTCCCTTTGCGATGGCGATGCACGCGCAGCACAGCAAAGCCGAAGCGGCAGGCCAGAGGCAGCGCGCGACAGCAGAGACCGCGAGGCGCATCCCCCGCGTCCACCGTTGAGGTCTAAGACCAGGCCAAACCACGCCGTGAGACCCGACGCAGGGTCCCGCGCCAGCGCCAGCGCCAGCGCGGCGGCGCCGTGGCACGGCCGGAGGGACCCTTGTCTCGGGGCGACGCGGGATCGGTTGCGTCACGCCTCCACCGCGCTGCCCGGCAGCCACGGACGGGCCAAGTGACAAAAGCTTGTCCCACGAGTCGAGTCAAGTCGAGTCGACCTGGGCCCGTGCCGTGGCCGTGGCCGAGGCGGCCGCGAAGCCGCGCTTGCCGCTGGTGTTGGTTGTCGTCGTCGCTCGCTCGCCTGACGCATTGGCTGCTGCTGGTGCAGTTCCCCGATGATGCCTTGATTCCATGCAATGCAAGCAAACAACGTGCGGGAGAGCGCTGACGTGCGTGACGTGACCGTCGCAGGCCCAGAGGTACATTCTCGACCCGCTCACGGCGCCCGAGCCCAGCCAGGAGGCCATGACGAGGTCCGGCACCTCGACCGCGCCCTCGGCCTCGGCCGCGTACGTCGACTACCGGCGGCATCACCCGCCGTCCTTTTTCTCGGCAGCCCGCAGTCTCAAGAAGCTGTCGCTGGACGAGGTCCGGCGGCCCGTCGCCAGCGGCAGCAGCAGCAGGGCCGCCAACGACGACAACGACGACTCGTCCCGGTATCCCACGCCGCCGTCGTCGGCGGGCTCGGCGGGCAGTCCCACGGGCCGCGCGGCTGCTGCTCGTGGCAGTGGCAGTGGCAGTGGCAGTGGTGATGGGAGCGGCAGCGGCAGCGGCGCTGCGGCCTCTGGGTCTGGGCCTGGGCCTGGCCCCCGGGGCCATGCGGCGCCGCTCCACCCCTCCAACCCGTTTGCGACCACTACGTCATATGCCCGGCTCGACACGCACGCAAGGCACGGCGACGAAATCAGTCCACCGCTCTCTCCTCAACACCACCGCAGCAACTCCAAACCCTCTGCCTCGTCTCGCAGCTCGCATCACGCCCCGTCGCAGCAGCATCAATTGAGGACTCATCGCCGCCACCCCAGCGCCCCGACACCCTCCGGCTCGTGGTTCGACGAGCCCGGCCCGCTCCCGAGCCATCCGCATCTCCATCCGCCTCGCCCGCGCGACCACCACCACCGCCGCAACCTCAGCGTCGCCAGCAACACCACCGGCAACAGCACCAGCAGCAACAACAACATCAAGGGCAACGACGACGACAACAACACCAACACCAACACCACCACAAACCTCCAGCGCCACCGCTCCCTCCGCCAGCGCTACCCCGGCGACATGTCGCACCGCCCGCTCGACATGCTCCGCGCCGACGCCCGCGCCGCCGACCGCGGCCCGCACCAGCGCCACCGCAAGCGCATCTCCGACACGGACACCATCGACGCCCTCGACACCATCGGCGGCGCCTACCACCACGGCGGGCCCTACGACGCGACCCTCACCAGCCGCAACCTCAACGCAAAGTACAGCCCCGTCGCCGCCGTAAAGGCCTCCAACGAGGCCGCCCTGCGCGCCACCCCGCGCGAGAACATCCAGGACAGCCTCGAGCGCCACGTTCCCCTCCAGGGTACCGCCACCATCCCCGCTGGCGCCCGCGACATGAGCGGCCGCATCATGGACTACGAGGAGGGCGCCGACCTCATGCGCGAGCCCGATGCCGACGGCGGCGCCTACAAGCGCTGGCCCGGCGTGGTGAGTTTGCCCCTGCGTGGCCCCAGACTCCCCTCCCCCCCTGACTCCTGAGACTCCCCGCACTCTGGACCGATGACTGACGCGCACCGCAGCAATACCATCCCGACGACTACAAGGGCAAGGGCGAGCCCTCCTTCACCATCGAGCGGGACCTCAAGGCCCGCAAGCACGGCAAGCACCTCAGCGAGGCCGACGCCTTTGAGATGCACCCGGGCGTCAACCGCCGTGCCGCCCGCCAGCGCAGCGCCAGCAACGCCGACCAAGAGGGCTCCGCGAGCGGCAACGCCTACGGCGGCGGCGGTACCGGCGAGGGCGTGCGTCGCAGCCACTCGACGGGCAAGAAGTTTAGCGAGGGCATCAAGCGCCGCTTCGGCAGCCTGCGGCACAAGAAGCCGGCCGAGGTGCAGTAGTCGTGTTTTACATTCGGAGTTTTTGGCGTTGTCTCCAGGGCAGTGTACATGTTAGAATGAACTCTCGGCGGGATGGCGGGCCTCCAGGCATGGCTTAATCTAGACGGGCGAGCTTCGCGCCCTAAAATGTTACATACGTCTATGATACACACGCTGCCCCTTAAAAGTACGCCATGCCGCTCCACCCCAGGACAGCGTCCAGGTCCGCCCTCAGGTCCGCCGCGCTGTCGTAGCCGCCCCTGCTGGCAATCTCGCTGCGCTTCGCCGCGCCCAGCTCGGTCCAGCGCGCCAGCACCGCGCCGTCCACCACGGCCCTGCCCCACGACGCGGCCGTCTCGACGCCGATGGACGCGTTGCGCCCGTGCGTGTCGGGGATGCGGTACGCCTTGGCGTGCAGCCCCGCGTGCGGCACCAGCGCCGGGTGCAGCTGGTTCGTCACGGACAGGAGGCGCCGGTACGTCGACTCGGGCAGCGGCGTCAGCGCCGACAGCTGGCCCGACGGCGACGCCAGGAACAGGACGTGCGACTTGGGGTGTTGCTTCGAGGTGCGCGGGAGGAGGAGGCTCGACGTCGGCGGGTTGGGCGTGACGGAAAAGGAGGCGCGGTGGAGCAGCAGGTGCCCCTGAAGACTCTTGGGATCTGCCTCTCGTTAGCACAGGCACGTCTGCGTACGCGCCAAGGCGGAAAACGGGGCAACGTACGCTCTGGGTCAAACTCGAGGATGTGCATGTCCCCGTCGGCGTCCACTGCCACCAGAGACAGGTCCTCGCCGTCGGGCAGAAAGTCGGCCACCAGCAGCGGCAGGGTCCCGCTGCTCTTGCCGAGCACCTTGAACGTGTACGGCTCCTCGGTGTAGCCTGCGAACCACAGCCCCTTGAACGAGTCGGCCATGAGGCACAGGCCCGTGCCCGGCAGCCCCTTGGCGCTGGCGACGTGGCAGTTCATGTCGAGAAACGCCACGGGCAGCAGCGAGCCGTCCTCCTTGAGGCCCCGCACCATGCACTTTTGCCCCTGTGCGACGAGCATCAGGCCCTGCGTGCCAATCTCGGACAGCGCCGTGACGCCGCCTCGCGGTATCTCCTCTTTCGCGATGAGCTTCAGCCGCCGGTTCGTCTCGGGCCGGCCCGGCTCGGGGATGACGGCGACAATGTCAAACACCTGCACGCGCCCGCGCGTCGGCAGGTCCTCGCCCTTGGACAGCGCCGTGCCCACCGCCACCAGCATCCGCCGCTCCCTCGTCTCCTCCGACACCTCGAGGTGCAGCGTCCGCATGCTCTCGATCGACTCGCACGGCTCCAGCTCGAGGCTGTGGATGACGGTCCACGTCGCCGGGTTGATGAGCTTGAGCACGCCGCGCGCCATCGTCGGCGGGAACGTAATAGTCTCCCTCGCCCACTCCTTGTGGTAGTCGTCGTCGCGCGGCAGCTCAAACGGCTCGTACGTCGTGCAGGCCGCGATGTAGGTGCCCGTCGGCTGGTGGTACGAGACGTTGCGGATGTCTTGGTCCAGCGGAATCTTCTTGACCGAGAGGCCGAGCTCGGTGAGGTTGGTCGCCTCCGGCAGCTGCGTGACCCGCGCGACGCCCTCCGAGTCGGCGTAGATGAACCCGCGATCGCAGCCCTCGGTGTGGAACGTGCTCATGCCGCGCGAGCCGACGCCCTGCAGGCCAATCACCCTGGGAATACTTTTGCTGCTCTTGAGGACAAAGCTCGGCGACGGGCCGGGCATGAAGACGGCGCTGTAGCCGCCCACGTTGGCGCACGCTCTCAACGGGAAGAATCGCGGGGGCTCGGCCTCTTCGTCCTGCGGTGTCTCCTCAGGGCCCTTGGCCATGGTGGCATTCGTTGCCTTCTTGAACAGTAGCGTCGCCTGGCCGTCCTGCTGGTGCTTGATCGGCTCGTACAGGGTCAAGTCGTCTGTGGAATGTCGCACCTGTTCGGTCAGCAGAGCCGGGCCGGTGGAAACGCGCACACTTACAATGAGGTATGGCGTCTTGGATACTGCGTCGCCCAAATCCGCCACGAGAATCTCAGACACGCTCTCCTTGCTCGCCCCTCGCCGGGCAACAAAGTCTGCAGACAGAAAAGGCGGAATCGACGTGAGGCACTCTGCCACGAACACCGGTTTGGAAAGGTCGGGGAGCGCGTAGACCTGGATCGTCAGCATGGCCCACCAAGGATCACCGAAGCAACTCACATGCAGCGCCCCGGAAGCGTTTAGTAGAAACATCATTATCGTCTCGGCGGGCTGCCCCAGCTGAAAGGCGCCCGCGGCATCGTTGTACAGGCAGCCCGACACCCACTTGGACTGCAGCCCCGTCTTCTCCACCTCCTCGAGCTCGTTGCTGCTGTCAATCTGCGCGATGAAGACGCTGCCGTCGTCGCGTATCAGCAGCAGGTACGGGTCGACGATGCTCGCGCTCATCACCCGCGGCTCGGCGCCCGTCTCCTCGTCCAGCATCGGCAGGATCTGCGCCAGCCCAAGGTCGCCGTCGTAGCACCGCACCTCCGACTTGAGGACCTGGATCACGCGCATCTGCTTGCCCATGGTGCCCGCCTCGACGGTGAAGCCCGCCGCCGGCTCGAACTCGGTCTCCTTGAGCGTCTCGAACCCCGCCCCGGTCACCGCGTACACGTCGGACGTCTCGTACCCGTCGAGGTCGACCTTGGCCACGATCATGTACTTGTCGTACTGGGCGGGCGGGTCGTAGTCTTGGCCCACCGAGGCGCCGGCGCCCAGCACCTTGGACATGGGCTTCTTGACGCACATGGTCCAGAAGCCGCGCGCCTCGGGGAACTCGAAGCGGCCAATGACCTTGGGCTGGATCTCGCGGTTGAGGATGGCGATGGATCCTGCCTTGCCGCGCCCGACGGCGCACGCCAGCTGCAGCTCCGCGGACACGCCCTTGGCCAGGGTGGCCTCTTCGCTGTCGGGCAGAAACTGGGGGCTGCCCGTCGCCACGTCGAGAATCGGCGAGATGCTGAGCAGCGAGTCTTGGATCCGAAAGACAATGTCGCCCGGCTTGGAGGTCCCGTTGACGGCCAGCGACGGCTTCGCCTCGGCGTCGTTGCCGTACAAGTCGTCGTCCTCGTCGTCATCTAGGTCCAGCTCGTCCACGTCGAGCCCCAGGTCGGGATCGAGCGCTCTCCTCTTGCGCTTCTCTTGCGTCTGCTTCCGCGACCAGCCCAGCACCGTCGAGTCGCCGGTCTCGCTGCCGAGGAAGAAGGAGTTTTTGCCCAGCCGCGAGACGCATGACACGCCACTTTTGATCAGGTGGCCACCGCTCTCTGGGGCAATCGGCTTGACGTTGATGCCGGACACGGTACGGCCGTCAATCTTGAACGAGACGATGGCAAGGCGGCCGTCGTTGAGCACCAGCAGAAGCTCGCCATTGTCGGGCGCGAGTTGCTCCACAGCGCAGCCCTCCAGGCGCATGCCGAGGTCGCACTGGTCGGCGAGACTGAAGGCAGTCGTCTGCTTGGCCATGTCGTTGACGGCCACGCCATTGGGCTTGCCGGACTGATCGATGTGAACGAGCGCATTCTCGCCGATGAGCAGGGCTCCTCCCATGGGCGCCGGCAGCGCAACGACCTTGAACAGGTCGCGGGGTAGTCCCGTCACCGAAAGGATTGCCGTCGACGCCCGCTGCTTGAGGTCTAGCGTAAAGACCTTGTACGACAGGTGGTCCTTCACGCCCAGCGCCGGGGACGGGGCCTGGCTCGATGACAGGATGCCAAAAGTCGGTTCGCGGTACTCGTGCAGGAACGCGAGGTGAACGGGGTGTAGCAGCGTGGGGTCGAGCAGCGGCAGGCGCAGGACAAACGAAGGGGTATAGGCGGCCTGCTTGTCGTCCCCGTTGGTGGTGGGCTCCTTGGCCGGCCGCGGCCCGTCGAGGTCCTCGTCCCAGTCGTCCATTTCGAGGTCCTCCTCGGACTGCGCAAAGGGCAGGATGGCCAGGTTGCGCGTGCCAAACTTGAAGGCGGCGCACCTGCTCCCTGGGTCGGCCTCGAGGTAATTGGCGTATTCGCCAAAGGACACCTCCCACGGTGCGCCCTGCAGCTCGTCCTTTTCGTAGTAGTGTATCGACGTCGTCTCGAGCGTGTTCCTCTGCGGATTCCATTCGGTCAGGCACATCTTGGCAGCGCGGTAGGCGAGCAGCAGCGCGTCGCCGCCCGACGCCGTCTTGGCTCTGATGCGGGCCAGGCCGATGACGGTCCCGGCGAGCGGGATCTCGGCGACGAGGACGAGCTTGGTGTTGGTGGAGCGGTCGGCGCGGACGAGCATGGTCTCGCCGCCGAGGAAGGAGGCCTCGAGGCCATCGTCGTCGTTGGCGCGGCGGTCAAAGTGGGCGTCGACCGTGGGCGCGTCTTCCTTTTGGCTTTGGGGGTCGAGCTCGGCGGAGATGGCGCGCGTCGCGAAGATTTGCAGCAGCGAGCCCTTGGCGACGACGAGGTTGCTGGCCGAGGGCGAGGTGAGCGGCAGGCTCAGGGAGTGCGTGACGGCTGAGGGAGCCGCGAGCTCAGTGTACACCTGCATGCTGGCAAGACCATTGCCGCTGCGCTGGCGAGTCGTCTGCGGTGCTGCTGCTGGGGGCCGGCGTGGGAGTCGTCGCGTCACGATGAAGTCGAGCGAGAGCTCCTGGGATGGTGTGCAACAGTCGAAGCTGGTTTGCTGCGTGCCTGCAGGGAGCTCTACCCTGGTCTGGACGGATCAATCCGTTCCGGCTCCACAATGTCTGGCCCCAGCGTCGTTGGAAGCCGCCCGTGGACGAACAGCGTACAGCCCGCTAGCCTCTCACTCGGGCTCTTACACGCAAGCTGAACCCGTCTCAGGCAGTGAAGAGGCGGCGTGACCTATACCTAAGGTAGCCGCGTGGGCTCTGCGCAGTGTAGCCCTGTGTCCCATACAAGAAGCGAGCAGAGTAAGCCCCGGCCAATCCAGTCCCTGCCCGATAGGCGGACTGCGCAGGACTGGACGGCGCCGATGGCCAGGCTGCGAGCTTTTAGTATGAGCGACCTGGCTAGGCTGCACCGGTGCCCGCCAGTGCAGTGGGCGGCTGCGCTGGCGGCACACAGGGTTCGGGCGGGTGCTCGGTTTCGGTAGGTAGGTAGGTACACCTATGGGCGACATGGCTTGGCTGCGCCGGCGCTCAGCGGTGCGAAGGTGGGCTGCGCACTTTTAGTATGAGCAATGTGGCCAGGCTGCGAGGGCGCTGAGCGCTGCAGTGGGCGGCTGCGCGGGAGGCCCAGGCGGATGGCACAGGGCTGTGCTGCGCGCTCTTAGCGACGGGATACCTATGGCTATCTGGGCTGCGCGGGTGCTCGGCAGTGCAGCGGGCAGATTGCGCCGGTGTTCCAGGGCTGGACAGGTACGCGTGCCCAGACTGCGCACCTTTTGTCTGGGCAATTTGGCCAGGCTACGCGGGTGGTCAGCGATGCACTGGATGGTTGTTAGGGGCTCCGGGCAGAGCTGCTTGGGTAGCTACCTACGCTGCGCGAGTTCACCACGGCGCACCTCCCATGCCTTTCCAGGTTCCATTCCGCCCCAATGCCCGTACAAACTGCGGGCGCCAGGGGTCATCGGCGGCCCGATCGACATACCCATGCTCCTGACGACGAGGTCGACACGGATGTGCCTACGAGTACATTGCAATTGAGAAGCCGCCTCGCTTCGTGCGCTCTAAAGAAAGTATAGACTGCAGACGCTGGCCCTGCTTGTACGCGGAGCAAGAGGATGCGCATTGCGAGTTTAGGCAGGGCTCAGACTTGATCAATCCCTCTCGTGGCGAGGCTGCTGCCTTGGATCAAAGAAGTTGACGAGGGCAAAGGGAGCGACCGATGTCGTCGAGCAGTTCAAGTAGGACTTCCAAGTGATGATGTTTCAAGTAAGCTCGGCGGGTCTATGCGCCGATCCAGGCATCAAATAAGCTTACCCCTGCGCTCTGCATCTGCCGACGCCATGCTTCCGCCCTCGCCATGCTTCCGCCCTCGCCATGCTTCCGCCCTCGCCAAAGGCACCCTTGGCGGATCCTCTCCAGCAGCAAAGCGACAACTGAGGACCCGTAGACCCGGCCTTTGCATGGCAAGCGCCCGAGATGGATCGCGAGCCGCAGAGCGCGCTGCTAGAATCGCGACCAGCTGCCTCGGACCCTGACGAGACTCGCCACGGCCTGCTGCACGCCGACAACGAGCTGGCTGACCTCGGCGCAAAGGATGTCACAGCAGTGCCGCAGGGTCCTCTCTCGGCCGGCCGCTGGGCCCCTGCGGGCAGCATCAACAACATATACCAAAAGGCAAACCTGTGCCTCGTCGCGCTGTGGCTCCTGAGTTTCATCGTGCTCGGCGCCGCCGCCAGTGTCCTCGCGCCTGCCGAGCATCTGCCCGAGGTCATTCCCCTGGCGGCATACGCCGTCGCATGTGTGAGTGCCATCTGCATTTATGTCCCTTGCAGCTTGCCCTCACTGACACCACCAGGCTGGCATCCACATCCTCTTGCTCTTCTTCCAGCTGAGGACCAAGCCTGGCTCTGACAAGAGCCCTTCGCCGCCGGCCTCGTATCTCGCAGGCACGGCCGTGTCGATTGTCATGTGGGCAGGCGTCGTGGGGTGCGCCGTGCCGATGCTGCTGTGGACGCGGGGCGTCCGAGATGAGCGCGACGAGAGCACGACGACGTACCACTGCGGGAAGCACTCGTCTGGGCCTTGTCACCCCCATACCGCCAGGGCAGTGTTGTTTGAACGAGCCGTGTTTGTCCTCGTCGTGTCCTGCCTCGCCTTGTGAGTATCCTTTAACCCAACTGCCGCCGACGCTGACAAGTCCGCTGACAAGTCAGGGCGGCTCGACTTGTACATTCTCTCCAGCTTATGGCGCCGCCATTTCACCCTCCAGGAAATCAAGGCTGCCCGCTTGCACGATACGCCTGGGCCGCGTCCGCGCATATCCTTTCGACAGGCCTGGCTTGATGGATGGCGGCAGGGCTGGAACAGCGGCAAGCAGTAGCGATGTTGTGATCTCGATATGTATTCTTCGTCTTTGATACCCTAGCTTCATATGGCGGTGCTCTTTGCGTAACGAATCCTTTCTGACAGTCACTAAGACGTATCGCCTCGTTCCTTGGTCATTTCAGCTGCGAATCTTCGCTTCAATGGCGGCACAGAATTCACCAGCCTCATTCCCCCTCGTAGAAGCACCGTGGCCACCGTGCCCGTGAGCCCTGGCTTGTACACTGCGTCATCGGCGTTGAAGCGCTCCAATGACTTTTCCACACGGTTCCACGCGTAGGAGTGCATCTCCCCCTCATAGCTTGCCACCGCAGAGACGATTCCATCGTCGTCCTTCTCCGAGCGGACCAATTGCTCCGCTAGAATCTTGGCGTCAAGAAGAGCAGTGTTGGCGCCGACGCCGAGGCCAGGCGTCATGGTGTGAATTGCATCTCCGATAAGCGTGACGTTTGTGCTCTCCCAAGGCGCTATCCGCTCGCTCGTGCGGATGTTGATGGGAAAGGACGTGGACGCGTCGGACATGCTAAAGAGCTTGCGCAGGTTTGGATGCCAGGCGGATGTGCGATCCAGCAGCAAGTCGTGCAAACTTGGCCCATCCATGGACATGAGCTCGTCGGGCAGCCTGCTTGCGTGCGACGCAAAGCCGAGAAGTATGTAATCGCGCGTGTTGTCAAACGTCAGTCCTGGCCAGCTCTTGAGAAGTTCCTCATCGTTGCCTCCGATTCCCTTCTTCAGCTTGCCATCATGGTCCCACGGAAACTCCATGACATGGATGATGCAGCTATCTCCGTGTGGAGCATTGACCATTGTGACGCCGCGGAGCGCTTTGGGTGGGAGGAGCGCTTTTGTTTCCTCGTTGAGCTCAACCTTGGCGGTGACTCCGTATAGTCCCGAGTTCTTCAGCGTTGCCTGCGGGAGGTACTGCCGTCGTACGGGAGAGCCTGTGCCGTCTGCACCGACGAGGAGGTCACCCTTTGCGCTTGTTCCATCCTTGAAAAACGCAGACACGGTTCCATCGCTGTCGGTAGTGTAGTGGGTGAAATGCTTATCGAAATGAACGAACCCCTCCAAGCCGGTTAGGAGGACTTGCCGCAAAGTCATGCGACTGACGGAGCGCTCGCCTGCCACACCGTCTTTGGACTCTTTGCTGAATCCATCTATACTCAGGAGCTCTTGGTAATGCTCGGTAATCATGTTGAACGAATCTGGAGCGATGGCGGTTGTGCTCTTGAACACCTCGAACAGATCAGGGGGCAAACATTCGGCAAGGCAGCGTGAGCCCTCGGGCGAGATCCCGACGCGATAGCCAAAGAGCCCATCCGTGCGGGTGCGATCGCGTTCGTAGACGGCAAAGGTGATGCCGGCTTTGGACTTTTTGAGGGCGTGGGCGAGAGCGAGGCCGCCTGTGCCGGCGCCGATGATGAGGATGTGCCGTGGCATGCTGCGACGGATTGGGTGTAAGTTTACGATGGAGGGCGAACGTCTCCGGACAGCCATGGCACAGCATTGAGGGGAGGCCTGGCCTCTTATATCTACATCCGCAACTGCTCTACCGCCAACAACATATGCCTGGTAGCTCGTTCAGAACGGAGCACCCTCTGCTTCCCAATCCTGTCAGGGCTTCATCTTGGCAGTGACAAGGCCAGCCTCAAAGCAAGGGTCTCAGCGGATCCGACTGCAAGCCATGGCACGCTAATCGCAAATCTAACCAGATAGGGAAGCAATCCACATCTGCAGTCCGTGGATCAATTGGCCCCACTATCGACGACTGCCCATCTTCTGGCGGTGCGCACACCTGGACCTGATCTCTTCCATCGCGAGGCGACGTCTCCCTACGCGCGGCCGCCTCGAAGCCAGTCAGAGCTGACGTGGCCCTACGACGAGCTGAGGTTACAGAGATTGCCAACCGGGCGATTCCAGCGCAACACTCCATCACGGCTGCAGCCATGTCACTGACCCTGGTCTGTTCGTGCACGTCAAAGTCGTGTCGCTCCGCCTGCCGGACAGGTTGACAAGGGAACCAGAAGGATGGTGAATGTCTCTGGAAGGAGCAAGGGCTGCGCGACTTGCCGTCTTGCCAAAGTCAAGGTGTGCTTTGCCTACGTCATGCTGCCCGGCAACCCAAGATCCCCTACCTGAGCGCGGTATTGACCCATTGCAGTGCGACTTGGCACTTCCCGAGTGCCAGAGATGCGTCAGACAGGGGCTTCGCTGCCCGGGACCCCGAACTGGCGCCTTTTTTGTCCACACAGGGCTTTCCCGCCAGCAATGTGGCCCCAAGCCGAGTACGAAGCTTCAGCACACCAAACCAGCAGATCACATAGAAGGCGAACCCGCCCCTTGTCTGTCCGTTGTACAGCCGTCTCGGGCTTCGGCCTTTGACCAGCTTTTTGTGTCCTATTTCATCGAGTCCTTCGACCAGACTCGACATGTCGGATCCCCAGGGGGCAGGTCTGCGCACTGGCTCGACAGACTGCCAGCCTTCCTCGCCGAATCGGACAGTGCGCCTAAATTCGCCATCCGCGCGGCCTCCATGTTGAGCTACGGAACTGCGGCCACTGACACCTCTATCAAGGCAGACGCGTACGTGTGGTACGCCAGGGCGCTGCCTGCTCTTCGCGCCGTGCTTGCGAGAGGCAAGCCCCCGGTCATGGACGGGGCAGTCTGCGCAGCAGTTATGCTGATGCATTTCGAGACCTGGGCAAAGTCGTCTGACAAGGCCTGGGTCCCGCACGTCAAGGGCGTGTGCACGATGCTTGAAGCTGCAGGGCCACACTCCTGTCGCGTTGGGTTCTTGCACAACGTCTTCTGCCACATCCGGCTTCAAGCAGTTGGTCATGTCATCGGCCTCATGGGCTTTCGATGAGCTAACATCGTCCTAGTGTGTCGAAGCAATGTCAGAAAACATTTTGCACCCCTTTGCGTCGCCGGAATGGATGACCACGCCCTTTGAGCTGGTTCCAAAGACGTTCTTTGACGAGCTCGTGGATCTTCTCTTTCTAGTACAAAAGTTTCTAGCTCGTGCAGACCAGCTCATGCGAAACGGCGTCAATGACTGCACGATGGACAAAGCATTGCATAGTTGGATTCATGGAGCCATGTCTCTGCAACATGCATGGCTGCAAAGGTATATGTCGACCATCCAGATTTCAGAACGGCGTCTTCCCGTGATGCCCCAATCAACCACTTCCTTGTCGACCTGTCCGGAACACCTCGACATAACCTACACCACTGTCTCAGCGGCCGCCTTGATCTCGCTATACCACACGGTCAACCTCCTGCTCTTGCGCCTCCTTCAGCCGCAACAAGAGTACATCGTGCGTATCCAACGGCACACAGAGGCCATCCTTTCCGCCAACGACTTTGTGCTCAGCGCCCCCGGTCCTTCTGCCGAGTTTGGTCCTGTCATGATGCTACTCCAACTCAAAGTGGCAAGTCTTTGGGGCGCACCGTCGGCAGAACGAATTGCAGCGGAGAGCGCTTTGCAGAGGCACCGGATGCGGTACGGAGGGTTGATGAGTGTCTTTGATACAGAAGGCGGCTACTTTGCCGATTTGGCAGCTTGGGTGCTATCCAATGCAACGGCATCCTCCTGTGCTACTTGAAGTCCGGCTGCCCCTCTGCTTCATTGATAGGTGGCGATTGGGGCGCCCAAGACCTCCGTTCGGACGGTGATGCCCAGGCCAGGCGCTGTTGGGGCTGTCACGCGACCATCGACAATGTCAAAGTCCCCGTCTGCCGTCTTGAGGGCGACAATCTCACGGCTCTCGAGGACGCAGCGCAGGTTCCGCTCAGGAACAGTCTGACCCATGGCAACAATGGCTGCAAAAGCGATATCCGAGCCAGCTGTCTCCTGAACGCTAAAGGTGTAGCCGGCAGCTATGCAAATATCCCTGATCCTGCGGCACTTGGTCAGGCCTCCCAGCTTGGAGATCTTCAGGCCGATACCTTCGACCGCGTCGTCGGCTATAGCCTGAATGATGGAAGGGGCGTCGATAGCGACCTCGTCAAGGACGATAGGTATGTTGGTCCGGCGACGAAGGGACAGGGTCTCGCGAAGAGTGGCGCACGGAGCCTCGAAGACAAAGTCGAGGTTGGGTGGGAGAAGTCGCAGGAATCGCAGTGCAGTCTCGGTGGTGTAGCCGCCATTCGCGTCCACGATGAAGTACTCGCCGGGTTTCTGGTCCCGGAGAGCGCCAGCGACGCGGGCGGCATCAAGGGTAGGGTCATCGCCGACCTTGATGGAGTGGCCGAGGTACCCCTTGGCACGGTAGGCTGCGACCTTGGCTCGGCTCTCTTCTGGACTACCGACGGGAATCGAGTCGATGATTGGCATCTTGCAACCGGTGCGTCCACCAAGAAGCTCACAAACGGGGAGGCCAACGCTCTTACCGAAGACATCCCAGCAGGCAACGTCAATGGCGGTCTTTGCATGTTCATGACCGAGAAGCGCGGCATCCATGGCATCGTTGATGCGTTCCACACGGCGAGGGTCCAGGCCGATCAGATGAGGGGCGATTTCGGCAATGCCAGACCTGACGCCCACGGCGTGGGCGGCAATGTACGTAGAACCGAAAGGAGTGCTCTCGCCATAGCCTTCAATACCACATTCGGTGGTCACCCTGACTATAGTAGCGTCGAAGGAGCTGTACTCTCTGCCGCCCGAGAGGTGATAGACACCCCCGGAATATGGGAGGTCTACTTGAAAGACGTCGATCTTTGCAATTTTGACTTCCTTGGCCATGGCTACAAACGTTCGGCCTGCACCAAGAGGTCGGGGAAGAGTCAGGGTTACCGGTGCCAAAACACTGGGAACTCGTATAGGAGAACGCTGGATAAGAGCTATTTGAACATCAGCGCTGTTCTATTTGGTCCCACGGGAAAGAGTGTCTCAACGCGGTAGCAACGAGAGCAACGAGAGCAACGAGAGCAACGAGAGCAACGAGAGCAACGAGAGCAACGAGAGCAACGAGAGCAACGAGGTAGACAAACAGACCAGGACAGGCGTCAATGTAAATCTTCTCTTACCCTTGTCGAGTTCCAGGCAGTGACTGTTCATCAGTACAGTACAGGTCTAGAAAGAATTGGAGCCACGGCACCTGACCTATTTGTTGTGGTTACCAAAGCCCCCAGCATTGAGAAGCTGCATACGCGGGAAGAGGTCGGCTAGTATGTATATTGGAAGCGTTGGGTCGTACGGCGCAACCCCCCTCGGGTCAACGAGCCGAGCCAGCCGACGCACGCTCGACCTACCTCTGGGGAGTATTCTAAGTCGGATTCCATATCGGATCGTTAACCGAAAGCATTACAGGGCCTCCTCAAGTGGTTGGCTACATCTGGGTTGTGCCGAACCTATTTCTGATGCACCTAAATGTTCGTGAGCACAGGGGTGAATGGGTTAGCCTTAGTGCGTTGAGATGACTGTCGGGCACTAAAGGTACCTCCTGAAACTCAAAGGACGTTGAGTGGCTTGGAAGGGAGCCTAACAAGGGCGTGCGCTGCCTGCGACTTGTAGTAGTGCGGGGTCATCACGCCTGACCCCAGCGAAACTCATATTATCAATCACATATCTCGCAAACGACTATTAACTGCACTGTAATGCTTGTCGTGTGTTTCGACAGAGCCTGCAATTGACCGCTGTATTCGACCTATCTACATGTATGTAGCCTACAGAGCTAGGTAAGCGACTTCCACCTCCTCTATCCCTCATAAAGACAGTTACGCTAATCTTCTCTTTTATCGAATTTACGTTTTCAAGTCGCTACTTGTAATCTGTCGACATCTCGTCGTCACCACTGTCAAAACACGGCTTGATCGGCTCTGACCATTCGGAAATGGCTTCCACACGCCCTAGGACTCGCCAGTGCTGGCGCCGCACCGATGACTACACCCCCGGCACCCCCAAGCTCCAGCTCGTCACCGAAGACCTGCCCACCAAACTCTCCCCATGCCAAGTCATGATCCGGGTCCACGCCGTTGCCCTGAACTACCGTGATGCCAATATCTCTCACGGCGGCAACCCCTGGCCGGTGACACCTAACGGGATCATTTGTAACGACGCCGCTGGTGAGGTCATCGAGGTTGGGGAGGCCGTGCTGCGTTTCAAGGTCGGGGACAGGGCGGCACCAAACACGGACTCAGAAAACATCACCGGTCGCGAGGCCCGGCGCTCCTGGCTTGCTGCTGACGAAGATGGTGTTCTTGCGGACTACCTTGTCTTTGACGAGTCGAAGATCGCTAAGCTCCCATCGCATCTTGATTGGACCGAGGCGAGCATCATTCCTTGCGCCGGCGTTACCGCATGGTCCGCTCTCAAGGGTCTCCAGGTCGGCCAGACTGCGTTAATTCAGGGTAAGCAAGTGGCCTTGGCTTCTGTAGGAGATGTTCAAATGCGTTTCTGGGCTGAATAACCTCAACGAAGGTACGGGTGGTGTCGCCATGTTCGCCATAAAGATCGCCCAGACTGCTGGGTGCCGTGCCATCCTCACCTCGTCTAGCGATGAAAAGTTGGAGGAAATTGCGAAGAAGTTCACCGCGGCTCCTATTCTTACGATCAACTACAAGAACAGCAAGTGGCACGAAGAGGTTCTGCGCCTCACGAACGGTGAAGGTGTCGACGTCGTCGTCGAGAACGGCGGCACCGGATCCCTCGTTCAGAGCATTCAATGTACTCGCCGCGGTGGGATCGTCAGCCAAGTCGGCTACCTAGGCAAGCAGAACCCTGGGGATCTGAAGGAGCTTCTCCCCACTCTTATTGACCGAAGGGTTAACCTCAGGTATGTCACCAAACTCATGACTGCCTCGGAGAACATAAGTAATTGTGGTGACACGTAGGGGCATCAATGCCGGCTCTGTACGAGACCTTGAGGACCTTGTCACTGCCGCTTCTACTATGAAGATGCGATTCTTTGACATTATCGACCGCGTTTTCCCATTTTCTCAGTCTGAGGAGGCACTCGACTACCTCTGGAACGGGAAGCAAGTGGGGAAGATAGTTCTCAGGCTGTGACGTTTGGTCCGTTGAACTTTCACTGCCGCATGGTACGAAATCTTCTTGGTATTGCCGAGTCGTTGCCTTATCGTACCGTCTTCAATGTTCTTGCAGGTAGGACTTCCTACTGCACGCCGTACGGGAAGTAGTTTGACTGATCTCCGATCCACGAACATCCCAGCTTGGATAATGTGATCTACACAAATTCTTCGCCGGAAGACTCCATCCAGAGAAAGGCTTTAGCGTCCACTTGCCCTTCCGATCACAAAAACTTCCTATTGGCGGGTCGGGTCGGCGTGCAGGCTCGGATGAGAAATCTGAACCCAACTAGTAAGCCTTCCTGTTGCCGCCTCATGGTCGGACTGGGAAGCCGAGCGTGCGCCCCGACCATTATTGACGCTGCCTGTCGTCTTCCTCGCCCATGAATTACTGTACTCAAGGTGAAAAAAACAACTCACAGCACAGTAAGTGGTCTTGAAAGGCTGCTGTTTTCGTTGGACGTCTCAAACTATAGAATGAGCCACCATTGACCTCCAAGACCACGAGACACCGGGGGTGGGGACGGGCGGATGTCAAAGACACCACTAAACTCCAGTCTCCACCCACGCAACAGTAGAGTGAAGCACCTGTCGCAAGTAATTCCATACAGCATCATATGCCACGGTAACTGTGCATTCCGCAGATCCATTTCAAGGTCAAGCGAAGCATCTGCGCCCTTATGCACGTGCAGCTTGTATATCACCATGAACATGAAGATGCTCAGCCCAAGGTTAACATGCTATCAGGGAATGTTCCGGGACTACCCATATGTTGAACAATGGATAAAAATTCCTCAGAGGAGATTCCAATGTTATCCAGAAACTCCATGTCGCTTGTCCGTTCCGCCTGAGAGTTGACATGGATCGTTTGGCCCACGTCCACGCTCCGTCCCAGCGTCTGGGTTTCGTTTGCCACCGAAAGCAGTCCTTCTTGATCACCGCCCACTTTCCTACTGAGATTTGTGACCTGTGGCTCCGTCCCGCACAGCCGCAAAGTCTGTAGACCTTGTCGCTGACCCCTGGAGATCAGTTCATGGCAGAGATCCTCCAGGTGACAGAGCTCGGATCGTCTTGCAAAGGCGACACGATTTCCGCGATATACCAAATCATTCAGGATCTGATGTGCCATCTCACGACAGTAGTTGTAGTCAACAACATTCGGAAAGAGGGCATCAGCCATAGTCAGGTTCAAGGCGGCTCCAAATGTGAACTCAACGTCATAAGGTAGGAATGCATCTGAAGTGGGCTGGTTAACAACTTCACTATGCTTCAAGGCTGGCAGACACCGTAGAGAAATAACACGCTTACCCAAAACACTGTACTCGCTTGTCAGAATCTGAAGGGTTTTCATGGCTGACTTGATTCCCGTGGAGATGACTGAGCCTGTTTGAGCGAGGAAGTCTGTCCAATTTTCGTCACCACGAAATCCCAGCAGATCTAGTCTTTCTTTCATAACCGACAAGAGCAGAGGACGAGTCGCGAATATTACACACTGTGGTGATCATCATGTCAGGAACTGGCGGGCGCCTGATGCAAATGAAGACGGTATGGGGAGGGCAACAGCGACGAACCTGGTGATACAATAAAGTAAGGAGCCGTGTATCCCGAGGCATTGTGCCTGCAGATTTCTGAAACTTGGTGCTGATAATTCTTTCTATATCTTGAGCGTGATGAGCTAATGTGTGAAGGATAGACCTAGTTTGGTCGAGAAATGTCGCCAACTCTGTTACGCTCGGCTTATAGACCGCTATCAACGAGAGTCAACGATGCTGGAAGGGCCACAAAGACGTATGACTGAGCTTACTGGTCAAAATAACCGACATGAGATGTGAGAGGTTGACCTGGAGACTCCGAGCGCTGTCCACAGCCGTACCTTGACCAGGCGGGTTGACTGGGGTCGTGATGTCGCTATCCTGCACCGACATCGGCAGTCCCACAGATGATGAGAAATGTCTGTCCATGATGTAGAGTGTCCACCAAAGGTCACGAGCATGTGTGGCCATCTTACTGCCAAGCTCATGTTCCGGAAGGTGAGTGTGCATTCCTTCCAATTGTGCAATTCGTATTGCTTGCCCAAGCTACAGAAACGAGAACATTAGCAAAGTGGAGCCGATGTCCATGAGGAATATGCTCGGGGACATACAAAAAAATTGGCACCCTCTCGTTGGTCAACAGAGTACAGGTACAGGCCCCCTAGAGCCAAGACTTCCATGGCCAAAAAGCTGTCCTTCCATAGGGAGATAGAATCTGGCATCAAGGCCATAGCCCGGATAAAAAACTTACAACCAGGCGGGTCTGGGTTGTCTCGTGGAGGGGCATGGAATGCTGTTCCAAAAGCCAACGTAAGGAGAAACTTGCAGAACCAGAGAGGATACTCGGCCGCCTTCTGGGGTGCGTTGGGGTAAAATTCGCGAATCTGCTGCTCAAATTCCTCTTCGTCATACAATCGATAGGTCTGACCAAGGTGGAACTTGACGGCATTGAATAGATAGAGGGCGTGGTTCAGCGAAGGTAGGCCAGAAACATCCGGTAAGTCATATGCCACTGATGTTTTATATGTTAGGCTGTAAATCTCGGTGCTAAACAAGCTAGGCGGCAGAGAAGGCTCTTCTGGGTGCAGCTTTTCTGTAAGCATGAGAGTGAGGCGAACCGTGAAGGACCACGTGGACCAAGGAGCCAGCCAGACTATTGTTATCACGCTTAGCCCCGAATGAGATTTAGGGAGATTCAGGACACTTACTCCAGGCTCTTTTGTTTTTCTGCGTGTTCCTGATGGTTTTGGCCGGTATGGTAAAAGTGCTGGACCAGATACTATTTAGGGGGCTGGCAACTTGGGATTGGTTCGCTGACATCGAATCAGGACTCGGAGTGACGACAGAACCAGGACTAGGGTCATCAACCGGGTCACGAAGAGGATAGGAAGCAGGGACAGAGTCAGGGTCAGGGCCAGGACCAGCGCCGGAGCGGCCGTTAGGTTGCCGGAATGGGGCGTTGGGTACCGTCGGGTGGAATGCCGAGGCTGCCCCAGTTCTGGAGCTGCCACACGGACTAGCATCGTCGCCGAAAGCAGTGCCATTTGAATTTCCATGCCCAGATACATGCTCACATTGAATAGACGTCCGTGAAATGGGAGATGTGCTGAAGGCCTGTGCCGCGTGTCTCGAGCCCGATGGTGACGCGTGGCAGTGTTGTGAGTTGAACTGGCTGGCAGCCTGTGATTGCCGGCCACCATTGCCCATCGCCGTTGCCATCCTGGCCAAGGAGGGCCGATGCTCCTCTGCGAGCCTCTGTAAGTCCTGCAAATATCTTTCGAGATGGCGGATGCATGAGTAGAGTTCATAAAGGGAACTATGTGGGAGGGAAACATGGACGAACTTCTCTGTCACGACGACTTTATTGTTACCTTCGGCGAAATGGCAGTGGGCTGAGCGCCTTTGACAGTTTTGGCATGGCTCCTCGCCAGAGCATTTGATCTTGCTCTGTCGGCATGGGACGCAACTGCGGATTGGGCGGTGTCAGCAATGTTCGTCTTCATGCATTACCAGACCGTGGCTTCGATGCTCACGCATTTGCGGTTCGCCGCGTCTTCCGTGGCTCAGCCCGCAACGAATCTGCCTCCATCGTAGCTTCTGAAAGTATTGATATCATGCAATCCCATCATCGTGCACGGTCACATCACCAACTCGGAGAAAATGTGAAGACGGGTCCCATACACTGAGATCGCGTCAAAGACAGAGCGCGACCAGGATTCATCGCAGGATGTCACCCCACTACAGTTAGGCAGTGATACCTCCTTTCATCGAGGCGACTCAATCGTCAGGTGCGGGGTAAGAGACGCCAGTGTTGGTGATTGAAGGATATCTGAGCATGGGGATCCGTGCTCAGGCCTGCAGATGGGGCCTCCAAAGACTACGGGCAAAGCACGGCTTTCTGACGAGATACATGATTACCGCGTCAGAAATCGTGCCATAGAGCAATTAGGAGGATGTAAGCACCGGGCCCCGATTTAAACTGAGATTTAGTATATACAGATGGTATGGTCGAGGACTGTCCTGTGCCGTGGTGAAGCGTCAAGTTAGGGACCAGCGCAAGCATCAATGATGGGCCCACCTCACGGTGACGATCAGTTCACCGGGCCTAGTATATGGGAGAGCACGTGGCATGGTTAGCCTCAGAGCGGCAGAAGGAATTCATGCAGTGGCCCATCATTGCCCCCGTTGGCAAAGCCTATCTACTCTGGGCAGCATTGCTTCGTACGAAGGATGTGGAGATCGGGTTCGGAACCCGAGAAGGATGCACCGAAGTTGGCCATACCAAATACGTGAATTTCTGCATCCGATTGGCTCTGCCCTCCATGCCACCCAATACATGGCTGCAAACATACCTAACCACCCAGCTTCGTGACCCGTTCCCTGGACCGATCCTGCTACTACGAGTACTATTTACTCAACCACATCAAATTCGATGCTCCCCCAGCCCTCAAAACTGCAGGTCCATCGGCCGGGCTTGTCCATCGGCATGGCCTGCAAGCAGCTGCCGGGCATGATGACGTGACCCGGCAGGAACTCAACGTCGTACTGCGCAAGGCGGTTGACCAGCCAAGCCGTAGCTGCCAGGGGGTTCCCCAAAATGTTCTGCGTGTTTCCCGTCATAACTTCTGTCCCGTTGAACTTCAAAGTGCCTTTAGTGTTGTGAAGATTGAGATCGGTGATCCGACGCGGAGTGCCCCCCAGGATGATGCCACCTTGCGAACCGTTGTCGGCCAGGGTATCCTCGAGGCTGATTTCCCAGTTCTTAACGCGAGAGTCAATGATCTCGATAGCAGGGATGGCGAAGTCGATTGCGCGGACAACATCGGCGATGGTCACGTTGGGTCCTTTCAGATGACCCTTGAGAACGAACGCGGGTTCCAACTCGACGTACGGCTTGATAAACTTGCTCAGGGAAACCTTCTGGCCTTCATGCAGGAAGAAGCTACCCAGCAGGAATCCGTAGTCTGGATGGTCAAGACCAAAAGCAGCCTGCATGACCTTGGCGATGTTGCCCAGCTTATATCCCACATGTCGATCACCGCTGTTGACTGCATTCTCGGCCGTGATCTTCTGGACTTCAAAAGCGCCATCGGCAGTGAGAGCGGGGTACGTTTTCTTGGGAGGATCGATGGGGGTTTGGCTGATGCGTGCCTTTTCCAGTGCAATCACAATGTCGTTCAGCTCTCCAGCACTCATCGTATCTTTTGGCCTGAAAGCTGGGGGACAAGGTAAGAGTCAAGGGGCCGTACAATGTCTGTCCAACGAACATATACCACTTCCAAATTCGGACCGCACGCTTGGCAAGTGATGTTTGCATATATAAAATTCTACATATTGCTTCGCAGTAAGTACTCTTCACCACACGAGTCTAGTCCCTCATTCATCGCGAAGCTTAGAGCGTGTTTGTGGGGAACCCGACCCGAGCCGATGCACATCGGGAAACGTAAACGCGGTTGGTTGAGGGGCCGGGCCACAACGACCGTCCCGAGATTAGCCAATATGTGTAGGCGCCTCGGAAGGTTGGGGGCAGGGCGATGAAGGGCACAGCGCAAGGCATGCCATGATCTCCTCTCGGCTTGCATGTACGAATTGGGTGCGTTCGCTTGGCTGAAATCATGGCGTTGCGTTCGGGTTCCTCCTCCGAGATACGCCACCAGGGGGTCCCACGCTGATTCTTGGCCGAGAGTGGGCGCATGGACTGGGGTCAGTGGGCGCACTGGAGTGGAGCATGATGTGCATGGCAGCCATCTTGATGGAGAGCTTGGTTGCTCTGGACTCTGGAGCTGAAACGCTTCATGTTGACAATCCAAGTTCAAAGCAGGCAGCTCAACCTCTTCTGCATTCTTTGTGTCGTTTCTGTGCGGGCAATCACCTCAAAACCTTCGCAACACGATGGCTCCAGCAATTGCGAATGGCTTACACGACGTCGCACTCATTCAGGAGAAGGCGTACATTAACGGGTAAACCGCGCCAATGAGTATCAGGCAATGAGTTCCTCACGCGTAGCAGAGAATGGGTCTCATCCATGTCCGGCAAAACCTTCGACGTCTCGAACCCAGCGACAGGCCAAATAATCGGTACAGCTCCCGAGTGCGGGACGGACGACCTCGATGCTGCCGTCAACGCTGCCTCGAAGTCCTTCCATACCTGGAGAGCATACTCCGGGCGCCAGCGTGGTCGCATCCTCCGCAAGCTTTTCGACCTTATCGTCGAGAACAAGGTAGACATCGGCAAGATCATCACGGCCGAGAACGGCAAATCCAAGCTTGACGCGGAGGGCGAGGCTTTGTTCGCCGCTGGCTTCTTTGAATGGTTTTCTGAGGAGGCACCGCGCATCTACGGCGATGTTGCGCCGCATTCTGCCCCTAACAGCAGGATCCAGGTTCTCAAGCAGCCTGTCGGTGTATGCGGTCTGATCACGCCCTGGAATTTCCCCATCGCCATGGCCTCGCGCAAGGTCTCTGCTGCTCTCGCCGCAGGCTGCACCGTTGTCCTTAAGTCAGATGGTGTTACCCCTTTTGCCACAAACGTCCTAGCTGTCCTTGGTGAGCGTGCCGGCATTCCTAAGGGCGTGTTGAATATTGTGACTGCTCTAGAGAATACACCCAAGCTAGGTCTGGCACTCTGCGAGTCCGAGCCTGTCAAGAAGATCTCCTTCACTGGCTCCACCAGAGTCGGGAAAATTCTGATGCAGCAGTCCAGCAGCACTCTGAAGAAGCTGAGCATGGAGCTTGGAGGAAATGCCCCCTTTATCGTTTTTGACGATGCGGACATCGAGACGGCTGTCGCTTCTGCTATCATCGCCAAGTTCAAAGTGACAGGGCAGACATGCGTCTGTGCGAACAGGATATACGCACAAGATGGCATCTACGATAGCTTTAGCAAAAAGCTCGTCGAGGAGGTCCATAAATTCAATGTCGGCGACGGTGCCAATAGCTCCGTCACCCACGGTCCCTTGACCATTGGGATCAATAAGACCGAGGAGCACGTCCAAGACGCCGTCAAGAAGAAAGCCTCTATACTACTTGGCGGCAAGCGACTAACTAGCCTCGGCCCCAATTTCTTCGAGCTCACAGTTTTAGGCGATGTGACGGACGACATGGCCGTTATGCATGAGGAAACCTTTGGTCCTTTAGCCGCCTTGTCGAGGTTCAAGACCGAAGATGAGGTCATCAAGAGGGCAAATGCTGCTGAGGTTGGCTTGGCAGCCTACCTGATGACTAGTGACTTGAACAGGCAATACCGCGTCTCGGAGAGGCTCGAGTTCGGCATGGTCGCCATTAATACTGGCGTCATCTCAGATCCTGCAGCACCGCAAGTTTCACGTATTCGAAACACTTAAATCTCATTCTAACAGACGATAGATTCGGTGGCGTCAAGCACTCTGGCTTTGGACGTGAGAGCAGCAAGTATGGTGTTGATGACTACCTAGTCCTAAAGTCCATCGTCACTGGCAGTGTCAATACTGAGTACAAGCCATAAAGGCTGGACTGCGATTTGTCTTCGCTATAGTACCGGAGCTTCAAGATTGAAATGCCTGCGATGTAGACTCCAAGAGCCGTTGGGCGTTTACGCATTTGAAGTGCATCATGCTGTCACTGAGCGGCCAAGCCAGTCGTTGGCTTTAATGGTGCTCCAATAGCTTGATGTAGCTATAGAAGTCATAATCTTTTCCCCTAATGCTACTGCACCCCGTCGAGGCACACCTGGGGCAAAAAGGATGAACATAAGCAGCACTTCGCTCCAATCTTCCCGATTTAAGCCTCGGCCAGTCTGTGTTTCTTGGGCCTCAAGCCGCGCAACATCAACCATACATCCATCCAGAAGGTGACAGGGGCTTCCTCCAGCGAAGCCTCGTATGCGTCAATGAGGGGAGCCTCCCAGATGAGGTCCACGTCCTGGGCCCTAATGAACTTGGTCTTCTTGACGAGCTTCCAGCCAATGAAGAGACACGGGACGAGCACCGGCATGAAGTAGGCAGTAACGAAGCCGCTGACGTTGAAAGGGACGAGGGACCGGTAGCCATAGAAGACGATGATGACCAGCTCAGAAATGAGAGCAAACCACGCACTGTACGGCTGGAAGTAACCCGTATAGGGGAGTTTGTCGCGATTGAAGCCCTGAACCGTACAGGCCCGATTGAAGCGGATATACGTGATGAGAGCGGTTATAAAATAGATCAAGGTAGCACCGGTGGCGAGGTTGATGAGCCAGCTCAGGACGGTGGATGTACCACTGCTAAGCTGTAGAAAGGCTAGCAGGGGAAATATCATGGTCACCAAGAAGCAATAGATGGGGACACCAGATTTAGTGACCTTCCGGAGGACCTTCGGTGCACGCCCCTCCAAGGCCATGCCATAAAGGCACCGAGTGGCGCTGTATAGGCAGGTGTTTCCAGCCGCGAAGATTGTAGTGGCAAATAGAGCAGTGATCAGGTGAGGCAACCCGCGGATCCCAAGATTTTGCATAGCGATGATGTAGGGCGAGGCCGCGGCACTTCCGGTGCTACCACTGCCGTGCTTGTATAGAGCGTCAAGCACCTTGTCATTGGGCGAAACAATGATGGTGATAGCGAGGCAGCCACCGATGAAGAAGACGATTATGCGACCGAACAAAACCTTGTGAGCGGTTTTAAGATACGTGCGGGGATGCTTGACTTCGCTGGCTGCAATGCTGAGGAACTCTGGTCCGACACAAGTGAAGGATGCGGACCACAGAGCTGTGAGAAACGCCTCGAACCTTCCAGTGATGCCAGTGCTGAAGTATTCAAGGAACGGTCCAGGGTCCCTCCAGTGTCGGAAACCAAAAGCATCGTGTTGAGGGTTGCCGCCGCACATCGTAACCAGGGTGAACATCATGAGGACGACCATGAGTAGGACTTTGCCACTGCAAAGGGAGAACTCGGCCGCGCCATATATCCGAACCGCAAAGATATTGATCGCACTATTCGACGAAAGCGAGGGTCAGTAATGTCTGTCCCCACCCTCGGCGTTTTCCTTGAGAATATTCAAGCTTACCTGTATAGCACGATACAAGCAGCACATATTGCCCCTGAAGGGATGTGGGGGCTCCAGAATGATAGCACCAGGCTTAGAGCCGTGATTTCGAAGGGAACGATGAGTCCAAGGTAGATGTAGAAGTTCCAGCCGCCAGCAAAACCAAGGGCGTCGTCGACCCAGTGACCGGCCAAGCGAATGAAGCTTCCGCTGACGGGCATGTAGGTTGTCATTTCGGCCATGGAGTTATTGATATTGGCGAGAATCAGGTTGTAGACGACGAAACCGAGGAGCAAGTTGGCGGGACCGGCGGTGTTGAGAGCACCGCCGATACTCACGAACAGCGCAGTACCAATGCCACCACCGATGCCAAGCATGAAGATGCTTCGTATGGACATCTCACGGTGGAGCTCTCCAGCGGCTGTGGTCGGATAGAGGTCGCCAGCGGCGACCTCGGCGTGTGAGGTGTCGCCCGACTTTTCCATGGAGGTACGTAAGGAAACCACTTTTGATGCTGACTGGCTTGCCTTATGGTCAGACATGTTTCCTGAAAAGATGGGTCGGTCCTTGTTTCTGCAAGGATGATCGAAAGAGTGAGGGCAACACGAAGTCCAAAGAGATGAAATGAGCACGCATCATAAATAAGGCGTTGTGATGCTTCCTCCATTCATGTTCTTACAACTTGCGATAGATAAACCTTGACAACAATCCAGCGCCTGTAGCTGTTTACTTGGGTAGCCAGGGGGCCTGCGAGGGTGGAGCCTTGCCAAGTCGGAGTGCCCAACGAGAAGGTACATATTTGATGCCGTGGGAAGCTGGGGTAATGGGTCCGAGTTTGGTATTTGGTACCGGTGAGGGGTGGCTGCTCGGTAACAAGACGTTGGTGCGGCCCTCGTTGAGGCCAACTAAGCAACTCACCGGATAACAACTCAGCGACCAACCGTTGAGTTGGCTTCCTACAGAACCCGCCAACAGTCACGAACAACGGGGCAAAGTTCTGGTGACAGGAGGGACGGCGCCGTCCGTAGAACACGCGAACTGGGGATTGGAGGTCGGGCAGACGCATCCGGTCTAGACCACCGAGGTGTTCAATGCCTCAGTCCGACATGGCGTGGCGCGAATAGATGTCATGTGACTGAAAGAGCCTCATCAATTACGCAGAGCTGGCCTGGAGCGGCGACGGGCGTGCTTAGCCTTATGCCTGTGCCTCATGCTTTGCTCTTGTGTCGGAGTCAATTTTTAGCTACGACAACACTTTGGGACTGTTGCAATCCTGTCATGTATAAACTCATCCGTCTGTGATAGACACGTTTAACCCTTTTGAGGCTCATAGTAGGTTTATTCATGCATTGGCGAGAAGACAGCGGCGTGCTGGTAGTCGAAGTGACAAGATTCGTCAGACATGAGGAACCATGTCGGCTGTCATTTGGATGGCGAAAGAACGGAACGCGGTGCACTCAGTAGGCAGGCAATGCTTTATCATTATCATGGTCAGACAAAGCAGTTAGTTTGACATGTTCACATGCCCTCGCACGCGGAGATAACATGACCCGATGTAAGAATTCTACGTGACTCACGAGGTAATTGATGCCATTTTCCACGGAAGCGCCCATGGCACGTATTGTACATGTACTCAAAGATTGGAAAAGCAATCTTCGTACTGTACTCTGTATACGAGGTACCGCAATCTGCATGACTGTGCCCTCGGGTCGGATCTGGAAGCCGATGCATCCGAGGCCTCCTCGCACCTTACTCCACTATTGCGATCCGAGGCTTCCCAACAGGGGTTGAGAGCTCGGGCTCTCCCGAGCATGTGTAAAGCCATTGACGTTGAGGCCACCTTCGGCTCCTCTGCAGTCCCCTCAGGCGATCACATGGTCAGTTGAGGGGACCAAACAATGGAGGATCGGAATCACGACGCGTGCCGACCTGATCCGGGCGGGACTGCCAAAGAGACGCGCTGAGAATGGAAGCCCTGCTTCCCCGAAAATGGAGCTGCAAAACTATGTTGACGATCTTGAGAGCGAGATCGCCGGCGCCCCTCCACAATATAAGAAAAACACAGCGACCGTATCGCTACGTCCATTCGGTTCCTTCATAGACAGAAGCAACAAAGTACCAGCGACAAACATCAAACGCATGTACCTCTTTCTCTCTAACATTTGGTACATTGATTCTTAGCCCAGTCAATAGAAATATGCCTAGCCTCGTAGACGGCCTCACTACCGCGCCCCTCAAGGCTCCCCATGTCATTGGACCCAAGCAGAAGAGGGCTATGCGCCCAACTGCCACCATCCCGCAAGAGATTATCGACGAAGCTCGCGTCATTCATGCTGAGCCATGGGACCCTGAAAAGCATGTCGCACCCAAGGCCCAGGTTATCCAGCATCTTATGAAGGACATTGGTCTTGAGGGCCATGGCATCTCCCCCGTGGCCGTTACGGATCCCTTCCCGCTCTTCACGCACGAAGCCATCCTCCAGATTCGCCGCGAGATCTTCAGCGAGTCCGTGCTCCGTGACTGCCGCTTCAAGTCGGACTTCAACGCCAACATGATCCGTGGCATGGGCTACGAGCGCGCCCCATTCACCTACGAGGCTTGGTGGTCCCCTGAGGTTCTCGCTCGGGTCTCTGAGGCTGCTGGTGTCGAGCTTGTCCCCGCATTCGACTACGAGGTTGCTAACATTAATATCTCTGTTAATGACCAAAATGCCACTGAAGTCGTTACCTACGGCGACGAGACCTCTGCAGTGGCCTGGCACTACGACAGCTTCCCGTTTGTCTGCGTCGCCATGGCTTCCGACTGCACTGGTATGGTGGGAGGTGAAACTGCTATTGAACTTCCTAATGGCGAGGAGAGAAGAGTTCGTGGTCCTGCCATGGTAAGTCTCCTTTCTCAGTTTTGTCATCAACCTCTACGTCGTAGGGCCATTTTTGCTGAGGGTAATTTCAGGGGACCTGCGTTGTCATGCAAGGACGCTACATCCATCACCAGGCTCTCAAAGCTTTTGGTGGCCGCGAGCGCATTGCCATGGTCACTGCGTTCCGTCCCAAAAGCCCCTTCACTCGCGACGAGTCCATCCTGACCGGCTGTCGCGTCATCAGCAACCTCGACGAGCTCTATCCTCAGTACATTGAGTACCGCTTGTCCAATCTTGAAGAACGCTTCCGTCGTGCTCTCCAGCAGGAGAAGCGTCGCCAAGTTGAGCGCAAGAAGTTCGATATCGCATCAATGAGGGCCTTTCTGGCCGAGCAATTGGAGTACATTCAGACTTCGCTCGACGAGGTGTATGAGCCTGAGGCGGACTGTCAGGGCCTTAGGAATTGAGAGAAAGGTACCGTGAACGCCATGCGGGCTCTATGTGTTGTGCACTTGGCATTTAGCTGTCATGTGGGTGGGATCTTCACACGTGATGCGTATTGCAGAAGGTGTGCTGACCGCGAACGGCTGGCCAAGGAGGAGGTTACTCCTATTGGAATACATCTGAGATTGATTACAGATAAGTAGTCGTGCGCACTTTCTGGTGATTAGAAGTACGGAAGTCAGGGCGCAGTTCCTGGGCAGCTACTGCTTTCCTATAGGTTTTGATGGTAGTGAGCTCCTCAGTTCGGCTGTTGTCCATAGTCACCGTTTACTTATTTAGTCCCATGTCCGTGAAAGCCCCAACAATCAATGGCTGCCTACCTTTTGGGTCACTCTGTCAGCCCCAACCCGCTGGATGTGTTGACGCTGCGGATGCCTCAGGCCGATTCGAGTAATGGCAGATGTTTACCTTCTGCGACTGACCAGTCTGCTGGCAGTTCACTTTCTTTGCAACACCACACGCACACGCACACGCACACGCACACGCACACGCACACGCACACGCACACGCACACGCATACGCAAACACACGCGCACACACGCATACACGCACACACACACACACACACACACACACTCCACGCATTTGTAATGGGTGGGAGAAGATACATATACTCTGGTGGCGCTCGTCGTGGCCGTGGAGGTCGTGACGGAGGAAGAGGAGGGGGCAGAGGCCGCGGCAGACGTGGTGGACGACGCGGTAGCAGCAATGCTAACCGATACCATGAGACAGTTCGCCAGGGCCAAGATGTGGCTGGCGGCGGAAACGCTTGCGAACGGCAGGACGATGGCCGAGATTGGCGAAGAGGAGGCCGCGGGTATGATGGTCGCAATGCCCCTGCCCACAACGGCGGCCTGAATCGGCGTGGTGGCCATCGTGGTATCCTTGGTGGTGGCCGTCGTGGGGCCGGTGACCGTTCTGGAGGTTACGGAGGCCGTTGGGAATATCGCGAGCGCCGTCCGTTCCGTGAGCCGCAAGGCCAGGTTCACGAGACCGATCGTGTCACCGGAGACACAGTCCTCATCTTGGACAGCCAAGGGAACGTTGTCAAATGGGGTTCCCTTAACATCGACGGAGGCGGTGGCGACCAGGGCAACATCCAAAGAGCCCATCCCGGCATGAGCGCCACCCACTCGAGCCATATTGTCGGACCGCCCGGCCAGATCTTGCACAACACTGGACATGAACGATTTTTGGTTATCCGTGTTCCGGACAGACGGAAATGGATTGGGGATGACAAGAAAAGGGTTGCCGTGGATGATTTGGAACCGCCAAGACAGAGGAAGTACATCCGGACCGTCAATGAGCGCCTCCCAACAATCGAGGCTGGTGACGCCAGTGGCTCGGCGGAGAAGGGCACTGGTTCTGCGGCCCAGGGAGGGGCAATGGATGTCGACATCGTCGACGCCCTAAGTGGCTCACCCAAGGAGGTCATTGGCTCTGAGGTCGACAATGTCGTGACCTCTATTGAAGGGGAAAATACCAGGGAGCGCTGCGGCTCATGTGGCCAGCTCACGCACAAGCTTGACTCCTGCGTGCGGCCTGGTAGGGATGGCACCCTCCATGGCTGCCCAATGGGCAACAGCTCCGCCCACAACGTGGAGCAATGCGTCAAATGGCCCCGCATGACGATCGGCCAGAAATACCGGGTCCTCGTCCACAATCGCGGCAGGATGGTACCCCTGTACACGGAGCAGGAGGAGCTCTGGTACCATATTTTCATCCAGCGGTCCGAGTCGATGGGTGCCGAGATGGGAACACCCCGGTACTTCCCATATACTAGGGAATTCGGAAAGGGGTACTTCGGCGACGAGGAAGAACTCTCCTCGTGGGAGGAGTTCTACGATTGTTTCGACCACGCCATCTTGCCGGTCGACAATAAGACTAGGGATGAGAGAATGGTCAGAAGACTCTTCGCCGGTGCCGTCTACCAATCGGCCAGGGACGTTAGGCCACGCCCTCGTGTCCAAACAGTCGAGGATACCAGCGAATTATTGTGCGACACTGAAGACGAGGAGGAGCGATCTTTGGGCTGAGAGACGCTAGGAGAGCTGGCAAGAATTTGAAAGAGGCGAACATGTCAAAAGAATAGAACAAATATGGAGAGGCGGGGGGCCAATTCCAAGGACGCCTAACTTACACGCAGCAAAGGGGAAGGCGCCAGCGAAGACAATGAATACTTTCGACTACTCCGATTCGAGCCCCAACCAGAGGACCGGGCTGATGCCGACGGCGAACCCGACGAAGGGTGAGCGACGATGGCACTTGCGTTGTCACCGGACCGTACCGCTCTCGGCCGCATCGGCTTTCATGTACCTTAAAGACGTTGGCACGTATGGGAACCGGCAGCAGGTTTAGGCAGGGATCAAATGGCATTTTGCTTGGTGACCAGCAACGGAGACCTTGGGCCCGTATACAATGTAATCGCGTCGTGTTCTCGATTCAAAGGGTCAAACATCACCACCATCATGACCAGCACGCTCGGCTTGACCGCGGCCTCGATCGCCTGCCTGGATAGGGACATTGTTGTCGCCGTGCCCACGGGCTTTCGCTTGCCCATCTCGATCCTCATCTTGAGGCTGGCGAGCGTTGCCGCTGCCGTCCACGCCCTGGCCATCGTGGCTACCGTCGCGGTTACGCTCAGAATTTCCGCCGCCAAGACCACCACGCCACCTTCCAAAACGACCCCATCTTCCTCGCCCAGCCATTATATAGTCGTCGAGAGAGAGCATTTGTGTGTGGATATCTGTGCGTGTGCGTGTGCGTTCGTTCGTTCGTTCGTTCCTTCGTGCGTACGTGAGTGCGTGGGGTGCGTGGGGTGCGTGGAATGCGTGGGACGACGGAGACAAACAGATTCGAAAATGGAGCAGTCTTTTTTCATTGTTTTGGGAACACAAGGCCAGAGCCTGGCACTAAGAGGCAGCCTAAGGCATCACAGCACGGCGAACGCCTGGCGACAGCTGAGTGACGGTGCCCGTAGGTACCTTACCTAGGCGCTGTGCCTAGAGCATTCACAGGGTGCTGAGCACGTTCACAGAGCACCCAATTGTTGAGGTGCAACCTGGAAGTCCACCAATCACTAAAAGAGCAGCCACAGTGGCAAAGCCTGAGCCACAGAGCGCTGCTCGTCGAGCCATTCTCTGAGAGACCGCCGGCTCCTCCTACGGGCTACGCTGGTGTGAGCCTGGTGCCCGGCTACGAATGCCGCCATTTGCCTCACCTGTTGTCCCATGGCCTAGGCTGGATCTACTGCATGACGATTCGTGATTGAAGCCAACATGGCGCTGCCAGTCTTTGTGACGACAACAGACGTGAATGTGAGGCAACGCATGGATCTGAGACGTCGAGACGGGAGAGTGATCGTCTAATGTTGGAGGGAGGCCCCATGGACGTGGGCCTGTCCGTTTGCCCCTCCATGCCCTGGTTTGATTTGCCAAAATGTGGTGGGCTGGAGCTAGATTCGTCGGCCTGCATGCATTGATGCGCCCCGATTACTCGATCGGGCCAACTGGTCAGGACCTGCGGCCGGTGATTGGCTCTCGAAAACACAGCAGGGACGCGGTGCCGCCTGGTGCGGCTGGAGCGCAACGCCTGACGGCCAGCTGGCGCACCTGGGTTCAGCGCAGGTCGGCAGGGTCGGCAGCTGTCCGACAGACGGCACAAGTACCTGTCACAGAAGATGGCCAACTGCTGCCTCAGGCACCAGGTTCGGACTGTCAGGTTGCCACAGTACGGTGATGGGTCATCAAATCCAGAAGGAACCTTGGAAGTTCGCGTTTCCCCACTCTTCACTCGGCCGCCTGTACATTCACGCCCACCTGCACTCTCAAACGCGCCTGATCCTTCCCTTTCTTTCTCTTCTTCTTTTGTTCTATTTTTTGCCTTGGAGAGGGGACGAGCCTGCGATTGCTACATGAATGTACAAGATGCCGAACCTGAAAGCGAAACGCGACGCCCAAGTGGCCCAGGTCGAATCCGCCCTGAAAAATTGCGCGGCGGAGCTGGTGGAAAGGGCTCTGGCCCATTTCAAGGAGAACCCTGCTCCGAAAAGCACGCCGCGAGGGCTTCGAGATATTTTGGGTTCGAGTGTAGTCGCGCACGACGACCTGTGGACGACGGAAGATGAGGAGAGGCTGCAGAATGATTGTGCGAGCCGAGAGGACGCATTTGCGGCCGTCCAGGGATCGGCGCAACTTCTCACGGCATGGAAATCCTGCATCCAGTCGATGAGGTGCTCCCCGTTGGCCATCATATCGCCACGGCACAGCCTTTTCGTCCACCAAGAAGCCACGCGCGCTCGAGGCCAGAACCTCGCGACCACCGATGGGCTCCTGTGGCCACAGAGCCTCTACACCGAGCTCGTCACCCTTGTCAGCAGTCCAATCTGGCTCGGCGAGCCGCTGGCTCTCTCTGCTGCGATCCAGTTCGCAGTGATATGCAGGACGGACGAGAGGAGGCCGTGGAGGATGCCGTGTGTTACCTCGTGCCAGGGCATGGAGGCACTCAAGCGCCGCGCAATGCGACCGCTTGACGTCTCGCCCTCGGACACTCTTGAGGAAGTTTCGGTCAATGTAGAGGAGGCCGGCAATGGACTATCGGTCATGTTCCAGCTGCTTCGCTCTATCGGCGAGTCTGTAACGTCCGGGTCGGCCCTCGGCCGCGCCGAGGGACCGGTCAAGTACGAGGTCACCGTACAGGACCTCAAGTCAATTCGTGAAGCCATCGACTCTCTCCAGATAGGGTCGGCCGCCCCTGTAGTGCTGCCAACAAGTGTTAGCGAGGCGCTGGCCAAGCTTGGCCGTGCTTCCTGTCCGCCGTCCAGCGCCGAGCTGGTGGATTTTCACAGGCGATCATGGTTGCACGAGCGCCGATTGGCAACGCGAGACTCGCGGCAGCGTCAAAGAGACAGCGCTGGTAGTCGACGGCTGGGCGAGAGCCGTGGGTCGCAAGATGAGCCGAGGGAGTTCAGCAGCGACCGATCCGACAATGGGCAGCTTCAGCCTATGCTCGGGCAACCCCGTTGCCATTGGGAGATCGACGAATTGTCATCGGTGAGCAATAGCGACATATTTCTTGACAATCTTGACGAAAGCGAAGACGTCCACCAAGATGGAGCGCAGCGCGATGAGGAGGAAGATGGTGCCCTGACTCGTCAGCGGCGAGCCGAACGGCGCAGGGAGCGCGATGAGGAGGATGATTGAGGATTGGCCCGTCAAGGGCGAGCAGAGACAGGCAGGGGCGATGAAGTCGGTGCCGCCCAGACACATCGGGATCGCACCAAGCGAGGCAGGGCCGTGTCCGAGGAGCCCGATGCTTCCCCGACTCGTCGGCGGCAAGCCAAGCGGAGCAGGAGGAATTCGTCCGTGAAGAACGGCTCCGCCTCGGTGCCTTCCCCAAATGTGCGGTCCGATGCGGAGCCTGCCAGGGGCCTTGGTCGTGAGGCTGCTCGGGAGCTTGCCCGGAGGCCTGGCCCATGTGGCCCGAAGCAGAGACCTTTGCCTGGTCTAGGTCCAAACAAGAGCCTCGAGGAGCAGATTCGCGAGCTGGAAGAAAGGCATAACGCTGCACCCAGCGTGCCTGTGGCGTGGCGCACGCCACAGGAGGAGCGCGGCGTTCTCTTCGACGACGGTGGGCCTAAAGATCGCCGGCCCAACAAGCCCGGCGTTGCGACGTACAAGGTCCCTAACGCCCTGTCTGTTACGAAACCACCCAGGCTCGCATCCGAGCAAGAGGTGCAGCGGAATAAGGTGGTCGATTGGTTCCTCAACGAGACCTGAGGACAGGCTACTGTGAAGCGCAACGTCCGTCCGCAATTGGGGGACGGTGATGGATGCTTCAGGCTGCCCGAGTAAATAGTTGTAGCGACGAAGAATGCAACAACAAGAGGCACACTCGACATTAATTTGCGCGTGACTGTAGGCAGCCCATTGAGAATAGCGAGTGATTGTTGTAGAGCCAACTTTTGCTAGTTGTAGAGCCCATAAGAGCAATAGCAGCGACAGCAACGACAGCAACGACAGCAACGACAGCAACGACAGCAACGACAGCACGCCACTGCCGTCCCATGCCTGCGCCAGTGCGCAGTTCCTCCGCGGCTCCTTCCCCTGTGGCTCCGTCCTCACGTCCTCGAGGCACGAGGCCTACCCTCGCCCACTGCCCACAATGTCGCCCGGGAATTCTGCAATCCATCTTCGCGCGTCATACGCTTCTCGTTGTAATGCTCGCATGTCAACATGGATGCGTATATCGAAATACTTCAAACCCTTGCCGATGGGCTCGCTGTCTCTGGCGACAGCAATGGCGCCAAAGCGCTCGCCGCCAGCACCAAGGCGGCACACGACCAGCTCAAGTCGGAGACCGAACAATTTGGAGCCAAAGAATGGACAGCCTGACTGCACATGTCCAGCAGCTGTCCAAGTCTCTGGGCACCGCGACCTCGTCGCAAGGCCGCTATTGACCAGGCTGCAAGTCAATTGGACAATCTCGTTTCCGTCAAAGAGTGGCTTTTGCCCTACGCGCGCCTGCAGCCCGTCGCAAGACCGATGTGCGTGAAGGAGCAACTGCAAGCGTCAAGGCCACGGCCAATGGCGTGGCGGGTACCTTGCATCAAGGTCTGCAAGATCGGGCTGTCCCCGCAGTCGTGAGACACGTCTGCGGTCTGCGGCCAACGACGCTGCGCGGCGTGCCGTGCAAAACCATCACGCCGCACTTGAAGACGACGGCGCTGAGACGCTAAAGTCGAGCCGCGAGGATCATCAGATTCGCCAGCCCAAAGGAAGGCTTGAGTCTGTGCCCAAGAAACCACCGGTGTGGCATATGCCGCAGGAGGAGCGCTTCTTCCAACGTTTTACGCGATTCAGATCCTGGCGGCCGCGTCCCTGATGCACTTATACCTCAGCCGAGGGGAGCCAGCGCACCAAGATTGGTGTCGCTGGACGGCGACAAAGGTGTCATGACATGAGCCTACGCCTCGCAAATAGAGAGCTGTGCTCGTTTAATCTACCCCCCCAATGTCTGGCTGTTCAGTATGGCAGGCCCCTCCAATGTCTACCCCCCCAATGTCTGGCTGTTCAGTATGGCAGGCCCCTCCAATGTCTACCCCCCCAATGTCTGGCGATTTAGTATGGCAGACCCCTCCAATGTCTACCCTCCTCAATGTCTGGCTGTTCAGTATGGCAGGCCCCTCCAATGTCTACCCCCCCAATGTCTAGCTGTTCAGTATGGCAGGCCCCTCCAATGTCTACCCCCCCAATGTCTAGCTGTTCAGTATGGCAGGCCCCTCCAAGGTCTACCCCCCCAATGTCTAGCTGTTTGGTATAGCAGACCCCTCTAATGTCTGACAGTATGGCGACTACCTAATTGTTTGACCCCCTACCTGTGTGGGCGCCTGTATAGTATGGCGGGAGAGGCAACTATATGCGCCCCGGACTGGATGGAACAATTGTATCAACGGGTAAAGGTAGCGCCTTGCCAGTATGGCAGTTGGGAACAATTTTGTGAAGGAAATGCGTGGACGGCTAACTAAATGAAATCGCGGATGTTCCTTACGCTGGGACCAAACGCGGTGGGCTCTGTACGTAGTCCTAGGATTTCAGTCAAGGATGCAAGTAATGGAGGATACATCAGAGTTCCAAGCGCAAACCCAATTGTATTAAACACGCCTCTCATCTAACACTCAGATGTAGTATATACGATACTCTTGTCGATGTAGGCGGTTCTCACTCCGCCCCGTTAGCGCCCGGAGAGAGTGATGGTCGTGGTCTGCATCGCCGTAAATATGCGGCAATTCTTTACTTGGCTTCAAGTATCGCCAGGATTGTCCCCAGTGGGAGCGGTGGGTTCTGAGCCCTGGTCGGGCAACCCGTCATCTTCCTTGCTCGATTCTCCTGGCGGCAGTTGGGGAGGGGTCCAAGCATTCCACGTCCCTTGCGGGATCCAGATCCAGTCCCTCAGGAAGGTACGTTCGTACGTGTCCGTACGTGCCAACCCCGTGTAGACGCCAAACGGCGTCCCTTCATTCGGGCCACTTTGCGTGATCGCCGGAAAGTTTATCAAGCCGTTCAGGCCACCTTCCATGACGAAGGGAGACTGTGTGGCCAGGTCCTGGTATTGGGCTTCGGCCTGGTCCTCGGCGCCACTGCCGTACTCGTTCGGCACGGTCGCTACAGCTACCTGGGAATGATAGCAACGAAGAAGCTGCTCGCGCAGTTCGTCCATCTCCCGGTGGGCTATGTAGTTGGACTCGTCCGTACGGACGGGGTATCCAATCTCGTGGGCGGATTGCGTCTGGAGGACCTTCCAGATTTCCGTGGCGCATCGCAGAACTTGCTTCGCCGACAGGGGCTCTATTGACACCCTGCCAGGAATGAGCTTGTAAAGCTTGTTCTCGACGCCGTGGAACTGCACGCTGTCTCTAATGGCTCTTTTCCAGAAGCCCAAGAGAGCCCAGATGGTGCCTGTCATCGCGATGCCTCTCGTTAACCCGATGCATCCAGCGAAGATGTCAAATTGGCGCTCGTCGTCACAACGATTGCCGAACCTCAGAGTCGGAAAGACTTGATCCACGCCCACCATTTGAAGGGCGGCGAATTGGATCTTTATCGCCTGGACGGCCATGTTCTCGCATGGCAGGGCTACGAACATCGCCAGGCGAGGATCGTAGTCAAACAGCCTGAGGAGGCCGTGGAAGGCTCGACCAAGCGGCTCTTCCAGACAAGCGGTCACGCGCATTTCATCAAGATTCGCTTGAACAAGGCCTGCATTGGCCATGCGCACCATGCTGTCCTTGGCCTCCGTGAGACAGGGATGTACCAGGGGGAGAAACGCCCTGCTCCCAACGCCCCCGAGCCATGTCTCAAGGTAGGACAACTCCACGAGCATGCCCTCCATCTGCCAGCCATTGAAATGGCACCTGCGTTCCGGATCCAACAAGGACTCACCGGGGTTCTGATATACCGTGACATTCTCTCGTGGGCAGTCGACCTTGAACGCCCAGGACAACTGCTCCTTCAGCTCGTCAACGCAGGCCTCGAGAAGCAGCGATACGATTTGGTCCGTCTGAACATCACGGACTTTGGTAAATGCACGCTGCGTGTCGGTCACGAGGTGCAGGTGCGTGAACCCCTCCACGAGATACGGTGCATGGAAGCCCAGAGGGACCTGTAGGACGACGATTGGCCTACCACCGCACACAAACAGATCTGCTGTCATGGCATTGTCCCACCACTTGAAGGCGTGACTTGGGATGCACCCCAAATTGCCAACGTCCACAACATCTGCCGCGCCTTCAAAGAGAATGATGCAATGCCTCTCTGTGTCGGATGCCGTCTCGGCAACCCGGCCGAAGAGCTCGCTCACCTCAGGCCAATCGAGCTGAACAAAGTTCAGTCGGTCCATCCCCTCGCTTAGGGCGGGAAGGACAAATTCTTGGACACTGCCCTGGCAAGCGTCGTCAAGAACATTGCGAATAGTCTTGTGGAGATCACCGACAGACACAAGGAGCACCACAACCCTTTTCGGTGCTGATGCCCTGGTGGTAGCCCAGCGGCTCCACGTAGCAATAGTTAGAAGGGCGACGGCGAAGCCAGCAGAGTACGTGGAATCAACTTCCAGCACAAACACAACCTGTCTGGAGCCGCCGCCCTCTACGGAACCTTCGCCCTGGCTTTGAAGGCGAAGATGCACGCTTTGAAACGACTCAAACTTGAGCTCGAGTCTTGCATCGGCACCGCCGGTCGTTCTGGCCGTTGGCTGCCGGTTCATGTTGCCAAGCCAGGTGGCATACTTCTCGTAGGTGATGTAGGTCATCGACGTGCCTGGCTGCAGCGTCGTGATGCCCTCCCACAACACCGAAGAGACGGCGGTCAGCCACCGCGAGGCAGGGTCTCCTTGAAGGACGCCGTATCGCACGGCCCCTGATTCCTCGGGTCCGCTGACGCCAGCGGCCGCCCATTGCGCCGCTCTCGACAACTCCTCCACCCATTCCTCGGGGACGTGATTGAGCCCCGGAACCTTCACAGCTTCCTCCGTATTCGCCATCGTGCAGCTGACGTCTCGCGCTTGATGATTAAAGACGGGAGACTTCGATGTATATGTGTCGCTTTCGTCGTCGACTAGGCGTTGCGGTTGGGGGAACGGCGAGGGCTGTTTGCGTAACAGCAGAGTCGAATGAAGGTGGGAATGGTTGTGCAAACGGAGAAAACTGTGCTTGGATGCAGCAGGGAATGAACATGAAAGAAGGGGAGCGGGTAGTCGCTGCTGTCACGTGGCTAGCCAGCAATGCTGCCGTATTCCAGCACGGGATGGGCAGTAACAGAACGCAACGGGTGCCTAAGGTACCGACGGTACCTAGCCGGCAAGAGCTACAGCTGGCTAAGGCGCAGTGGGAATATGCCCGCACGGAGTCCAGGGGCAGTACTGTTAGGCAGGGAGCCTCTGAACGGGCACGAACAAGAACCTGGAAGTCCGTGGTTGCTATGGGGGCGAGACGGTCCCGTGGAAACAGCCCAGGGAATGGCGGGTGCTCGCTCTCTGGCACTAAACCACAGCCAATCGAATGTATTCGGTTGCGCCAGAATCGGAAGCATCCGTCGTAGAGTCATGATGCCGGAGCCGCTCGAGGCTGGGCACGATCCGAGCCAGTTGACCTCAGCGTAGAACCAGAGCGTGTCTGAGAGGAGCTTCATGCCTGCTTCCAAGGAATCCAGGGCAGTGGCTGGTACCAATACCACACGATACATAGGAGTGAACTTATCATGGTGCTCTACCGCTAAATGCCAGGGGGACTGCCAGGGAGACTGCCAGAGGGAGTGCCAGAGGAAGTGCCAGAGGGAGTGCCAGAGGAACTGCCAGAGGAAGTGCCAGAGGAACTGCCAGAGGAATTGTCAGAGGAAGTGCCAGAGGAAGTGCCAGAGGAACGGCCAGAGGAACTGCCAGAGGAACTGCCACGGGATCTACTATAGGAACTTCCTCTTAGCGCCGAAACTAAATCATGTAATGTAACTAAATGTATTCTATCGCTTGGTAGCTAAACGCCGTCTAACATCTTCAGTCCACCCCGCCATCACGTCGACGCCCCGGCCACCGCAGCCTCCTGCGCCTCGATTGCCTCTCGCAGCACCCTGCAAACCGTCCGCAGCTCCTCCTCCGTCACGACAAGCGGTGGCGCCAGCAGTACGTGATCGCCCCTCACGCCGTCGACCGTCCCCGCGCCCGGGTACACCGCGACGCCCCTGCGAAACGCCTCCTGCTGGACCCTGTTCCCAAAGCCCACCTTGGGGTTAAACGTCTCCCTCGTCTCGCGGTCCTTGACAAACTCGACCGCCCAAAACAGGCCCCGGCCGCGAATGTCGCCCACCGTCCGCAGGTGGCCCAGCTCGGCGCGCAGGAGACTCTCAAGCACCTTGCCCATTGCGCGACACCGCGGGACGAGACCTTCTCGCCGCACAATCTTTTGCACCGCGAGGGACGCCGCGCAGGAGATGGGATGCGCCTGGTACGTGTGCCCGTGGTTAAAAGCGTTGGACCCCTGGCGCAGCGCGTCAATGACCTTGCCGTGGACGTAGATGCCCGCAATGGCCGCGTAGCCGCCGCCGAGCCCCTTGGCCGCCGTGACAATGTCCGGCACGACGCCCTCCTGCTCAAAGGCGAAAAAGGTCCCGGTGCGGCCCGTCCCGCACATGATTTCGTCCAGGACGAGGAGGATGCCGTACTTGTCGCAGAGGGCGCGCACGCCCGCCAGGTAGCCCCTCGGCGGCGTCACGCAGCCGGCGGTCGCGCCGATGACCGTCTCGGCGATGAACGCCATGACGTTGCTGGGGCCGACGCGCAGAAACTCGTCCTCCAGCTCGCGGAGCAGCCGCGCGGCAAAGTCGTCCTCCGTCTCCGCGGGCAGCCCGTAGCGGTAGGCGTACGGGGGCGTCACGTACGACACGTGCGGGTAGGCAAAGCCCTGGTACGGGACCTTTCTGGCGACGTTGTAGGAGACGGACATGGTGGCCATGGTGTTGCCGTGGTAGCTCTGCTTGCGCGAGACAATGTGCAGCCTGTCGGGCTGGCCGCGCTCGTAGTGGTACTGGCGCGCGAGCTTGAGGGCCGACTCGACGGCCTCGCTGCCGCTGCCCACGAAAAAGGCCTTTTCCAGGCCGTGCGGGCTGCCGTCGAGGATGAAGTCGGCGAGCTCCTCGGCGACGGGCGTCGTGTACGACTGCGTGTGGACGTAGCTGACCTTGCGGGCCTGGGCGAGGAGGGCGTCGTGGACCTCGTCGTTGCCGTGTCCGATGACGGCGACGGCGGCACCGGCGCATGCGTCGAGGATGCGCTGGCCGGTGCTTAGAGTTAGGTGGGTGCCCTTGGCGGAGGTGACCATGGACGGGTGCACCACGAGGGATCGGTGCAGGAGGTGCTCGGCATGCGGCTTGCTGCCGGTCTGCACCGGGGTGTCGTCCCGGTGCGGAGCCATTCTTCCTGCGTGTTGTTGGCTTTGGAGTCGTGGAGTCAACTTTCGAATACAGATTTGTATCTGGAGAGTCGTATTGGAGTCAACTCTAAAGACGGATTGGTAGTTGTCTGTGGCGAGTGTAGTCTACAGAGTCTGTGCACATGGATGGAGACGCTGCATTGTAACGCTGTGCTACGACGGGTCCTTTTATAAGCATGGTCCATCAGAGTCCGAAAGCCGACTGCAATCATGTTTACTGCTAGTAGACGTAGGTTCTATGGTCGTGCGAGCTTGTCGTGTGCGCTTGTCGTTGAGATCGGTTTAGCTTTCCCGACGCTGAAACCCACTGTGGTGGACGTTGTGGACTGTGGAGCCTCTCGTCAACCCACGCCCTCGGCTCTCAGAGCCGACATGGACCGCAGTGGGCCGTTGCAAGAGTACAAAACCACCGTCTCTGCGTCGAAATGTCTATTGTCAGGACAAAATTCATATCAACATGGCTGACGAAAAAGATGCCTCGTCGGGCACGGAGACGCCTCTCGAGAGCGGCGAGCCCAAGTGGCAGGACCACGACGGCTGGCGCGGCTGGATCGTCGTGGCGGCGTCGGCCTGCTCGCTCTTCATCTACATGGGCGTCATCTACTCCTGGGGCATCCTGCAGTCGCGCATCGCCGACGACACCGGCATGTCGCTGACGTCGCTGACGTTTGTCGGGTCGCTGGCCACGTCCTTCATGTGCTCCATCTGCATCTTTGTCGGCAAGGCGATCCGACGGTTCGGGTACCGCAGGACGGCGATGCTCGGGGCCCTGCTGCTGGGGCTCGGCGAGTTTCTGTCGAGCTGGTTCTCGGGACATCTGGGGGCGCTGTTTGTCACGCACGGCATCCTGTTTGGCGTCGGAGGAGGATTGACGATTCTGGTAGGTTGTCCTCCGGCTTGCAGGGTCCGAAGCTAACACGCCCAGCCCTGCTCGACTGCCCCGTTAAAGTGGTTTCGAAGGCGTCGCGGGCTGGCGACTGGAGTAGTCTTTGGCGGGGGGTCGCTGGGCGCGGCCGTCATGGGCGTCGCGACAAACGAGCTCGTGCAAAACGTCGGCGTGGCCTGGACCTTTCGCATCCTCGGCTTCCTCCTGTGGGCCATCTGCCTGCCAGCCGCGTGCTGCATCCGCCAGCCGCCGTCGTCGGGCCCCTCGATCCCGAAGCTGCAGTGGCACCGCTGGAAGGACCCCGAGTTTCTCATCATCCTCGTCGGATCGGCGGTTGCCTGCTTCCCGCTCTTCATCCCGCCCTACTTTATCCCCATCTTTGCGCGGGCCATCAGCCACTCGTCGTGGACCGGCATCATCGCCCTGTCCGTCTGGAACATTGCCTCAACGGTGGGCCGCGTCTGTGCCGGATTCGCTGCCGACTCGTTTGTCGGGCCCATCAACAGCTTCATCATCTCGCTGTTTCTGTGCGGGGTGAGCGCGCTCGCCATTTGGCCGTTTGCCTCGTCCATCGGCGTCCTGTCCGTGTTTTCCGTCGTCAACGGCATCGGCTGCGGGTCCTTCTTTAGCCTGTTCCCGACGTGCCTCGGCGCCGTCTTTGGGCCGGAAAACACCATGGGCGTGTTGCCCATCATGTGGGCGAGCTGGTTCTTTGGCTTCTTTTTTGTGAGTGCACCGGCTCGACCTGAGAATCCCGCTGACAACCCAGGGCACACCCATCGCGTCGCGACTGTACGCGCTGGCGGCGCGGCCCGAGGTGAGCGAGTACCGGCCGGCGGCGTACTACGCGGGGGCGACGTCGGTCGTAGGCATAGTTTTCATGCTGGCTCTCCGCTTCAGGCGCGAGAGCAAAGTGTTTGCCAAGGTATAGGTGCATCTTTAGGGTATTGCATAGCATAGCAGGCAGGATAGACTATAGAATCATGGACCCCGACTGGTCCACTTGCTCCAGCGGCGGCCACCATTGCGACCACGCGCCCTGCTCGTCGAGGTTGCTGCTGACCTCTGCCAGGAGCTGGTTGAGAAGTGTGCTGGTGTCTCGGTGGTTTGGCGTGTACGGCGTCGACGCTGCGGCGCGCTCGGCCCCGTCAATCTCACGGTTGTGCTCGCCGGAGCGGTCGACGACACGGAACTCGTGAATGGACTGGTGCAGCGTGTCAAAGTCGTCTCTCGTACGCCCGCGGTAGCGCTGCCTGTCCTTGGCGGCCCGCTCGTAGAGCAGCGAGGCCTGCTGTATGGTTTTGATCTAGACTGTCAGCGCGCGTCGCAAACAAGGACGACACAACTCACCCAGCCATCGGCAATGGTCCAGACGTGACGAAACTCTTCGAGGTACCGCAGGCACATTTGCAGACACGCCTCTGCCTCGGGGCTGCGGTTCAGGTTCATCCGCGGGAACCGGTAGACGTAGAGGCAGATGTAGCCCGCCGAAAAGGCGCAGAACCCCGCAAAGGGCGTCACGAGGTGCACGCCGCACTCGGACGCCTCGTGGAGGACGCGCGCAATGTTTTCGGCCGCTCCAAAGAGCTGTCGCGCGCTCTCCTCCCACCACCCTGGCGGCGCCGGGGCTTCCAGCCGCGGGTGGTCGACGGGCCCCTGGGGCTCCATCTCGAGGGTCGGCAGAAAGGGAAAGTATTCGCGGTGCAGCATCAGGGTGCTGACGTAGTAGAGCAGGTTCAGGTACACAAAGGTCTCGCCGAAGCCGAGCGTCATGTGGATGGCGACGGTGTTGTTGGGGAAGTGAAGCTTGCGATGCTGGCCGGCCCGCCACGCCTCCAGCTGGCTCCGCGACTGCGACCAGGGCGACGTGGGGACCCAGGGGCAATTCTGCGGCGCGCACATGCCCGGCGCGCGGCGGCCGTCGTTGAAGATGAAAGTCATGACCTGCGTCCAAATGTCGAAGCCGCCCACGAGAATCTCAAAGCTCTGCGTCACGTCAAGAGTACCCGTCGCGCGCCCGGCCAGCGAGTGCTCGCCGACCGCCTCGGGCGGAATGTCCGGGCCAAAGGCAAACTCGACGGCGCTCAGGGGGCGGGCAATCTTGAGCTTCTGCATCTCCGACATGGGCAGCATGGGCGGGTTGTAGGTGCCCGAGTTGACCATGCAGTCCATGACGAAGCACGCCCAGTAGGTGCGCGTCTCGACGGCCAGGGACACGGCGTCCTGCCGCTCCGGCGTGAGGTCCAGAGGGTACGGCGCGACGCGGAGGCTGTGCAGCGCCTGCATGATGCGGATGGCGATGCCGCAGTAGACCCAGGCCTTGTGGAAGTCGCGCGAGCCCCACTCGTGCAGCGTGATGATGAGCAGCGTCTGCACGACCTGCAGCTTGGGCGGCTCGAGGATGAAGCGCGAGAGCATCTCGCGCGCGTAAAAGGCGTACTGCTCGCGCGGCAGCAGCTCGTCGGCCCACGACGCCGACAGCACCGCCAGCTGCGCCTTGGTCACGGCCAGCACGGCGCTCAGCAGCGCCTTGCTCTCGGCCGAGCGCGTGGCCTGAAACTCCTTCATGAACGTCGGCAGATGCAGAATCGCCAGCTCCGGAAAGTTGTTGATGAAGATGTTGACGGCCTTGAGCACGACGTTGGTCGGCAGGCGCTCAATGTGCGCATCTATCTCGGCCCTGTCCGGCTCGCCAGCCGCAACGGCACTGTCCTCGCGAGATTGCCGAGCGGCCAGGGGCATTCTCGTCGGTCGCGACAGCCTGCGCCTGGTGCCTTCGTCCACGTCCGCGCGGGCGGGCCGTGGCCGGGTCAGCGTGCAGCCCGCGATGCCCGACTTTTCGCACCGCCGACACGGCGGGCCGCCGGCGTGGACGCATTTGACCTTGGAGCGCCTGAACCGTCAGCCAGTGTCTACCAACCGTGTGTTGCCGGGTGCGTGCGTACCTGCAGGCGTCGCACGAGAGGCTGGTGCGCATTTTGGGGGTTGTCGGATCTCGGTTTTCAATCGAGGGGGCGCCGCGTCGGGAATAAAGACTCCACAACTTTTCCTCAGCAAAGGCGCCGACGACCCGTCAACGTCCACGACTCCACCCGGTCGAGTTTCAACGCCGCGATATTCCGTAGTCCGTACGTAAATCCGTACGTAAGGCATAGACACAAGCAGACACGCGCGGATCCACGCAGCCCCGGCGACTCCGCTTCCCATCGCCATGCGTGCTACTCGGTCTCGGTCGCCTTGACCCCGTACAGAGTCAGGCGAGCCGCAAAAGAGTCGATCCTGCTGCAGAACCCGGTGCAGTACGAGCCCGCGCCCTGCCTCGACAGATCGTGCAGGCCAAAATCGGCCAGCTCCAGCCGCAGGTCGTCAAAGAGGTCAACGAGCAGCCGATATCGGGCATGGTCTGGGAGGCTGCTTAGCATTGTGGCGGCTGACGATTCTCGACGGGTGCTTACCATCTACAGACTCGGCGACGTCCCCGCGCCGGGCCCCATTGTGTTCATACTGCTCCAGGACTTTCGTCTGGAGCGTGACCAGGGCCTCCCTGCACTGATCCTTGTGCGATCTTGCCGACCTGCCCAGGTTCCGCAGAAACCGACCCCGCAGCTTCTTGATGTGCTTGTCGAGCAGGTCTTCCATGGCCTGGAGGACGTAGTCAAACTTGTCCATGTCCTCCTGCGAAACCTGAGAGCCGACGCTCCGCCCAGAGGCGCGAGAGCCCTGCGACCCTGCCCGCGATGCAGTGCGACGAGGCCGGGAGGGGGCCGACGACCGGCGGAACCGGTTCCAGCGGCTTCCGGCCGCCTCGCCCGGAGCCGGAGAAGACGAAACCTGCGGTTGATGGAAAGAGGGCGAGGCCGGCGACGGTATGCCGGGGCTTTGACGACCCGAGGAGCCTCTCTTGAAGAACCTATCAAATCCGCTCGACGACTGTCCACCGGAGCTCTCATCGGCGGAGTGCGCGCGAGCGTGGCTGCGAGCACCGGGCTGGCCCTCGCTGACCGAGCCGGTCGTGGGCGGAGTTGACGAACGGTACGCCGTATAAGCCGCAGACCGTTTGAGCGTCGGCGGTCCTTTTGCGGCCTTTGGCCTCGACCGAGAGACGTATTGCTCTGCGAAGCTTTCGACCTCGGAGCGAGTAGGCCCGTGCCGCGACCCGTCAATATCGTCCCGCGAGCGCGAGTGGTCATACCCGCGAGGTCTCGTTGGAGCCCTTTGGCTCCCTAGGCCAGGAGCAGGGGCCTCGGCTCGCTTTGTGAACTGCGCTCTAAGATTGGCCAGCAGGGCGCGGTCATCGTACTTTTGCCGCTCACGATCATCGGAGAGCAGCTCGTACGCCCTTTGGACCATTTCAAACTCAACTTGCTTCTGAGCCTTGAGCTGGGGGTCTTGGACCTTGTCTGGGTGGCACCTCAGAACCAGCTTTCGGTGTGCCGACCTGATCTCGGGAATTGTTGCATCCTTGGGTACGCCAAGGGCTTGGTAAGGGTCAGGGGGGAGGTCAATCATGGTGACAGTCCGGCGACCAACAGCGCGAGTAGCAGGTGATTGGTGAGGCAAGGTGCGGCCGGCACTCGTGGAACGCAGTAGCTTCTCGCCTTGAGGGCAATGCGGACGTGACGGAGGTTTGCCTGAATGCTTCGGATCTGATCAAGGTGGAGGTGTGAATAGGAGCAAGGCGACACTGCGAGGCTCGAGTCGAGTCGTCAGCCCGAAGTTGAGGCTAAAGTAATGCCGCGAGCTGGCTCTCTGTGCAACCAGGGTGGCGCAGCGACGCCGTTCACCAGCATCACCTGCAGCTGGCCCCCACGATGATCGCAGGCTCCAACCTGACCAGGCCACGGCTCTACGATCCCTGTTCGGGCTGGCCACGATGCCAGCAAGCCGGGACAACTACATCTACAATCACAATCGGATCCGTGCGATCGGGCGACGTCTCTTGGTTCTGTTCTTGCCCGACCGCGATTTGTTCTGCGGCATTCTTCTTGATTCCTGAAGCTTGTGACATTGAGGGCGGGGATGCAGGGATACGTAGGGTGCTAAACTTGCGCCATAAGCGGATTTTGTGCGCCTTGACGATCAGCCAGTCGCCGACGCGCACAGCTCAGCGGGACGGGCCGTGGTGGCTCACCCTCGGGCTGTGCAAGCAGCCGCGGCCTCTGCTGCCTCGTTGTCTCTTCGCCGCCATCACAGCGAGGTTTTGGCATCATCTGCGCGTCCGTCCGTTCGCCTGCCGCCATGGACGAGAAGAGGAGGCTTTTCGAGTACGTGACCAGGTCACTCAGCGAAGAGGAAGACTTTCACTTTCTCCGCTTCGAGCTTCTCCAGCGCCTCAACATTGTCAACCTCCAGGTCCAGCTGGCGCGCATCAAGAGCCGCATCCAGCGGGACGGAGAGGCGTCTGCCGACGACCTCGAGGACCTCACCACCAAGCTACAGCAATATGGTAAAGGCCCAGGCCGTGTTTCCAAAATGCCTGCTGACCCGTCACCCCAAGCCACCGCGATTCGAGACTATCAGTTCCTGAGGAACAAGGCCAGCGTGGAGAGGGCCGAGGTGCCGCACCGCAAGCTCCTGCTGCAGAGGTACTTTCAGTCCGAGTCGGACTTTGGCGACCCGTTCGAGTCGCATTACTCGTACTTTCAGGACGCAGACGGCAAAGTCGACCCGCTTCGGGCCGCCATGATGAAGTACCTGCCTGCCCACCTAGCGTTTTCGCGCCAGGAGCGCCGCGAGCGTGGCAAGGAGTTTTCCGAGGGCAAGGCCCCAAGGGTGGTGTCGGCCCTCGTCGATCGCCTCGTCCGCTTCGTCATTGCCGTCACTGGCGGTGTCTTTCTCGTCGTGCCCATGATCATCATGACGCTGCACCCGTCGCAGACCAAGAGCCTGGTGACGGTGTCGGTCGCGCTGCTCGTCTTTTCGCTCATGCTCTCGTTTGTCGTACGCGTATCAAACGTCGAGACGCTCGTCTCTACGGCGACGTACGCGGCTGTGCTGGTGGTGTTTGTCGGCACGAGTACTGCCAGCTCATGACCGCGCTCCGCGCCTCGCTGTCCCGACGAAACGCCGCTGGCTTCGACCTGGTCACGCCTGGCGCCGCCCACGGCTCCGGACCTTGGAGACAGGATATGGCGACGGCCCACGCTGACGCTACTACTTGGGAAGAGAGATGGTGCAACAGCCCTGGCGGAGCCGATTGGCCCAGTTAAAAAGGAACGAGGCATCTCAGTCACTTTGAGTTGCCTGAGCTACTGCCCACTGCAGACAGCCGGCGTAGTCTGGGCCGACGAACCGGCAAACGCTCTCGACAATGTGCGAGCACCAGCCGTGGACAAACCAGCAGTCGTCCAAGGTCCGCAAGAGCACCGCAAAGTACGCCAATATCGCCAGAGCCGGAGCCTCCCTCCGCCGCAGCAGCGCCACAAAGGCGTCCTGGATCCGGTACAACCACCCAAAGACAAACTGGCAGCTCTGCGGCCCGTCGTAGAAGCCGTCGGCGCCTCTGCCGTATATCGCGGCGTAAGTCGCAGACAGGCCGCCCAGTGCCTCGAGGCAAACGTTCGCGCTCTCGCCGGCAGATGACGATACCAAGTCGCGCAGATTGTCCAACGGCTTCTCCCAATCGACGCGAGGGAAGCCGTCGCGCGCAAACTTGGCCCCCGTGTCTTCGCTCTCGCCCGAGGGGGCCAGAGGCGCCATGAGTCCAGAGAACAGCACGTCGGGGCCTACCGTTTCGTTGATCAAGCGCACGCCTTTGATGAGAGGGAGCCACTGCGCCGCACCGTCGTCGAGATGGCAGACGAGGACATCCTCCGGGCTCGTGGGCCCTGCGGCAAAGGTGCAGTAGCAAACGAGCATCGCCGATACATACAGCGCCTGGCAGTTGCCGCTGTCGAGTCGGCCCAGTACTCTTGCAAACTCGGTCAACCCGACGGCGGTGTGCCGCTCTGCCAAAGAGAGGTACGGCTGGGCAGCCCTCTCACTCCGCCCCTTCATGTGCGCAAGGTGGTAGCCGGCCACGGCCAGCAGGAGGTGCAGCACGAAATGATGGTCCAAGCCCAGCTTGGGCACGTTGCGAGACCAGAACCGCGCAATCGGGTCGTCTTCGCTGTCGGATCCCGCGAGGGAATGGGCGGTGCAGGTTGTGAAGTGATGCAGCAGCTCGAGGTCGGCCACGTTCAAGGAGCAGGGAGTTTGAGTGGCTGGTGTGACGCTCCGCGAAATCGTCGTCGTCGAGGATGGAGGCGAGGTGTCAGTCGATCCGCCTAAAGACATGGCTGCCCAGTCTCGTCGAGGCCGTCCCCGACAGCGACGGCCATTTGACCCGACACCTAACGCGTCTTGCTGCACCGTTGAAGGGGCCTGAGCAACGGAGTGATGCGAAAAGGCACATGGCATGCGAAAGTGCGTGCAGTTGCCGCATGCCGGCTTTCCTTCGTCGCACTAGACCGTCAGTCTGCGCCAGGCTCCATGTCGAGAGACTCACCTTGACCTTGCGCCTCTTGCAATTGAGGCAGCCATTGCGAGACTTGCTGTGAGGCTTGATGGAAGTTCTTGGGGGCATTCGCTTCAGTCGTGCTTCATGCGACACGGCGTGAGCACGTCGACTCTGCAGACTCATCGCGGCATCTGATACTACGACGCGCGTCCCGGGGCCGTCGGTCAACTGCCGTGCCGAGATAGAACCTCCGAATCTGTAGTGACCTGCCCATCAGCCAGCTCGGTGAAAAGGGGCAGACTTTCAATGGCTGGTGGCTCTCAATGTTGTCAACGAAGGGCACGATGCGTCGTGGTGGACGCGCACGCACCTGGGCCGGCGTGTGGATCAGGTCCACCATTTTCGCATCCAGTCCGAAAAGTGCGTGATTGGTCGGGTCGACTTACACGGTGGACGGCTCGACGGCAAGCAGTACGTGAAGGTTGAGAATATAAGTCGACGGCACAAGCAGCCGTCATGTTTCCAATGCCTGCATTCGCGACCCTGTCTTCTTCATTGCTTTTGAATCATCCCTTTGCTTCTCATCATGACTTCGGACGGCCCCTTTGGCCCCGTCGTCAACGGCACGCAAATCGTCTTTTACGAGTACCGCCCAAACAAGCCCGCAGCAATCACGTTCATTGCCCTATTCGGCCTCGCCACGCTGTGCCACCTGGTGTACCTGGTCCTGTTTCGGGCTTGGTTCTCCATCCCGCTCATTCTTGGCGGCGTCGGTACGTCCCCTTGAAGGATCCGCGCCGTGTTGTCTAACGCCTCTCAGGTGAAGCCTTTGGCTACTATGGCCGCTGTCGCTCGTCCGACACGCCAGACGTTGCCGGGCCGTTTATCCTTCAGAATCTCCTCATCCTTGCCTCCGCCCCGTTCATCGCCGCCACCATGTACATGACGCTGGGGCGCATCATCGTGGCCATGAACGCCCGACGCCACGCCCTCATCAGCCCTCGCTGGCTCACCAAAATCTACATTCTCATCGACATCGGCTGCGTTGCCACCCAGGTGATTGGGTCGGTGCTGCCCGCGTCCGGGGAGGAGAGCGCCATTGAGCTAAGCAAACAGATCCTGCTGGGCGGGCTCATCACGCAGGTGGCGGCGCTGGCGCTCTTTGCGCTCACCTGCTGGCACGCGCATCGCAGGATCAAGAGTGGCCAGCCGCTGCCGGACCTGACAATCAGCTGGCAGAACCATTTCCGTACGCTAGAGGTGGCGACGTTGCTTCTGGTCGTGCGGAGCGTCGTGCGGAGCGTCGAGTACCTGCAGGGCGAGGGTGGCTACGTCGTTTCCCACGAGGTATTCATCTACGTGTTTGACGCGCTGCCCATGTTCCTGATTATGGTGGCGTTTGCGGTGCTCCATCCGGCGAGGCTGATCAAGGACGCTCGGCAATTGATGGGTGACTGGGAAGGCCACGCCATGCTAGATAGGACCGGCAAGTAGACTAGGGTAAGCGGTTCAGTCCCGCGAGTTGGCCTTGTGATGTAGCTTTGCGGCACAACGGCTGCCGTCTACAGCCGCTAGGACCAAGCCATGGCACGACGGGAACTGCCGCTGCCGATGGTCGCGGCCCGGCAGGGCTCGTAAAACGCCACGGTCTAGATGGTTGTGGTGGTCGACTGACACCATACGCGTATTGTGGCCGCCGGTGGTGCTGTGGGGCCACATACAAGTATACGAACGAAGTGCGGTTTACAAACAGCGTCCTGTCCTTGTCATTGCCTGCCCCGTCCTCGGGCCACATCAATTCAGCCCGATGCCTCATATAAGGCTCTCACGCTGCATCGCCATGTCTGTCCAAGTGCAAATTGATCTACCCTTCCGGGCCGGAGCAGGATGAAGCCGAGAAACGTCACCTCGATACGCAGCGAGCACACACAAGCGATGGCCCAGGAAGGTGATGAGCCAGTCCACCACAGTCAAGGCAATTCCTCGGGCTCCGCAGCGGAGCTACCGCCCAGTGCGACGGAGAAGCAGTCGTACGCCAGCGTCGAAAATGGCCGTGTAGACATTGATCTCAACTCGGGTCTGTGTCGCCGGCTGTCCCGCCTCGTGCCGGCATCCCCCGGGCCCCAGACGAGGCCGCCCGAGAGTCCTCCCGAATACAGCGAACAGGGCCCGCAGTCCCTCCGCCTCAACATCGTGGTCCAGATCGTCGGGAGCCGCGGTGACGTCCAGCCCTTTGTCGCGCTCGGGCAGGAGCTCCAGCGGCACGGGCATCGGGTGCGGCTCGCGACGCACGACGTCTTTGCCGCCTTTGTCAGAGACGCTGGCCTCGAGTTCTTTCCCGTGGGCGGCGACCCGGCCGAGCTCATGGCGTACATGGTCAAGAACCCGGGCCTGCTGCCCAGCATGCAGGGGCTGAGGGGCGGAGAGGTGCAGAGGAAGCGGCGCATGGTCGCGGGCATGCTGCGCGGGTTCTGGTCGTCCTGCGTTGAGCCCGATCCCGTCACGTCGGTGCCGTTCGTGGCCGATGCCATCATCGCAAACCCTCCGAGCTTTGCGCACGTCCACTGTGCGCAGGCCCTGGGCGTGCCGCTGCACCTCATGTTCACGATGCCGTGGACCAGCACCACGGCGTTTTGCCACCCGCTGGCAAACCTCGTCGGCTCCGACGCGATACCACCGCGCACGGCAAACTTTCTGTCATACTTGGCGGTCGAGTGGATCACGTGGCAAGGGTGAGCGCAGGGTTGACGCTGTTCGTGACCTCGGCTAACGCGCCCAGTCTCCAAGACGTCATAAACTCGTGGCGGAGGACGCTCGACCTGGAGCCGGTTCCATTCTCAGAAGCCCCGTTCCTGGCAGAGACGCTCCAGATACCAGTCACATACTGCTGGTCGCCGGCGCTGGTGCCGAAACCCGCCGACTGGCCGTCGTACATCGGTACGTGTGCGAGACCCGCGCCTTGGGCTGCCGCTGACGACGCAGACGTGTGCGGATTCTTCTTCCGAAAAGAGCCAGAGTACGCTCCGACACCAGAGCTGGCCGGGTTCCTGAAAAGCGGGCAGCGGCCCGTGTACATCGGATTCGGCAGCATCGTCGTCGACGACCCACGCGCGCTGTCCGCCACAATAGCCGCGGCTGTGAAAGAAGCTGGTGTGAGGGCCGTCGTCTCCAGAGGCTGGAGCAAACTCGGAGAGGGCCAGGTCCCTAGTACCGACGTATTCTACCTCGACGACTGCCCCCACGAGTGGCTGTTCAAGCAGGTCAGTGCCGTCGTGCACCATGGTGGAGCCGGCACCACGGCCTGCGGGCTCCTCAACGGCAGACCAACCGTCGTCGTCCCGTTCTTTGGAGAGTAAGGCCCCAACCCGTCACAGTAGTGCCAGCTAACGCTTTACCACAGCCAGCCGTTCTGGGGCACCATGGTCGCCGCGGCTGGCGCCGGCCCGGATCCGATCCCAGCACAGCAGCTCGACGTCGCGAAGCTAGCTGCCGCCATCCGGTTCTGCCTCACATCTGAAGCGGCGGCGGCAGCAGAGAGCATGTCTGCAAGGATGAGGACCGAGTCGGGCGTGAGGCGGGCGGTCGCAACATTCCACGCCAACCTCCCGCTTGAAAAGATGCGATGCGATCTGATCCCGAGCCAGCCTGCCGTGTGGATGTGCACGTCGCCGAAGCGACTGAAGCTGTCCAAGGCCGCAGCTGAAGTGTTGACTGGTGCGGATCTCATCTCCTGGAGCACTCTGAGGAGGTGAGTGAGCCTTCTGAGTGAGCCCTCTGCTGTTCAGGTCAGTGCTCACCAGAACAGATACAACCCCAAGCCCATCCACATCAGCAACAGAAGATGGGATCCAGTCACCGCAACGGCATCGTCACTCGCCGCGACGAGCACGGGCATGGTCACCTCGGCAGCAGACATTGTCATCAAGCCGATGGAGGCGCTCGGGAAATCACTGACTCGGGCGGAGCACGGAGGCGCAGACGCGATCGGGGCTCCTGGCGGTCACGACGCTGTCTACGGGAGGTCGGCCGCCATCGAGCTCCCAAGGGCAACCAACGTGCAGCCGACGGGCCGCGGAACCGCCGCCGCCGCCGCCCTCGGATCGGCAGTGGGCCTGGGCAACTTTTTCAAGTCCTTCACCAAGGGCGTGCTCCTGGACCTCCCCCTGGCGGTGACAGAGGGTATGCGCAACGCCCCCAGGCTGTACGGCGGAGACGTGTACGAGCCCGGCGACGTGGTGGACTGGAAGTCCGGGGGGCTCGCCGCGGGGCGGAACCTGAGCCACGGCTTCGTGGAAGGGTTCAGGGGCCTGGTCGCGGAGCCGATGCGCGGGGCCGAGCAGGGCGGGGCCGTCGGCGCGGCGAGAGGCGCCGGCGTCGGCATTCTGAACTTTGGGGCCAAGGTCAGCTCGGGCGCGCTCGGGCTGGTCACGTACTCGGGCCAGGGGCTGTATCAGAGCATGCGGTCCACGGCGAGGAGGGAGACGAGCCGGCTGGTCAAGGAGGCCAGGCGCGCCGAGGGGCCGTACGCGGTTGGGTCTGCCAGTGAGCTGGACACGCAGGCCATTGTGCGGGCCTTTGTTGCGGGCAACGGAGAGTGCGGACAGTGTTGACTTTGACGGGGCTTAGCTGTCGCGGGCACGGGCGGGATGCAACTCTACAGTGACGCGTGAGTCGATGGCCTTGGGGAATGGACGGCCAGTGTGTCGTTGACGGTCATTGCGTTGGCGTGTCACGTGGGGGGTATGCAGATCCGACTTCATTGTTCATGTGCAGAACTCAGGTCTGCAACAAGAAACTTGGAAATCCATGTGCTGGACCTCGTGCGGCAGGCCTTGTTGAGAGCAACCGTGCGAAGTGCACCGTCCTGCCACGCCAAAACTCGCCGTGGCACAGTGCGCCGCTGCACCGCCCTGCCCCTGTTGAGGACCCTGCCGACCCCAGATTCAGCACCCCTGTGGCTGGCGTCATCAGCTGAAAGACCCAATCACAGTGGTGCCGGTCAGCGCACGGCGTCCTCGGCTCGCGCTGCCCCTCCCCACATGACAGGCCCTGGCGTCTGCTGTCTTATCTCCGTGGTCCCATCTCAACTCTCAACACTTTCGTCCCTTCATCGCCAGCCCTACGACGTCCCGCGCCTCCACGCATTGCCTGCCCGCGGATTGCATTTGCCCTGTTGACTGCGAAGCGTTCTTGTACATCGACATTTCGACACCGCCAACAGCCGACGGAGCGACATTGGCGCGCCGCATAGCATGCAGCTCCGCAGAGCCGCAAGAGTGATCCTCGTCGGTGCGCCCGGCGTCGGCAAGGGCACGCAGAGCGAGCGCCTGCTCAAGCGCTTCCCCCAGCTCCAGTCCATCAGCACCGGCGACCTCTTGCGGCACAATGTCAAGACGCGCACGCCGCTCGGTGCGCCGCCCGCGCTGACCCCCGTTTGCGAACCCGTGCTAATCGTCGCAGGCATCATGGCCGAAAACACCATCAAGACGGGCGGCCTCGTCGCCGACGACCTCATGGTACGCCTCATCTCCGGCGAGCTGCGCACCCGCGGCTGGCTCGGCGACGGCCCCGTCATGACGCTCGCCTCCGAGGCTACGACGGCACCCGAGTCGCGCGAGCTCGACGACTTTGGGGCGTGGCCCGTCACGGCCCACGCCGGCGCGCAACCCTCCGAAGACCCCGCGGCCTCCTTCATCCTCGATGGCTACCCCCGCACCGCCGCGCAGGCCACGACGCTCGACACCATCATCCCGATCAACCTCGCCGTCTCCATCAAGACGCCTTTCTCCGTCATCCTCGAGCGCATCGCCGGCCGCTGGGTCCACGAGCCCTCGGGCCGCGTCTACAACACCACGTTCAACGCCCCGCGCGTGCCGGGCCGCGACGACGTGACGGGCGAGGCCCTCGTGCAGCGCCCCGACGACACCGAGGAGGTCTACCGCGCGCGCTTCCGCCGCTTCCAGGAGACGAGCGAGCCCCTGCTTGAGCACTACGCCAAGAAGGGCGTGCTGCTCGAGGTCGAGGGGCTCAGCAGCGATGAGATTTCGCCCAAGCTGTATCGCGAGTTTGAGAAGCGGTTCGTCGGGTGACTGGCCTTTGCCTCTGGTCTTTTCTTGGATTCTCTAGCTGGCTTTCTTGGATTCGGAGTTGTGGCACGACCGGCCCAGTGCCATTGACGATGCCCGGCGTTTTGATTGATACCTGTACTCTCCATACCCTCATTACAGAATACGCAGCCGACGTTGCCTCGGCTGTCTCCTCTCAATCATCGAGAGCTGCTCGCCCATGCGGGTGGGTATCACATGGTTGGTCTCGGGTGCTCCACCACGCACATGCGGGCCGCAAGAGCTCATGACGGCGCCCAATTGCCGACGGGCCACCCGACAGGGAGCCGAACCACGTTCCGAGTGGTTGCGAGCCGTAAATGGGCGTTTCCTGACTGCAGCTGTCCATCTTGGCTGCCAGCCCTTGGCTTTCGATTGCATGAGTGCGGCACGGTCCGCCAAGCCTTCTAGAGACTTGCCTGAACTGCACGATGCGCTTCCCGCGAGCCGAGCAGACGTAGAGGTGTGTCTCGTCTGTCGGCAAGCCGCCGCACCTCCGCAATTGCACTGGTCATGTTTTCTACGTAGCAGAATTCAATGCAGACAATACCCACACAATGTCCGGCCCAGCCGCCGCCGAGGGGTAACAGTCACTGCACCACTCCAAGACCAATTCGCACGCGTCCTGCCAGCTCAGCAGGCCGTCCTCGCAAACGATTTGTAGTTCCTATACGTTGTGCTTACGACGGCGTTATGAAATGAGAGATTGCCCATGAGATGCCACAAGGGCCCACGTTGCGCGCAGAGGAGACCCCTGTCATGTCTGTACCCATGTATTCTGTACTTGACATCCATTGCAAGGAACTCGACTCGACTCCCCGAGAGTGAGTCGCCTGCCGCCTGGTACGGGGCATAGAAGGACGACCGACCTCCACCCTCGAGCCGCCGCCCTTACAAACTAGCTCCCCAGCCCCTTTCACATGTATTCATTGGCGTTGCTATGTAGTCTGATCTGCCCGATGGAGGACGGCCTCGTATCAAGTCCACTCTCGTCGACAGGTGCTCACTCGACGAGCCGCGGCATGACCCGTCGGATTCGCTGTGCCGACAGGCAGTACCCAAGTAACTGACAGCGGCTCATGGGGAAACAGTCCCGCAGCAGTTGCTCAGAGTAACACGCACACCATGTGGCATACCCACAGCGATGCCACACGAACCACTCGTGATATTCATTCATGTACGACATTCCATGCAACTCCGGCTAAACATTCCGACCGAATCCAAGAAGGAAAATGGGCAGCCCTGCGCATGTCCAGGGATCTAGCTCCAGTGATATCGCGGCGCCTTGGCAACCGCTGTAGATCAGCCATCCTCGCGCTCCATCTTGCAGCTCTTTCGTACAGCTGTGCGGACCATCTTCACACAATGCATGCACTAGTCGTTCCACTCGTCGCCGCTCCGTATTCCTGGGACGTTGGTCTTTTTCGGAGCAGACGACGACGCACCGGCCTCGTCCTCGTCGTCGTCGAGCGCCCGGGCCAGCTCGTCGGGGTCCCGCATCTTGGCATCCGGGTCCACCGTGTCCAGGTCCGCGTCATCGCGGTGGTGCCCGTCCGCCTCCAGCACGCCCTCGTCGGCGCTCACCGAGATGCCTCGCGCGCCCCATTTCGGTCGCCCGCCTCTGCCCTCGTCGCCGAGCGCCGGCGTGCTCTCCTCGTCCTCGGCCTGCTCGACGCGCTTGCCAAAGATGCGTCGCAGGAGCCAGCCCCTGCGCATGTCGTCCGCGTCGACGACGCCGCCCCCACGGAGCTTGACGCGCTGGCGCGTGTAGTAGACCCAAGCAAAGTCGACGTACAGTGCCGTCTGGATAATGCCAAAGATGACCGACACGGCGTTGGGCTTGTGTCCGCTGACGTCAAACTCGCGCCAGATCCAGTTCAGGCAGTACAGCGCGCGGTACGACCCGAGCGCGACCAGGTAGAAGGAGTCGATGACGGTGGGGACGGTCGTCTGCCGCAGGAGGAGCAGCTGCGGCAGCACACAGGCGGACTCGAGGATCTGTGAGAAAACCCACAACCACTGTTCTCGTTAGCACGAAGCGCTAGCATCGTGGAGAGGACAAGGCCTACCGATGTGAAGCTCCAGACGTGCTCAAAGATGAGCATCACAAACGGCGACAGGAGCAGCGACACGCCCAAGACGCCGCCCCCCATCTTCCACGACAGCTCCCTCTCGCGCGACCGCGGGTACACCCATTGCATGACGCCGAGTATGTAAAAGGAGCTAAAGATGTAAAAGATCTTGAAGAGCAGGTTCCACACCGAGTGCTCCCGGAAGATGTCGAGGTAGCGCGTGCAAAACACGAGCGCGTACAGGCCCTGCGTGATGAACGAGACGCCCTCGGCAGAGCGGTTGCGGTGGATGGCAAAGATGAGGATGCATTTCGACAGGGCGTGGGACAGGTCGCCCAGGATGCGGAAGATCTGTGGCGGTTAGCGTGCGTGCCGTCTCGGCGCGGGTCGCCACGTACGTTCCACGCTCCCATGGTGGCCGCGGGCACGGGGCGTTGGTCGAGGGCGACTGGAGAGGCGCTGCGAGATGCACCTTGATGCTCGGGGATGCGTGTTCGAGCTCGTCCAGGCGGAGGTGATGGTGGATGCGGACGGAAGGTTGGGGTTGAGGACACGAGGCGAGCTAAGGTGGAGTTGACGTTGGACCTGCGTCGGGCTCGACACCTCATCCATGGAGGGCCTCCTGTGGGGCGCGGCTAGCGCACCCGCGGCCTCCAAGGGCCTGGAGCGGGCGCTGCGGGGAGCCGACGTGGTTGGCTGGCCGCTCGGCTGGGGCTGATGACGCGGTGCGGTCTTATCTTATCGCGCCGCGCCGTGCCTCATCTCCCTCGCATCGGGTGCGCTGAAGTTACTTGCACACTGCATGTCCGGATCCTTGGGTCGTGCATCGCGGGGGCAATCGGGGTCCTCGACACCTCGGACGAAACCTCCAACGGCATTGCGGCGACGCAGACCTATACCTCTCACGGGCCCAGGCCCATGGGGCGTCTCCGATCAATCTGCGCGAGCAGCTCGAAACACCAGGGGCTGCCTCGTCCGTGAGCTGCCGCCGACACAATGAGGGCCTGCACCAGCGCCAAGCTGCTGCTGGCGGCCGGCTTGGCCCTGCAATGCGTCAATGCAGGACTCGCGCGCAGGGACATGGTCCCGGACGACGAGTCGCTGTATGTGCGACCAAAGTATTTCAGTGAGTGCCCTGCTTGCCGTAGTCGGGACATCGCATACCGTGCCTTTTGCTCGTCCCGCAACGCCAGGTCCACCGGCGCTGACCAGACCAGAGGAAGCTCCGTACGCCAACCCGCCAAGCATCGCATCCCTGCCGCTGACTGTTTAGGGAGCACGCACACTACGACAAGCGCTTCTTCAAGGAGATGCTCGGCGAGGAGCCGCACCGCGACATCATCCGCGTGCTGGTCCAGACGTACCTGGCGACGCTCAGCCAGCTGGGCGTCCAGACGTGGCTCATGCACGGCAGCCTGCTCGGTTGGTGGTGGGGGAAAAAGGTCATGCCCTGGGACTTTGACGCCGACGTGCAAGTGACCGAGGCCGACATGTACTACCTCGCCGCCTACCACAACATGACGACCTACTACTACAAGTACGGCGGCATGACCAAGGGGCGGTACTTTCTGCTCGACGTCAACCCGCACTTCACGTACCGCGGCAAGGACGACTACCTCAACTTTATCGATGCCCGCTGGGTGGACATGGAGTCTGGTCTGTACATTGATATTACCGCTGCGAGATACGACCCGGAGCACGCGGCGGGAGAAGGCATCATGTACGACAAGAACGAGCACGAGTTTCGAGTGAGTTGCGTCCGCACCTCGGAAGGCCTGGCTGACCTCGCAGGACACTTTTTTGTATCCCCTGCGGGAGACGACGTTTGAGGGTGTGCCTGCCAAGATCCCCTACCGATACCGGGAAATGCTCGAGTCGGAGTACGGCAAGGCGGCCCTTATGAACAATGAGTACCACGGGTACCGATCCCCGGCTTAGACTTGGGCTGACCGCCGGCTAACGTTTGCAGTCATGTCTTTGAAAAGGGCCGACAGCAATGGGTGCTCCGGGCGAAGGAGGATGAGGGGTGAGGCAGCGTACAACAGCAGATTTGGGCCAAAATGATACCATAGACCAGCCAAGCGCTGGCGGCGTTGGGGCGCAAGTCAGACTGTGATGTAGAAATATACAATGATTTTTGCGGCGTGCAGGCGGCAAGGTGCGAGACGGTAATTACAGTGAATGCCCGTCGCACGGCCTGAGATACTCGTTGGAGCCAGTGGCCCAGAGGCTTGGGTGGCAGTGACCAGGGCCACCTGGGCAGCAGTCCAGCGTCGGCACCCTTGAACGGTTGGCCGCCCCACCACTAAACGCGTCTCCACGCGTCCGCTTCAACCGAGTCCAACGTCAACTATACAGCACAACGAGCTCCACGCCCATCAACACGTCCGTTGCAGGCGCATGAGGATACTGGTCTGTCGTGATAATGGCTGCAGGTATGTGCTTTTGCTCCAACCACCACTTTGTAAAACACCTGCTGACGGCACAGCCGGAGAGTCGCGCGCGGACCGCTTGAACCAGCGCCTCCGAGGCGCACAGTAAGTTGACGTTGCCCGCTCGCCTCAAGCAGCTTCTGACGTTTTAGGCGCACAAACGTCGGCGATGAGTCGTTTAGCCTCGACATCGCAGGCCTGGGCGCCTCCAGCTCGCCCCGCGGGACGCCGGGCTCGTCGGGGCGGAAACGCAAACGCGGTGACGCTCAGCCGTCGAGCTCGGCAAGGTCTGTGCCGTCCGCGAGGGACCCGTACGACCTGCTCAGCACTTCTAAGGAATCTGACGGGCAGGCGAGGCCACCCTCGGTGCGCAGTGCGTCCACTCGCCGGTCCAGCAGCAGGCTACCTCAGGACGCCGACGAGCTCGAGGTGCTCCCCGCGCCGCCGAGCGTCAAGTCTCCGTTGCGAATCCGTGTATCGTCGGCGGTGGAGGAAGTGGAGGAGAGCCCTGCGCATGCGCCCGGCAGCGGACGGCGCCGGAGCGTGCCCCTCACCGCCGCCGCCAGCTCGTCGACGCGACTGCTGAGCGCTCTGAGCACAGACGACGCGGCACCGTCGTCGTCGCCCCTCGCGGACAAGTCCAGACGGAGCAGCGTCCGCAGATCCAGCGCCAGACCCGTACCGACAATCCCCGAAGACGACGAGCTTCACGAGCCGGCGCCTGAGCAACACTCCGACACCGAGCCACCCCAGCCGGAGCCGGAGCTCGACGACGACTCACCGGCCGAGGAGATTGGCGCAGAAGAGGCGGCCAACGCGCTACGCCGACCGAGACTCACTAGCAGTCCCGAGCTCGGCTCCGCAGACGTCGCAGAGGCGCCGCCGAAGCGGCCACGCGGCCGGCCCAGCAAGAGCCCCGCCAAACAGAGGCAGCCGGCGCGCAAGCCCAAGGCAAAGGCACAAGCACCACGGCGCAAACGAACCGCCAAGGACGATGTCGACGACGATTCCAAGGACGGCGACGCCATCGAGATCACGGTGCAGCGCTTCGTCAACCACAAGCGGCGCGACAGCTCCGACCCGCTGCAGACGGAGATTCCGTTTGCCAACCGCAGCGGCGAGACAGTCGTCGACGTGTTCGCCCAGGTCTGCGACGAGGTCATTGCCACGACGCTCGCGCAGTTCGAACAGCTCCTGGAAGAGGCAGACAATGCCAAGAAGAAGGAGTACCGCATCAAGATGCGCGCCATCGAGGCGTACAGGGAGGAGCTCAACTCGCGGCTGTTGCAGCATGTAAGTCTCCGCTGCCCCGGCGGCACGCGCAGGTACTGACCCCGCAGGCCATACACTTGGATCACTGGCACTCGCTGCGGAAGCAGGTGCGCCAGGCGCAGAAAGAGAAGCTCTCTCTGCGCGACGAGATACTGCGCCTCAGAGGGGAGAGGGAGCAGGTCGCTCTGCGAATGGACGCAATCCGCGTCAAGCACGAAGCGGAGAGCCAGGCATCTACGGTACGTGCACCGACCGCACCCCCTGCGTACGCGGCTAACAGCACAGCGCCGCATCAACGCCTCGACGCTCATGCACGACATCGATCTCGCCGTCGAACAAGGACAGGGCGCCGCGGAGCTGTCTCGCGCGGCGCAAAAGGCGGCCGACCTCGGCAACCTGGACCTCCTCCTTGCGCGGGTCGTCGACGAAGCCAGTTCGGCCAGCCCAGCAGGCGGCATGCTGCGCCAGGTCACAGAGTTCAACGCCTTGCTGGAACGCGCCGCGCTGGCCCTCGAATCGAGATAGTCACCCGGCAAGGCACTCCTGTGTCCCAATCAAAAATGTAGCTTTACTGCCTAGTTGATCTTGGCCTTGGAAAAGTCCATCTCGGGGTGCTGCGCCTGAAACTTCTTGAGGATGTCCATCTTCTTCTGCTCGTCCGACGTGGGCAGGCCGGCCTCCTTCTGGCGCTGGTCAAACATCATCTTCTCTACCATGCCGCGCGTCTCGCCGTCGAGGTCGCTGAGCTTGGAGCTGTCGGGCTGGATCTTGGTGACGTCAATCTTGGGCGCCGACGTGACGACGTGCGGCCACCACTCCATCTTGTTGGCCTTGTCGAGGTGGATCTCGACCGTCTTGGTGCCGTCGCTGTTGGACGAGAGGGTCCAGGTGGAGTCGTCGACGAGGACGGCGTGGGGGAGGTCGCCCTGGGGCAGTCAGACGGGCCGCGGGCGTGAGCCGGGAGAGGGACGGGTTACCTTTATAACGGGGTCCTGGCCCCTGATGCCGGCCGAGAGGGTCTGCTTCTTGATCTCGACGACGAGGTCGCGCGACTTCATGTTGCCGGGGACGTTAAAGGTGACGTCGACGTCGGCGATGGTCTGCTGCCACTTGTACGGCAGGGCGGCCTGCTCCTCGGCTTCCCGGGCGCGGGCGGCCGCCTCCTCGGCCGGGCTGGGGTCTGCTGCAGTTAGAGCAAAGCCATTCCTGGCTGTTGGGCGCCCACGTACCCTTGATGTCGGCCATGTTGTTTTGTGCTTCGTCAAGAAACAGTTGATGCGGCCCGCTTCTGGTGGAGGGGCAATGATGACAAAGCGGGAGCTTTATCGATAAACAGCCGTCAACCTCGCCGCACCTCACCTCGTCCGCCTCAACTCCAACCACCTCCTCCACCTCGTCAACCAGCAATCATGTCGCGGGTCTCGGTGCGCCACGGCTCAGGCGCCGCGCCCGCCGACGACGAGACGTGCCCGGTGTGCAAGACGACACGCTACTTCAACCCGGACATGGAGTTTCGTGTCAACACGGAATGCTACCACCTCATGTGCAAGACGTGCATGGAACGCATCTTCAAGGACGGACCTAATCAGTGCCCCTATGCCGAATGCAACAAGACGCTGCGCCTGCGTGGGTTCAAAAAAGCCTTCTTCGGCGACCTCAAGGTCGAGCGCGAGGTGGACATTCGCCGGCGCGTCGCCCAGGTCTTCAACAAGGTCGAGGATGACTTTGAGTCGCTCGACGCCTACAACGACTACCTCTACATGGTCGAGTGCCTGACCGACGACCTCGTCAACGGGAAACCTGACGCCCGCGCCCGCGCCGAGGCCCAGCTCGCCGAGTGGGAGGCCCAGCACCGCGCGGACATTGAGCGCAACAGGCGCCTCGCGCGCGAGTCGGACGAGGCCCGCCAGAAGCGGCTCGCCGCCGAGCAGGACGCCGCGCGCCAGCGCCGTCTGCAGGAGCTGCGGGACGACGCCGACGAGCGGGCCAGCGCGGCGCGCTTCCGCGAGGAGATGCTCGACTCGCTCGCCAACGCCGAGGTCGGGCACGCGGGCGAGGCGGTCGACCGCGTGCTGCTCAAGAAGCGCGGCCAGCAGCGCTCCCAGGCCGCTCTTCAGGCCGCCGCCGCCGCCGCCGGTGCGGGTGCCGGTCTGTCAATCCGCGGGCTGCGCGACAAGACGCGTCCCGCCGCCGACGACGGCAAGCCGTATGACCCCTTTGGCGGGCTCGACCTGGCGCCATCAAGAGTCGACCTGTCCGAGGACCGCCTGGGTGGCTACCACAGCGAGTGGGTCGACGTGATCCGCTCCAAGGACGAGTACCGCGTGGGCGGGTACAGCGCCGACGAGTACATCTCACGGGCGCTGTTCGAGGCCTTTTCGGGCCTGGGCGTGTTCGTGGCGGAGGACAAGGTGGACCGCGACATCTCGACGGCGGGTGCGCGCGAGGCGGCCATGGTGGACGTCTGAGGGGTGGTGTGTTTGCCATGGACGAATCGTGACAGGTGCATTACAAAGGGCAGCGGGTGGAATTTCTGGGGCGTCTAGACGGTACGGCGTTTGGGTCTGCGGGCGTTTGGGCGTGGGCACGGCGTCTGGGTATCCGAGTCAAGGTCATAACATTTCCGCATAGCTACTGTCTAATAGAAAGGTGCTCATCGGCTCGCGTAACATACAGTCTGTCCCAACGCCTCGCTGAATGCGATCCAAACACACACACACACACACAAGGGCCACCGGCCCGCTACTGCTGCCACGGCGTCTGCTGCGCCGGCCGCGGGAACACGGGCGTCGTCGGGAGGTGGTCGAGCCCGCCGCCGATGGGCGCCTGGTTGTGCTGCCACCCGAGGCCGGTCGCATGGTTCACAAACGCGCCGTGGCGGAACGGGTTGGTGGTGCCTGTCGGCTGCGGCGCAAGCTGCTGCTGCTGTTGCTGCTGCTGCTGGTCTGGCGACGGCAGGTTCCGCGCAAAGGGGTTCGTGCCCGTCGGCGCCGGCTGCAGGGGCGCCGGCTGCGGCTGGAAGGGCGAGTTGCTGTTCTGGGGCGACGACCGCGCAAATGGGTTGGTGGACTGGCGGTTGAGCGTTGGCGTTCCGGTGGGCGAGCTGTAGGGGCTGCCGGTCTGCTGGACGAGCATCGACTGCCGGAACGGGTTCGTCCCCGTCTGCATTGGCTGCAGGCCCGTCGGCTGGTTCATCATCGGCATCTGCTGTTGCTGAAGCTGTTGCGGCTGCTGAAGTTGTTGTGGCTGCTGTTGCTGCTGCTGTTGCTGGAAGCCCTGAAAGTCCGCCACCGTGTTCTGCGGGATGGACCCGAGGGCGCCGGGCTGGAACCCCTGGGGCTGCGGAGTGAAGCCGCCAAAGCCGGCGCCGGTAAAGTTGGGCTGCAGTTGAAACTGCTGCTGAGGCTGCGGCTGCTGCTGCGGCTGCAGTTGCTGCTGCGCAAAGGTCTGCTGCCACGGGTCGACGAAGCCCGTCTGCTGCGCCACCTGCGGGGGGGGCTGCGCGAAGCCGTTGCCAAACTGCATGGCCGGCTGCGGCGCCTGTGTCGGCTGCGGGTTGACCTGCATCGGCGTCTGGTTCTGCTCTATCGAATCGAAAAAGTCGATGAGGTCCGGGTCGGGCCCCTTGTTCGCCTGCGGCTTCGACTCCGCCCTGGCCGCGCCGCCGCCGCCGCCGCCGCTCGTCGGGAACGGGTTGTTGGAGGCTGGCGAGGGCTCGGGAAAGTCTTGGGCGGTCGCGGGCTTGGGCTTGCTCGTCTTGAAGCCCTTCTTCTTGGCGTCCTGCTCGGCGAGGTACTGGCGCCGGTGGATCTCAAAGTCGGGGTCCTTGAGGTAGTCCTCGAGCTGGCGGCCCAGGTTGACCGGGGCGTGCTTGAGCTTGGGGACCTCGACGCGCGTGTGGTGCTCGTGCAGGCGGGCGACGCTGAGGTACTGAACGACGGCGTCCGTCTGCCGCGTAAACGTGCGGTAGATTTCCATAGCCCTCTCCGCATCCGTCTGCGACATTTCAAAGAAGTGGCCTGCCAGGGTCAGCGATTGCGTCGTCGAAGCGCGCGGGCAGCCAACGAACCCAGAATGTTGATGAGCCCCTGGTTGAGCACCTGGAACAGCGACAGCAGGTCCATGACCAGCAGCCGGAACACGGCGATTGTGATTTCGTTTTCGGGCTCCGTCTCGAGCACCTGTGTCTGTCAGCGGAACGCGTCATCGTTGCGCGAGGCATTGAGCGGCGTACGTTGCACTTGACGAGCGCGGCGAGCTGCCGCTGGACGCTCTCCGTCTCCCGCAAGAGTCCCTTTTCGACCGTCACCTTTTCGAGGCGCGACTCGGAGGCGCGCACCCAGTCGGTGCGGGTGTCGCGATACGAGCGGGCGCGCTCCGAGAGGTAGGCGGCGTAGTGGCGGATGTTGCGGCCCTGCGTTTGCGCTGTGACGGTCAGCCTGGGTCCTCGTGCCCGCGAGACTCGGGGCCACGCTTACCATCGGAGAGGTGGTCCAGCGAGAGCATGTTGCGGTGCTTGGCCAGGAAGGCCAGCGTCACGTCCGGGGAGCCCTCGCGGATCATGAGGTGGACGGTGATGAGGCTCTTGAGCACGACGGTCCACGTGGTATCGCGCAGCCTGTGCTGCAGGGCGCGAAAGACCTCGCCGACGCCGGCATCGCCCGAGTGCGTGGCGACGAGAATGTGCTCAATGTACTTTGTCTTGGGCGGCGCATTCTGGGGGCAGGTCAGGTCAGCGAGCGCGCGGGCGCGGGTGCGGCTCCGGAGGGGGCACGGCCGCCGTCAATCGTGTCTCACCTTGATCTTGGTGGCGCCCTTGACGGACTTTTCGAAGGAGCTCGACATGGTGCCGGCGCCGCGAGGGTCGGGTGCGCGGTGGTGTCGGGGGAACTGGAGGCGAGGACGCAGATGGCGGGTTGACGGCGGGTTGACGTCGGGCTGGGCGGAGGCGCGGGTTGAGCTGCAGGCTGTGGAGGCCCGAAGCGGCTCCACCGCAACGCACGTCACCACCTCCAGCTGGCCCTGGCCCGGCGGCTGGGCGGCGCAACACCAGCTGCAGGCAGATGTTGGGCCTACGGGTTTGTGAGCACAACCTAGGTGACGGCAATCGCCGCAGCAGGGATGCAGGAATTCGTGGGAGTGATGGACTGCGGGATATGGCGAGCCGCGGGCTGTGAAGCACGCACGGACTGCGCATCGGGGCGGACTAAGTCTGGTAACACAGCACTGTCAAACTTGCAGCACGCAGATCACGCAGCGGCAGCCAAGTCGACACTGGGTTGTGCCATTTTGACAACGACCAGATCTCCTACGTAATTCTCAACAATTCACGCGTAAATCCACCTGAAAAGTCGGCGGGCACGGGCGTCGTTGCCATCGCTGATTCGAGTCAGGGAGTCCTCAATCAACTCGCAGTCCACCATCCATGGATGGCACTGGCCAACGATGAGCAGGCCTCCAGCACGCTCCCCGGCGGCAGCAACTCGACTGCCACGACACCCAAGCCGGGCACGAGACGGCCAAGCTTGACAAACAGCAGGGCAGATCCTGCGTGGCAACCAGGTACCTAGCTTCCAGGCTAAATGCAAACGATGCTCCATGCCATCCCTCCCCGAAGTTGGACCCAATTCAAAAAATCAGAGTTGTTTTCTCGCGTCCGATGCTGTAACAAGGTCGTGTCGGACGCCCATTTCATAGTGCCGCCGTCGTCGCCCGCGACCCTGAAGCCCGAAGGAGAGTCTACGAGGTCGGACGACGGCACGCATCATTTTGGCACGCGGTTCTCATCACGGTTGTTGAATGGAAGGGTCATGAGGAGAAAGGAAATTTTGGCGGGAGCCGCGGCGGCAGAAATTTATTATGTAGGCGGGTCGGCGCCCATTTTTCCGGGCAGCCTGGCTGGCGTACCCGCACTTGAGCACAAGCTACGCTGGTGCATGACCAGTGCGCACGCTCGCTTGGGACGGAGCGCCATCACTTCACCGAGCTTCATATCCACGGCAAACACGCATGGCGTCCGCAATTGGCGCCGCGCTGCGTTGCAGGGCCTGCGCGCGGGCGGCTCTGCCATGTCAGGTTCGATTGGCAAGCACGCAGGCGTCCCGGCGGGCAGAGCTCGTCGACAAGTTCAACAGCTGTAAGTGCATCTCGGCCGATCGTCGTCCCACCAGCTGACCGGTCAGACCGCAGCGACCAGGCGCCCGTGTGCGGCTTCATCGGCAAGCGTCGCAACGTCGGCAAGCACCTGTCCTTTGCCGACCTGACCACGCCGTCGGGTGAGGTCGTCCAGGTCTGCTCCAGCGCCGACACCGACGCCGCTGCCCACGAACGCTTCCGCCAGATCCCTGCACTTGCGCCCGTCTCGATCCACGTCCGCGATCCCCCGAAGTCCGAGCAGCCGGACGATGGCAAGCGCACCGTCTACCTGCGCGACATACGGGCCCTGAACAGCGTCCCCAAGGACCTCATCGTCACGTCCGACGTCCAGTTTCCGCAGACCAAGCGCCACCTGCAGATCCGGTTCCACCCCGAGCTGCAGGCGCGCCTGCGCTTTCGGTCGTGGCTCAAGGGCGCCTTGAACACGGCGCTGCTAGACAAAGGCTTCGTCGACGTCGAGACGCCGACGCTGTTCAAGTCGACGTCCGAGGGCGCCCGCGAGTTCCTCGTGCCGACGCGCCAGCGCGGGACGGCGTACGCGCTGAGCCAGAGCCCCCAGCAGTACAAGCAGGTGCTCATGGCGAGCGGCATCGCGCGCTACATGCAGTGGGCGCGCTGCTACCGGGACGAGGACCTGCGCGCCGACAGGCAACCCGAGTTTTCGCAGCTCGACATGGAGTGGGCGTTTGCGGGCGCGCAGCAGGTCAAGGACGACGTCACCGACATTATACTCCGGGCTCTCACGCAGCTGCCGCCGCAAAGCTACAAGGACATTCGCGGCGAGACGATACCCGTCGCGGGTGCGGGCGACGAGCCCCTCCCGGGCGACCAGAGTGCACAACAGGCGCACGAGATGAGGACAATCACTTTCGCAGAGAGCATCGCCGCGTACGGCGTCGACAAGCCGGACCTGCGGATACCGAACCGCATCCACGCCATCCCAGACCTGGAGCCCTTGCGCAACTTTGTCGGCATGATTACGCATCTCCCGGACCCCACGGTCGAGGTGTTTACGTTTCCGCTGGACTGCTCGCCGACAGAGGCCCGCGCATTCGTCAACAAGTTCATGGACAGCCTGCCGCCCGCGCTGGGCGAGAACCCGGACGGCAAGCCGCAGATCCTGATTCACGATTCGAGCCAGCCTCTGAGCGGCTTCTCGTCGCTGGGCTTCGAGTACCAGAGCGTCTTGGACCTTGCCGGCAAGGACATCAAGGACGGCGACCTGGTCGTCTTCCAGGCGCGAGAGAAGCCGTCGGGGCAGTATTGCCTCGGCTCGACGAAGCTGGGCGAGCTCCGAGGCATGCTGTGGAGGGCGCTCGTCGACGAGGGCCACATGCAGAGGCCCCGGCTCGGCGACCCGGGCTCGCTGCAGTTCGTCTGGGTGACCGAGTTCCCCATGTTCAAGCCGGTCGAGGAGGGCGAGCCGGGGCAGGGGACCGCTGGCATCTCGGCCTCACACCACCCCTTCACGGCACCGCTGTTGGCGGCGGACCTGGAGCTGCTCTTCACGGACCCGCTGCAGGCCAAGAGCGCCGCCTACGACCTGGTGCTCAACGGCGTCGAGGTGGGCGGGGGCAGCGAGCGAAACCACATCGCCGAGGTGCAGGAGTTCATCATGCGCGACGTGCTGCGCATGACGGACGAGCGCGTCGCCGACTTCCGGCACCTGTTCGAGGCGCTGCGGTCCGGGTGCCCGCCACACGCGGGGTTCGCCCTGGGCTTCGACCGTCTGGTGGCGCTCATGACCGACACGCCGACGGTGCGGGACGTCATGGCGTTTCCCAAGACGATGAAGGGGGAGGACCCGTTTGTGCGGTCGCCCAGCAAGCTGCGGGACGAGCAGCTGGCGCCATACGGGCTGTGCCTGAAGAGGTAGGCGCGTCTGTATAATGTATAGAAAATGTACAATATGTATTGCTAGAGATTGGGAGGCCTATAGAGTAGACTCGGTAGAGTGGCTAGAGCAACTCCAGTCAATCCGTGGATCATTGTCCATGGCGCGGGGCGTCAATGGTGTGGCGGACAGTGGGTGGATAACAGTGGGTCAAGTGGTGCCTCTGCGCTCACCGCCAAAAATTCAGAATTCTGCCACTCGACAGGCACCCCAACTTTGTGCGGCGCTACCCACTTTGCTCGACCTCAGCACGTATCACCATCACCATCACCATCACCAACACATCCACCATGTCGTCGATGCGCAACGCCGTCCAGCGGCGGCCGCACCGCGAGCGCGCCCAGCCCCTCGAGCGGCGGCGCCTCGGTCTCCTCGAGAAGCACAAGGTGCGAATGCGTCCCCCCGAAGCCCGCCGATGACACCCCCACTGACCTCGCCCAGGACTACTCGCTCCGCGCCCAAGACTACAACAAGAAGCAGAAGCAGCTCAAGGCGCTGCGCCAGAAGGCGGCCGACCGCAACGAAGATGAATTCTACTTTGGTATGATGTCGCGCAGCGGCCCCGGGGCGCGCATCAAGGGAGGGCGGCGCTGGACCGGCACAGTCGACGGCGACCGCGGCAACCGCGCCATGAGCGTCGACGAGGTGCGCCTGCTCAAGACGCAGGACATTGGCTACGTGCGCACCATGCGCCAGGTCGTCGCCAAAGAAGTACGCCGGCTGGAGGAGCAGGTGGTGCTGACGCGGGGCCTGGACCGGCTGGACGAGGACGAAGACGACGACGAGGCGCTCGATGACGAGGACGAGGACGACATGCCGATGCCGACCAAGCCCAAGGCCCCGCGCAAAATTCTCTTTGTCGACGACGAGGAGCAGCGGGACGATGCAATGGAGGATGCGCTGGAAAAGGCAGAGGAGGAGGAAGATGACGAGCCCGAGGCGGCGGCCGACGACGACGACGACGACGACCCCGAGTTCGAGCGCGCCAAGGCACTGCGGCGGCTGAAACGACAGCTGGACAATGCACGCAAGAAGCTCAAGGTGCTGACGGACACGGAGGAGAAGCTGGGCGTCCAGCGCTCCAAGATGGCCAAGACGGCGACGTCGGGCGGCAGCACGAGGAGGGGCAAGAAAATCATGGTGCGGACACGGAAGCGATAGACGGGCACGGCACACAGGAGTCTCGGAGTTAATCTTGGTAGCATTCCCGGCATGTCATTAGTATTTCGATCCCACGCACTTGTACAGCAGCTTGAAAACGCCCGCCACGCACTTGAAGGCAATGGTCAGCAGCCACACGACGCACTTGAAGAGCCCCTTGCAGAGCTTCACGACGGCGCGCAGCACCAGCGGCAGCTTCGTCTCCCCGCCCTTGAGGCTCTCCTGGCTCTCCACGTCCATCTCGAACTGCTGCATCTTGCGCTTGCCGCTCGTCGCCTTGCTGAGGCGGCTGGACCCGCGCTCGGCGGCGAGCACGGCGGCCGGCGGCGGCGGCGGCGGCTCAAACGTCTCGACGGGCGCGGGCGAGTTGCGCTCGTCGGCCGACGCGACCAGCAGCAGCGCCGCGACGGCCACGTCGACGACGTAAAACGAGTCAATCTGCGCCGCGACGCCCGTGTCGAGCTCGATCCAGCCGCCGCCCGTGCCGTCGCGCGTCAGCTTGGCCAGGTGCCGCGGCGACTCGGTGTGCTCGAGCGTGTACTCGACGCGCGAGTAGGCGGGCGAGCGGTCGATGGTGACGCAAAAGGGCTTGGCCAGGGCCTGGTGGACGACAAAGTGCGTCGCCGTGTCCTCGTCCCAGACGAGGCGGGCGCACTCGTTCTCGGCCATGTCGACGGCCGCGGGGTCGCCCGCCCTGTCGACGGCCATGCGCGCGGCCGGCGTGGGCATGAGCAGGGCGACGAGGCCGTCGTTGGGCGGGCGCCGCCGCGACTCCTCCTCCAGCGTCGTCGTCAGCGCCTCGTGCCAGTTCTTGGCGCCGCCCGGCGAGCCGTCCTTGTGCGGCTTGGCCGGGTCGTGCCGCGAGAGCGTGACGTAGGCCGACGCCGACGTGGGGTCCAGGCGGAGGTTGTAAAAGGGCTGCGCGCCCGCCGACGACAGCGTGTACACGGGGGCGTCGCGGGCCTGCGACAGCTTCAGGCAGAAGACGCGGCCCTCGGACGGCGACGCCTTCCACCCGTTGGTCGTCTTCCAGAGGCTCTTGAGCTGCTCCGTCGTGCACGCCTCGGGCACCACGGGGGGCTCGAGTGCCTGCTGCTGCTGCTGCCGCCCATGCGGCGGCCACGTGCTGCCGGGCGCGAGCCGCGGCCGCGGGCTGTGATGCGTGCTGTGATGCGTGCTGTCCGGTGGCGGGGACGGGAGCGGCTCCTCGTAGTAGGACTGGCGGCTGATGACGGCGCGCGGTATCCGCGACGGGCTCAGCTGGGTCGGGCCATACTGCTGCTGGCCGAGCGGCACCTCGGGGTTGTACGTGGGGAAGATGGACCGCAGCGCCTGCGGCGGCGGCGCCGAGTCGTCGCGCAGGGGCAGCTTGGCGATGGAGCTCCTCGACCGCACGCTGCTGCTCCGGACGAGCGTGTTGGCCTGGGAGAGGCTGGTGTCTGTCTCTTATACACATCTAGATGTGTATAAGAGACAGCTGCTGCTCCGGACGAGCGTGTTGGCCTGGGAGAGGCTGGTGTCGGTCCGGGGCGGGACGTCGGCGAGCTGCCTGGGCTGCTGCACGGGGGGGCGGACGTCTGCGGCTCTGGGGGGTTGCTGTTGTTGTTGCTGTTGTTGTTGCTGCTGTTGCTGCTGTTGCTGCCGTTGTTGCTGCTGCTGTTGCTGCTGCTGCTGTTGCTGCTGTTGTTGTTGCTGCTGTTGCTGCTGTTGCTGCTGCTGCTGTTGCTGTCGTTGTTGCTGCTGCTGTTGATGGTGGTGTTGTTGCTGCTGCTGCTGCTGTTGTTGATAGTGTCGTTGCCGCTGCTCCTGCTGCTGCTGCTGCACCACCACGGAAACGTCTCGACTGCCATCCAGCGGCCAGTTGTCCGCGCGAGGCTCCACCTCGACGGGCACGCTCCTCGCATTCTGTGGCGGCGTAATCTGCAGCGACGGGCGAGGCGGCCGCGACCGCGACTGCGAGCGCGAGCGGGAGCGCTGCTCCGGCGTGGCGACGCGGTCCTGGCCCTGGGCCTGCGGGCGCTCTCGCGACTCGGACCGGCGAACGCGGGGCTGGGAGTTGGGGTTCGGGAAGAGCGAGAAGCTCTCCTGTCGTTGAGGCGACATGCTCTCGCGGGCGACCGGCCGGCCGGGCGAGCAGACAGAATCCTTCTTCCGGAGCCAAGCGGCGCGACTCACGACTGGAGGCTCTACTGCACGGCTTCACGGGGTCGCGTCGTCGTTCATCCCGGGTCGACACCGCGGGTGGAGGCAGGGGAAAGCAAGGCCGCAGCGACGCAGGCGGAGGAGAGGGGGCATTCTTTTACGGAATCTACATGCCACCACCTCGACGGCCACTGCGCGTCTACCCATCTAAAGATATACATGCATCGGCCACGAAAGTGCAGCTCGGGCAGTGGTGAAGCTGCATGGCGAGCGCTTCCAGCTCGAATCGGGCCACAGGCGGGGGCGTTCCAAGGCTTCAACGGTGAGTGAGAGACAGACGGAGAGTGGGCGGGCGGCCCCAAAATAGCCCGCCGGGAATCTGCAGGGGACGGGCCAATGGCGGGCGGCATCACACGCTGCACGCTGCAGCTACGCGCCGCCCGCGCACACACGTTCCGCGGGGACGCATCGAGGGGGGCTCGTCATTGGTGGTCGGCGGGCGCTTGTTGCCGCCGTGGACTGGCTCTCGGTGATGGTTGATGGTGGATGGCGGCTTGCTTGCGGTGGGTGGCCGCTACGTGCGTGGGCGCTGGGGGATGGCTGGATGGACGCCTGGTTGTCGATCTGCTGGCCGCCGGCGCAAAGAGCCGCACTCGGCTGGCATGGACTGATTGCTGGTTGCTGGACGGTTTGACAGGGTGCCGGTTGGGGCCGCTGCAGGGTTGCGCATCGGCAGCGATCCTCGTTGAGGCTGTCGGGCGGTCATGTCTCGTAGGATAGCGTGTAAGTCGGCAGTGGCAGCACTGGAGAATTGGACAACACCATTCCCGGCCGAAACCCAGCTCGCGAGTCACGATCAGCCATCTCCTTTGCGCTTACGCACCTTGGTCATCTAGGTCCGAATCCACCTGCCCATCTCGTACCTAGACAGACTCCCGCGTCCCCAAACGTATCGTCGTCGCTGATCGCTCCGGCCACAGGCCCCGACCAAGACCGGCGACCGACGGAGCCGATGCGGGGCTCGGCACCGGTTCCCGAACGCGAGCCGCCGGCCGTCCACTTATAGCGGCCCGCGCAGCACGCGCGATGCGGACCTCAATCGCAGCACGCAGTGACGCCTGCCAAGACACAGACCAAAAATGCCACAGATAGTCGTCGTAGGGTGAGTCGAGCCCTGGCACCCTCAAGTTTCGACCCTAACCCGTCCGTCCAGCGCCGGCGTCATCGGCCTCAGCTGCGGCCTGCGCCTGTTGCGCGCCGGCCACCGCGTCGCCATCGTCGCCCGGGACTTTCCCGTGCCGTTCGAGACGGCCAGCGCCATCAACTACACCTCGCTCTGGGCCGGCGCCCACAACCGCTGGAACCTGCCGACCACGCCCGCCGAGGAGCGCGACCACGCCATGGCTCGCCAGACCTACGCCCACATGGAGCGCCTGGTCCGCACCAACCCCGAGTGCGGCGTCACCTTTACCCCGGGCATCGAGTACTTTGAGGACCCGCCGGAGGCGTACCGCGCCCTCGACGCCCGGCGCGCCGAGGAGCTCGGCTTCGAGGGGTTCCGCAAGCACGCGCCGGAAGAGCTGCCGGAGGGCGTGGCCCTGGGCTTCGAGTACCGCACCTGGTGCGTCAACCCCATGGTGTACTGCATGTTCCTGCTGCGGCAGTTTTGTCTCGGCGGCGGCACCACCGCGACGATGGAGCTGCGCCATCCGCACGAGGTCTTTGCCGCGGCGCCGTTCCGGTCCGCCGCTGCCGTCGTCAACTGCTCGGGCGTCGGCTTCGGCGACCCGGCCGTGTTCCCCACAAGGGGGCAGACGTGCGTCGTCGCCAACGGCGTGTCCGCGACCGTCACGCGCCAGAACAAGGACGGCTCGTGGACGTTTGCCGTGCCGCGCGGCTTCGACGGCGGGACCGTCATTGGCGGGACAAAGGAGCCCGACGACTGGGACCCGGAGCCGAGCCCCGAGGTGCGCGCCCAGCTGCTGGACCGCTTCGCCGCCACGTACCCCGCCGTCCTCGCCGACGGCCCGTACAGGGTCGTGCGCGACATCGTGGGCCGGCGCCCGACGCGCAGGGGCGGCATGCGGCTGGAGGCCGAAGAGTTGGGACATCGTCGGGTCGTGCACGCGTACGGCCTCGGCGGCCGCGGGTACGAGCTCTCGTGGGGTGTGGCCGAGGCGGTCCTCGCGCTGCTCAAGTAGTCTATTTCCCGCATCATCCGTATTGTACACGGTGTATTGTACATTTCCAAACGCCTGTCCCATGCTGCTGCTGTGATTGTTCGTCCGACGGGGAGAGTCCCCTCCCCTCACCTCCCCGGTATCGGGCGGTCCTTGGCGGGCATGCCGCCGACGCGCTCCTCGCTGTACCGCTTCTCCATCTCGCGCTGCCGCGACAGGCGCACGTCCTCGGGCAGCCCCCACCACTCGCGGATAAACTCCTCCTGCGCGGCGGCGACGTTGCGGTCGTGCTCGCGCTTGCGCTGCCGCTCGAGGCGCATGGCGAACCACTCCTCGCGCGCGGCGTCGTGCTCCTCGGGCGAGGCGTGCAGCTTCATGCAGCTGTTCATGGCGCGGTGCTCGGCGCGGCAGGCAAAGGACACGGAAAAGGTGCGGCCGAGGGCGCAGGCGGCAAAGGCTGTTGTGTGTCGGCGGTCAGTTGGGGGATCCCATAGTGTATGCCCGTTTTGAAGCTCCTGGCGCTGGGGGAAGCACAGCACGCACCTTTAATCTCGTCGGCGCACTGCTTGCGCACGCGGGCGTAAAAGATGTCGCGCACCTGGGCCTCCTGCGAGGCCGACAGCGGCAGCGGGTTTCGCGACGGCACGCCGAGGCGCTCGGGCTTGGGCGTTTCGGCCATGGCTGCCATGGTCGCTGGAGCATCGGGGATCTCGCCAGTGGTGACTGAGGCTGGGCTGATGGATCGCTGGACATGGTCGGCGGCAGAATTTCTCACCGCCCGGGCGGGCTACCCTGTAGCTCCGGGTCGACCATGAATTTGCGGCGTGCGGGCGCGCGAGGCCGCAAGAGGCTCGGAGAGATGCGCCCGAATCTCGAAAGAAGTGCCTCCAGACTACGAATGATTCATTGCAGGTGTCCGTCACAAGCCCTGTGTACAGGTGTTGCTCAATGGTATCGACTGAGTGGCTCGTGATCTCGCTTCATAATGTCCCCACTCCGACTTTTCCATCGACGTCTTCAAATTGACCAGAGCACAATTGGGCAAGCACCCGCTGCAACAGGCCGCCATATACCGTGCTGTAGTAGTTGTACCATTACTGTATGGCGTGCCAACGGCAACTCTCCGTCGTCGCGGCCAACCATCGGGAGCCGCCCTGCTCTGTATGGCGCATCCCGAACCCGTCGCCGCGTGATGTGGCGCGAGCTGATGTGGATGGCTTCCACAGGCCGAAACTGTCCCGCCCAAGAGGCGGAGGGTGGCTGCTCCATGGTATTGTTGGTCGGACAATGGGTGTCGCTCTCTCTCCGTCCTATGCACCTTGGGGCCTACCGGCCGCGCAGTGACGCCAACTCGTGGCCCCAGCTTCCTAATGCAGCTCTGCTTTCAATATTGCTTCGTCTCGCCACCAACAGCCGGCGCGGGAGGGTGACTCCCTCCACCTTTCCTCCACCAATTTCCGGACGGCGGTCGTCAGGATGGGCTGTGAAAGGGCGTCCGGGCATGCCCGCCATGGCTTTGATCCGTGCCGAGCTTCCAAGCTGGCGCAAGCACAGACTCACGCCTCATGTTGGCGTGACGGCTCGTGGGGTGGCCGTTCGGTCAGCTATATGAGAGTGGGCTCGTCAGGGCTGTATGCCTCCGTCAGTGAGCCCGTGTGTATAGATTGCGCTGCCACCGTCGTGTTTGGGACGTAGTCGACGTAGAACGCCTGCCTTGCTGCTTTTCTCCTCCCATCGTCTCCCTTCTCGGGAACCCAGCTATCACTTGACCAAGGCTACACGTCTATACTCACCGGCCCGGCCTAGCCAGAGCTCGAGATGCCGGCTCCGGTCCAAAGCGCCGTCATCATCCAGTCGCCCGGCCGGGCGGCACTGGTTCACGACCGGCCGATCCCACCCCTCCGAGACGGATACATGCGCATCAGGACGATCGCCGTGGCGGTGAACCCGTGTGACTGGAAGCAAGTCGATGGGCTCGGGACCCCAGGCGTCCTGCTCGGCTGCGACTACGCGGGTGTCGTCGAAGAGGTCGGGCCCGGGGTGCGCCGGCCGTTCCAAAAGGGCGACCGCGTGTGCGGCTTCGCCCACGGCGCCAGCACGACGTTCCCCGAGGACGGGGCGTTTGCCGAGACCATCATCGCCAAGGCTGACGTGCAGATGCGCATGCCCGACCATCTCAGTTTCGAGGACGCGGCAACCCTGGGAGTGGGCATCAGCACCGTTGCCCTCGGGCTGTATCGAAACTTGGACCTCACGCTGCCCGCGCGGCAAGCTCCCCATCGGACGCCAATCTTGATCTATGGCGGGTCGACTGCCACCGGTGTGGTCGCCATCCAGTTTGCGAAGCTGTCCGGCTACCACGTCTACACGACTTGCTCGAGGAACAACTTTGACCTGGTCAGGGGCTTTGGCGCCGACGTCGTGCTCGACTACCACGATCCTCGGGCGGCCAACCGGATCCGCCAGCTGTCCGACGATGAGCTAACACTCGTTTTCGATACCATCTCGGACGAAGACAGCGCCAAGTTCTGCCTTGACGCCATGTCGTCGCGGGGCGGCGACTACAGCTACATCAACGGGCTGTCGGGCGTGTCGTTTCCGGAAAACGTGCGCACCAGCTTCGCGGGCGCCTTCACCGTGCTTGGCGAGGGCTTCTACTACGGCGATGCCTGGTACGGCGCCGAGCCGAGCGACCAGATCCTGATGGAGAACATTGCGTGGCTCTCCGAGGACTTGCTGTCGAGCAAGGCTCTCCGTCCACACCGCGTGAGCGTGGGCCGTGGCGGCCTCAGGGGGGTGCTGGACGGCATGGATCGCCTGCGAAAGGGGCGCGTGAGCGGAGAGAAGCTGGTGTACAGGGTGGATGCTGCCCCGACGTGCAAGTTGTGAGTCGACGCTGGTCTCGGAAGAGGGCGTGCTTCGGGTGCATTTGGTGGGCGAGGTTCGTTGATTCAGTTCCAAGTCGACCACACCAATCTTGCGAGCGCTTGGCCCCCAAAATGGGCAAAAGAAGTCCAGACCCCAAACGTGTCCCAAGTGGTCAACATCAGTCACCTTCGGCTTTGTCCATCAGGGCCGACCCCGGAGTAGGGCGGAATACTCCTACAGATTGGCAAGGCAGACGGCGGCAGACTCTAGCAGCAAACGCAAGCCATGTATTAGACGCTGATACGACTATGCACCGAATCGCTGAAAACATGCGCAATTCATCATACGCTCAACACCCCTATATCTGCAGCACGCAACGCGGGCTGTACGCCAAACCGCCCCTGGTATCTCAAGCACACGACAGCCCGCTCGGGCCAACGTCCATCGCAGCCCGCTATTGCTGGTGATACTGCTGAGGCGGAGGAGACGCCGCCGGGGGCACATAGTTTTGCCCGTGCAGCTCCGGCTGCTGGTACGGCTGAGGCTGCTGCTGAGGATACGGCTGGGGCTGCTGTTGTTGCGGGTACGGCTGCGGGTACTGCTGCGCGTAATGCTGCTCTGGTGGACGGGACTGCGTCTGCGGCGGCGCGTACGGCGGCTGCTGCTGATACGGGCTCTGCGCCGGGGGGTACTGCTCGTACGGCGGGTGCTGCTGCTGCGGCGGCGGCCCCGTGGCCTGCGTCTGGACCGGCTGCTGGGCGACCATGGGCTGCTGCTCGACCTTGGGCTCGGCGCTGCTGCCGCTCGCGGGCGCGCCGATGGGGAAGCGCCCGTCCTTGCGACCGCGGAGGAACTGCACCAAGGTCCAGGCAAAGGTGGCGATGAAGAGCAGCCTTGGCTTGTCAACAAGGGGGGTTCTTCTCGCACGGGGAGAGGAGAAGACGCTCACCAGACCAGGGCACCGAGGCCCGCGGCGGCCGACATCTCGGCCTGGCCCTTCTTGAAGAGGTAGTCGCGCTTGAAGAGCGCCCTCTTGCGCAGGCAGCTCTTGCTGTTGACAATGTCGCCGTTGTCGTAGCACTCGCTCACGACGGCCGGGATGCGAAAGGTGGCGCGGCGGGCGGCCACGGCGGCCCAGGCGGCGAGCCACATGATGAGCATGAAGCCGTCAAGCACGACGACGGCCAGGATGTGGTAGCCGACGTTCCAGGCCGTTACCTTTTCGGTGGTGAGGGCATACGTGACGACGATCCAGGTGAGGACGGACTGGGCGAGGACGAGGTCAGTTACAACACGCTCCAGCCTAATAGGGTAACCGAAGTGGAAGGCAGGCAGGCGATGCATACCACGGCGATGGCGAGGCCGAGCTCGTCGAGGTACAGGTCGTGGGCAATGTCGGCCGAGAGCCCGAGAACGATGAGGGAGACGAGCACCTGCGCGAGGCGCACGGCAAACACCCACACGGGTGTCGAGAGAACATGCTCCGACATGGCTGGCTGCGTGCTCTGCGTGCGGCTACCGACGAGGGCTAATAGGGGGCCCGGTTGCTTCGTGCTACGCTCGACTGTCGACTGCTACCTTGGGTGCGTACGCGCATAGGGCTGGGCTCAGAGCGGCGGCGGCGGCGACGCGCGAGGCGGCAGGCATTCTCTCCTTATATGCTCATCTTCGAGTATGCATGCGAGATAGTCCCTGCCTTGCCAACCTAGGCCTCGAACAGAGCCGACGCCCGGGGTTGCATCAGCCGCCGAGGCGCACTCGCGCGCCCGCACCCGCAGCCCTGGCGGGCCCCCGATCTGCCTGGCTTCGGAGCAGATAGATGGGGGGGGGCTCATGGCCGTTGCGCGATGAGGCTTTGCACGAGCTCGGCTGCTGCAAGCCTTCGCAATAGTCTTCAGCCGCAGCGCGGTCGGGCCACGTCGGGCTGCGGCCCGCGGCGTGACTGGCTGGCGGGCGGGCGGCACATCAAATGGCCTGGAAGCGGCCAGGGTTTCACTGCTATCGGTCCCTGGTCGACGACGGAGGATTGTGGGCGCGCGCAAGGGCGTGGGAGTGACCTGGTTGCCGATGGCCGGCAGGCAGGCGAATCGAAGCGGGAGCGCACAAATAGCGCTACGATGGTATGGTTCAGTACAACGTCCTCTGCACTTGGTGGTGCGCGACATGTCCGACGGGCGGTGAGCCCGCGACTGCGCCGCAGCTGCAAGGGGAAATGTGCAACCGAACACATAATACTCCGTGCGGCGTGGAATCACAGTAAAGTCATTAGTCTAGTTGTTCGTGTTACAGACGCAGCGGAGGCATTCCGCCTTGCCATAATTCCCCATCCGGCGCCTCGTGAGGTCCCATGCACAATGATGTGGGCCTCATCTCGCCCTCGCCTCGTGCCGGCCGCTCAGCCGCTCCCGAGGCGGACCTGGCGGTGGCGGACCTGGCGGTGGGCAGGGGCCGTCGTGCGAAACGCCCACGGGCCGGGGCTGAATCCTCATGGAGTCATGGTCCTCGGCGGCGGCGGCGGACAAGCTCGCTCCCCACCCCAATGCTCGTGTCGTTCCGCCCGTTCAGCTGCTGCTGCCGCCCTCGTTGGGCCCGGCAATGAGCATCTTAATCACCTCGCCCTCCTTGACCTTCTTGAAGGCCTCCTCGGCCTGCTCAAACGGCACGACCGCCGACACGAGCTTCTTGACGTCGACCTTGCCGCTGGCGATGAGCTCGACGGCCAGCTCGTAGTCACCCGGCCCGTAGCGGAACGAGCCCTTGGCCGTCACCTCCTTGAGGCACATGGCCATGATGGGGAAGTTGATGTCGCTCTTGCCCATGCCACCCTGGACGTAGGTGCCGCCGACGCGCACGGCGTGCAGGCTCGTCTGGATCGAGGGCTCGGCGCCGCTCGCGTCGATGACGACGTCGGCGCCCCCCGGCAGGCCGGCGTGCGCGCGGATGGCGGCGGCGTTGTCCTCGGGCGACACGCGCCGCGACAGGTACGTGTGGGTGGCGGCAAAGTCGCGCGCAAAGTCGAGCTTGGACTGCACAATGTCGACGCTGACCACCTTGGAGGCGCCGTACGCGCGCGCGACGGCCGCGCACAGCAGGCCCACGGGCCCGGCGCCCATAACGACGACCGACTGGCCCGGCTGCACGGCCGCCTGCTTGACGATGTGCACGCCGACGGCGAGCGGCTCGACGAGCGCGCCCTCCTGCAGCGACACGTTGTCCGGCAGCTTGTAGCAAAAGTCGGCGGGCGAACGCCACAGGCCCGTGAGGGTGCCGTCGTGCGGCGGCGTCGCGGCAAAGATCATGTCCTCGCAGAGGTTGTACTTGCCGGCGCGGCAGGCGGCGCAGCGGCGGCACCCGTAGCCGGGCTCGATGGCGACGCGGTCGCCGGGCCGCAGGTGCGCGACCGCGGCGCCCGTCTCGACGACGGTGCCGGCCGACTCGTGGCCCAGCACCATGGGCTCGCGCACGACGAAGTGGCCGATGGCGCCGTGCACCCAGTAGTGCACGTCGGAGCCGCAGATGCCCGTGTAGTTGACGGCGACGAGCACGTCGTGGGGGCTCTCGACGGAGGGCTTGGGCCGCTCGGCAAACGTCACATCGTGCGGCTTGTTGAGGATGAAGGAGAGGTTCTGCGCCGCCGTCAGTCTTTGTTTCTGGGACGCAGGCTTGTGGGAGGGGTCAGTACCTTGAGCTCGTCCTTGTTGAGCGTCGGGGGCGCCATGCTTGCCGATTCGTCGTGTGACGTCCGAGGTTGGGTGGGAGCGACGACGATGATGCGAGACGATACGAGGCGGGACGAGTCGTCGCGGGGTCAGCGATGGGTGTTGCTGCTGGTGCTGGTGCTGGTGCTACCGCTGCTGGCTGGCCCCCGTCGCCTTTTATGCGTTGCAGGTTCCATGCGACGTCAATAGCCGCGAGCCCTCACCCCGCCTCGCATGTTGGTCAGTCGACTCGCGATGTTTATCCATCCCCGCGGCCGCCTCGACTCATCGCCAATGCAGCCGGAGCCGGATCGAGTGCTGTGTGGGGAGCGCAGCAGGTTCCGGCGGATGTCAATTCCATCCATGGATGCCAACGGGAGTGGCCATTTAGCCGGCTGCCGCTAAATTTAGCCGCCCCAATGGCGCTGCCGCGATCCCGCCCGGGGAGGGTTGCAGTGGATTCTTCAGTGGGCTTTGGCGAGCCCGGGCTGGGCCCTGGAACCCACCAGGGCAGCGCTAGGTGTGCCTGAATCGGATGCGTGGACTCGCCGTGGAGGCGGCGGCAGTGGGAGGTTCGGGGGCGCGACGGTCGACACACTCGACACAGGCACAACCTAGTCTGCGGATCCAGGCCCGCTGGTTCGTGCCGTTTCCCTTGGATTTCTTCGAATTGTTCCTGCAATGGCCAGCTGCCCGGTACGCGGCACGGAGTAGATGCCACCATGGAATGTCTTGCCGCCCCTCACCAACACCGAATGCCAGTCCGGGTACCTCCAGGGCCTGCCAAGCAGCCCCCCCAGTGCGCACTGCGCGCCAGCCAGCCAGCGAGCGCCTTACGATCTACAATTCCACACATCGCAGGCGCAGGCGATGGCAGCCGGCTCACTCACCGGTCAGCCTTGCGCCAGGCACAGTCCAATGTGCAGTCGCGCTTACGCGCCATGCGCCGTTCACGTTGCCGTGTTCCGTCACCTGCTGACTCTAGAATGTCCGCAGCTCCGTCTGCGGGCTGCAATGCTGTCCTCCCGTAGACGGCTTCGGTTGATAGCTTCGTCCTTGATGCTACGCACAACCGCAGCCGACCCTACTCTCGTGATGAAGCCAGCTGCACAGGTGGCGCTCTTCCATGGCCGCCGCGGCCTGGCTGTTGGGTTTCGGGTGGCCTGACCCGGCGCGATGAGCGTGCCCCCGGAGAGCAACAACAGAGCAACGAGGAGTCGTTCTGCATGGCTCTGTCAACGCCGTACCGGACGTTGGTGAGGGAAGACAAAGGGTACTGAGGTAGCCCTGTGAGCAATGCTCCTACGGCTGTCCTGTACAAAGTGTGGCTGCCGCCGAGTTACGCCTCGGCGCGAAGCTCAGACCGGTTTGAGCCGCCGTGCGCAAAGGCACCCCCCTCGCCAAATGCTTCACGCGGACGGTTCGATCGCACATTGCATATCGGAAGTAGTATTGCACAGACGAGAGCAGAATCGGCCACGTCGAGCCGCTGTCAAATTTAGCGTCGGCAGTTGTCAACCCTGGCCCTATACTGCAGATACGCTAGCTGAAGTTGTCCATTACATTTCGTGCCCTAGCTAAAGTTGTCCATGCATGTCGTGCCCCATCTCCGCCAAACGCGTCACCGGAGGTAGTGCTTCTCTTGGTGGCTGATGGAGTGCCTCCTCGTCGTGCTGTCCTCGGGGTAGTCGTGCTCAATCGTCGGCGGGCCGAGGTGCTGCGCGACGACCGACGGCGGCGCGTGCGCTGCGTCCCTGGGGTCGTGCGATTCACTGTCTCGTTAGCAACTGCGTGTCTCGAGTCCCGAGTCGCGGACATACCAAGTTGGCTTCGATGACGAGGATTCGGTGTGCTGTGGTGCCCGCTCGCCAGTCACGAGGGGCTCGGCGGCCCGGGTGCCGCTGTTGGGGCCGACAGTCTCCTTGAGCTTCTCGACGAGCTCCTCGGTCGTGTTGCGATTTTGTGAAGTCATTGTTGATAGCTTGGATGAATGTTTGTTATCACGTCGTCGCCTTGTGTTGGCTGCTGGCTGCTCACTTATATAGACTTGCGCACATGGCAAAAAGCCGCGGCCTCACACCCGCGGCATCAATGACGGCAGCGGCACCGGCCAAGAAGGGCGGTGCAGCACGCCATGCCATCACGGCTCGCGCATCGAGAGGTGCTGTGGTGGCTCGCCGGCTACTTCATCGCTCGTCATTGTGGACCGTTGCTCCAGTCGAGCGGCTTGGCGGTGGTGGCTCAACCCAAACTCTCGAGCCTTTTAACGTTGCCGCGCCAAGACGCCAGGCAGATGCCGCCCACAGGGGCTGGCTAGATAAGAAGCTGTGGCGGCATTTGATGGCTCGGGCATGTAGGATTGCCACCTGCGATATAGATGGTTCTCATACGCGCTGTCAACTTTGCCCACGTACAGCGACTTGACAGTGACGTCGTTAGTGCCAAACGCTTGTCCGAGTTTCGCCATGCCGAAATGACTCTCAATTGTGCGCTCTCCAGTTTGGTGGCCCCATGCCTCGGCTTGGCAGATCCCCCAGAATTTAGGCCGTGGTTGAGACTTGACTCTGTACGCTCGTTTGTGCATCTCCGACCCGCATCGGACCCAGGGACCAGCACCTGAAACCATGTCAACAGGCTCCCAACAGACAAGTGCGCGTCACTTGCCTCATAGGCCAGAATGGTTGATTGGCAGTATGCACCGGGTACACGTAGGCCGGCTAGTCCTACGTCCAGCGGTGAGAACACATCGCCAAGCGTCGTCTCGTGTTTCCTAGGCTCCTACCGTAGCAAGCAACTCCAGTTATGATGCGCTTAATCCCCCCCCTCGTCCTTCTTTCCGTCGGTAGCTATTCCGACGTGAAAGCATAGGGTTCCCACCTCACCGGAACGCCTTCAATGTACGCTGCACTTTGCAAGGAGTGAATATTCACAGCAATGGACCAGGCCGAAGCTAGTCCTGAAGACCGTTGTGCAGACTTGTCGCGTCCATGACCTTCTGAGCTTCCCCTCAAGAGCAACAAGTTGGCATGCTGTCAGGGGCTGACACCGAGAACTCCGTGGACAGTAATACAAGAGTGCCGAAGGATGATTCCGCAGTAGGCCGCGTCCTTAATCCAACTTCCACCAGTGCATGCCTGCTTTGGATTGGCCAGTTGCCCAGCTCCTGCATGCCCAACCGTCCGTCTTACATTCTACTCAACGCGCAGCGGCAGCTTGCAGTACGCCTGGGGTCGAGAGAAGTCGAACGCATGACTAGATCCTCCATGCAGTGAACGTGAAGTAGAAGCCGGCCTCCGTCGCCTATAAAAAGGGGCCATTGTCTGCAATCAATCCGTTTCGAACCTCAACAGACGTGCATACCTTGCAGGTACACTCTCCTTGCCGTCCGGCGCTCTACTGTGCTGACTTTTGGTAGACTTTCACGATGCGCTTCACCCTCACTTTTGTTGCCGCCACGCTCGTCGGCCTCGCCGCAGCCAGCCCGGTTACGGCCGACGCTGACCTTGACACTAGGCAGGAAGGTCAGACATGCGTCATTGGACGCGGCTGCCCCAAGGGGTATGTCTGCATTCCCAACGGTGATCTGAGCGTTCTTGGAAAGTGCCGCAAGTTGCCCTGAGAGCGGAGGCTTGAATCGCCGGCTTGTGCTGCACCGAAACCTCGACAGCAACAACTGGACGCAGATGCATAGCTCCATTAAAGAGTCTAGGTAGCTTGAAACCACTTACTTTGCTTTACAGCGGCCGCATCGCCCCGCTGGGAAACGGTTTAGCTCTCCATGTCATGTTGCATCGCGAGGTCGACAGTTTGTTACTGGACGCTCTGCATTTCTGTCTGTATTGCTTAAGATCTGAGCAGCGCATCCCAGATCTGCCAGTGATACAAACAGCAGTTTGCAGCGCAGTATCCTGATCTCGTCAACCGCGACAGGCTGCGTGGGACTCACCCGAGTCACACGACATGGCTCCTTCAATGTACGCTTCTGAAGCGACACGTGCCATCAACACGCAAGAATGGCTTCTGGCATTCATGTAGCCCAATCTAAAAATCCCGTGCGATATTCGGGATCGCGGGGGTGCTGCTGATCGAGCGTCCCAACTCCCAAGTCGTTTGGTGAGTTGTGGCTGTAGCTGCAGCCGCTGTAGGCGCCATGAGCCCATGACCAGCGAAATCCCCACCTGCGCCCCAGCCTGAATCATGGACTCGACCTCACTGCCTCACTTGGCAGCCGCCTCATCCGACATCCCGCAAACCCGCGTTCGATTCATCAACCTCGCCCGCGACTCATCCGAGTCATGAACGACGACATCGACAAGTCGCTGCTTGATCGGCTGCAGGCCCTGCGCGGCTCCAGCGCGACGCCAGAGAAGCCGCCCGCGCCCCCGTAGGCTGCCTGGCTCCCCGTTGGCGCTCCCCCACTCACGCGGCGTGTAGGATCAACATCGACGTGATTGAGAGAGCCAAGACGCCCACGCGAGAAGAGGCCCTGGCGGACCGCCTCCGCTCCCTCCGCGACCGCACAGAGTCGCCCTCGGCGCCCGCCAGCAAGGCCCCTCCCCGACCCTCGGCGCCCACTCCCATCGCGGCAGCTCAGCGCGGGCAGCCCCCGAGACCAGAGCCCGCGGATGAAGACGTCGACGCACTATTTGAGACGGACGACAGGACGCTCGAGGAGCTCCTGGGGGACGTGAATGCCGAAGAGCAGCCACCACAAACGACGGAGCCCAGAGATGAAGACGTCAGAGCCCTGCTCGAGGAGCTCTCGAGGTCCGTGCCCAAGGACGGCGGCACAGAAGCCCAAGATGAGAGGAGGGATCGCGAGGAAGATGGTGGAGGAGACTCGGACGACTCGGACGGTGAGCGGATGGGTCGAGAGGTGGACGACGTGATTGCCCGTTTTCGCGACGAGGCTGAGATTGAGGCCAAGCGCGCGCCAGAGCAGGATGCGCAAGACGAGGATGCCGATGAGCAAGAGGCCGGGACCGACGACGGTCCTCCCGAAGACCTGGACCTCCCGTCCCTGCCATCCAACCTCGATACGCTTCCCTCCAGCTCGCCTCCCCACGCCTCTCAACCCCGCACGCTCGACGACCTGACGGCCCGGATGGCCGCCCTCCGCGCGCCCTCGTCCCCCTCATCAGACCCATCGCTGTCCCTGCCATCAGTGCCCACGTCGAAGCCCGCCAAAGGCCCCAAGCGCCTGACGACCACGACGCGCTACACCGACGACGACGTGGACTCGTGGTGCACCGTGTGCCTCGAGGACGCCACGCTGCGGTGTCTCGGCTGCGACGACGACCCTTACTGCGCGCGCTGCTGGCGCGAGATGCACGTCGGGCCCGCGGCGGGGTTCGATGAGCGGAGCCATCGCGCGGTGCAGTTTACGAGGAGGAAGAAGAGTGACAAGGTGGCGGTCGGAGCATCGTGACATGGCAGCTCCGCATGGTGGTGGAATTGCCACACTTGGTCCCCGCGTAATGAACGTGGCCGAAGAGGTCACGAGCTTCTCTAATTAAGCTGTCGCCATGCGAGCTCAGAGTCACGATGCCTTTGACTGAGCCATGCTTGGTGATGACTGCTCTGCCAAGACCCAGGCACAACATTGTCATTGTTTGCCCATGCTTCTACATTGATCGTGAAGCAATGACGCCAGCAACTGCAGCAGCGGTAGCATCAGTAGCAGCGCCGGTGGCTAAGATATCAACTGCTGTCCGAGGTTCTTCTCCTCTAGTATCTAGATACCTACGACTTACACGCCGGGAACAACGTTTACTTGACCGGCAAGGCCCGTATTCGTCGTATAACAGAGGCACAACCCTCCGTGGACCGGTGCCGTCAGCATTGCCGAAGCGGCTGCCCGTCTCCGCACTTGGCACAGACCAACTAGTTGACCACAGGGCGTGTCTTGCTACATGTAATCCGCCCGAGTTTCCGCGACTCTCGTAAACACACAAAAATCTCCCGGTTTCTCGCAGCTTGAGGCCAGACGCAGTCATGGCTTGCGTTGCGAGACAGCCCCCTGATGCACCGCACAAGGCTCACAAACTTGCCGGCTTCCTGACGTCAGAGGAGGATCTGTTCATCAAGACTCATCTTGGCGAGCCCAATGTCGACGTCGCTAGCTGGAGGTTATCCGTGAGCGGCCACGTCGAACAACCATTGTCTCTTTCGTTCGACGAGCTGCTCCAGTTCCCGCAAGCAAAGGTCACGGCCTTTCACAAGTGCGCCGGCAGCCCGTTGTTCCCACTCGCGCCAACTCCGGGTGACGTTGGCAACGTCGTCTGGTCGGGCGTCCGCCTGTCCGACGTACTGGATGCGGTGAGGCCACATCGCGACGCGGCCTTGGTCTGGTCGAGCGGCCAGGACTTTGGGTCCTATCGCGGGGCGGATCCCCAGCACTTCGGCAAGGATCTGCCCCTGGAGCGGGCGCGGCGACCAGAGGTGCTCCTCGCCACGCATCTCAACGGCGAGCCTCTCACGCGACGCCACGGGGGACCAGTCCGGCTGGTGGTCCCCGGCTTCTACGCGACCAACTCGGTGAAATGGCTGCACTCTCTGCGAGTCGCGACGGAGCGCTCGCCAAGCATCTTTACGACCAAGTACTACAACGATCGGATCGAGCGCCCCGACGGCACTATCGCGACTGCTCCCGTCTGGGCGATTGCACCCGATTCCGTCATCATCTCACCGCTTCCAGGCGCGGACTGCGGGGGCAGCGTCGTTGTTTCGGGCTGGGCTTGGAGCGACGAGGAGATTGCGACGGTGGAGGTGAGCCTCGATGGCGGACGGTCCTGGCAGGCTGCCCGCTTGGATGCGCGAGAGGCGTATTCTTGGCAGGCGTTCCGGCTTGATGTGACGAGCCTGCCCTCCGGCTGCCATCGAGCTCTCAGCCGAGCGACGGACAGAGCAGGGAGAGTCCAACCGATCACTGGAGCACGGAATGCCTCGGTGCCAGTTGACATTATGGTCTCCGAATAACACAGACAGGGTGGTCTGTTGACGAGGCGTGCATCCGCGGATCAGCATAGAACCACCCTCCCAAAGTATACAGCTTCATACAAGCCTGTACATATGCCATCGCCAAGTCTATGGCCCTCGAACATGGAACTCGTCATTCAACCACCCACCCTTGTCATCCTTCCATGGCAGGCAGTCCCCGAGTGTCTTGTAAACGCTCTGCTGCGCAATGGCCCCTCGATGACTTACCGTGAGAGTCAGCCTCGCACGCTTCTCATGCTTTCACCAGGTGCATGCAACATTCACTTGTTGCACAAGCCCCGGGGGCTTTTGACAGCGCGCTGAACTTGGTTGAGAAATGCCGAGACGGAGTGCATGCACGTAAGCGTTGGCTGCAGTGCAGCTCGAGCAAGCGTCGGAAAGAACGGCACGGCAAGCGGCAATCCTGCGAACCTAGCATGTAAGCCGGCGTGAGACCCGACGACCCGAGCTTGTCAACAATCTCCCACACGTATAGTCAATGAGTCTGGGGGTCTAGTTGGCGACGTATGGGCGCAGATACATTCACTGACCACTTGTTGGGATTCGATACAAGAGGCAAGCCGTACCGGAGAAGTGCAGCTCGACCCAAACCCCGGCCTTGTAGTTGAATTGGAGCAATTGAACGAATAAAGCGCTGTGATCTTAAAGGGAGGTCGAGACTCGACAGAGGTCAAGCCAAGTGAGACAGTCAGAGGGGTATGCACTTTGCATGCGCGATGTGACAGTCATCGGCGGGCTGCACGGCAAACCGCTTCGTTGAGCGGCCTGCGGTCTGACAGACGCTGTGTAGCACCATCGGACTAGTTGTAACCGTTGGTGTGCCCTTGTAGGCCAGCTGAGAGACCAGCGTCAAGACTATTTAAGGCGCTGGACCGCCCTGGAAAAGAGCAGAACTGAGTTGCGCCCCGGAACAGCCATCGATACTGTGGCACGGTTCGCCCACTTCAAACTGCCTAACCGTTTCATCTCAAATCAACATGAAGTCTTCCCTCGCGCTGCTGGCATGCTTCTTTGGGCTGGCGTTGGCCAGTTCCGATGCTGCAGTGCCGGCTTGCAAGATTGTGCGTATAATCCTCTTCTTGTCCCCTTCCTTGCCAGTTGAGGCAGCGATGGAGCTGGATACTGACGTCTCTAGCCAAACGCTTCATGCGTCATTGCCTGTCCACAGAACAAGTGCCCGCCGGGAACCGCGTGTTGCACCACCGAGTGTGGCGGCCGCATTTGTGTAAGCAGCTCCGAGGCGCGGACGAGGTGCTGGAGCACAACGGCTAACGTTTGAGGCACACAGCAAAAGATTTGACGCCGGCCAACTCTTGGACTTGCTTCCGACATTTACTCACGCTCGCTCCTACGCTCTCTCGTCGTCGTCATAAGCTCATGCCACCGCCGGATCGTGTTATTGTAAGGGTGTGTTGGATGGGCCTGGCCAATCAGGGGTTCATTGTCTGGCAAAGAAGCACCAGTTTTCAATTGCCAAGCCCCTGCGAACACAGAACAAGTAGCAATGAACAAGACGAATCCGCTTCATCAACGAGACACAGCTGCTGCGAGGCCGCAAACTGCGTCATCGCTGTGTCATGTCTCGAGAACAACCTGTCGTCGTGACACCAGCCTTGTCTTGCCATAATTGCCATTTTCGGCATCAGCCCTGCATCCCCCGGATGGAGAGACAAGTCGACAGCCGTGAAGACGGGATGTGGGCCCGGACAACGGCCCATCTGTGGACGGGATGGAGCTGTTTGAGCTTCGCCGCATGGCATGCATGAGGTGGCCAAGGTGGGGCAGCGGCCTGTTGCTTCAGAAGTTCAGGCGGGCTGTTTAGCGCCGCGGGTACCTATCCCACGGACGGAGCCCTGCCGGCGAATCAGCCGCAACACACGCCCGCATAGCAGTCCGGCGCGACACGCATCACTGCGTCACGACGTTGGCACGCAGCCTGTTTTCAGGCTCCCGCCCGCCTGCTCTCACCACCAGCAGCTCGCCGTCCTCCCGCAACACCACATCACCGAGATCGCGACGACACGCAACACGCCCACGCCCGCGCCCCGAAACCGCCCTCGCCCTCCGCCCATCATGGCGGACGCAGGCCTCGTCCAGACCAGCCTCATCTGGGTCACGTACGCCGTCGCCGTCGGCCTGTGCCTCGTGGCCGCCACCATCACCGCCTTCACGTGGCAGGCGCCCCGCGACCGCTCCGCCATCGTCAGCGTCGTCGCCATCCTCGCCCTGACCTCGCTGCTCGCCACCGTGCTGCTGCTGCCCGTCGACATTGCCCTCGTCTCCGCGACCGGCTCCGCCTCGCTCGGTGCCAAGAAGCCGTGGGCCACGCCCGACCGCGTCGCCGCCATCCTCGTCCAGCTCAAGGCCGTCTACTACACCCTCTACAGCCTCGACGCCCTCCTCTGCCTCGTCGTCATCCCGTTTGCCTACTTTTGGTACGAAGAGTATGACGAGGTCGAGTTCGAGGAGGAGGGCCGCACCTGGACGAGCCGCTTCGTCGCCGCCGCAAAGTACACCCTCTTCTTCATCGCCCTCGTCGTCGTGCTCTTCCTGCTCGGCTTCTTCGTCCCGGCCGCCGGCGACGCCACGCGTGGCCACTGGGACCTCGACTACTTTAAGCGCCTCGTCGCGCAGAACCACGGCGAAAAGGCCCTCACGTTTGCCCTCGGCCTTCTCGTCACGCTCGGCACCCTGCTCTACGTCCTCTACACGGGCGCCGGCCTCGCGCTGATGCCCATCTCCTTTATCCGCTCGGCGCCCTCCATCTCAGCCCCGCAGCTGTCCGCCACGACGGCCACGCAGCTCGAGCAGAACCGCGAGCGCCAGCGCCAATTGGAGATGCGCAACGCCGGCAACCGCGAGGGCATGCCGCGCAAGGATCGGCGCGAGCTCGACGCGCTCGTGAGGGAGGAGCAGACGCTCGTCCGCCGCGAGCGACTCGCCGCCGAGGCGCAGGGCGAGGGCCGGAGCCGCGTCTACCAGGTCTGGCTGAAGCTGTGCGCCCTCTTCCGCCCCGTCAAGATGCTCGGCGGCATCCTGCTGCTGGCGCTGTCGGTCCTCATCTGGATCTCAATGTTCATCACGGGCGTCGACAAGGCCAAGAACTCCATCTGCAAGCAGCACTGCGGCTACATCCTCGGCCAGATCAACGTCTTCCAGCCCATGAACTGGATCTTTGTCAAGACGGCGCGCGTCTTCCCCGTCGACTACGTCCTCATGGCGCTGCTGGTGCTCTTCCTCTTCAGCAGCACCATTTCCGGCATCGCCACCGTCGGCATCCGGTTCCTGTGGATCCGCATCTTCCAGATCCGCAGAGGCCGCACCGCTCCCCAGGCCCTGCTCATCGCGACCGTCATGATGGCCCTCGCCATCCTCGCCATCAACTACGCCGTCGCCATGCTCATCGCCCCGCAGTACTCCATCTACGGCACGCAGACGTTTTGCTCGCGCACCCCCGACCGTCCGGGAGCCCAGCCCGACTGCAGGCACCATCTCGACCTCATCATGCCGTGCTCCGAGGCGCTCGAGCACAAGCACGCCCAGGACGTGTGCACGCCCTCTGCCATGTCCACCTTTCTCAACCGCATCACCATCACTTGGCCCTTTTTCGGCATCGTCGACTTCTGGGCCCAGTTTGCCTTCCTGGGCGTCTTTCTCGTCGTCCTCGCCACGGCTCTCGTGCGTACGCCGCGGGTCAGCATTGCCGAGTTTGACGAGGACGCCGAGGCCGACGAGGAGGAGAGCCTGCTGGCGTCGACGGGGCGGCGCTTCGGCGCGACGTGGCAGGATGTTCGGGGGAAGCCGGCAAGAGGCGGCGAGTCAGCGTCCAACGGCGAGCGCGCGTGATTGGCCCCTTTCGCTCTTCTATTTGGATTACGGCGCGCGACAGATTGTAAGAATATGGCAGAAGGCTGCTTGGGTTTGGCGTTTAGGGGCATAGCGTAGGAACACACGACGTACGGGAGTGCTTGGCGGGTTTACGTGCACACGAGGAACGCCGCGTGTCGAATGAAAAGACATCTATTCCAAGACATGGTTGCCGAGCAAGCATGGCCAGTTTGCGGGGCTCTTTGCCAGAGTAACACGGGGGGCCCTCGATGACTGTCGCAACGCCCGGAGACGCCGGTTGCGTCTTGCGTTTCCGGCATGGTGCGCGCTTTCGGTGCGGCTGCGCGAGTTCCCCCAACGTGAGATGCATACAAGGACCAAGCCCTTCTTTGCGTGGGCAAGTTGCAAGTTGCAGTGCAGTACCACGATTTACTCAATGTCGTTGTTGGGGTCGCCCGCCAGGAGCCAAGTCATCGTTGGGGATGCGGCGCGAGGTTTATATCCGCGCCTACAATGACATGCATGACCGCCTCGTATTTCCAGAGAGAGTTCCCATGCACAAAGTGCAGTACATTGCCCCGGGCCATACCTCTAGTTGCCCAAGACAGCCCGAAGTTGCTGCCACAACTCTCCAGCCGCTGCACCCAGGCAGGCCGCGATGGCTTCCATCGCCACTGTAGCATCGTGACTGCAGCCCGGGAGGCCATGATAGGTGCAGCAACAGCCCGGCGTCCCGCAATGTCTTCAGTTATGCGAGCTCGGCGGGCTTCAGTTACTGCTGCAGCCTGCTGACCGCCATGTCTCCAACTGGCCGTGCAGCCCGGTCGCCCGGCGGGCAGCTGCCGGCGATAGCTTCAGTTGCCGTCACAGCCCGCTGGCCGCCCAAAGCCGCACCGAGGCTTCATGTTATGCATGGGTGCTTCCCCACGGCATCTAAGCTCACGCCTGGTGTACGGTCCATTTCGTGATCAGCCCGAGATGTGTTTCAGATGCCTATGGCGCAACGAGACCGGGAGATTCTTTAGAGACCTCTGCACCCTATCTCACCACCAACCTAGCCGAAGACATGGCCTCACGGTCACCTGCGATTTGTTCCCGTGCTCAGATTCAGAGTGCTAGAACGTCTGCCGCCCCCCTCGTGACAATGACACACCAGATCAGACTGGTCCCCCAACCGCAAACTACATCTAACAACATGGCCTTGGCCCAATGGAAGACTGACACGCCAGTGGAACTTGCACAGAAGAGGACGCGCTCGTTGTGCCGGCCGAACAAAAGAGTAACCGTGTTTGCCGGTACAGTACGATCGTACATATAGTAAGATACTGTAAGTATAAAACGCAGCGTCCCGCATGTCCTCTGTACGTGCGAGTGCACGTGTGTAGCCGGGCCCGGCAGCGCAGAGGACGTCAGTGTGCTGTTGCTCTTCCATGCTTCGGCCGACTCTTCCAGCCGGCTGCTTGCGCGGACCGTTTTGGCGGAATCGTCGGATCGCCTGGCAGTCGGGGTAGCCCGTGGTGGTCTCGGCCGCACCCGGCGCATTGTGCACTCTATTTGCGACTGGTCATCGGCCCAACATAGACACACAGACGCGGACGGGTATTGGTGCAGGCAGTGCTCGAGATTCGTGCGGCATATACCAGCACCACCGGCACTTCTGAGCGGCGCAGCAGGACATGCAAGACGTCAAATGGGTTGCGTCAGTGTCCAGACTGGGTCCAGTCCTGGTGTTGATGGCGTCGAGTCAAGCTCGCTTTTGTGGACGCATGGAAGCTGCATGTGCGCGACGTCTACATGTAGAGCATCCTCTCCATCAAACTGCCATCAAACTGCATAAAGACATCTGTCGTCGCCAGGTCACCAAGAAGACTGAGACGCATGATATCACACAAACTGCGACAATGTCTCGGGAGAACGTCGAGTTGGTTGCTTTGCCCCATGCCCCAAGCGCCTCGTGCTCGCGGCGAGGGCCATCTCGTGTTGTTCGAGAAAACGTCGAGAAGCACTAACTATGCGTCAAGCGCGCCAAGGACGCTTGGACCGCTTACACGGAGTTGGCCGTCACGGGTTCCAGAACACCACATGGTACTGTACTGTAACGTCTTCCTTACCTTCTCGATCAGGCCCGAAAGCTTCGACCAGTGGAATGTGGGGGGCCGGTCGCTGTTGGACGCATAGTTCCTCTCACATCTTCGGCCAGTTGGACGGCTCTTATCCCCCGCTAGTGTTGGCTACGTCCTCTCGACAAAGGCTTGACATCAAAGACCACTGGGTAGACAGCGGCACTTGCTGTGGTCTATGGCCGGTGTGTGCCCGTTCCAAGTGCGAGCTTCGCGACGTGAGCATCACGAGGGCGTCATCTTGGGGCAGAAAGAAGGAACGGCAGGCACTCTATTCGTGCTCGACGGAGTGACTCTCGGCGGCTTCTGCTGGCTTCAGCAGTGGCCTGGGCGATACGATACCCCCACGATGCGACGCAGCCGGCACTTGGAGCTCAACTGTCAACGTGCCGGTTCCATTGGGCGTTGCCAAGCCCTCGCCGCATCGTGCTTGAGGACTGAGCTTGTTACTGTATAAGACAACATGAGTGACGGGGGACGAGAATCTGGACGGGATATTAAAGAGGCCGAGGACACCCAGTGCTGCCATCAGTCTCTTGTGTCTTGGTTACCACTCCAACTTGTCTTTCATCATCTGAAGAGGCTGGCCTGTGCCCTTTGTTAGACCCGAACCTCTACCTGCTTCGACATGATGACCCGCTCAAACATTAAGCGGGCCGGCATCCTTGCTGCCGGCCTGGCTGCTCCAGGCTCTCTGGCCTGCTCCGGCCCCTGCGACATATACGCCTCCGGCGGCACGCCCTGTGTGGCTGCGCATAGCACCACTCGTGCCCTATACTGCAACTACTCTGGAGCGCTGTACCAGGTGATGCGGGACTCCGATGGTGCCAAGACGGACATCAAGCCCCTGTCGACCGGGGGCGTGGCCAACGCCGCCACGCAGGACTCGTTTTGCGCCGGCACGACCTGCGTCATCAGCGTCATCTACGACCAGTCCGGCACCGGCAACCACCTCACCCAGGCTCCGCCCGGCGGTGCGGCGCGCGGCCCGGAGCACGACGGCTACGACATCCTGGCGAGCGCCATCGGTGCGCCAGTGACACTCGACGGCCACAAGGCGTACGGCGTCTTCATCTCGCCCACGGCCGGCTACCGCAACAACAATGCCAGGGGCACGGCCCGTGGGGACGAGGCGCAGGGCATGTATGCCGTCGTCGACGGCAAGCACTACAACTGGGACTGCTGCTTCGACTACGGCAACGCCGAGACCAACAGCCTGGACACGGGCAACGGCCACATGGAGGCCCTCTACTTTGGCAGCGGCTACGGCAACGACTCCTGGAAGGACCCCATCATCATGGCCGACCTCGAGAACGGGCTGTTCTCCGGCGGCGACCGCAGCCTTAACCCCAGGAGCCGCGGCATGACTTCCCGCTTCGTCAGCGCGATTCTCAAGGGCAAGCCTGGCCAGTGGGCGCTCCGCGGCGGCGACGCTGCGTCCGGCGGGCTCGAGACCTTTTACGAGGGCAGACGTCCGGACGGAGGCTACAATCCCATGCAGAAGGAGGGCGCCATCATCCTCGGCATCGGCGGCGACAACAGCGACCGCGCGCAGGGCACGTTCTACGAGGGCGTCATGACGAGCGGCTATCCGTCCGGCTCCACCGAGGACGCCGTGCAGGCCAACATCGTGGCCGCCAGGTACGGGACGACGTCGCTGGTCAGCGGGCCCAAGCTCTCCGTCGGCAGCAAAATCTCCCTGCGGGCCACGACGTCGTGCTGCACCACGCGCTACATCACGCACGACGGCGCCAACGTCATGATCAAGGACGTCTCGTCGTCCGACAGCAACGACGCCAAGCGCCACGCGACCTGGGTCGTCCGCGCCGGCCTCGGCAACGCCGACTGCTTCTCCTTCGAGTCCCTCGACAGCGCCGGCAGCTTCCTCCGCCACGCCTGGTTCAACCTCAAGCTCGACCGCAACGACGGCACCAAGCTCTTTGCCGAGGACGCCACCTACTGCCCGCAGATTAGCCTCAACGGCCAGGGATCCTCCCTGCGGTCTTGGAGCTATCCCACCCGCTACTGGCGCCACTTCAACGGCGCCATGTATGTCGCGAGCAACGGCGGCGCAAACTCCTTTGACGCCAGGTGGTCCTTCAACGACGACGTGAGCTTCATGATCAGCAACGGTTGGGCGTAGGCTTCTCAAGAGGTGGGCTGGCGTGTGAAGGATTGAACGCATGGCACGCTGGTTGCTCCAGTCATAAAAGCCCCCTACTACTCCCTTGCTTGGCCCTGGCCGTATGTATAAAAGGTTGGAAATAGAACAAGTACATAAATACATTGCGGCGCGTGGCGCATTTGATGAAGAAAAGATCGGAAACCGATTCACGGTTGGCCTCTCGCTTAAACAGCCCGCATCAAATTGAATGTTCTCGACATCATAGTGGCATATTGCGCTCTTCTATCCGCATTCTCTGTTCCTCATGCCTCGTAACGCTAGTATAGCGGCAAAGGGCTCGCGTAGAGTCAACTACATGTACGGGGAATTCGTCGCAAGAGCCGACGTCGCATCGAACCGCAGCACCGTGAACAGTACTGACATACACGGCTTCCACCTCCTTGTCGGCTTCGGGGCTTGAGGCGCAACCCCTGAATGTGCGTGCAGCTGCTCCCAGCCAACGCTCAATAGCTCGTAGAGCTCCATGATCTCGTGCCCAAGTTCCTCCTCGAGTTCCTCATCTTCGTCGTCCCCATCACCGTCATCGTCCAGCGTATCGTTGTTTTCGTTGCTTCTGTTGCTGTGATGACTGGAGATTGAAAGAAGCTACTTATGCAACTAGGCATTGGTGCCTTGCAATAGAAAGACTTGTACGCTATGACGAATATGAAAGCCTGGAGACATGGAAGATCCGAAAGCCATTTCAATATTGCTCCCATACAGACCGCCTTCAGACACACGACTTCCCCCTCCTGGGCGGCCCAGCCGCGCACCCAAAGACTCTCTAGCTCCTAATGGAAGAACTTTCGGAGACCCCGCGACCGCTTGCCGTCATCACACGGGCCCGGTCGCATATCGGGCGTGTAATCTTGCCCGCTGCGAGTGCCGTTGCGTTGTGAACGAGGCGTGCGATCCTGGGAGGACCTCGCCGGCCCTTTCCCTTTTGAACTGGCGGATACTTGCGACGTCATATCATAGTCCAAATCCATCATGTTCGAGATCCGCGGGGCCTCCTTCGATGTCGTCACCTGCGTGGCCTGCATCCCTGAAACGCGTTGCCGCGGGGCCTGCTCCGGCGGTGTGACCTGCACTCCTGGAACCTGGATGCGCCGCGACGGCGTGGTGAGCCCACGGCCGCCGAATTGCTTGCAAAGAAGCTCCGCCGCCGACGGACGCCGCGCGGGGTCTTCTTCGCACATTGACTTCCAGCTTGCAATGTCATTTGCTGTAGCACGCACACGAGCCCACCAGTTTCTCATGTCCCGCTCCGAATGATGATTCACGGCTCTGGATACCTTTCGAATGTCTGCCAAATCTATCGTCCAGAGGATCGTAACGAGAAGTGACCAGATGTCCGACCGTGTTGATTGCAAGTGCGTCTTGCCATGGAGGATTTCTGGCGCCATGTAAAGAGGGGTGCCTTTCCCAGTAGTTGCCGCCAAATTCACATTATTGCACAGGCCAAAGTCTCCCAGGACGAATCGGTAACCGGTCGCCTCGCGTTTGTAGAGAATGTTGGCTGGCTTTATGTCGCGATGGATCACGCCGTGAACGTCCAGATAGTCGAGGGCCTGGAGCATGTGCGGCACCATCAGCTCGCAGTGCTCATAGCGCGCCTGATACTCACGAGTCGCAAGCGACTCCAGACTTCCATCCATCAACGGCATGAACAGGCGGGGCTGGCTGGTGCTGAGGTTCTCTGTCCCAATTATTGGAATGATGTTGTCCTGCACAGCGAGTCAGTGTTTCGGGACAGGCCATTTGAATAGCTCTACCTCGTCACTTACATGCTTCACTCGATACAAAGTCTCCACCTCTCGCTTCAAAATTGTGTAGAAATCGTCGTACATCTGGCTGTCCATCTGTGGAGCTCTGAACACCTTGACCGCGACCGAGGTATTCAGATCAATGTCCAGTGCTCGAAAGACTTGTCCAAAGGTGCCGGATCCGAGTGATTCGAATGTCTTATAGTTGGGCCTTCGCGCTGCGGGCACGTGTATGCGCGTCTTCATCCCATGGCTCGGGGTCTGCAGCTGCGTCGGGCCCATGTCGATTTCCTCGGCGGTCAACGCAAGCCGAGGGTTGTCTTGCAGCCTCACCGGCTTTGTGAGGCGGGCCCTGAGTTGCCCTTCAGTGACATGCCACAGAATATCAAAAAGATAGACATTGCCTTCCACGCCGCCGAACCCGAGCTGTACCTTTTCGCCGCATTCGATGGCCGTTGAACGTGACTCTCTCGTGAAAGGTGTGCAGTTTTTCCCGAATACCTGGGTGGTCTGCAGTCTGGACTTGTCATATACGATGAAAAACCCAGTCTTGGGATGAAGCTCAAAAACACACTGCACTTGGCTTATGCTTCGGCTACAGACGACAATGTCGGCATTCCGTCCGATCGAAGCCAGTGTACCAGAGTTGGCGGTGGACCGGAAGTGCCCAATAGCAAGTGCGACATCGACTCCGTTCGGTGCCCAGAGCAGGTGGCGGTTGCCAACGTGAGCCGCAACGTCCTTTGCACTGCGGGTCCGCGGCACGAGGGACAAGAGAGCGAGTGGAGGTGGCTGTTGCGGGAGTCCGCGCTCGGACATGTTGATTTCTTGGCCGGGCTGGCGAAGTCAAAGAGAGCTAGACGATGATGACTGCCTGATGGGGCTTGAAGATGGAGATGAAATGTGGCCGGCCCATAGTGTGGCGGAGTGCTCCCTTTTCTATCCCTTGCGGCGCCGTACACAGGGCTGGCCTCGTCTAGAGAGTGGCCTCTCAGATACAATGTGTTATTGGCGTTTGCCGCCGCTCTTACTCCGACTGTTGTCAAGTCGCGGAAGAGCGGCTAGTGCGCGACAACCATTGGCATGCGCCGTCCTCAGATGAAACGAATGCCGTGATCCTGGGCTGTGTCGAGGCGCTGTAGCCGTCAAGATGCAATGGCGGGCCAACATAGATGCACCAGGCGGTCGCAGCAAGCGTCGCCAGGAAGGTTCGAATCGATCCGCGACACCCCATCTTGGTGACCAAAAGAGGCAATCACATGTAGCCTGCAGGCTCAGCGGCTAGGCGCCACAGGGGTGTTGCGCATGCAACGTGAACGGTTACGCGAAAACGAAGAGCTGGGGGCTGTAGATTGCAGAGCTTTCCTGTCGGCACCTCTGCAGATAGTCAGTTGTACAGTTCGCCTGGAGACGGTCATGCGACTAGCGGGCTGTACCGAGTTAAACTATAGAGGCCGCTACCATCGTTGCCCCAGTGGCTCTCGTTGCTCTTGTAACTCGCGTCTTCGTCTGCCAACCCAAGGCGTTAGTTCAGCTATAGGTAAGGAGCAGCTAAGAATGTGACCATGTAATCCGTGCCGCACCCAGTGCCCTTCAGCTACATAATGTAGTACCTGTCGCTTTTCTGACAGTGGCCGAGTTGCAGCGGGCGCGTGGAACCAACACGCTGGGCCCTGCTCTACCGTCGCTATTTTTGGTAAGGTTGCACGGGACCTAGCGCGGGAGGCGCCGCGGGGCCACCATGCTGATGCGCCGAGGCCCGCAAAAAGACAGTCCGCTTAGCGCGCGCCTAGAGCTCGGGGGGCTTGAGGAGGCTCCAATGGAGGGAGTCCAACCTCGGAACCACTGGCGGCACTTCACCGTCGCCTCACAACAGCCAAAAACGCCGTCCAGGCGCCGTTATCACGCGCGACGTGGGCGACGGCTCCTCCGATTCATTCATCCCCATAGTGTCTTCATTCTCCTTCGCCGGCGCTGCACCGCATGCTGTTTCAGCTGCGGCCGACACGACGGGCTCAATGGCGGCGTTGGACGACCTCTTCGCTGCCGACGCGAAGCTCCAGGCCCTCGCTGAGGATTCCGACCGACTTGAAAATGCGCGTCGTCGCTTCGAGACAACGCCGCCCGTATACAAATCTCGGCCTTCAGCAGAGGTCACGCAGCTCCATACGCCAGGGCCGCTCACTGAGGAGGAGCGCCGCGTCCACCACGAAAAGGAGCGATTTTTCTACGTTCAGGATCACCGGAACAGATCAAGGCCGTGTCATCAATTTGAGCTGCAAAAGTCGATCGAGTCCGACTTCCTGACTGATAAATGGCGCGAAAAACTCGGTCCGCACTGCTACGGATCCCACAACGATCTAAAGATCGCGGAGCGCTTGGTCAGAGAGAGGTGGGCAGAATGGGGTATCTGGAGTCAGGAATGGGAAGGCGAACCAACAGACCTCTGGAAGACTGATGTTGTGGTTTCAAATGACATTGACTTCTATGAAGACTTTGTCTTGGAGACCGAGGCGCAGCGGGAAACCGTCGACCAGCGCAGCTCCCAGCGCAGCGAGAGCCAAGCTGCCGCCGATCCTGCACAAGGGCCCGTGGGAACCGCCCAACATTGCGACGACGATAACTCGCGCCCGTACAATCTGTTCCTCCTCTTGGTTGGCGTCGAGCGCCAACGGTTGCGGGACAGATCTACCATCAAGTCCGATCCACACGACATCAACACGCAGGCGTACAACGCGGTGAGAAAGGAGTGGGAGAAAGAGGGCATCTGGCGGACGACCTGGGGAACCCTGCCGGGGATGACTTGGAAGCACGAACATCCCTTGAGAGACATCATCGACGAGGAGGCCAGCCTCACATTGGAGGAGCTTGATCACAGGAAATACTATACAACAACGGAGCGGCTCGCGGCCCTGCCTGACGACACGGACGACACTGATCCAGGGACACCATACTCGGTTCGAAGCATGTCTCCGGTACGCCCGCCGCGGGACGCCGGGTCGCCACCGTATCAGCCCAAATTCAACCTATTTGCCGGCTTACAAAGTTCTGGAGGGAGCGGGCACTTCCATCCCGGGAAAAGGCCACTGCCCGACGCCGATGCCTTGTTTCCAATCAGAGGCGAGTCGCACCAATCCGCGGAGCCTGAAACGCCCGATGCGGACGGTGTTCCGATGCAGGTCTCTCAACAATCCTGTGAGATGACCGGGGCCAATAACCCTTTCAAGGGGCTGTTTGGCAAACCGGTTACCTCAAGTGGCCCTGTCGAAAATAGTAACGGGACGGATCCAGACTCGGTACCTTGTCCGCCTTCTATAGAGACGGCCAACGGCAAGTCGTCACCGACAAACAAGCCCTCAACTGCGCGCAAGTCGCCCAAGAGGAAGAGGGGGGCAAAGCCTAGCCTTGATCAGGCGTCGGCCCATGCGATCCCATTGCCGTCCGAGAGCCAGGGACGCACGCGGCGGAGCAAGCGCCTTGCCGCGAAGGAGACGACTGCGAGCCCGGATCCGAAGCCTGCTCGCAGGGGGAAGCGCAAAGTTCGATGACCGGTATTTTTATTAGACGGCGCGGCTCCAGAGGCGGAGGCGTGGGCAACCTCCTGCACCCTGGACGTGACGCTTCGGCTCCCTAGCGAGTTGGATTAGCTGGCCTGGCATTACCTGCATGAAGACATGATTCGCGCCAACGACGACGTTAGACAGTGACTGGGCGAACACAGTCTCTCCCCTGCTGAAAACTACAATGTAGAGCTGGTGCGCGGCGGCAATGGCATCTTGGCGGCTGTACAAAGACTTTGAGCGGACTTGTGAACGCAACGACGATTTTTTAGTGATCCCACAAGCCACCACGAAGTAGAATGCTAGATGATGCGACCCCGACCTGCGGCGCAATTGCCGAAGGTTGACCCTTGCGCCACCGCGTTGATGTTGAATCTCGTATACCAGAATCTCAGATTGCCATGCTGCCCTCCGTACTTCCCCCAAACCGGCGACGCCCACATCGACACTTTCCCGATGCCAACGGTGTGATGGAGTGGCACCCCGCAAGGGGCCATCATCAAATCCCGACTAGATCTTGCGGATTGGCCGACTCCCTCACCAACAGTAGACGTCTGGGGACTGGCCCCATGAGATCAGGGGGTTGAAGTTCTCCTCCGTCTCCTTGGTTCTCACGACACAGCCACCGCCCTGTTTCGAGCACTACTCGTCGGAGCAAAGGTTAGCGCATGGCGTGAAGCGAGCGAGCGCATTGAGCCAAGGATGAAGACCTACGGTGCCAATGGTACAAGGTTCATGAATAGGGAAATTGCTGTAACCCCACGGGTGCAGTTTCTCTGGGTCCCAGACCGTAGTCAGACACTGCGGGACTTTGCCATCACACTATCCACGAATTAGCCAGGCTTAGATACTCTCCAACCGGTCTGGTAGTTGTGCGGTGCTCGTACCTTGCCCACTCGAATAGCGTTGTGATAATAGGCGTAGCGCCTAGTGGTTTCGCGGGTGGTCGCGTCCGTGCTAGGTTGCACCTTGTTCGATTTCAGGTAAGGGCGCGAGGGATCATGCAGGAGATTCGCCATGGAGGGTATCCTTGGGTCCTTGGCCGGGGGGTTCGGTGGCTGTAGACCCATGAACAAGGAGGCAGATTGCAAGGGCTTTGAATGACTTCATTGTGAATTCTTGGGGCTGGATTGGCGAAAACGTAGCGTGTACGAGGGCGTTTGACACTGAAGAATGAGCCCATGTCCATGGTGGGAAGGGCTGGGATGGTCGGACAAGGCGGTTATATAGTTGTCAACCGCACACGGACGCGCCAGCTCCATGCGTTCCTGCGGATCGGCCCTTTGCAATAATGTTCTTCAAAGGAGTCGAATAGTGTCAGCTTGTTTCATTACGACATAACATAAGCCGCTCACCCCAGCAAATGGTCGATGAGAGCAGGCAATTGAAGGATTCTCCAGGGGCCTAAAACGTAGCCATTGTGGCCCTGGATCAATCCGTGCTGGCGGCCGTAGCACGACATGTAGAACGCACAGCGCCCTCACAGGCCCCGTCGTACCTTGTGATTGCTGCCACTCGAAGGAAGGCGTCCGCTATATTAGGTAGTCAGACCTGTTTTCGCAATACGTTTGTTCGCAGACGGGCCTATCTCAAGGCGCAATGGCCAAGGTCGCCTTGCGCGCACCGCGCTAGGGTCTGCCAACGGCGTGTCACGATCTGGAAGCACGTTGGAGAGTCTGCGTCCTAAGCAGGCGCAGGGATGGAGATCTGTATACCACTGGCTTTCGAGGCGCTGGGATTGGCTGGTGCTTGGCTGCCGCTCGTGTATATGAGCCCGCGCACGTTCTCGCGTGGCTCCCGCGGCTTGCGCCCAGCAACAGCGCGACTTCAATATCGCACACAAGTGGCTGTGGCCCTGGACGCGGACATTGACATGTGGTCGGTTACGTTCCGCAGATGAGTTTTCCCCCGGCAGACGACTGCCGACCGCGCAGACGCTCGAGGCGACGACACGGGCACGTCTTCCCCCCACCTCGGGGGTTCCAGCCCTCACCTGAGTCACCTCCATCAGTAGCCAAAGACGGCATCGTCAGCCCTGACGTCTCCAACGGCCCGTGAGACGCGGACGCGGACCGGCCGCTACCGCTCTCGTCACACTCGCCCCTCGAGCTGGTCAGTGGTGCACCTTTGCAACAAGGGCCAGGGCCATCAGTTTCGTTCCCGGCACGGGCCAGGAGTCGGGGCAAGGCCACAGAGGCGTAAACCGCCCGGAGTGCATATGGCTGACGCTACGGGCCTCTCCGTGCCGGCCGATGCAGACTTGTGCAGATCCCGACCAAGCCCGAGGTGAAACGAGGGTTGGACCGCAGACGGTTTTGCTGTTCATGTCGCCCTTGGCGATGGCCAAAGGGTGTCCATGCCTTCATGGCCGGGATCAGGCTGCGTACCGGGCAAGGGGAAAATCAAGCGCTGCGTCAAGGTCACATGGCTTTCGCACTAGGCGCATGTTTAGCATGTGGCAGGCATGGGCCGCATGGGAATCATGAGTGGGTGGCAGGGCACCGTCGGTCCTTGGAGTTTTGGTTTTTCGCCAGATAATTAGCTGAGGCAAAGTGCACGATGCGCACACGCGTTGCTCGTCTCCCGTAACCGCTGAGCATTGTTGTGTCACGGCACGCCGACGACACCTCCCACCACGCGGGCTCGGGTTGACCGGGCCCCAAGGTGACCCAAAATGAGAGTCTTGTCCTGTCCCTGTGTTGCCAGCAGCACTCAGTCCGCGTCAAGCCTCTGGGTCGAAAGGGTTGATGAGCCGCGTTCGGTGTGGTTGTTTCGGCCGTTGACGACGGTACATGCGTTTGGAAAGCAACGACTGCCAGTCATAGACGAAGTCGAAAGTTCAGAAGAGCGCAGAGCCAAGAGTGCGGGCGGCGCGGTGCAACGTGTCTGTGCACGCCGCAGCCCGTCTAAGACGAGAGTTCTGATGCCAACTTTCTCCGCACGGCATCGCCTGACGGGACGGACGAGCAAGCAAGCACAGCAACTCCCCGTCCGCGCCCGAGCCAGACGGCAGTTGGACTCGGGCGGCCCCACCCCCGAGACCCCTCCGGAGCGAGCGATCATGCTCCATTTGGCACCGGCGCCCTGGTGGGGGTTCCCCCGGACGCGCCCGGGGCCCCGGTTCTGGATGAGGGGTTCGCGCAAAGTACAAAGTAGCGTAAACAATGGATCCCGGTTGGCGCGGGGTTGCGAGATTCGATGCCGCAGCTTTTTCAAGGCCAGTGTAGAAAGTAGCTGGCCTCTCAGCAGCCGGCCCCAATTGGACGTCCGTCGCCGTACTCCGGGAGCGAGACCGCGTCCAGCCCGGAGCAGGTCGAGACCCCGTCACCCGTCCAGCCCCAATTGTGGCCTTGACCCTTGGGTGAGCGGCCGATTTGTGACGCCAAGAAAGTGGGCGTCGACGCAACATCACCTTATCTGGGTTGTGGGAGTGACGATCCATCACGGCGGCGGAGACAGCCCGGTTCGTCGCCATTGACTCGAGTCGTTCCGGTCGCCTCATCCATGATGCCGGCGCGCGGCCAAGTGGAACTCGGCCCCATGTAACGTATGTTAATTTACCTAACAGACAGCTTCCCCAACGCTTCGACTCCATCGCGGACGGATGCTGGCTCAATGTTGCCTCGACAATGGATCCGGACGCCACAACTCGTCTGGTCCCAGCAGCTAGATAAAGTGCCTCCGTCGCCTCGTTTCGTCGTCATGGTGAACCCAGTCACCGGCGCTTTATACATACCACGGCACTTTTGCGTTGGAGATTCCATCACAAGATGAAGGCACCTCTGGTCCCAGTGGCCCTCTTGGCCACCCTGTCCGCCGCTGCGCCAGGCAACTACTACATCGACTGCAGCGCGCCTACGGCGGGCAACGGTACCCTCGAGGGCCCGTGGAACTCGCTCGACGCGGCCAACAAGTTCACGTTTCGGCCCGGAGACACCCTCGCGTTAAAGTCCAATGTGACGTGCGCCGGCACGCTGAGTCCGCTCGGCAGCGGCAACTCGACCGACCCCATCCGCCTCACGTCTTACCCGGCGGACTCGATCCTGGGCCCGCCCGTCGTCGACGGCAACGGAGCCAACTCGTCGCTGCTGCTCACCAACCAGGACTACTGGCGCATCTCGAAGCTGGCCTTTACGAACCCCGCCGCGAGCCTCGGGCGGCGGCAGGGGATCCTGATCATGGCCGATGACGGCAAGGCACATTTCGGCATAACCATCGACCACAACCACGTGTTCGATGTGGCCGGCCAGACAAACAAGGCAAACTTCAGTGCCGACTTTGCAAACTCGGCCGGCATCGAGCTGGGGGCGCTCAACGGCAGCACGTACGTCGATGTCTGGGTCCGGGACAATGTCGTCAACGACTGCGGCGGCGGCGGCATCAAGGTGCGGCCGGGGCAGATGGACGTCAACGGCAAGAACATCCGCGTGTCGCACAACTCCATCGACGCCTGCGGCGGCGACGGGATCCTCATTTCGTACGCCGACTCACCCAGCATCGACCACAACGTGGCGTCCAACCTCGGCAAGGGAAAGTACCCATGGACTGGGGGAAACTTTGCCGGGATGTGGGTTATGGCCTCGCACAACCCCGTCATGCGTCACAACGTGGTGTACGGCAGCATCATGAGCCTATATGATAGCCAGGCCTTTGACTGCGACTGGGGCGTGTCGGGGACGTGCCTGGTCGAGTACAACTACAGTCACGACAACGCAGGCGGGGCATTCCTCGACTGCGACGGGTGCGGCATCTCCCGCGGGACCAAGCAAATCGTGCGCTACAACATCTTCGAGAACGACTGCCGCATGATTAGCGTCAGCGAGCACTCGTCGCTCGAGTTTTACAACAACATCATGTACTGCACCGAAAAGGACTTTAACATTCACGTCCCTCAGACCACGCGCTTCGCCAACAACATCTTTGTCGGGCGGAGCAACGCCTCCCTGCCCGCCGCGAGCGGCATCACCTGGGACAACAACATCTTTGAGACGGTGACGCCGCCGACGGAGAACGGCCTCGTGGGCGACCCCAAGTTCCTGAAGCCCGGGGTGGCGGGCAAGACGCTGGGCGCGGGCTTCGGCTATCGCCTGCGCGAGGGCTCCCTGGCGTTGGGCACCGGAAAGGTCATTGAGAACAGCGGGGGCTTTGACTATTTTGGCAATGCTGTCGAGGCAAACGTGCGCCCTAACATTGGGCCTTATAACGGCAAGGCTGTGGCGTAGGAATTGTGCTGTCGTTGTTTAATGCCTAGAGCGTAATTTACGATTGTTTGTTTCTGGAACACGTCGCCGACCATCCTCTCAATGCTAGCTCACGGTCCACGGGGGGCGCTTGGCTCGAAGCGTCACTCAATGATGGCCGGAGGATTGAGCACACGGAAAACACTACTCCCCAGGCCGGTAGTAGAAGCCGCGAACGAACCGCCGCGATTGGTGCATGCGCTGGTCGGGACCGTCGTTGCACAGTTCCTCGTCAGGAGTTGCAGCTGAGCAGCGCCGATGAGTCAACGAGCAGATGACACTCACGCAGCACACCGGGGCGTTTGCCAAAACCCATCACTCTGAAGTGGAAACCGAGATGATGCTAGCGGCCGCTATCAACTGCAATCCAGACTCCAGAATCTGCACTTGTAGCTTGACGCGAGTCCCACACTGAACCAAACCAAGAGCCCACGACGCCCGTCAGCGCTGCAGCCTGTGGGTCGCCAGGACGATCGTCCGGCCGCACCAAGGAACGATCCGATTGCGCGAGCCAAGCTGTCAATGATGTCTTGCGTTCATGTAGTCTGGGCTCGTCGCGCTGCGATGCCTCGGCACAACAGAGGCCACTGCAATTAGTGCGCGGGGCCGTCGCATCGATGCATCGCTCCAGGAGGGGTATCACGGACGGGGGCGAGCGACGACCCGGAGACGTGCCACTACTTATACCGTCGCGGCAGCGCTTTGGACTGATCGGCCTCTCGAACCCAACTTGGGCGTTGCAGAACTCGACATGAGAATGAGGCCCTCACTTATCGGAAGCGCTCTCGTCGGGCTATTGGCCAGGCCAGCATTGGCCGAGCCTTGCCTCTCACAACAATGCCAGCAGAACGCCTTGGCCTTTGCTTACCAGGTCTGGTTCCTGGGCACTACGGACATGGGCAGGTCCTAACGCATGCATATAGTACGGATACCCGCTGTATGCGCTGGGCGAGTTCTTGCAGCCCCTCGGCAAAGATGTCAAGACGAACCACTTCTATCACCAGGCGAAGCTCGCCGAGCCGGGTGCAATTGCGGTAGTCAGGCCAAACGTCGACACCGTCTATTCGGAGCTCTTCATCGACTTGTCCACGTCTGACCTCGTGCTTACCGTTCCCGAGTTTGATGGCCGATACTGGTCGCAGGCGTTTTTCGACCTGTGAGTCCCCAAAGAGCACTGAAACACCACGCCGCCTCGGCTAACATGCGACGGAGATATGCAAACAACATCGGCAACATTGGAAACCTCGGCAAGGACAAGCCCGGCAAGTACTTGGTGCGGTACACCCCAGACAACGCCGGGGTGCAGTACAAAGGAGTGGAGGGAGGGTTCAAGGCGTACATCAACGTTCCCACCCCCTACGCCATCTCCAGTACGAGGATCCTGGTGCAGAGCGCCAAAGGGGACATTGACAAGGTTCATGGATTCCAGAAGCGGCTGCTGGTTACTGAGCGACCGCGATTCGACACCTCGACCGTCCCCCGGTTCAACCTGAGCTTGTTCTGGGATCCAGCTCACCGCCCTGGGCCCAAGACTTCCGTGGAGGTTGCAATCCTAAGACTGACAGCGGCCCTTTGCGGACACAATCAGCCGTACCTCCCCCAAGACAGGACTTGGGTCGCGGGCCTTTTGAAGAATGCAGGCATCGCCGGCGGGCGCTTCACGCAGCCGCAAGGAACCAACTTGACAAAGGCCACGGCCGCAGCCAACGCCTCGGTTGCTGCCCTGCGCGCCACGCCGGGCTTCGTCGAGAATCTGGGCAACAACTGGACTTTGAACCAGCCAATGGGCCTATACGGCTCATACTACCAGGCGCGGTACTTTATCGCTGCGCGCGGGTATCTCGCCATCACCAAGGAACAGGTCCTGTATCCGGCCACGCCCACGCTGGAGCTCGGGGCCAACCAGTCGTACATCATCAGGTTCTCCCGCCGGCCCAAGACCGCCGACGGTGGCTTCTGGAGCTTGACTGTGTATGGACCGGATCAGTTCCTGGTGCCTAACCCGCTCAAGCGCTACGCCCTGGGTGACCGGAGCAACCTCACGTTTCCGGATGGCCGTCCGCTGTCCAAGGGTGCGGACGGCCCGTTCGACATTCTTGTTCAGCCGAGCGATGTGAAGCCGCCGTCAAACTGGACTAGCAAGTACGTGTGCCCTCGGATGCCTGGCTGGACGAGGCGCTGGCTAACTTTTGGCCCAGTTGGCTGCCCGTTAACGCTGGTGGTGGCCAGTTTTCAATCAATCGTATGTGTCTACCCTTTGATGCTGCCTCTGATGCCGCTAACTGTCGCCAGTGCGCTTTTACGGAGCTACCGATGAGCTTGCCGATGGCTCGTATACATACCCCAAATTCATCCTTGGGGGGTCCGTACGCGGGTGAAGCATATGTTTGTAACTCTGTCTCACTCGAGTGCAAGCGAGCAAATGCAAGGCTTTGTCAATCATATACCATATACATGCATCAAGCATCGAAACTGGACTGGAAATCATACATGGAGCATCGCTAAACAGTTCAAGACCAAATGCTGTATCTTGCAGACATGCGCATCCCGACAACACGTAAATGCACCAGCCTTAGCAGGGCCGTAGACCTCGTGCATCAAGCACAACTCAGGACAGTTCGTGCATCTGCCCACGGTGGTTCTCAGACGTCTGCACCGGTGCCTCGTAGACCATGGGCCGCGGTGCCTGCTGGTATCCCGGAGGCGGCGACACGTAGCCGCCCGAGCCGCTCATAGACGAGACGGCGCCCGGGCTCGTCGGTCCGCTGCCGCGGGGGTCAGCTGCGTACGACTGATGCGGGCTGACGGGCGGCGGCGTCGTGTAGTACATAGGCACCTTGTCGGCGGGCGGATAGTATGACGCGCGACCATCTGCCGGAGCGGCGGGCTGCGGCCGGTAGAGCGGCTGGTTCGGCGGCCGGCCCTGATCGACGGCCGGCGGGATAAAGGTCATGGGCGGCGCGGGTGCGGAATCCTCATTTGCCTTGTGTGACTTTCTCCGCAAGAAGAGAAACACTGCAATGGCCGCAATGGCAAGGACTCCGATCCCGCCGACGACGCCACCGACAATGGCTCCAACCGGCGTGTTGTTGCTGGCGGCCGGGCCGGGCGTAGGGCCGGCCGACGACGATGACGACAAGGGAGACGTCACAACGCCCGAAGACGAGGACGTGACAGACGAGGTAACAGGTGGGCCCGGAGCAGTCGTTGGGTCTGGCGGTTGGCTGCTCGAGGTAAACGTCTGCGTCGTGGTCCGAGTCGAGGCGGACGTCGTGACGCCGTTGAGGACATGGGCGGTGCACGCCGAGTCGGTGCAGCATACGGGCTTGGGCCCCAGGGCGGCCACGATGTAGCAATGGTTGCCCGCCTCGCAGTAGCTCTCGTCCCTGCAGCACTCGCCGTCGAGGGGCGCGCAGTGAGACTGGCCGCAGCACGTCTTGCCGGCGGCGCATGGGCCGCTGGGACAGCATGCCGAACCGCTCGGGAGGCAATAGCCGTAGGAGCAGCACCTGCCGCTCGAGGGACAGCAGCGTCCGAAGCCTTGTCGGTGCGTCAGTGAGATCCTACTCTGCCTGGGGGAGATGCGTACTGGCGCAGTAGCCGTATCCGGCCAAGCACTGCTGCCGGGCGCTCAGCAGGACATCGCGAGGTTGCAAGCTGGTCGACTCGTTGGACAGGCTGGGGCTGAACTTGGACTCGAGGCGCAGTTGGTCAACGACGATCATGACCTTTTCGTACGTCTTTGCGCCAGTGTCGCCATTGGTTGGCTTGACGACGGGGTCAGCTGTCGCTGCCGATGCTGCTGAAGCCCAGAAGAGACTCAACGTGAGCCACGGCGATGAGCGCATGTTGGTGGTGCGTTTCGACATTCAACCGTCGTCTTGACCTTGCAACTACCATGGCCGACAACTAGCAGCGCAAGATGCAGGGAGCCTGCTTTAAGGAAGCCTCGAGCGCGGTGGCTCATGCCTAGGCTGATCGGGGCTGAACCGGGCTGGCGCCGGGAGCGTGGTCGTGAGGATCGGTACAGGCCCAACATGTCAGCCGCACAGCGATATTGAAGCCTCATCGATAGTCTGGGTCACAGCCCATGCCTCTGTGATCCGAGTCTCGGAGCCTGCGGGTGAGACTGAAAAGCTTCCTGGGCGACACGTCTGGAAAGGGTCAAGTCCGCGTCGGTCTCCATCGGGGCCTCACCCGGCGGCGCCAGGGACAACCGCGTGACACGGCATCGCAACAAACGGCCGAAGCCGGGTCGTCGGACACAACTTGCGTCGGTGAGTGCTCCGCGACGCCGCGTGCAGTCTGCAAACGCCACTCGACGCGGTCTGGACCGAACAGGTTGGGCCTGTGCAGCTGCTTGGCGCCGGCCGTGGCGTTGCAGATCCCGGCATTGCTAGCATCGGGAACCGGGACAAGAGAGCCAAGGCTCAGCCGGTGAGTGCGCGTGGTAGGACAAAGAGCCCAAGAGACGCAAGAAGCCAGCGTTCCGGGCCGCGTTCGGCAAAGGCTCATGTTGTTGAACAGATGCCGCGCGGAAACTGATCAAGACACAAGGACCTATACGCTATCGGCGCAGCGCCAGCGTTGTACGAAGCCCCTGCTGGCATCCGTCTTGGCTCTTGCTCGTCGACTGGCACCTCGCGGCCTCGCTTTGCGCTGTCTCAACGATGGGAACTGGGCATGAAGTCGGGCAAAGTTTGGATTCCTCGAAGCTTGATTCCGCTACGATTAGACTTCCAGCGGGACCCCGCAGTTACCCGTGGGTGCTAAATTTAGCGATCTACGGCACGACACAGGGCTCCAGAGTCAAAGTTTCAGCGGTCGCAGCGCCTCAGGCCCCCAACTGGAGGTTCAGGTTCCATCCCGGTCCCGTCCCGCCCTGTCCCGTCTGCGTTCACAGAGTGAATCCAAATTCGCCAACCCTGCGTCAAACCGTTGCTCAACCCCAACGCAACGCTCAACGCCGCAGCATGCGCGAGAAGAGACCGCGCTTCTTCTTCTTCTCCCCATCCCCTTCCCTCTCGCTCTCCTCCTCATCCGGCTTGTCCCTCTGCTCCTGCGGGTCCAGCTGGGTCGTGTTCTCGTCCATGACCTGCTGGGCCAGCGAGACCGTGTCCTGGCTGGGCGGCAGCGCCTCGGCGCCCTCGGCGGGCTTGTTGAACAGGTCCATCACCTTGCCGGGGCCCTTGATCCTCTCGTAGACGGCGAGCGTGGTGCCGAACTGCGTGTCGCCGCCGGCCTTGATGGCGTCGAGCAGCTGCAGCGCGTAGGTCTGGCAGTTGTTGGTGATGAGGTTGTACGCCGGCCTCTCGTCCCTGATGGACTCGATGACCGACTCGCCTGGGCGCTCGTCAGCAAGTCGACACGGTCAAGTGCATGGGTGAGCGTTACCGGCCCGCCGGACGGCGTCGTCGTTGAAGCGCGTCTCGCCGACGCTAAACGTCCGCCACTCCTCGCGCTTGATCCGTTCGTTGGTGTATATGACGTGGAAGCTCTCGTCCTGCGCGCGTCAGCAGCCCGTCTCCAGCGCGAGAGCGGCCGCCGCGCCCGACTCACCATCCACAGCTGGTGGGCAAACTCGCCGACGAGGACGGCCCAGTGCTGCGTCGGGTCCGGGTACCTGTTGATCTTGTCGGTGATCATCTTGCCGAGGCCCGTCTCCTCGGCGAACCACTTGCCCGCGAGGCCGCCGACGGGGTGCCACCCGACCTCGACGGGGCGCGGCGGGCCGTCGAGCAGCGGCTCCGTCACGGGGACGGCGTTGGGCTGGTGGCCGAGCCCGATGGCATGCTTGAGGGCGAGCTCGCCTTTGTTGAGGTTCTTTTGGCTGGCGGGCGTCTGTCAGTGAGGCGAGCCCGGCGCGGGGGCGCGGCTAGCGTACAGAAAGTCGTTGATCTTGTCCCGCTTCCTCTCGCGGGTCTCGGCATCTTGGTCGGACTCGGCCATGTCGCGCGGTTGCTTCCTGTCGCCAGCGCGGTTGTGAGTTGCAGGGAACAATCATGGCTGATGTTGGCGCGTCTTAGTGGCAGCGACTGGCAGAGCCCGTTTCACGTGAGGCGCAGCCCCCCAGCACGGGGCGCACCGGATGGTGGTTCGCTGCCAGGCCGCCCTGGATGCGCAACAGTGCTTCTTGGCCGGCAATCACGAGCGGTTCGCAATGGGATGAATCCTCGGGGCCGGACGCATCTGCGTCGTTGCCGCGTTGCGCTGCCGGGTAGCTCGCGACTCAATGGCAGCCGAGACATGTATCTGTACCTCAATACTTCAAGGTGTGACTGTGCGACACACCGTGTATATGTTTCGGACCGCTAGAGCGGCACTCAGCACTACGATGCCACATTTGCACGTGCACTTGGCCGACGCAGTGCCTCTTGCATGAGGAATCTGTTCTTGGGTGTCTGGATACCTGGCACGCAAATGGCGAGGAGCCAGGCGGTTGCGAATTCGCCGCCGCTCGGGTCCCACGTGGCGTGGCCGAAACGACCCGACATGATGTGGTCGGTGCTGGCCGTCCATGGCATCTACTACGGCATCGCAGAGGCCCTACTAACGACGGAGTACCACGTCGGTACTGCCATTCATTAGCACCAGGGGTCGGCTGCCGGCGTGGAATGCCACGCGGCGCGCAGCTGGCATTACACTTTCTTAGCCCGCAGTCGTGCGAGGAGGAAAAGTCGGCGGCGCCGATCGAAGGGAACGGAACGGAAGGCACGTGACCCGGCTCACCGGTACGTACCGCCCGCAGGGCGCCACGCCGCCGGTTCCGTTGGGCGGCCGCGGGTGCCATTCAGGGACTCAGCACGTCCCTCCAAAAAGTCGGCATCGCGCGCTGACCCCTTCTCCCCCATCTCCATCGGCGCAACCAGCCCATGTCAACCTGACCGCCAAACTCTCCCATCCACAGCCATGAGCGCATCCTCCGCCGTCGCCAGGAGAGCGGCCGCCCGGAGCCCCCTGCTAGGTTAGTCTGGTCCCCGGCGCCCGAGTGCTGCGGGACGAGCCCCTCTGACGAGCGAGCGAACGCTGCAGCCAGGAACCTTCGACACATCTCGCCGGCCCTCATCTCGCGCCATGTCGGCAGGCAGTCGCAGGTGCCGGCGCTGGCGCTGCTGATACCGATGCGCCATGCCAGCACCGAGCACCACCGGTCGGACGCGCAAAGCGGGCCCCCGCCCGGGTTCAACGTCGAGCAGGCTAAGAGGCCGCTGCCCAAGGACGACAAGCCGGCCGAGAAGAAGCCCGAGACGAGCGCCGACATGACCAAGGCGGAGGCGGCCATGGCGGACCTCGCGGCCAAGAAGGGCGACGCGGCGGAGAAGCAGGAGGTGGCCAAGGCGGACAAGGAGGACAAGAAGCTGACGCTGTGGCAAAAGGTGAAGAAGGAGGCGCAGCACTACTGGGACGGCACCAAGCTGCTCGGGGCCGAGATCAAGATCAGCTGGCGGCTGGCGCTCAAGATGGCGGCGGGCTACGACCTGACGCGGCGCGAGCACAAGCAGCTGCAGCGGACGGTGCAGGACCTGGGCCGGCTCGTGCCCTTTTCCGTCTTCATCATCGTGCCGCTGGGCGAGGCGCTGCTGCCGCTGGCGCTCAAGCTGTTCCCCAACATGCTGCCGAGCACGTACGAGGGCCAAAAGTCAAAGGACGCCAAGGCCAGCCTGCTGCGGTCGACGCGCAAGGAGGTCAGCACGTTCCTGCGGCAGACGCTCAAGGAGACGGGCCTGCCGCTGAGCCCGGCGACGGCGCAGAAGGAGGAGTTTGCCAACTTCTTCCGCAAGGTGCGGTCAACGGGCGAGGCGCCGACGGCCGAGGACGTCATCAAGGTGTGCAAGATCTTCCGGGACGACCTGACGCTCGACAACCTGTCGCGGCCGCAGCTCGTGTCCATGTGCAAGTACATGAACCTCAACACGTTTGGCACGGACATGATGCTGCGGTACCAGGTGCGGCACCGGATGCGGCAGATCAAGCGCGACGACAAGGCCATCAGCTTCGAGGGCGTCGACAGCCTGACCGTGTTGGAGCTGCAGCTGGCGTGCGCGGCGCGCGGCATCCGCACGCACAGCGTGTCGCCGGCGCGGATGCGGACGGACCTGCAGAGCTGGCTGGACCTGCGCCTGCGCAAGGGCGTGCCGTCGACGCTGCTGGTGCTCAGCAACGCCTACATGTACGGGCAGGGGTCGGGCGAGGGCTCGAGCCAGATCGACGCGCTGACGGGCGTGCTGTCGTCGATCCCCGAGGAGCTGTTCCACGAGATTGAGCTCGAGGTGCACAACGCCGAGGGCGCCGCCACCAACAAGCAGCGCCTCGAGGTGCTGCGCGAGCAGCAGGAGCTCATCGAGGAGGAGAACGAGCAGAACGAGGAGAGCCAGAGCACGGGCATGGCGACGCCGCGCGACGTCGACGACATTGACGAGAAGGAGGAGCGCCAGATGACGGCCGAGGCGGCGGGCGTCGAAAAGTCGACGGCGGGCGAGATGGTCGAGGCCGAGCGGGAGCAGGCCCAGGCTGCCGAGGAGGCGCCCAAGAAGCCCGGCGAGCAGCAGAAGCCCTGAGCGGGCGTGGGGAGGAGCCCCCCCAACTCCATTCTACGAGTTTCCTATGTGTGTCGTGTAACTATATATACATGCGCCTGGCTGGACGGCGCGGCGGATAGACGATAGACGGGTTTTGCTTTGCGCGTGCATTGATGAGCCAGTGAAGCCCGGCGCGCATGCTGTCTCCAGTACCGTGAACTCGGCGTCGTCAACCGAGTGGACTCGTCGGTGGTGGAGTGCTGACAGGTACCCGCCCGCCTGGCCGCGGCAGGCGCTGCGTCATCGTCGCATGCGGACGTGTTGGGCGGGCACCTTGGTCAACCATTTCCATCGCCGCGCAGCAAGCAACCTCGCACTGACCGCCATCGAAAAGCAACTGAGGTAGCCAGACCCGTGAAGGGGGCAACGACACACAGTTTTGAGCCGCTACAGTGCCCCCCAGCGACGGCTCGTTGCCTCCAGCCAGAGCGACCCAAGTACCCCGTAGCAGCCGAGCGCCAGCCGCCAACGTGGGCCGCCCGCCCGGCACCTGTGGACCCCCACCAGCTCGTCGAGCTCACGACCACCTCACCTCACCTCGTTGCTCCCGCCGGCTGCCTATCCTCCTCCTGCCCCATCACCCTTCCCGTCGCCCACCCAGCGCAGCATAACCTCCCATCCGCATATCCCGCGACTCAGAAGTTCGCCCGCCCGGCATGGCGGACGACCACGAAAACTTCTCCAACGTCTCGTGGAGCGAGCACGTCCACGACCAGACGTCGCGCCTCCCGCCCGCCGAGGAGCCCGGCCACACCATGGAAGGCCCGTCGACGGGCATCGAGGGCGAGCCCCCGCTGGGCGGCGACCGCCTTGAATGCACCGTCGGCACGCCCCTCAAGGAAAATGACGGCAGCAAGGACGCTTTTGTGTCGTACCTCATCACCACCCACGTATGTGCTGCCCTGCGCAACTTCCCCCGCCCCCTCCCGCGTTCGCTGTCCCCATCGCGGGTGGCAGCTTGATACTCCCTGACGACCGGCCGTCCCGCTGACAACCGCGCCCTCCAGTCCACGTTCCCCTCGTTCCAGCGCCCGACCGTGTCCGTCCGTCGCCGTTTCACCGACTTCGTCTTCCTCTTCAAGCAGCTGTCGCGCGACTTCCCCGCCGCGGCCGTCCCGCCGCTGCCCGACAAGCAGCGCATGGAGTACGTCCGCGGTGACCGTTTCGGCGGCGACTTTACGGCCCGGCGCGCCCACTCGCTGCAGCGCTTCCTGCGCCGCCTGGCGCTGCACCCGACGCTCCGCCGCGCGCCCATACTGCACGTCTTCCTTGAGAGCCCGGACTGGAACGCCACGGTCCGCAGCCGGAGCACGCGCGCCAGCCTCGCCAGCGACGGCGGCTCCGGCGGAGGTGGAGGAGGCGGCGGCGGCGGGAGCGGCGTCTTTGACAACTTTGCCGACACCTTCATCAACGCCTTTACAAAGGTGCACAAGCCGGACCGGCGCTTCATCGAGGTCAAGGACAAGAGCGACAAGCTCGACGAGGACCTGGGCCACATCGAAAAGGTGGTGGCGCGCGTGGTGCGCCGCGAGGCCGACCTCGAGGCCGACCTGCGCGACCTGGCGGAGCAGTTCCAGAAGCTCATCACACTCGAGCCCGGCGTCGAGCCTGCGGTGCACGCCTTCGCCGCGTCGGTCGAGGACACGGCCGCGGGCCTGCGCGGCCTGCGCGACGTGACCGACCAGGACTACCTGGGCTCCCTGCGCGACATGCAGGCCTACTCGCTCTCCCTCAAGGCCCTGCTGCGCGCCCGCGAGCAGAAGCAGCTCGACCACGAACAGCTGACCGAGTACCTCAACAAGTCGACGGCCGAGCGCGATAGCCTCGCCTCGGGCCACGGCGGCGGCGGCGGCGGCGGCCTCGGCAGCAGCGCGGCGGGGCTCGTCGGCGGGCTGGGCGGCAACTTCATCCGCTCCAAGATCGAGGACGTGCGCGGTGTCGACCACGAGCAGGCCCGCCGCGAGCGCGCCCGCAAGCTCGAGCTGCGCGTCGAAGAGCTCACCACCGAGGTGGAGCGCGCCCGCCGCACCAGCGACATGTTCGACGACGAGGTCGTCCGCGAGGTGGCCGACTTTGAGCGCATCAAGCGCTGCGAGTTCAAGGCCCAGCTCGGCGGCCTGGCCGACGCCCACGTCGCCTTCTACGGCGAGGTCGCCGACATTTGGGAGCGCTACGTCCGGGAGATGGAGAAGGAGGGCGTCGCCGCGGCGTGATTGATCGAACCCCCCCTTTGGCTCGCGTAGCCAACACGGGACAGACAGCCTCACCGCGAGACATGACTTTGATTTTGAGATTCGGGGCGGTCCGGGCGGGCGTTTGGGGCGTTGGGAACGGCCTGTAAACCAACAAGCAACCTTTTCACTTTCACCTCGTCTTTTGACAGAGCGCAACTGCTGCACATTAGACGGAAACAATGACCAAGATCTATTTCGTAATGCAAACTCCGGCCCGCATGCCTAGTAGTGACCCTTTGTATGCAAAGCTATTCAGGTCCCCTCCCTTTCCTCCCATCTCTTTACAGTCCTATGCTGCCGTCGCTCGCTCGCCGGGGTTTATATCCCCCCACTCAATCACGGGCGGCTCTGACCTAGCGGCTGCTTCTCGGCCGCCTTCTCGTCCACGGCGCCGCCCTCGTCGTCGCTCTCCTCGCCCACCACGTACTGCTGGTCCGCCTCGTCCACGCCCGCCAGCCGCTCGGCGGAGCGGTCGCGGTACGCGTCGAACTCGTCGTCGTCGTCGCTGCCCATGGCGAAGGCGTCGTAGAGCTCGCCGCCGCGCGTGCGCCGGCCCTTGCCCTTCTTGGCGGCCGCCTTCTCCGGGTTGAGGCCGTCGCGCTCCTCCTCGTCGAGCAGCTCAAACTCGTAGTCGTCGCGCGGGTTGTTGCGGAGGCGACGGCGCCGGGCGATCCACAGGTAGATGCCGAGGCCGATGCAGAAGACGACGATGAGGCCGAGCGCGCCGTAGATCCAGACCTGCGCCGTCTTGGAGGCCCCAAATGTGGGGAACTTGTCGATCCAGGACGAGGCGGCCGTGGTGGCCTCGGCGTGCGGGTCGTCGGTGGCGACGGGCGTCGGCTTGGCGGCCGGCTTGGTCGGTCTCTCGGGGTGATCCGTGGGCTTCGTGACGGTGTCCTCGTGGGTGGGCTCGGGCGCGGCGGGGACGGTCGAGGTGGCCGCCGGGGGCGTGACCGTGGACGAGATCTTGTCGTGATCGGCGTCGTCGTCGGCATTGGGCATGGGAAGCAGCGTCGTCTTGTCGGCGTCAATCGACTCTCCCCACAGCTTCAGGTGCCAGTCGACAAAGGTTCCGTTGTGCTCGTTCTCCTTGGTGTCGCGCACGACCAGCGTCCACTTGCCCACTCCGGTTTCGCCCCTGCTCACGTTAGCTCGTCGCCTGGGCCTGGGTCGTCGCGTCACTTACCAATGAGCGACACTCATAAATGTCCAGTCCTTGTAGCCTCCGGCGTGCTCGTCGTCCTTGCGGGCCGTTGCGATGTGGCTGACCACCTTGGCCGGGCTTATGAGGTCCACGCTCAGGTCGCCGCGGCGCGTGTGCTCGACGTTCATGGTCACGGTGACGTGCTCCAGGCGGGCCAGGTTGGCCTCCTTGAGCATGTCCTTGGTGACCTCGAAGTCGACAATGAGCCCGTTCTTGCCCTCGGGGATGAACTTCTTGACGTGCAGCCACGGTGAAAAGTACCAGGCCTGCGGCTTGACCTTTTCCCACGTCTTGGCCTTTTCGACGAGCGCGTACGAGTCGATCTTGCCGTAGCCAAAGATGTGGCTGAACTGCTTGCCGATGGCCGTCTTCTGCCACGCGGCGTCCGTGTCGGCCACGGGCTTGGCCGTGTCCATGGCGAGGTACTGGAGATCGCGCCACGACAGGTCGGAGCGCACCTGCATGACGAGCGCAAAGATGCCTGCGGCAAGGGGGGCGGCCGCCGACGTGCCGCCGTGGCCCGTCGCGCACTTGTTTTCGCCGACATCAGTCGTGTGCTGGAGCCACAGATTAGCATGCATCATCACGCGCGGCAAGGGGCTGGACCTACGATGGAGTCGCCGTTGCCGCTGCTGTACGTCACGACGAGGTTGGCGGAGCAGTGCTCCGAGTAGTACGGGTGCTTGCCGGCGCGGTCGACGGCGCCGACGGTGATGCTGTAGATGGAGTTTGTGTACCCGTCAAAGTTGCAGTTGTCGTCGCTCGCGGCGCCGTTGCCGCTGGCAAAGACGTAGATGGAGCCGAGGCCGCCGCGGCCCTTCTGGATGCCCTGCAGCATGGCGCGTCGGATGAGGACGCCGGGGGCCTCCATGGACCTGCCGTCGTCGCGGGGTCCCCACGAGCACGAGTAGATCTGGTTGTCCTGGTACTTGTAGATCATGGCCTCGGCCTCGTCGGCGTCGCTGATGGGCTTGCTGAGGATGCGGATGCCGGCAATCTTGGAGTCGTAGGCGACGCCGATGCCGCACACGTCGTTGCGGACCGCAGAGACCTCGCCGGCGCAGCGCGTGCCGTGGCGGTCGTCCGAGAGCCGCGGCTTCGGGTCCGGGCCCGGGTCGTTAAAGTCCCACGAGCCGGCGGCAAAGTAGTTGTCACGCAGGTCGCGGCTGTTCATGTCGAGCCCGTCGTCGACAATGGCGACGGTGGCATTCTTGCCCGTGATGCCCTCGAGCCACAGACCGGTCACGTTGACGTCGTGGCCGAGCTCGACCGTGTTCATGAGGTGCCACTGCTCCGTGAAGATGGGGTCGGCGATGTCAAGCGTCTTCATGAGCCTGGACTGCTGCTGGACGGCCGCGGCGACGGGCGTGCCGAACGCACGAGGCGGGAGGGGTGCGAGCGCGGGCGCGGGGGGGATGACTCGCTTCTCCAGCCGCATGCGCGCCTCTTGCTTCGTGGCCAGCAGCACGCCGTCGAGCACGTCGCGCCCGCCGACGTCGCGTTTCCGCCGCCGGCTGTCTTGAATCTCTCGCCGGACGACATCGTGGTCGGCCTTGGCTGAGCGAAAGACGTGGTGGTCGGCAAGCTCGCCGAGCTGGCCTTCGTGCTCGAGACCGAGGCGGGCGGCGACGTGTGCGACGGGCGTGCGTCGGTCAAGGTGGAGGACGTAGTAGTCGTTCTTTTCGTAGTCTCGAGGGAGGGCGGCTTGCGAGAGGGCGGCCAGGCCCACGAGGCCGAGCAGAGAGGCGGCCTTCATGGCGGAGGTCGGTGGTCCGGGAGGTGCGCAGAGGCGGAGCGCAGAGGGCGGGAGCGCAGGCAATCGAAACCTAAAACATGGATGACTGGAGAGACGGACGCAGCGGTCAACGCCGGGGTGCTGGACGGGCGAGATACGGTTTTCGTGGCCTCCGTGAGCGCGAAGATGCGGGCGGACACTTGGTAGGGAGAGAGAGCGCACAGATGGCCTGACGCAGGGGTCGCGGGGCGCCACGTACGTGCCGAGGGTCGGCAGAGGGTATCACGAAAACGACACGCCAGGTGCGAAAACGACGGACGGTTGTGATGCGAACGATGGGTATGGACGGCAGGCGAGGATGGAGGAGTCGGAGTCGGAGCCGCAGTCGAGGGTGAGAGAGAGGCGTCGTGGCCTCGACTTGGGTTGGCTGGTCCGGCAGCAGCAGAGTCTCAGGCTGGCACATCGAGCGGCGCCCACTGGACGGGACATGTCAATCCAGTGGAGAGGGTGTCACTGCGCCGCCGCCAAGGAGGGAAGGTCAAAGCAAAGTACCAGGTACCGCGTCTGCAGCGTCTGGGCGCCGACGCAGCGCGTCCTGCTACACGTCACGTGGCTGGGCCGCCCTGAGATGACCCGTCCAGGACCCCGAACGAGTGGGTTTCCAGGCCCCATGCGCGCTGCAACCCCAGGCGCCATCTGCGTTCTGCATCTGCGTTCTGCAACACAACTGGGAACCTGAAGGTTGCCTGCTGCTTCGTCGTCTCAGTTCTCGGCGCACTTGTCCATCGACTGTCCCAGCTGCTTCGCCACTCGCTCGCCCTCCTGTCTACACCACAGACGAGTCTTGCTGCGGTGCCCAAGCCGTCCATGGCATTGGGAACAGGTTTGCTGATGCGCAAGACCCGTGGCGCCGGGTCTTCTCAATAGGTAACGTCAATAACCAGCCACACCCACACTTTCACCACATTCGGCGGCAATGTAGGTTTGCTGCACGAGTCTATTCTTCATTGCATCGTCGCCCGCGACCCCAAACTTGGGCGGGCGCCGCACGCGCGCGCTCTATGTTGTCGCTATTGGTCTACAGTGAAATGGAATACGGCGCTGCTCTATTCAGCGACCCCATCCGCGCTGCTCCCCGCGAGGACATCGTCGTCACCCACCCCCACCCTCCCGCTCCTTCGCTTCCCGCCCGCTACAATGACGCCTCCTTGTGAATCTCTATGCCCGGCGGGGCTCCCGTTAGGGCCTTGCACTGGGCGTAGATGACGAACTGGCCCGAGACCAGGGCGCAGGTCATGACGACTCGCGGGCCCAGCCCCGTCAGCAGCAGGCGCTTGGGGCCGAACTCGCGGGCCAGCTGCCACATGCGGTAGGCGGCCGACTCGTTGGGGTTGCCGGCGCCCTTGTTGATGGCGGACAGCAGGGTGTCGGCCGGGTGGGAGAGGACGGCGGCGGCGGCGCCCGCGGCAAGGCCCGAGGTGAGCTCGACGCCGGTGGACTCGAGGCGGGACAGGCGGGCCTTGCGCTCGGGGCCCATGGAGCGGAAGATGAGCTCGTTGACGGCCTCGTGGACGGAGAACTGGCCGACGGCAAAGGGCACCTGCTTGAAGAGGAGGGGCACGAAGCCCGAGTAGAAGCCGCGGAAGCCCTCCTCGCGGGCCATGCGCATGAAGCCCGACGTCAGGCCCGAGGCATAGCCGCGCTGGGAGACGAGGCGGATGCGCGTGGCCTCGAGCGGGCAGAGCAGGATGTCGGCGAAGAACTCGGCCGACGCGCTGGCCGTCAGGTAGACGGCGGTGCGGTGCGGGACGGCCTCGGCGGGCCCGCCCAGCAGGCCAATGTACTTTTTCTTGAAGAACTCGTAGCCGGCGAACTTGGCGCCGCCCTGGACGAGGTAGCCGACGGCCGTGGGGCCGAAGCCGGTGAGCAGGGCCGAGGCGCCCTCCTTGGCGACGATGCTGCGGCCGGCCTGGACCATGTTGAGGCCCTTCATGGCGTCGTCGACCTGGATGCGCGTCTTGACGACGTCGATGGGCGTGGCGGCCTGGTGCGTGGCGGGCGGACCGGTCAGCATTCATGTCGATGCGAGGCGAGGTGAGGTCAGACGTGAAGGCGTCAATTGATGGAAACTCACCCCGTGCGTCGACGTGGCGGCCAGCGCGCCGGCGGCAAAGAACTTGACATAGTCGCTGACGGTAAAGTTGGGCAGCTCGTCCTTGGAGGCCATGGCGGCGACGGGACGCGCGACGGGACGCGGCGCTGGGCTTCGTCAACGGGCAATGGCTGGCCGCTGCGATGGAACGGAACAATGGCAGGGCAAGAGTTGATGATGATGGTGATGATGATGATGATGATGAGGTGGTGCCGAGTCTCCCGCCGCTCCTCGTCCGTGTCGCACAGGCTGGGGGCGCGGCGCCCAAGGCCCTGTTATCATCGCGGCCAGGGCGGATGACGTCGTACCGGACTCTCCGCGGCCTCGGCCTGCTCGCAATCGGCCGGCATGCTACTGGCGTGCCTGGAAAGCTTGTTCTCCATAGCGTGCCACGCCGGGACGGCGGCGCCATTTGGGGGGAGGAGGGGGGACAGCCCGCCGGCCGCGATCGGGCCCCTCGGCACCGGCTGCGGCGAATGGTCCAGGTGCCGGGCGTATCTTTGGCAGTTGCTTGCATTGTGCTCCCGTATGTGATCATGTCGAATTCCGCGGTCCATCGCGGCAGCACCCTGCTTGCACGGGCGCCAGAGGTGGGTTGCGTGTAAACACCAGCTTTGCTTGCTGCAATGGACGGCTCTGGAGGCTCACTCAGTGAAGCCAGCCCCCTGCAAGTGCGCCCCCCAGCGAGCAATCAGGTCAGCATTACAGAGATCGGCGCCGCTGCCGCTCCGGCTCTGGAGAGGAAAGCGTCCCGTCGGCAGCTCGCGCCTCGTTTCATCGCCGTTGGGGTTTTGGTGCCGGCGCTGCCCCACACACAGTCTGGGCTCTGGACTCTGCCGTGGCCCGCCCGCAACCCAAGATACAGAGAGAGACGCCAGGCTAGCCTAGGGAGTAACAAGTTGCTATTTATTCCCCTGCCTTTGTTCTCGTGGAACCGTGATATATGCCCTTTGGCTTGGACATGGCGACAGGCCCGGCCATTGAGTCGCTCGACGCCGCCTATACGAGCCCCCTCTGCTCCGGGATCCCTCTTCTGTAACTGGCCCATTGCTCCGCTGTTGTCGCCCGCTTAATTTCGGACTCATCGCCATGACCCCGACTTCCTCCCTCCCTCTTTCCTCCTCGCTCCTGGTCCATCGTGTAGCGGCCGTCGCCGACACGAGCCCTGAGCCGCCCGCCCGAAAAGCTGCGGCTGCGATCCATGCCCGTCCATCCTTCTGTCAAGACCCGGACACCCTCCCAACGTGCAATCCCAGACATCATGCCACGGGCGCAACGAACCGACCGGGGGGGCCGTCTCGCTGAGCGTGCGCCACAGGCCAGCGCGACCCAGGACTCCAACAGCTGGCTGACTGGCTGATGCAAATCTGCCAGTCCGAACCGACTCGTCTCGCGCATGCAGCAGGCAGGCCACCGGCGGCCCCTCCGCCCCTGCAGGGCGGGCGCGCGGCCGCGCATGTTCAGGCTGCTGGCACCGAGACGAGGGTACGTTGATTAAAAGGTGCATGCGGGCAGGGGGCGCCGCCGACGTTGCTTTTTCCACGCGCCACCAGTCCCCTTCCCCGACGTTTCCAGACGCACGCTCTGCATCCACGCGGCGTCTGACATGGCGTGGTTTCTGGTCCCTCCCCCAAACGCCCGACAACGTTCGGTGGCTTGCTTTGTCGGCGATTCGGGGGACTTGACAAGGCGCCTGTCAGCCTGCGGCGCCTGGCGACGATGCGATGACCTTGGCCCGGCGTGCCGTCGCGACTGGTCACGTACTGCGGCGCGTTGCTGGGCGTTTCGTCCGCTAGACGCTTTGCGCGATGAAGCCGCTCACATGCGCATCCGGCGGCCATGGTGCTCTCCGGAGGGACAGTTGGGCCGGATTCCATCGTTCCACGATGCTGGGGTCGCCCACCGAGCCGGCTACGACGTGAGACCAGCCGCCGGGGCACCTGCGTCAGTTCGGCTTCCATCTCACAAGCTTAAAGCCTTCGCGTCCACACCGAGTCCTGTCGGCTCCGCCTGAGCCCCCTGTCACCCTGTCTGCCACACGAACCTCATCAACGGCCGTCTGCAGGCGTCCCGGCTAGACGGTACGGCCCCACGGCTCCCCAGCCGCCCTCCCGTCCCCTCGGCCGCCACGTCTTGGCTGCAGCGAGGCAACCGCGCTACCAGCGGCCTCGTTCCATTGGACGATGGCCGCCTCGACAGGCCATCTGCTTGACGGGATGATCGAGGCAAGAGACAAATGAGCAAGGGGGGGCTTGCGGGCCGCCCGGGTTCCTGGGACGCGGCGGCGGCACGCGCAGCACCAGCAGCAGCAGCCGCTGTGTTCCCTCCGTACCAGACAGTCGGGTCGACTGCCCGGCTCCAACGCCACGGCCGCTGGCTCCTCCCGCGCCCCTATAAGTTTGCTGCTCGTCCCCTTGTCCTCTCGCCGAGCGGTGAAGCCTTTGCCTTGTCCTCGACGCAGCCCGCGTCTCGCCATCTTTTAGGATGGACGACCTCCGCGGCATCGACGGCACTTGCTCCTCTCAGCCCGCACGTGGGACAAAGCCGCGACGGGCGAGCAGCATCAGCCTAGATCCCGAAGACGACATTGGCGCCCTTCAGCCGTGAGAGCCCCGATTTGCCAGAAGGAGCTTCTCTAACAGCAGCAGACATTGCGTTGCCTCCGCCGCCATCATGCCGCACCAGAGCCAGACCAGCGGCTCGGCAAAGTCACCATTGCTGCTCCTGAGGCCCCAGGAGCTGCACTTTGTCGACGGCAAAAGCCCGCCAAGTCCTCCAGAGGGATGTCCCTTGCTGCCCTCGCAACCAGACCTGACATCATCCCCGTGTCTTTCTCCCCTGCAAGGATGGCTGGTGAACAAGAGCGACCGAGAGCAGAGGATGCTTGGACTCCCCGACTCTCCAGGAATAGGCGGCAAAGCTTCTATCATCGAATCCCAGCCAGTCGGCACCATGCCGGACAAAGATGACACTTCGTCCGGCAACTCGAGCTGGGACCTGGTGGAATACGATTCGGACGCCGCGCGCCGATGTGCTTCCCCAAAGCGAAACGAGGACCCGGTGGCGGCCAGCCAGGAGCTAGCACGCGGACGCGAGGACCGGTCCAAGGCACCATCCCCGGAACAGCAGACCGTCGAGGCAGAGCCTCCCAGCCCGGCATCGTCCATCATGCTTGGCGATGCGCCCATCCCCGAGCATGCTACAAGTCGGTTCGCCAATCTAAATGAGCAGCTACAGCCCATCGGCGGACTAGGCGACAACACGCGCAGCTTGATTCGCTACCACAGGCACGTACCCCCTCTGCCTGGGATGGCGCGAATTAATGTCGGTAGCAGGGCCCATGACCGCCGGGGCCGAGGTCGTGTTGAGAAGCAAACTAGGCTCCGTAAGCGCCATAAGGGTTGATTGAAGCAGGGGTTTGGTCTAGGCAATTGTGCAAAGCGGATAACATGTTTCGTCGCCCAAAATCTCAATTCGTCGCTGTCGTCGCTGTCGTCGCTGGGTATCATATGCATTGAAGACGGTTCCCTGGCTCTCCATGCCATTTCTTCTCCCTCCTCTCTTCCCCGATCTTTGTGAAGCCCTGCCCTCAACTCCCTTGGAATCCTCCATTCCTCCTCACCCCGTACCTCCACGGTCCGTTGGGTCGACAGTGCCGTGGTACCCTCTGTGTGCCAAGTTGACTGGCCCATGACCCCCTTGCCCCCGACCATGGCAAACTGTCTCTCCTCGACACCGTAGCTCCCCATCTTGTTGCTGTTGCCGTATTTGTTTGTGGAGTCGGCCCCTCGACCCCCTCGGTCCCCTTCCTACTCCCCAACCAGTACCTCCCAGGTCCGTTCCGCCGACATGGCCGTGGTATAGTCCGTGTACCACGGCAACTGGCTCACGACCCCTTTCCCCCCGGAAATGGCAAACGACATCTCGTCCCCGCCGTAGCTCCCGATCCTGCCGCTGTCGCCGTACTTCACCTGGAGGGCGAGGAGGTTCTTGTGCATCCTCGAGCCCGTCCTGCACACGTACAGGGCGAAATCGAGCCATCCGTTGGTGACGGCCCGGGCGCTCAGACGCAGCGCCCGGTTCTCGGCGTCCTGGACCCGGCGGCGGACAGTCTTGTCCTGCTTCGCGAAGCTTGGGTCCTCGCTGCCGGCCAGGGACGATCCGTCTGCGCCGTATGCGTCTGCGTCTGCGTCTGCGTCTTCCTGGCACGCATTGGCGACGTCGTACATCTCCACGTCTGGCGAGTCTTCCAGCCGCAGACGGGCCATCTTGTCGGCGAGCATCTTCACAGCGGCCTCGGTCGCGGCCTTGTCGTTGGCGCGTTCCAGGAAGAGGTCGCGCGAGAACTCGTGCGTGGAGCGCGGCGCCACCGACTCGCCCGTCTCGAGGCACACGGCGATCTCGGGGCCGTCTGCGAAGGCGACTCGGCGAGGCATCGTGTTGAAGATGCGGCGTTTGATGGCGTGAGTCTTTTTGTTGATGTATGTCGAGCTGCTGAAGAGCAGCTTTGTAGAAGGTGGTTGACAAAGCTTGATGTTTGTCCAGGAGCCCGTGCCACGGGGTTTCTGCGGAGGGTTAGGATGAGGTTTGACCCTTTAGAAGTCGACTCCTGGTGATAAGATGGCTGCGCGAGGAGCTTGACGCAGAGTTGCTCAGACCAGCTTCGGGGAGCGTTGTTAAAGTTTGATTGTGTTTGTTTAGGAGCGCGTGCCACGCGGGTCTACGACCGTTAGGACGCGTGGAATAGGTCAAGGGGCAAAGATGACCAACCTTGAAAAACGCGGCTCCTTGTAGCATAGAATGTTTGGCCCAAGTCGTATGTCTAAAAGTCTTGCTCAGGGGCCTGTGGATAGAGCGTTGGCGAGCTTGAATGTTGCTCAGGAGTCCGTGCCAGGGTGGTCTATGGCAGTTAGGACACGACGTGGAAGCAGGCCAAAGGTGCCAAGGGGGGGCGGAAGAGACCAAAGGGGAAAAGACAACTTACCTTTAAAATGCGGCTCCGTGCGATATAGAAAGGCTGGTCAAAGCGTGCCGCTGGAGTTCTTGCTCAGGGCCGCGCGCCGGGGACGAAGGCGATGCCGCGCAGTTTCGTTATCTCGATACCTGGGCGCGTGCGCTTCGCGTGTGGTTGTTATGTTGTTTATGCGTAGCGTGCGTCTGTAGCGACAGCACAGCTTATAGTAGAAGGCGTGTAGGTTGCCTGTAAGAGAATAGGGGCGCCGTGAAAGAAGGGTTATGTATGCCCGTATGAGTGTGCAGAAGTCGTCGCGCAGCGTGCAAGTGTGCATGCGAGTGTGTCTCTGGGAAGGATGGATGGCAGGGTCGCGGGACCAGAAACTTTTCTGACCTCCATCTTATAGCTGAGTGGGCCAGAGAGATCAGTAGCGTCTATGCAAGGTAAACAGCGAGGGCGCGATAGAGTTCTGGGGTGCAGTCGACGGTGGCACTGCGTTGGCGGCTTTAGTGTTCCTGCCGGGGCGGTTACACGTGGGACACTGACGTCGGTGTAAGTGACGACCTGACAGCCGCTCCGAGTCACCCTCGCTCAAAGTCTCCGGGAGGGAGTGTGTTTCGTTCTTTGGGTGCAGGTACGCGAACTCACTGCTCGCGCCTGCGCCGTGGCTGTCCAGTCGGCAGCATATGCATCGGCGAGATGGAGTCGTGAGGCTGATAGGACGAGCCATGGGAGCATAAGCCAGCCACTAGTCAAGTTTCGACTCCTATTCTAGCTGGCTTGGATCCGGCGAAGTCTCAAGTGGTATGCTGGAATCTTCCATTTGGGGGAAAGTCGGATTTGTCTACGGCAAGGTTTTGAGCAAAGTTGCGCAGGATTGCTACCTTAGTCTGGAGGGTCCGCGCTCCTCGCTGTGCCCCAGTGACGAGCCGATAGCATGCCGGGGCGTTGTGGAGGGCATCTTGTCCCAGAATCAAATAAGACGCATATAAACAAAAGCACAAACGGAAGCGCGGCAAGGGGATCAAGATTGAGCTGATCCTTTTGTACATTGGTCATCGCCTACTGCCAGACAGTCACTGCCTATCCGTCGCCTTCGAGCGATGTGCCTGAATCTGTCGCAGCAGTCGATCGCTGACTTGGGAACACTTGGCTGTCGATTTACTTTGGTAGACCAGACATGGCTCGCCGGGCACCATGCACTATGGCGGAATGGTTAGCTTTACTTTGCATTATTTGCGCCAACTCTCGCTCGCGGATCCGGTCAAGCTGACGGGTCGTGTCACAGGATCGGCGAGTCTTAGACCGAGGCGGCGCGACTCACGGGATAAAAGTCGCTGCACGACTTGTTCGCCATCGCAGGCTTGTATGCGCGGATCGCATCCTGGTTCCCGTCCACGCCCTCGGGGCATGTCGAGCTCTCGTATCGGCATGCAGAAACTGGTGTCGCGCCCGTCTTGGCTCCAGCCGGCACCTGGGCATATTGCTGGCAGTACTTTGCAGGAACGCGTTGGTCAACGGATCTTCCGCGATGTGATTCAACTTACTCCTATGCGGGCTTCTTCTGCGGCCAGTGATGCGCTGCAAAGCAGCAACATGACGAGGACGCAGATGCTGAACATGACGATGCTCGAAGTTCAGGGCCGGGGTATGGTTGGAAGGCAGGGATGTCGCTCCAGCATCGAACTGCCGGCGACACACCGTATACATATGCTTGGATGACGCATCTGCGTAGATCGACTTACGTACGTATCAAAACGGGCGTCGCGCAAGTATAACTTGGTGTTCCCGTTCTTGTCGGAGGCGTTGACGTCAGATCACATACGTGCCACGAGCTCGTGCCTCACTGTGGCCCGACCTGGCCCAATGATTGTTTACAGCATTCCCTGTACATGGGCAGATACGGCGCGCATAGCCGACTCTTGTGAGACGTGGCCTGAACGCTCGCCACAGTAAAGTTACAACCTCGCAAGGTCCGGCACAGGCACGATTGTATCAGTACTGCGTTTGCAAGTAGCGGGCTCCGGAAGTCCGCCATGTAATTTCCATATCTACGAGGAAGATTGCTCTGCAGGAATTTACGACCTGGCTGACGCTAGGACAAGAAAAAGGAAGGTTCCGTGACGGCACTGGACTGCGTGAGGGACTGCGACTGCTACATTCCCACCTGCCATGACGGCATGCATGGCTCAAATCACTCAACCGGCACGCAAGCTGAATCTTCTCTGAGAGATAGCAGTCAATCCATTCGGCAAGATCTCGGACACATCTTGGTGCGAGGCGTGATTTGGTGCTCCAGGTCGTCGGTAGGTCATTCTTCAACCATGCACGACACATCATTTACCAGCCACGGAACCTGGCATAGGTGCCGATAGGATCCTTGGTGTCATATGATGTCAAATTATAAGTGCACACGAATCACACAGTACTTCCTACCATGGCGAAGCTTTGCTCATCTGTGAGGAGTATAAACACGCCCGCATCGTCTTGGCCGGGGCGAGACCGTTGCGGCGCTGTCAAGGCCGCCATCTACGCATCTGACATACCATTCTATGTTGCCGATAGCTTTTTCTGTACGTTGTGGCTAGACAGTGCGTTGACTATTTGGTGGGCAGTGGTCCGAGTGCCAAGTGAATGTGGTTGCCATGGGACAAGTCCTCAAGCACGTCTCTAGGCGCGATATTAATTTTTGAGTCAACCTCTGAGCCAACGTTTGACTTTCGCCTTCGACTTAACCTCTGGCAATATCGGTGCTCTGTTGACAATCACGAGAGCCTAACTAAACGATAATTGCCTGCGTTCCCTCGGCAGGCAATTGGTGACCAAGGGCAAGACTAAACGATTTGCCGGGGGCCCGTCTGCACAGTCACATTACCCCCTTGGGCAGCTGCCACCCATAGGTTTCTGTATGACGCGTTCTTCTGTACGATCGGGCCAGTTTCGCGTTGCATACCGATCCCGAAACACGTTGCAGTCTTCAACACAAGGGCGACGGTCGTGCGCTCGTTTCACATGTAAGGGTGCTCGCGAGCTATGGCCAACATCGGGTAGAACGGCGACCTCTGCCCCGGAATAGACGCATGTAGTGAAGCTTCAGAATTTGTTCGTGTGATATTGGCTGGAGCCCCTCGTCAGTGATAGATTGACTGTTGTAGGACCTCACCGCAGACTGTGTGACATGGAGCCCGTCTCAGTGTCCGTCTCCGGATATCCGTGGTGTATGGCGAGATCCTGTTCTTTGGGACCGGGGAAATCCAGACTGGTACGTGCGCGTGCTTTGATCTGGAGGTGCGTCTCACAATTCGTAATCAATTCATCATAATTAGAAGGTAGTTCGAAAAGCACATGTTGTCTTGTCGCATTTGCACATAAGGCCCCAATGGGGAGGACCATAAATCACGACTTCAAGCATACAAGGTTGTGTGTTGGTCCTACTCATCTCTATCTTTGGCCGACAAACGCCGTCGTCACCTCACCGGCCTGACTCAACAGTCCTCGCCGTGCAAACAAGTCACAATGTCGCTCATCCATTTCATACTGGGCGTTCTTTCCCTCCTAGGTCCAAACGTCCTCGCCTCGCCGACAAAGACACTCCAACCCGAGCACGCCCACGAGGCTCGCCGCGAACGCCCCAACTACAATGCACCAGCAGCCCCAACCTATGAGGCCGTCACTCTCGTCGACTACGAGGTGAGCTGCCCGCGGAACGTGACGGAAGACCCCAAGTATGGACGGCACTGTTTGCGCTTCAGCTCGTGCTGTGGATCCCGTTACGTCCCTCCCGACATACAGCCTCACGAGTGCGGCGGCTGTGCGTGTATTGGTCACAATAGGGTGAGTGCCTAGCAACACAGACGCCCACTGAAACAAGCCAGGCAGGCACTGACAGTATGCATGGACTAGGTCTATGAGTTTTCGCCTTAGACGTGGACGAGGGCGATGTGGAGGGCAAGTCGGCGATGGATTCGTTTGGGGTGGACTGCGCAGAGCTCAAATGGGCAGGTTTGGAGTGGCCTACTATGACTGCATCGTAGACTTTGAGATAGCTTCTGTAATACCTCTGGTTTCAATGACACTCGATTCTTCGCTCGTCTTTTCATGCAAAAGGTCAGCACTGATGCGAATCGCGCGGCTTGTCCAGTTCGAGAAGCGCGCGCCTAGACGGCTAAGCGCCTGACGCAAACGCTGCGGCCTCAACAGACGACTGCGACACATGCCGTGATTGGATGGCCGAGTAGACACCTGATCAATCCGACTTTTGCCTCTCAGAAGTCGTCGTTTTTAATGATTAAGGCCACAAGAGTTGTCGGGCGAAAGATCTCCCGATGGTGCGCCCTTCAACAACACGATATGGACCCTACCATGAGTCACTATCGGTCGCCCATAACTCGTCAAACTCATATCGGTTCAACACCTCACCATCGCATCTGACGTCGCATCATATTGCCATATCATTATCTGCAATCACAATGGCGGCAGCGAGTCTTCGGGCGCTGTCCTGGACCAAGGGCGACTACCACATCTCAACTGACTCGTCGCTCATCCCCGTCTCAGCCCTGCGGCGGTTCTTCGCCTCCCCCGGGTTCTACTGGGCCGAGCCGCTGCCCGACGACGTCCTGCGGGAGACTTTTGACAATTCGCTATCCTTTGGGCTGTTTCACAAGCCGAGCGGCGAGTGCGCCGGCATCGCGCGCTGCGTCACCGACTTCACCACCTTTCTCTACGTGACCGACGTGTGGGTCGAGCCGGAGCTGCAGGGCAAGGGGCTCGGCGGCTGGCTCGTCGACTGCGTGCAAGAGGTCGTCGAGTCGATGCCGCACCTGCGGAGGAGCATGCTCTTCACGGGTAACTGGGAGAAGTCGGTGCCGTTTTACAAGCGCCGGATGGGGATGGATGTGATGGAGAGCCAGGAGGGCAAAGGGCTGGCCATCATGGTTCGGAATGGCCGCGGCCACCCGAGCAACTTGGCGAAATCTAAGGAAACAAATGGCACACATTGAGGTATATGAAATGACTGAGATGCGACTCCAATAGAATTGACGAAGGGGCGGGTGCTTTGCCGGACCTCGGTGGACTCTGCGAGGACGGCAGGCGGCCATTTACCTATGTGTACACCGGCTCTGCCACCCATGCGAACTCTCCAATTGATGGCGCAATCCGTCGAATCTGCGCTCACATATTCTACAGCGGCACCATTCTCTGTCTGGAGGAAGCTCTTTCGTCTCACCGACAAGTTGCTCTGGACACTGGGCGTGGCAGGCATATCGGGAGTGAGCCGCCGGCCGAGTGCCGATGATGCAGGTCCGCGATCGGGAGCGCCGCCCCTCCAGCTACTCGCAGGCAGAGTTTCTCCAACGGCCCGGCGGCTCTTGGCTGGGCCGGGCCGAGCGCGACACATCAGACAGACAGAGTGATAAAAAAAGAATTGACCGTGCAAGACGGCAAAAAAAGAAACCAGTCACTTCAATCATGCTTGATTATAGGAAAAGCCCGATGCGGGGGTCGAACCCGCAACCTTGAGATTACCGTGTACTCGTAAGAGTCTCACGCTCTACCGATTGAGCTAACCGGGCCGCTGAGCCGATCCGAAGATCGACTGCGGTTGTCACGTGCTGATCTGAGGCGGTATTGCCCATTATATAGCCCGCAAACAAAATTTCGGATCAAAAAAAAAGAAAAAAAGGTGAAGACGGGCAGGAGACCACGCACGTGCACTTCTACACGCATGTCGGATGGAAACACGCTGACCAAAAAAGGGAAGCAAAAAAGGAACCAGCCTCTGCGGACAATCACCCGCAAAGCATGCTCAAATCGTTCATCGGATCTGATGTATAGGAATAGCCCGATGCGGGGGTCGAACCCGCAACCTTGAGATTGTTTGGAATAATCTTCGAGACGGAACTCTGAGATAAGAGTCTCACGCTCTACCGATTGAGCTAACCGGGCCCGAGGGTAACGGACGCCGCCCGCCCTGGGAAAGGGGGGGAGGCGCCCGCTGTGCCCTGCGGGTGTGCCCCGAGTGCTGGTGGGTTGGAAGACGAGCGTGCGATATTTTGCTTAAGAAGGTTGTGCCCCCCTGGTGGTCCCCCGGATGAAAAATTTTTGGTCGTTGGGGCTGGGCTGTGGTTGCGGACGTCGCTGGTGTCGCGAGGCAGAAACTGCGAAAAACGTTCGGCTGTGGAACTGGCGAGGTTTTTCGGCAGCGCTAGGCAGGGTTTGCTAGCGGCACCTGCAGTGGAGCCGTGACGGGTTGGACGAAAATGCAGGGTCCTGCAGTCTCGCGTTTTTCGTCCCGTCTCGTTTGCGAAGACCAAGCGGCTCACCCTATACGTACTTCAATCGTGATTCTTGCACATGATGTGACGTGGTGTAGGCGTGGCCGAGGCCCATTCGCATGGGATTGCTGGATGCGCCGCAATTTCTGTGCATTTATTTATCGATTTTGATGGTTCAATCGCGTGCTAGTTGTCACGCGAGGACGGTTGCTTGTTTGACCCACGATATTTCGTGCCACTGCTCAACCCAACTCGTGCTGATGTTCGAGTCGTACGTAATGCGCGGACCCTTTCTTGCAGGTAAAACACATGGAGCACACCAAGGACGTCGACGAGACGAAAAGCGCCTCCATACTGTAATTGATTGCATGGCTACGCATTGCTCACCACGTGCATCCCCCGACACCATCAGATATCTCCTAACAAGGACCTCGACCCAGCACGTCCACTTCGTTCGTGGGATTGCCTCGCATTGCCGCATCGTCGAGTCCACAGCCTCCCGAGCTGTCACATTGAGCCTACGTGGCCCGAGTATGATGTCGTCCCCGGCTGCCTGACCCCGCGGACCGACCGGACGCCGGATTCACAGGGCGAGCGCCTCGCCGGACCGCAGACGTTGACACCGCCGCGTGTCGGCGTAAAGTGGGGCCGGCGAGCGGCTCCCCGTTTTGGACGCCTGCATGCATTGTTGACGTGCTCGATCGTGCGACAGCCAACGACGACCACACCCTCTGCCGCCCACGTCCACCGCTCACGCCTGCCGGGCAAGACACAAGGCGAGTGCAGTACAGTGCACATAGTCGTATGACGTGGCCTGGCCATTTCCATCTACAGAAGCGCCAGTCATGGCCGACGGCGGCGCGTTCAAGCCGGCGCTGCTGGTGATTGATTTCCAAGAGGACTTTTGCCCGCCGGTACGTCACACAAACACCTCCCTCCACCAACACCACCACCCCGCCGCGTACCGCGCCGTGTGTCGCGCGCCAAGCCGTGACCTGCTGCCTCATCTCATGTCACCCAACACCGTTACCTCACCTCACCTCACCGCACGCGCATGCATCTCATCTCACCGCACCTCAACTCAACTCACCCTCACCCGTCTCATGCACTGCTACTCCGCGCACACGCTACCAACCAGCTAACAACACCCCTTAGAACGGCTCCCTCGCCGTCCCCCACGGCCGTGCCATTGCCCCCACCGTCAATGCCCTCCTCGCCCTCCCGTTCCCCGTGCGCCTCGCCACGCGCGATTACCACCCCGCCGACCACGTCTCCTTTGCGGCCAACCACTCCGGCGCCCAGCCGTTTACCTCATCCACCACCATCGCGTACCCCAGCGACACCGAAACCGGCACCAACTCCGCGAGCCATCCGCCCTACGAGACCACGCTCTGGCCAACGCACTGCGTCCAGGGCACCCCCGGCGCGGAGCTCGTCCCCGAGCTGCGGCGCGACCGCCTCCAGGGCGTCATCGACAAGGGCAAGCGCCGTGATGTGGAAATGTACTCGGCGTTTTATGACCCCTTTCGGGTGAGTGACAGTGGGCTCGCGGGCCGCCTAAGGGACGAGGGTGTCACGGACGTCTTTGTCGTGGGGCTGGCGGCCGACTTTTGCGTCAAGGCCACCGCCGAGCATGCCCACGACGAGGGCTTCCACTCCTACATCATCGACGAGGGTACCAGGCCCGTGTTGCCCGACAAGTGGGCCGAGTGCCGAGACGAAATCACAGCCCGGGGTGTCAAGATTGTGTCCGTAGACGGGGACGAAGTGGCAAGGGTCAAGGCATTGCCATGATTCTGGTCGTGAACCCGTATTCTAGTTACGCCTGAAGCTAGCTAAACAGGAATGTTTGCATTAAATATGGATAAGGGTATGGCCAGCACCAACGTCATGTATCGTCTAAATGTATGCCTCCAGTCCTTCTCCTTCTAGGCCTCCCCCGACACCCTTTGCCTACCGCTTCGACCGCTGCTGCGCTGCTGCGCTCAAGTTGGACTTTTCTTGCGCGCTTGTCATGGCCAACGACACGGGCGTCATCGGCGGCGGGGCTGGCGTGCCCGTTCGCGACGGCGCCGCACTTCGGTTGTGCTGCATGTGCGCCCGTACCAGGTGACCGGCCGCCAGCGCGCTGCAGAGCGACAGCTCGCCAGCCAGCACCGCCGCCGCGATGATGCGGGCGAGCCGGCGCGCGTTGTCGCCGGGGTTGGTCGGGTGCGACCCTCGCACGCCGAGCATGTCGAGCATGGCGCTCTGCGGCTCGAGAATGGTGCCACCGCCGAGCGTGCCCACCTCGAGCGAGGGCATCGAGACTGAAATCTGCAGGGAGCCATGCAAGCTGAATGCCTCGTTAGCAAATGTGTCGCGTGAGATACACAAAGAGTCAACCTACTTCCTCATGGTGGTGATGCAGTTGGCGCTCTCCACCACCTGAGCGGGGTCCTGACCGGTCGCCAGGAAAATGGCCGCCACGATGTTGGCGGCGTGCGCGTTGAAGCCGCCAATGGACCCAGCCATGGCGGACCCGATGAGGTTCTTGGACACGTTGAGCTCCACCAGAGAGTCCACGTCGCTCTTGAGCACGTTCTTGACCACGTCGGCGGGGATGATGGCCTCGGCCACGACGCTCTTGCCGCGGCCGTCGATCCAGTTGATGGCCGCCGCCTTCTTGTCGATGCAGTAGTTGCCGGAAACCGAGATGATGGACATGTCCTCGAAGCCTTCCCCGGCCATGACGTTGAGCGCGTGCTCGACGCCCTTGGAGATCATGTTCATGCCCATGGCGTCGCCCGTCGTCGTCTTGAAGCGGATGTACAGGTTGGTGCCGGCGAGCGCCGTCTTCATCGTCTGCAGGCGCGCGAAGCGGCTCGTCGAGTTGAACGCCTTCTTCATCACCTCCTGCCCGGGCTCCGAGTCGAGCCACAGCTTGGCGGCGCCGGCGCGCTCGAGCGTCTCGAAGCTGAGGCAGGGACCGCGCGTCATGCCGTCCGCCGTCAGGACCGTAACGGCGCCGCCGCCCGAGTTGATGGCCTTGCAGCCTCTGCTTGCGCTAGCAACGAGCACGCCCTCCGTGGTGGCCATGGGAATGAAGTAGCTCTGGCCATCGATGACCAGGGGACCGGCGACACCGACGGGCAACGGGAGGTAGCCGACGACGTTCTCGCAGCAGGCTCCAAAGACGCGCTCCCAGTCGTAGTTTTCGTACGGCAGCTTGGAGCGGTCGAGGCCGCTGGTGACCTCGGCCGTCGCCTTGGTCCGCGAGATGATGGTGCGCCTGATCTTGACGGCGCGGGTAAAGTCCTTGAGAGTCTTCTCGAGTGCGTAGCCAGGGATCTTGCCGCGCATCGACATGGTCACGACCTCCTCGTCCGACATCTCGTGCGCGCGCTTCTCGACGAGCATCTTGTCCAGCTCATCGTTGGAGCGGTGCTCGCCCGACGGCACCGACGGGGTCGGCCTCAGCTTGGTCATGGACAAGAGGTCGCCCTCGTCGTCCGTTGGGGCCGGGGTCGCGGGCTCGCTTCGCTGAGGCGTAGGCGGGACGTATTCGCCCAGGGGCAGGGTTGCCGAGTCGGTGTCGTTGAACCTCTGAGCGCGGGCCAGCTCCTTGCGGTCGATGACGTGCTCGGGGACGTTGGGGTCCTTGATTCCCCAGCGGGCCACGTTGAAGAGATAGCCGTTGAGGCCAACGCTGAGGGCCAGGGCGACCACGATCCACTTGGACAAGACGGGGTCCTCGAGGCTCGTGAGCAGGCCACCCACCACGCGGCCGCCCACACCGTAGTCGCCCAGGTGCAACCGCTCGCCGAGACCGACGCCGCCGTCACCGAGGGGCGACGACAGGGCGTAGTGCACAGACGGAAACTCCAGCTCGTACTTGATGGGCGTGAGGACGGTGACGAGAGCCGGCTTGCCGCTCGCCTTGGCCGTCGCGAGGATGGCGTTCAGGCCGTTGGACGCCACCTTGAACGGGTCCACGGGAGGAATCGACACGACGCCGCCGAGGCCGCCGGCCCACGTGCGCCAGCTCGACAGCGACGACGCGCTGCGGAAGGGGATGGTGCAGATGTTGATGACGTTGATGAGGATGAAGCCGGAGATCATGAGAACCTTGAACTTGGGCACACTGCTGCTCTTCATCGAGCGGCCAAAGAGGGAGCCGTCGCCGTTCTTTTGGCCGGGGCTGTCCCACTCGTCCTGGCTCTTGGCCACGTCCTCGGCGACACGTCGGCTGACGCCGTCGGCCTCGAGGGCCATGCGCATGTCGACATGGCGCTTGATGCGGTTGATTTCGAGCTTGATGCTGAGGATGGCCGTGTAGAAAGTGAAGAGCAGAATGCAGTCGAAGAACAGAATCCACGCAGCCAGGAAGCAAAACTGCTGGAGGCCGCCCTGCACGCCAGACGCAGCGCCGAGGACGAGGATCAGGATCTCGATTGCGTAGTCGCGCAGGATCTCGTAGCCCTTGTCCTTGATGGCGGCCTGGATCGCATACTGGATGACGTTTTGCGCCTGGATCTCCGTCTTCTTGCCGGCCTTGGTCTCTTGGACCTGGGCGCGGCGGTGCTCAATGGCGTGGGAGAGGACGGCGCGCGTGAGCACAATGTTCTTTTCGAAGCCAATGGTGACTACCAGGAAAGGGAGCCCCTCGGAAAGCAGGATGACGCTGATGGGGACTCCCAGCTTGGCGGTGACGGCGAGGCCGAAGAGGAACGCAAAGACGGACGAGAAGAGGGTGCTCATGCCGAGCCAAAAGTTGGAGCCCATGCGGCGCATCGACAGGAACAGGGAAACAAAGGTCAGATGCATCGACAGGTAGCCGAGGATCATGATGACAATGTCGAGCGTCTCGGCATTCTTGAGCAGGTCCACAAACTCGACGAGAGCGTTGCTGGCCCACTGGACGAGGGTGTTGCGCGTGTTGACCTTGGCTGCCTTCATGATCCACATCTTCTTCTCGCGGCCGTGGCGCGTCACCGTCTCCTCGGCGTCCTCGTTAGGGATCTCCTGGACCGCGGTGACGAATTCGGGAGCCTCCTTGTAGGGCAGCGAGTAGGCGAGGATGCTGTCCTGCGAGTACGCCGTGAAGGGGTTCTCGGTGGAGGGCAGCGGGGTGACGGAGAGGTTGCGCGGCGTCGGCACGACGTGAGCGCGCGGGGCCGTGCTCGGCGAGCTCGTCGAGAGAGTGTCGGGGAAGACGAGCGTCAGGAGTGCGAGGTGGTCGGCGTCGTTGTGGCTGCCGGCCGCCACGTCGTGCTCGACGGGCTGCCACCTCCACGCCGTGTCCGGGCCGGCGCGCAGGTCTCGGCTGCCGTCGACGAGAGAGGACCAGTCGGCCTTGCCGACATTCCTGGTGCCCTCGAACAGGCTCTCCTGGAGGAGGCCAACGTACGAGGTGCTGGCCAGGACGGCGACGATGACGACGGTGTGGATGGGGTGGGAGCAGGCGAGCCGGGACAGGAACTGGAGGAGGGGCGCGACCTTCTTGGCCAGGCGGGACGGGGCCGAGGCGTGAGCGAGGGCGGGCTCGCCGCGAAAGCGAGCCGGGAGGAGGTTTGCGGATATCATTTCGACCGACTCGGAAAAGGTGACTCGGCGTTTCGGTTTACGACATTTGGGTTTCGAGGGGACCTGGTCGACTCGATCTAGAAAGGATCTGGGGTGAGTGACTGTAGACACGAGCGCGGAGGTGAGCGGCAGCGTCTTGGGGGCGATGATGCGTGGGTAAGGCATGGTCGCGCCCGCGTCCGCGCCGTGACCATTGCACCGGCGGCAGCGACAGCAGAGGCAGGGGCAGACGGCGGTGATGTGACGGGAAGGGTCGCACGACAGGCGAGGACGATGGGGGCCGCGGGACAAAAGCTCTTGTAGCCGCGCAACAACGACTGGAACTGGAATACTAACATGAATCAGCTCGGCTGTGTCGTCAGTCTCGTCGTCGAGCAGTCGGGCCTCGAGTCGTGGCGCCGGCGGCGGTCGATGACGGCTCGTCGTTGGGGGTCGCGGCAGGAGGAAAAAAAAGACAGAGGCACGCGGGGCCAACACGGGCTCGACTGTCCCTGAGAACAATGGGAGGTCAATGGCACCAACAACCCAATTGCAGCCACGGGGCTTCCAGCACGATTGAGCAACAATGAACAAACCGACAGCGGACGAGGGGAAGGGGGAAGGAAAAGGAGGGGAGGAGGGTCGGGTCGAGGCTGGTGGTGATGGATGGAGTCGGGAGAAGCGCAATCGAGAAGCGGCCCAGACAGAGAGAGCGAGCGTGGAGGCCGGGCGGCTCCTGTGCTCCCGGGTCGCCTGTCGAGCCTTGGAAGCCCCTGTTGGCGTGGGCCCTGGCGAAATTGCTGCCTCCAGCGGTGGAGTGGCTGCCCTGCCCAGTCAAGCCAGTGCCAGCCAGCGAGAAAATTTGGCTGGTCTCTGGGGAGGCCCGCGCTAGCCAGCAGCCGACGTTGGGCCGGGCGGTGAACCCTGCAGTCTCAGAACACACTGGAGGCTCCACTATTTTTCTGCTGCAGCGCCCTAGCATCCAGGCCAAGCTTCCACGCCAGGGGCCAGGAGGCTGCGGCAAGTGCAGGCAGGTGCCGTCCCAACTCCGCCACTGGGCGCGTTGCGGGCACTGTGCGCAGTCGCTCTCGTACGATGATTTTCGCAGGACTCGTCCCGCATTCCTCAGTTGCGGCCCAGTGCGGGCTCGGCCGCACGCACCCACTTTCACCATCTACGGCGGCATTGGGGTGCGCAGGACCATCTCAGGCAACGCGTCCGCAAAGCCTCACTCGTCCAGCTGAAATTCGTCGCTCCCGCCCGGGCAGACATGGTCGGATCGACGGTAGCCGCTATGCATGACGACATTGTTTCCCAGCAGCTCACCAGCTGGCCGATTGATCGCCTCCGCCAGCCCCAAACGGTGACGCCAGCATGACCACGACAAACACGGCCACGCAGCAACACAATTGCGAAGCCGGGCTGATTCGTGTTCCCCAGGACGGCAGTCGTCCCGCATCGAGCGGCGCGGGAACTTGTTTGGCCGCTTCGCAGCAATAGATATCCCGTCTTCAGATCCGGAAGATGCAGTTCCCACGCCTCTGCAAAGGCGTCACGCGGCAGTCGCTGTGGCGCAGACCTCCCCCAGCCATCGTGCCAGCCATCGTGCGCGGCATCATTTCCCCCACGCGTGCGTCCCGGCACGGGTGCGCAACAGGCAGAGACTGACTTGTCGGGCAGCCATCGCCTTGCTCCATGCACATGCGCGACGACGCAACGACGTCTCGAATGGGCAAGTCTATGCCGTTTGGCTGTTTTGCCGGACGCGCCACGCTCCGTTATCTGATCTTGCCGGCTCCGCCAAGTGGATCTCGGGTCTCGGCCGGAGCGGCGGCGCTCCGAGGATCACGACGGTCAATGCTTTGCATGTGGCACATGGAACACATCTATTCATTAAAAAAAAAAACGCAAACGCTGCAGCCCGACCCATAACGCCATTGGCCCTAATGAATAATGCCTCATTCTCAACGGAGCTGGGAGGTGCTCAGCATCTGGTACCTGTCCTCCGCCGCCAGCCGCTTCGTCGTCACGCGGTCTGGATAGTTGCGCAGGCACATGTTGGTGAAGTGGGTACCGTAATGGATGCCCTCAGTCGGTGCCTGGCCGGCGTTGTACCCAGGCAGCGGCTTGACTACCGAGCGAAAGTTGGGCTCGTGAAAGTAGGCAAACGCGAACCGCTCCCGCGTGTTGAGCCCGACCTTGTGCGGAGTCGACAGCAGCGCGTTGTTGGTCATGTACTGGAGCATATCGCCTGAACAGTCAGTGACGGCCGATGACTAAAGCGTGGGGTGCTCACCTGGGAAAACAGTGAAAACCCCTGGAGTCGGCGGAACGTACACCCATCCGGCGTCGTCCTCCTTTACGCCGGCAGCACTCTGCTGCCAGTTGGCAAAGCTATCGCCCTGTGGAGGCCGCACAAACAGGCCTGTGTCGTCAGGATCGTTCAACATGCAGCGCGACGCGAGACTCACCTCCGACGTCATCTTGAGCTGCCATCACCAACAGCCCATAGTCTGTGTGAGACCCGATGCCACGGCCGGCTTTGCCCTTCCCATTGGTCTTGTGTCGGGCCGGAAACCTGGCTTGTTAGCTGACAGTGCTTTGATAGTATGTGGTAGACGCCTCACCTCAACACGCGCATATGATGCCAGCCATCGTTGGTGTACTGCGTCAACGACCCGGTAGGAACGTCTAGTCCGAGCTCGATCAACGCCAGCAACTTCTGTCCAGCCGTGCCCAGGTCGGCGATGTAGCGGCTGATGACTTGCTTCATCTTCTGGTCTGGCCAGGGGCATGGGCCGTGGCATGGCCAGCGGCTCTGGACCCTCGGGTCAGATGAGGGGAGATCCTTGGTGACGGTAAAGATCTCCGAGTAGTCGGCAATGCCGTCGGTGATTTCTTCCCCTGAGGCAACATAACCGGAGTAACTCTGTGAGTCGACGCACGCCTGCTTCTCAGCCTGCGGTCTCGCGAAGAAGCGCCTGCTCTGGGCGTCGGCAGCTTCATACAGTCGTCTTTGCAGAGGGCTCATGCAGACTTGAAGAATGCCATCGCGCTGCCAAGCAGCGACGAGGGACCGCCCCATAGCCACATCGGCGACGGAGCCAGTGACGGCCTCTGGAAGGACAAACGTTTCCAGCTGTCCCACGGCGGCATCGAACCCGGGCGGCATTGTCCCCACGGCGGGATCAGCTGGCATGTCCCGTGCTGAGGCTGGCGTCAGGCTGGCTGAACGAGGAGCGTGATGTCGCGAGGACACGGAAGGGGGTGGCATAGTTGCGGGGGTATGGACTGCCGTGGCGAGCGTGGCCATGTGCCTCGCCTTGGCGACGCCCGGAACCGGACGAACCCTGAAGGCCAAAAGGGCCATTGTGGTCATGATGAACGATATAAACTGAAGTATCGAGGACTACGGTTTTATGACTGACACTGCATAGCTGTTGAAGTCCCAGAAGCGGGAGGATGCGAGCATTATATACCTGCTCGCCAGAGCACTGGACGGAGATGACCAGGACGCACGGCAGTCAAGAGATTTCTCGGGAAGTGCCGAGGCAGCGGCCTTGCCCGAAGCATCCAGGTAAGCCATGGTCGATGATTTAGCTCTGGACTCCGTACGAGACGTCGCCACTGACCTCCATGGCCCGGAGAGGGTAAACTAACTAGGCATGGCATTGGCAGAGTTTGTTCGGATGCCACGGCGAGGTCAGAGCTCCATGTCGTGGTCCGTCATTGTGGCATGATTATACACAAGCGCTGTGACGTCGGGCGAACGACTGCCTCCGCATGCCTGGTCCAGTGACCTGGGGTACCAAGCACTGGCTACATGGCATGGCACTGCTGCATACCTCGGTGCTACGGGATCATGGTGAGTACGCTGAGCCTCGGCCTGGGACTGCGGGATTGATGATCTGATCCATCAACCATCAGCGGCGACATGCCTGTTGCGAGCTCACGGGACTGTGCCATACTGACACCCTGTTCCACAACCTTCGTTCTCATCTCCAAGCGTGACCTGGTAGAGAGATCCAGGGTCCAGTATTCAGGGTCGTCGCATCGGCAGTTAGGCCAGAGTCTAATTACCGGCCCGTCTTAGTCGCCCGCGTGGGGAGCAGGGTCCGCTATGGCGCGGAAGCATGGCGAATCCCGGGCGAGTGAAACACAGCAACAGCTTCGCGAGGAGCAGACTAGCTACTCCCGCCTCCCGAAGCGCGCGAAAACGAAGACGGGCTTAGAGTGCTACGAGTCCCATGTGGCGTCACGTCCGTACAGAGATTGGCCAATCATGCGTTCGAGAAGTATGCTGATGACCGCGTCAAGGGAGAGGCGAGTGGTCTAGATGCTCTTCAGTGCCGATCAACACGCATCGCGACGATGGCAGCGAGCGATGACAGAAACACCTGTCCACGTCTCGGAGGAGACGCTTCCGCGTCGCAGAGGGTCGAGGCTTTGGGGTAGCGCGGCGGGCCGTCCAGTGATGTTGGGCATATGCTGCCGGGGAGCCATCGAGATGTGGCTCTGTGGTTTGGACTGGCACGCGATGTGCAGCTGCGGTGGCACGAGGATGAGGTATACAGCTCTGGTCCGTACAGGCATGCAGAGTGTGTACAACACACCGTTGAGGTCGTGACATGAGGGGGATCCGTCAGCAGGGTGCGAAGACGTCCCCGAAAGCTAGGCAAGAAAACCAGACGACATGTGTGAAACGGCACAGCCGACCCCGTTGCCGGTGACGGGGTTTCCGTGGGAAACTGACGACAGACTGGAGCCGACCTGCGAGGACACCTACCTCACCTCAAGGAAGGGGCAGAGGAGAAAGTCTGTCTTCTGGAAGATACCCGGACGTAGGTCGTGGCTTCGCGCCGCAAGTCCCCGCCCCCAGCCACCTCGGCATAGGCGAACAAGCTCCTAGGGCTGCAGCCTGACGTAGGGGGAGTGGATTCGGGCGGTTCAACGTGAAATTTGGCTTCGTCGGCGCATGGCGCGCGGCGGGTTCTCGAGCGCTCGCGCGGTGCCGCTTTCGTCAGCAGCGAATATCATGAAGAGCTGCGAATCGCGATGAGGACTCGTAAGAATCGATCCCAAGAGCCTGCAAGACATGAGAGTATCTCGCGGTGGCGCCGGGCGGGCG